CTTAGATAGATTGAGTATATAAACTAAGTATTTAAGTAGTACTTAAGAGGTTATATAGATTATAGATACATAAACTAGGTATTACTACTAGTACTTATATAGCTGGTATATAATAAAAGTATAAATACGCTAATAGAATAAATACTATCTTACACTAACTATAGATACTATTTCTAAATATAATATAAGTTTAAGAAATTCTAGACTCTAGTAGAGTTAGCTAGACTAACTGTAAAAAAAAATTATCAATATATTAAAAACTATAAAAAAATATCAAACATCTTTTATATCAATTAGTATTTTACTCTAGGAAATGTAGATATAGAACATCTATAGTAAAGAGAGAAAATAAAGCTTACCTTCTATAAAAAATATATTAAAATAATAAAGATATATAGGGAACTAGGCTATATTTAATTAGAATCTTTGAAAAAAATTAAGAATATAAGCTGTAAGCTTCATTTACCAGAAGAATTAAAAATGTATTTAGTATCTTCTAATATACTAGTATTAGCTAAGATATTAGATAACTACCTCGTAGAATAAAAAGAATAATATAAAGTATAGAAAATTCTAAATAATAATACTAAGTTTAAAGATAATAAATATTAATCTCTTATAAAATAAAAAAGCCATCTAGACTTAAAGAGAATATAGAAACTATACACTAATCTTAATAAAAGTAAATAAGTTACAAAGAAGTATAATAAGAGTTTAAAACCTTAAAAAAAGAAGTAGTAAAAGAAATAGAAGAATATAGACTAGAAACTAGCTAAAATATATTATTATTCTAAGTAGCCTAAATAGAGAGTAAAAATAATAATATACCACTTCTTATACTCTAATTCTACTTTCTTAACAAAAGAAAGCTTATAGAATACTAAGATACTCTACTTATTTTTAAATTATTAAGAGAGTCTAGAAGACTTCTAAGTAGCTTTTATAGTAGCAACTATCTACTATACTATAGCTACTATATTGTTAGCCCCTCTTAATTTATAATAATGCTTATATATCTCTTTCTTTAGTATTTTCTCTAAAGAATATTAATATATTAGCTAAAATATTTTTTTACCTCTAAGATCTTACAGCTACCTCTAAGATCTTAAAGCTACCTCCAAGATCTTAAAGCTACTAAGCTTATATCTATCTTATAAGCTACTTAAGCTACTTACGAGAAAGCTACTAGCTTAAGCCTTTTTATCTAAATTACGCTACCTTATATACTAAGCTACTATACTCTAGCTCTATTTATCTAGCTCTATCTAGCTCTAATTCTATCTAGCTTTAAGTCTATTTAGCTTTAAGTACTACTACTACTATATATAGAAGGAGCTTCGCTTATATTATACGCTTGTAAAACCTTAAAAAAAAATTTAAATTACTTAATTTTTAAAATATAGTTATTCTACCTCTACTAGTTAAAGATAAAAATCAAGTAAGATATATACTCTAAAAGATTCTAGGCGTAGTAGCTTTAATATAAGTCTAAGAATCTAGTAGTAAAATCTTGTAGCTTAAATAGCTTAAAGTTAGCTCTAAGAATCTAGTAGTAAAATCTAATAGCTTAAAGCTAGCTCGAAGCGACTAGAGCTATATACAAGTATCTTAGAAATGGTCGAGCTATAAAACAAAACACTAATATAGTAAATATATAATCCTTAGAAATATCTAATAAATATTTAGTATAAGTAATTACTAATAATTAGTGTTTATTTAACTGAAGATACTCTATATGCTTTTTAAATAAAAGATTAGCCTTATAGAGTAACCTAGTAGATATAGAGTACTTATAAGAAGTTAGTATAACAAAATTCTTATTATAAAGATAGTAAGTAAGTTTATAATAATAAGTAGTAATAGGAAAAGACTTAGATACTTATGAAATTAGCTATAATCTAAGATATCTAAGACGCTCTAAGTAGGCTTAGAGCGCTTAGTAAGTAGTTTATAAGTATCCAAGTACTTAGAGCAATTAGAGCGCTTATAGCTAGTATAAATTACTTAATAAATAAATTAAAATATAAACTATATAAAAAAATCTTAGAGTTTTCTCTTTTACTTAATACCTATTTCTTTTTTAAATATAGATACTATATCTACGTTTTTATAGATTAAGTGGAAAATAATTGTTTTTATTAGAATTTTACCCTCTAAACTAGCTTTATTATATACTCTTTCTATTCTACTAGTTAAATTAGACTTAAAGCTATATTTTTTTTTAGTAATAACTAAGTAGACCTAGTATACTAAAATCTATTTTAAGTACTTAGAGTACTTAAAACGCTTATAAGTTACTTATAAGTAGCTTATAAGTAAGTAGAGTTACTTAAAGGCTCTAAGTACTCTAAGCGACTCTAAGTATTCGAAAAAAAATTCTTCTAATATATTTCTAAGTACCTATTATACTTGTAAATACTACTAAGTAATATAAATACCTAGAGAGGAAAGAAAAAATATAATAATAACGTAAAAAGTAGACTATTATAGATTAAGAGTATCACTAATAGATATAAACTTACTACTAAGTATTAGTAAAAAGTATTATAGTATATTATAGTAAGATTACAATTAGAGATAGTTAGCTAGTATATTATAATACTATAATATAGAGATTCTAGATACTAGAATTTTATTAGTTAGAGAGTATATAACATAGTGTATAAAAAACAGAAGAGCTGTAGCTTAGTCTTATAGAAAGAACACTCTTACTATAAAGTATATAATCTTAGAGTAATAGAGAATATAGATACTAAGTAATATTAAAGTCTAGTTCTAATAACACTTAGCTCTAAGAAACTATTTTAAATAGTTATTAAATATAGCTATATAGAATAGGTATAATATCTTAGCGAAAGTTTTGTAGCTTAACTAGCTTTAGTCTATATATAGCTAAATCTAATATATTAGATCTATCTTAAGTTTATTAGATTTACCTCTTAGCTAAATATAGCTTGATCTAATCTATTAGATCTAGCTTAGTAATAAACTAGATTTAGCTATATCTAGCTAGGAGGTAAATCTAGTTTATTAGATCTAGCTTCAAGTACCTAGTCTACTTAATCTTCTTATACTTCTTAGAATACTTAGAATACTTAGAGCTATTATACTACTTAGTAAATAGAATCTTTAGAATTATATTTCTTACTTAATTCTCACTCTCTAGCTAGTAGTTATAAAATAAATATATTTTCAATATTAAGTAACTTAAACTTATTTTCTTTTAGAAGTTTAATAGCTTAGAGTATATTCTATAGCTATGCTTTTATACATTATAGTAGTTATAGCTAGATAGACTTAGAGCTAGATAGAGCTAGATGAATTAAGTAGCTTAGATAGAGTAGCTTAGTAACTTAGTAGCTTAGTAACTCTTAGTATTCTAAGTATTCTAATAGATCTAAGAAACTTAAGTAAGCTAAGTATATAAGCTTTCTTATAAGTAGCTTATAAGATAGATATAGATTTAGTATCTCTAAGATCTTAGAAGTAGCTCTAATATTTTAGAAATAATAAAGATTTTCGTTATGTTATATTAGAAAAAAATTCAGGCACTCGTGAAATTAGCTGCAATCTAAGATATTTAAGATATCTAAGGCGCTCTAAGCGGGCTTGGAGCGCTCGGCGAGCGGTTTATAAGCATCTAAGCACTTAAAGTAATCGAAATGCTTGCGGTAGGTATAAATTACTTAGTAAGCAAAAAACATAAATTACGTAAAAAATCTTGGAGTTTCTCTTCTTACTTACTCTCTTACAGAAATAGGTAATATATCTATGTTTTTAAAAATTAAGCGGATAATAATTGTTTTCATTAAAGTTTACCTACTAAACTAGCTCTATTATGTATTCTCCCTATTCTACTAGTTAAATCAGACTTAGAGCTTTATTTAATCTTTTTTAGTAATAACTAAATAGAGCTTAGTACACTAAGATCTGCTATAAGCGTTTAGAGCGGGCTCCGAGTGCTTCGAGTAACTTTAAGCATCTAAATTTTTTTTCCTAATACAGGAAAAATTCAGGTACTTAAATTATAAAATTAGCTTTAGTCTAGAATATTTAAAGCACTTAGAGTATAGATATCTAGAATATCTAAACTATCTAAACTAGCTAAGATAACTAAAACATATAGAGTACCTAAAATAGCTAGTATTACTTAGTAAGTAATTAATTTTTAAAAGTTTCTAATTCTACTTGAATTTTACCCTCTAGTGTAAAGAGCTATAATATTAATAAATTTATAAGGTTAGTAGATAATAATTATTTTTATTAAAAGTTTACTCTCAAAACTAATTCTATTATATACTCTTCTATTCTTCTAGTTAAATTAGACTTAAAGCTTTTCTTTGGTTTTTTTTTAGCTACTAACTAAGTATACTAAGTCTTACTAAGCGGAGCTTCAAGATGTTTCAGATTATTTTAAATAATTTAAATAATTTAGATAATTTAGATAATTTAGATAATCGAGCTATTCTAGATATCTAGAGTATTCTAAGTTTTTTAGTATATTCTAAGCTGCTTGCAAGCTACTTACAAGTAGATATAGTTACTTAGAAGCTCTAAGTGCTCTAAGTAGCTCTAAGCGCCGAGATCTTTTTTATTATATAATATAAGAGTTATAGTAAATTTAATAAACTAAATAAATTAATCTAAACTAAGAATCTAGTAGCTCTAGTATTTATATAAAGTAGCGTCTTATATGGAGTTTACCTTATTGCTTATACTAACTATATACTACTATACTTTAATAGACGCGTACTATTAGTATTAAGCCTTATAGATAAGTTATTAATACTTAAAACAAAGAATAATTTAAGACTCGATTAAGATTTATAATTCTACTTAAGACACTTAAGAGCTACTTGGAGCGCTTAAATAGTCTCGAGTAGATTTGACTTTTTAAGCGAGTAAGCGATTTACTAGTGTATTGGTTATAGTCTGGCCTTTAGGGCGCAAATATGAGTCGCTACTAACACTATCGCTAGAGGGCTAAGCTTCATAAAGAGCTACTCGCCAACTTCTCGATCCTCAGACCAATGCGCGAGTCTTTTAACGACAGGCCAATGCCACGTTGCATGTCGGATACCTTTCCCGAAGAAGTAGAAGGGTAAGGCGCAGAGCATCACCGCAGCACTAATACCGGCCATAGTACCGAACGCATTCATGTAGCCAGACCTAGCAATCCAAGGGTTGGTGTAGAATGATAGTAGGAACCCAAACGCCGCTGTCGCGTGAGCGATGTCAGTACAAAGATCGAAGATTAGAAAAGATCTGGGGTAGGAACGCACATTTGAAGGCGAACTGCGTTACCGTAATCTCTCCTGCGACTGGACGGTAGGCGTCGATTGTGTATACGAGTGTCACGTTTGTAGCCTGCACAATAGTGAAGTTTACTAGCAAAAGGTCAGCTTGTAGCTGTCTTCCAAGCAGAAGGCAACTTACACAATCCGAGACCAACAGTTGCACACATCCAATGCAGTTGCTTTTCTATGCCAACGCCGTACAAGATCAGCGCCAGAGGGCCGGTAACGACGCTGATCGCTAGTGCAGGAAGACGCATCCTTGATGTTCGTGTCAGTTCTACAGATATGTAGGGGGGGACAGCCAGCCACGCCAACTCACTCTGGCTCCCTGATACCTCCATTTCGCCGAGTGAAGTAGTCTGCGATATGGTCCGACAGATGACCACCAAAGAAAATAGCAATCAATGAACCGATGATGGATGCAATGAAGCACAGCCCTGACTGCCACGGCTTGAAGTGGTATACCGTTTCGAAGGCGGTTGCGAAGTTAGAGGTGATAGCAACGAGGAAACCTATCGTAACTGACATAACCAGGGTGGCCCAGAGCACTGGGGGTAGGCACAGCAAGATGACTGGTCGAATGAACAGCTTCCAGAAGGATTCCTGCGTGTACGTGCCCGTGAAGATGCGTAAGTCTTGCCAGTAGGAGTGTTTTTGGAGTGCCACAGTAAGTGCATGGTGCTCTTCTTCCACGAATTGAGGTTTCTCTTTTAGGCTTCTACGCGTATCGTGGAGAGCTGAAGGTTCGGACGTAGCATTCAGTCCAGTAATTGTAGCACCACTTCTATTGTAACTGGTTTCGGGGAAAGTGAATATGACAAGCAAGGTTGCGGCTCCGATCAGAGCGACTGCAACCCAGTAGATCATACGCCAGTCATGTCTGATTGTGATCAGGCCGGCAATGATGATGCCTCCACCGACTCCGCAAGACAGCGCACATGTATAGAGGCTGATGGATTGTCAGTCTCGGAGGGCCACCCAGAATCGTTTCTTGACACACTTACGCCATAATTGTGCCTCGCTCATGGAGGAAGAAGATGTCGGCAATGGTCAATGGAGCCATGCACTCGGCAGCGCCGGCGGCGAATCCCATGATAATTCTTGCCGCAAGCTCATTACCGTATGTTTTTGCTCCCCCAGCCCAAGCAGCGCAGGCGGTGTATAGGATGAACGAGGAGACATAAACAGGTCGTCGGCCGTATTTGACAATGAGAGGCATCCAGATGAGATTACCCATGCCTTGTAGCAAGGCAGTCGTCGTAAAGAAATATGCAACTTTGGATATGTGGGCGACAAAGTTCGGTCCTGGCGGGCCGAAGAAGTATATAGTGATGTCTATGATAGCAACCGTCGGGCCAGCTGCAAGGAAGTTGCAGAAGAAAATAGCCAGGCACAATAGCGAAGCGATATAATATCGATAGGCGGTGGACCTGTAACCAGTGAGCTTTAAGGTTATATGATGATCAGGCCTCTCATCACCTATCCCTTACCAGTTGAGGGGATCATTCGGGTCGTTCGAGGGAGTTGGGATCAGAATGATTTCGTTGGTCTCATGATGTCGCAGTCGAAGAGACCCAAGAGTCTCCACCTTTGAAAGTTCCGCAGCATCTCTGTCGAAGGTCTTCTGAGCCTTCATGCCGAACGAATGCAGTAGTAACCCTTAAAGACGTCGCCGCGCAACTATACGCCAACGACAATCGTCTAGCCCTTCGAAGTTAAAGATAGCTGATGAGCTAGATGGAAACATTGTTAGATATCACGGACAAGGGTGAGTTATAAGTCTGTAACCTCAGCTTCGACAAGGGCTTCCCCAAACAGCGCACAGAGAGTAGCAAGGTGGTGGACACCCGAAAATGTGCGGGTCCAGGTAGCGACTGAAGGCGGGTTAAGATGAACGCGGCGGTTGTTAACCGCCTTGAACCCGTACACAAACCCGCCACGTTTTTCTTTAGCCCGCCCTCAGACCTTCAACTGGATTACGTCGATCTAGATCAGGTACCTAGAGTTCCTTTGCGGGGCCCCGCAAACTTGGCAATACATAGCGGCATGTGGGGGTGGAGACATACTTGCGAACGAATCCGCATTGACCCCACACGGAACGATCGGGGTAGCTCGTGGCTGCGACGGCAAGAATGGGGTTGGGCAACAGACAAGATCAGAGTATAAGGTTGACGTGTATGAAAACATCATAGTGGTTGTACTTCGGTGGAGGAACGGTATGTGACTCCGTGAGTCAAACAAAACATGGCGGACTCTCCCCCTACTCTAGATTCTCTAATCGTCTGGAGATCAGACGCAAACACCGAGGCATACGAAAAAGCTCGCGTCGACAGGGTGTTCAACCAGCGCAGGCCCAAGAGATTTCCCATCGCCGTGGTGGAAGCTATACACGAATCACATGTAGTCGATGCTGTCCGCCTAGCCATCGAGCGAAACTGTCGCGTCTCCGTTCGCTCAGGCGGTCACAGCTGGGCGGCATGGAGCGTCCGAGACGATGCTATTCTTATCGATCTGGGAAAACTCCAAGAAATAAGCCTCGATGAGAAGACAGGAATCGTCAAGGTGTCTCCAAGCACGACCGGACGGATGCTAAACGGCTTCCTCAGCGAGAAAGGACTTATGTTTGCAGGTGGCCACTGCCCGGATGTAGGCGTAGGGGGCTTTCTCCTGCAAGGAGGAATGGGTTGGAACTGCAAGGTAGGATTGACCTCGTCCTGTTTTTTAACATGTTGCTGATCAGCAGCAGAACTGGGGCTGGGCGTGTGAGAATGTGGTCGCCATTGACGTTGTCACGGGAGATGGAAGGCTTCTTCACTGCGATGCCAACCAGAACAGCGAGTTGCTCTGGGCTGCCCGAGGCGCGGGACCTGGTAAGGACTGCTCAAACCCTTGGGTCGATTTGGAGCTGCTGACATGATGAGGTTTTCCTGCGATCGTCACACGGTTCTATATCCAGACACGGCGATGTTATTCCCACATGCGATCATCCGCATATACCTATCAGAAATCTGAATACCACAAAGCTATGAATTGGATTTTAGGCGTAAGCTCCACCGCTCAAGTATCTGATAAGGTACTGAAAATGGACGTCAGATCACGGCCGAATACGACGATGACACTGAGATCGTCGTCGTAGGAAGCTACCCTCCGGGGAGCCCGGATATCTGCATCACTGTGCTCTTGGTCACCTTCAAAAACAGCGAAGAAGAGGCACGTAAAGCGTTGCAAGAGGCTGAAGACAGCCATCCTCCAGGCACCGTCAACAAATGGTTCTGCAACCCCACCAGCTTGAAACAGGAATATGAGGATCAAGCTGCGGCTAACCCAAGCGGTTACCGCTACTGCGCTGACAATGCTTACATCTCGAACGATGCCGACGTAGCCGAGACGTTGCAGGCAGCGTTCACTACGCTGCCTCACAGAAAATCATTTACTCTTTGGTATTCGATGGCACCCGTTAGTAGGCGGAAACTTCCCGACATGGCTCTCAGCATGCAGACGGACCACTATTTTGCGCTGTATACGATTTGGGAAGACGAAAAAGACGACGAGCGGTGCCAGAACTGGGTAAGGGACATTATGAAGGATGTCGAGACACGGTCGGAAGGAGCATACCTCGGTGATTCAGACTTTCAAACCCGCAGAACCAGATTTTGGGGAGAGGAGGAGGGAAAGAAGCTGATGCGTCTTCGGAGGGATTGGGATCCGTTGGCGAGAATATGTGGTTATCTCGATGTGGGGGATAAATCTGGGCTGAATGGGTTGGAGAATGTACATGAGTGGCAGGTAGTGGCCAAGATATGAGTTTGCGTGCCGTCCGCATGTGCGTTATCGGACATTCTTCAGACAACGTGTTTGGCGAGGTAGATAAAATCATGAAACTGCGTTGAATTAGCTTACCGTGGCTGGCGCCTGTACAGCGTCAGTTGACTGTTTGGGTGTGGCAGATGTACAGCTCAAACGGTAGAAGGTTCCTTAGCAACTTAACAAGCTCATCACGGGCCAGGTACTGACGAGCGTCTGTCGGGCCCGAAGTTGATGTGGACATCGTCGGGAAGCCTCCGCAGTGCATCAGTACTTTACGGCTCCACGGGGCCCCTCAGCGCGCGTTTCATCAAGGTCAAAGGCGCTGGAAGGCTACGAGACGTGTGAGAAACTCAATCACGTATCTAGATTTCGCAGTATAAACAAGCCGGTAGCTTTTTAATCAATTTCCGTCGCCCTTCGAGACTACGTTTCGGGGTACGCAATCAAGAAGTTGTGGTCGACAAGCCTTTCTCGTCTTCCCAACAACATCGCCTTTGCACTCGAACCGGAATAGCAAGCTACGTCTAATGGTCGACCAAACGCTTGCCGGCAGAATTGCCCTTGTGTCCGGCGCCGATTCTGGAATCGGCGCCGCGATCGCCTCGGAGCTGTCCGCTCGCGGAGCAAGTGTCGTTATTAACTATCCCTTCCCATCATTGCGTGCCAAGGCCGAAGCGCTGGCGCGCAATCTACCCACACGCAGCATCGCAGTCGAAGCCGACCTGTCCACCGTAACCGGACCACAGAACCTCGTAAACAGCGCGGTCGCCGACTACGGAAAGCTCGACATTGTAGTCAACAACGCTGCACTGGCCATCAATCTACCGTTTGAGGAGCAAACGCTCGAGCACTGGGACCAGCTCGTCAATCTCAACGGACGGGGCGTGTTTCTTCTCACGCAGGCTGCACTGAAGCACTTGACAAGGGGCTCTGGACGCATCATCAACATCGTGAGTGTCTCGTCACGAGGTCCGCCGCCAATGCAGACGCTGTATGCTGGTACAAAAGGAATGGTCGACTCGTTTACCAAGGTTTGGGCTAAGGAGTTGCCGCCGAAGTATGGCTGCACTGTAAACGCTGTATCGCCGGGCCCTACCATGACGGAGGGTTTTCGGAATGCGGGAGAGGAAGTGATGAGGATCCTTCAACCGACTATTGATGCAACGCCGGTGGCGAAGAGGATGGCGGATCCTACCGAGATTGCGTATGCGGTCGGGTTTCTGTGTGAAGAGAGGGCGAGATGGGTCAACGGGGAGCACTTGTTTGTTAACGGAGGTCTTTTCATAGACTAATGGTAGATTACTAGGTCTTTTGGCTTACGATTCGGACACTTATTTCGTGACAATGTCATTACCTGTTACGAATTATGAGCAGAACGATCATGATGAGGACCGCGGTGAACGTGATGAACATGGTAGACCACAGCGATTCTGGAGCCTATCGCCTCTTGTTATCTCGGTGGAGCGCTGCCTCAGGCAGTATTGACAGAGTGGAGATGTTGGAGGATAATCGAATGGCCAACACAAGCGACCTAAAGGGAGACGCTGAGAAGTTCATGGATGCATTGTAGGTATCCTTAGCGGTAAAATAATCATTATAGAAATCGTAGCAAACGTTGTGCATTGGGGAGTTCACGGCGAATTTTAAGGTTAGCGAGTTTTCTTAGGGGCTAGCTCGCTCGCGCCAGAAGCGCGACTGAGCGTCCACGAGCTTGACAGCTCACTGGCCATACCACTGAGGAAAGAATTCTCGAAGATCAGACACGAGCTCATCGGGGGTTTCCAATGCAGCGAAGTGCCCGCCATAGTCCCTCCCTGCAGCACGTCAATGTTTGATCTCTCACACTGCGGTATATAGGCGACTGACATTTGTACCACTTCAGATTGCCCGTCCTCGCGACCGCCCGCTCGCTCGTAGGTCCGATATCCCATCTGAAACTCGAGAACGCGAACGGAGCCTTGATGTAGTTTTCCTCTTTTGTGTCAAACTCGACATACTCTTCATGCCGCACGTTGTTGTAATACGACAGCATACTCGTCATGATACTGGGGCTGGTGAAGTAGTACAAACAGATCGTAGTAAGAACATCATGATTGAAGCGTTTGTTCTGCAAGTCCTTGAGAGACGGGTCCGTGATCTCGTTGTACTTCTCCCCAACCCACATCATGATGCCGACGGGGTTGTCTGAGAACGCCACGCCTATGGTCTGCGGACGCGTCCGCATCGCGATGGCATACGCCATGTGGGTCTCGTTACCGGGCTCACCGGTGAACCACTTCATGCGTCCTTCACTGATTCTCTCTTGCTCGTTTGGCTCCTCGCCTGGGGGCGGCGCGGTCGGACATAAGTTTGTGTGCAGGGCGACGCAGGAGTCGCTGTACCGTGCTCCGAGCTCCCGCACTACCCAGTGGCCCCAGTCTCCGCCCTGGGCAACGTACCTACCGTATCCAAGCCGCTTCATGAGCTGGTCGAATATGCGGGCAGTGTCTTGCAGCGTGAAGCCTCGTGGGGGCCCCTGCGACCAGCAGTAGCCTGGCAGGGAAGGAACGACAACATCGAAAGCTGGATCAGACGTCGACGATGGGTTTGTGAGCGGTCCAATGACGCGGGAGAACTCGTAGAAGCTGCCCGGCCAGCCGTGCACTAGAAGAAGGGGAATAACGGGCTTAGAGGACGACGAAGTATCTGCGCGTTCGTGCACGAAGTGGATGCGGAGGCCTTCGAGCTCGGTGGTGTAGTGGTGCCATGAGTTGATCTTCTCGGCGGCGGTGGGCCAGTTGTAGTCGTTTAGCCAGATGTTGTAGAGCTTATGGATCCATTCAATGGACGGGCCTGACGTACGTCAGTCGATGCTCTGAAAGCATACATCAGAAGTATCGACCATAATCTTCGCCGGCGTCAGGAACGATAGGATCTTTGGGGATGCGTGTATCTTCGAGCTTCCTCCAAAGGCGATCGACCTCATCCTGAGGGACTGCTGGACTTAGCGGCTCGATCTGTGACATGGCTTGAAGTTCAAGCAGCCACGCGCACGGCCTCTCCACGAACTCTCCATGAATCTGCATCAGCATCACCGACAACCTCGGCCAAAAACCCCCAGCATCGAACCGCAGCAGGGCCTCCCCCCCCCGCATCGGCCAACTGCAGCCCGGGCTTCAGCACCATGAAGCTTCACCGTCTGGACGCTTTCTCCCAGCAGCCAGCCTAAATACTGGAGCCACCATAATGGTAGCAGACTCGAAGCCGCAATTCAGCACTCACCCACCACCCACCAAGCTCGCCATCCTCTCCTTCCCGTCACCCCAGATCCTCCTCGTCACGCTCAACAGACCCAAACAGCTCAATTGCATCAACCTAGACGGCCATGAAGAACTGCATAGGGTGTGGGCTTGGATGGACGAGGAGCCTTCAATCCGCGTGGGCATCATCACCGGGACGGGGCGCGCGTTCTGTGCTGGAGCTGATCTGAAAGGTGTGTACTCAAGACCACGTCACTTGGTCCATATGACCGATTGCAAAGCAACCCAAGCATCACCAACCCACCACTAACACACTCCCCCCCAGAATGGGACACCCAAAGCACATCCAAGCCCCGCCCCATGCCCGCCTCAGGCTTTGGCGCCCTCTCGCGACGCTCCGGCCTCAAGCCCGTGATAGCAGCCGTGAACGGCCTTGCCTACGGCGGCGGCTGCGAAATCATAATAAACTGCGACATGGTCCTCGCGTCCCCAAGCGCGACCTTCGCTCTGCCGGAAGTCAAGCGCGGCGTCGTCGCTCTAGCCGGTGCGCTTCCGCGGCTCATCCGCACAGTCGGGCGACCGCGGGCGATGGAGATGGCGCTGACGGGGCGGACGGTCAGCGCGAAGGAGGCGGATAGCTGGGGGCTGATCAATAGGGTCGTGCAGGAGGGAGGGGTGGTAGAGGCGGCGGTGGAGATGGCGAAGAGCGTTGCGGAGAACAGCCCTGATGCTGTTGTCGTGAGTCGGGAGGGGCTGAAGATGGGGTGGGAGGGCATGGGGGCGGAGGATGCGACGAGGATCTGGGGCGAGACGTGGTATCCGAGGTTGATTAGGGGGGAGAATATGAAGGAGGGGGTTAGGGCGTTTGTGGAGAAGAGGAAACCGAAGTGGAAGGAGGCGAAGCTGTAGTCTTGCTTGCAACGACGTGTTTCTTGTTATGCAGAAGGGGTTTGTCTTGGTTTGCGTTGTGTGATTTCCTCTTTAAACACCTCCGTACCATATATGCCCCACTATGAGAAACATCCCACTTGCAAACGAATGGACGCCCACCTCCTCTACTCCCACTCCAACCCCTACCCACTCCTCTCCTCCAAGATGTCCTCCGTCACCATCGCCAACCTCCCCCGCATAACCCGCGACGAACTGGCCCAGCGTCTCCGCACCCCCTCCCCCTCCTCTATCGCCATAATCGACGTCCGCGACTCCGACCACGTCGGCGGCCACATCCGCAGCTCCATGCACGTCCCCTCTTCATCTCTCGACTTCAAGATCCCCGAGCTCATCCGTACGCTCGAGGATAAAGAGACCGTGGTGTTCCACTGCGCGTTGAGTCAGCAGCGGGGGCCGAGCGCTGCGTTGAGGTATATTCGGGAGAGGGATCGGATTCTGAGGGTTGAGAGGAAGAGTTGGGGGCAGAAGGTTGTGGTGCTTGATGGGGGGTTTGTGAAGTGGCAGGAGAAGTAGGTGACCGTAGAGATGGTGCTGTAGGGGGTGTTGAGGCTGATCGTGTACAGGTACGGCGAGGATAAGAATTTGACGGAGGCGTATCAGAAGGATCTATGGGAGTATGGGTATTGAAGGGCGCTTAAGGCGCTACATGACCATGGGACTACATTTCAGGAATCCTCGACGAAGTCAATGATTGCGTCTGTTGTTTTATACCCAGATCCATACACTAGAAAGGCCTATGGGTAGGCGAGTTTGCTCAACCGTTTACTGGCTCGAAAGGTGTCAACTACTGCAGACTGCTTCGCAAACCCAGCAGGTGGTAAGCACCTTGAATTGGTACGCTTCTACTCGCCTTCCCCTTTCTCATATCTACTCCTCCACAGCTCCCCTCCGTTGTCTTCGTCACCTCAACGCCCTCTTTGGCGGTTTTCACCTTTTTCTCCGTTGAGCCTCCGCGAACGGAACCACGGTCTGGTCCCCTTATCGAAGTAGTCGTTGGTTGCATGTACCCTTTCCTCAAGTCCCGCCAACCGTCTCGAAGGGGCGTATTCGAGCTCGTGAATCAGTTCGAGCGGTCTAAGAGGGTTGATATATAGAAACATTGAACCGCTAAAGTATTCCTCACGCTGTCAGCGTTCCCGGATGGGCGACTGTAGAAGTGAGGTATACCTACCACTCCGTGAAAACAACTCTGGCCGTTGCAATTACTAATCAGGTGTTCTACCGCAAAGGCCGGCATACGAAGGACGCGGGTTTTAGTGAACAAGGGGTTACCGCTTGATCCTGGTTGTCGGTGGTCGGCGATCAAGCGGCAACGGCTTGTTCGCAAAACATCACGTCCTTCGTAGAGTAAAGCAGTGGCAATCACAGGCTCTGCCAAGATCGTTGCACAGAAAGAACTCTCGCTACAAAAAACGCTGTCCTCCACACAACCCTTAATCCCTCTTCCCAATCCCATACCCATTCCCATTTCCATTCGCAACCCCATAGCCATACCCCCCGTACCTCCCCCCCTCGCTCCCAAACGCTCTCTCCTTCCCATAGCTCCTGAGTCTCCTCGGCAGCTCGACCCCCCTGAAATACGCGATGCAAATCAACGTTGCGGCACCAGCGCTGCACCCGCAATAAAACAGCGTGCTGAGGTACAAATGCCCGCCGTACCCGGTCCACCCACTCGGCAGCGCCGTGGTGGGGTACCAGCGCACGCTCAGCCGCAGCGGCAGACTGTCGCCGATGACGATGCGCGTGTGCTGCGTGAGCGTATGCACGCTGTATGCTGTTGCTGCTTCTATGGTCCCTGGGGCTAGGGCTAGGGGCGCGGCGTGCAGGAGCACGTTGAGGTTGTTCGCGACGTGGATGTGGGAGGATTGGAGGATGCCGCCTAGTGCGATTATGAGGGGGATGTAGGCTGTGCCGGCGGGGGCGGATGCGTCGACGGCGGCGGAGGGGGAGAAGGTGGAGGAGGAGGATGGCAGGGGGCGCGAGGGGATGCGGCAGGTTAGGGGGGCGTCGTTGTGGACGTAGAATTCGAGGAGGTGGAAGAGCGGGTCGGTGATGAAGTCGATTGTGCAGTTGACGTCTGGGGTCGGGGGGTTAGCTCCTGTGTACTCTGCGCGTGGGGAGTTTGTAGCAGAGAGAGGGAGGTATAGAAGGCATGCCGTACCTTTCTCGACGCCGAAGTAAAGCTCCAGCGGTCTGCCCGTCTCGCTGCACGTCGGAAAGGGTATGTATTGTAGCTCTCCTTGAGCGTTTGTGATCTGTACCGCCAGTACATGTCAGCCATCTTCCTGAGATCGTCACGTCCGTATCGACTGCCTCAATTGCTCTCTGTCGGAGGTTCCATCGGTGCGAATAGGGGGTTTCGCGGAGGTGCCATACATGCTCGCCGGTATCTCTGCGCAGCACGTTAGCAATCAATCCACGCGAGGATTCCCACAGCGCTATTACCTACATCGTCCTATTCAAACAGCTGACTGGTATCGCCTGTCCTAGCTTGTACGCAGTCTTTTCTTGGATGTTCAAAGGTTCTTGGCCCGAGACCGCCGTAGCCAGGGACACGTAAAACGCGGCCAGCGCGGTAAAGGCGAGCCAGGGAAAGAGCGAGAAGCGCCTCATGGCTCAAGGTAGTCGAGAACAAGGAGATGCTCAAGCTTGAAGGAGGCACGTAGTCTGAATTCGTAAAAGCGCGGGCATCACGATGTGGAGGAAAATTCCGCGGAAGCCAAGCTGAACGCAAGCGACGTTTTCTGTTCAGGTGGTCATCGCCGCGAAAGCATCGGTGTCACGTCCTCTCCTTACACACACTGTTCCGAGGCAAAATAGCCATCATGTTCGATCTATGTACTTTTCGGTGCCGTCAAGCCGTCGCATTCGTCTCTCCTACAGTCTGCTCCCAACCGTCTTCCTATCCGCGTCGCTCGCCGGACCCAGTCAGATATCAGCCTTCTTCTTGAACGCACTGATGAGCCCGCTCGTGCTGGCGTCATGCTTCCCCGCCTCGCCACCCTCGTCCAGCTCCGCAAGGATTTTCTTCGCCAGGCTCTTACCGAGCTCGACGCCCCACTGGTCGAAGCTGTTGATGTTCCAGACGGCACCCTCCGTGAAGACCAGGTGCTCGTAGTACGCAATCAGCGCGCCTAGCGTGCCCGGCGTAATCTTATCTGCGAGGATCGAGGTCGTGGGCCGGTTGCCCAGGAAGGTCTTGTGCGGGACCAGCTCATCGGGCGCGCCCTCTGCCTTCACCTCGTCGGGTGTCTTGCCCACCATGAGAGCTTCGGCTTGAGCGAAGAAGTTGGAGGCAAGCATACTAAAAAATCATCAGCGATGCCTTCTTTTTCGAGCGGCAGGAAGGCTTACTTCTGGTGCTTGTTGTTCTCAATCGGGTTGTGGCTCTTGGCCGCAAGGATGAAGTCAGTAGGGATGAGCTTCGTACCCTGGTGAAGGAGCTGGAAGAACGAGTGCTGAGCGTTCGTTGCTGGCTCGCCGAAGAAGACGGCGCCCGTGGTATACTTGACGTAGTCGCCACTTCGGGTGATGGCCTTGCCGTTCGACTCCATGGTGAGTTGTTGCAGGTAAGCAGGGAAGCGGTGCATATACTGGTCAAATCTGCGAACATATCAGCAACGTGATTGGGCCGCTTTACATTCCGCCGTGGACTTACGGCGAGACAAGGTGGGTCTGAGCTCCGAAGAAGTCGGAGTACCAGACGCTTAGAAGACCCGCCAGTACTGGGATGTTCTTCTCCAGCGGCGTCTCCTTGAAGTGTTTGTCCATCGCGTGTGCGCCCGCGAGGAACTCATGGAAGTTGTCAAAGCCAATGTATAGAGCTACGCTCAGGCCGATAGCGCTCCAGACGCTATAGCGGCCGCCGACCCAGTCCGAGAAGCCGAACATGTTCTTCTTGTCGATGCCGAACTTGGTCACCTCCGCCTCGTTCGTGGACAGCGCAACAAAGTGCTTGGCGATGGCAGAATCGTCCTTGACGTGCTCCTGGAACCAGTGCTTGGCAGTGTTGGCATTAGTTGTCGTCTCTGCGGTAGTGAAGGTCTTGGAGGCCACGAGGAAGAGCGTGGTCTCTGGATCCGACTCCTTGAGGGCCTCTGCAATGTGGGTACCGTCAATGTTCGACACGAAATGCATTGTCAGGTCCCGCTTGCCGTAGGCCTTGAGCGCCTCGCAGACCATCACCGGGCCACTGCATAGAGCATTACTTAGCACGGGGAACCATCGGGGCTGTACAGAGCGCAGTAAAGTGGGTGCACTTACAGATCCGAGCCACCGATGCCAATATTGATGATGGTCTTGATCTGCTTCCCGGTGTAGCCCTTCCATTCGCCGCTCCTGACCTGCTCGGAGAACTCCTTCATGTGGTCAAGCACGCTGTTGACCTCCTCAACCACGCTCTTGCCGTCAACCTGCATAGGCTGGTTCGACACGTTGCGCAGCGCGACGTGGTACACAGCCCTCTTCTCGGTGAAGTTGATCTTCTCGCCCGCGAACATGTCATCGCGCAACTGCTCCAGCTTGGCCTCTTTGGCCAGCTGCACGAGCAGGTCCACGGTCTCCTCGGTTATGAAGTTCTTGGAGAAGTCGAACAGAGTTTCCGAGTTGTCCGCCTCATTGTTGAATGTGTAGCTGAACTTCTCGAAGCGCTGGGGATCTTTCTGGAAGTACTCCTTCAGGACAATGTCCTTGCCAAGCTTCTGGTGGTGCTGGGCGAGCTTCTGCCACGCCTCCAAGTCGTTGGCTTGGGCGAAGCCTGGCATTGTGTTGTAGAAGTAGCGGTCGGTGCACGGCGAGCACGGTAGATTAGAAGAGCGAAGCTGGGTTCGATTGCCTTGGCGGAGTCAGTTTGATATCTCCAAGCAATCGACCTGCTGTGTCGGATAGATAGAAGGCAGTAAAGCAGTAAAGCTGGGGGGGACTCACAAATAGATCGCGGCGCAATTTATGTAGACAGAGACTATGTTGAGTGTTGTCGTGAGTGTTGAGAGTGGAAGCGATCCCTATGTCGGCGGAAGCTCTGGCGGGGTTCAAAGGACGGATGGTGGGGCCCTTGGGCGATGAGAATCGACTCCGACGTCACGGGCGGGCTGGGGTCCAAGGGCCAGCAAAGCATCAGCATCAGCATCTCGAACACCACACCACACCACATGTATAGTGCCATGCCTAGAAACACCGCACAGCGGGCTGCTGCATACGAGTGCCATCTGCTAACCTGACGAGAAGGAGCACTCGACGAAGCTATGACGCTTTGCAAGAGCTAGATACAACAGCCCTTCCCGCAAGCCCCCCCCCCCCCCCCCCCCCCATGCAGTCCTCTTCTCTATACGAGTTCCACCTCCTCCCATCCCAAAACGGCCATGCAAAGAGCGAGATTCGTGTGATCCCAAGAAACGCCGCATGCCCATCAACCAGCGTAGAGACCACCCCTATGCCCCCGCCTCGACGCGTGCTTGCTCGTTTCGTTCATCAACTTCGTAAGACCCTGTGCTTGCTTTTGGACCGCCAGCCCCTTTCTCGCCTACCTATCTGACCGAGCCCTCAAACGAGGGGTCCTTGACACTGCCCCCAGCGTCGCCCAGGCCTGCTACGGGTCTGTTGTAAGACCAGCCCGCGAACTGCTGCTGCATCGTCTGGCTCAGCATCGGGCCGTCGACGTAAGAGTCCGTCGGTGCTTCGGAGGTGAATTCGCGGTCGAAGTTTGCCGTGTCCATCTGGTCGACCTGCGTATGGTTAGCTCAGCTCAGCTCAAGTCGTGCGCAGATGATCTCCGGTGACTGTGGCACATACCACGTTCGGCTTAAAGCTCGGCTCGTACTTCCTATCCAGCAGCTTACGCCAGTCGATGCTGTGGAAGAAATAGTGCGCCTTAATTTCCGCGGCGCCGTTTGCACCGAGTCTGCGCTCCGCGTTGCGGTCGAGGAGTTTGGTCAGGATGTCGCGCGCTGCTGGGGGGACGATTTCTGGACCCGGGAAGTGCAGCGGCTCTGTGAGGATCTTGCGGTACATCTCATTCGTGTTCTCATCGTAGAAGGGCGGCAGTCCCGTCAGCATCTCGTACAGGAGGACACCAAGCGTCCACCAGTCGACCGTCTTGGTGTAACCGCCGCCAGTGAGTAGTTCCGGTGCGAGATACTCGGGGGTACCACAGAATGCTGACATACCGTTAGCTGAGACAGAGTCTATAGGTGATAAGGCTTACTGTTCGTTCGATCCTCGTCTTTCATGTCCAGCTTGCAGAGACCGAAGTCACATAATGCGATGTGGCCGGTGTAGTCGAGCAAGATGTTCTCGGGCTTCAGGTCGCGGTAGATGACGTTGAAGCCATGGAGACACTCCAGCGCGCACAGCAGTTCCGCAGCGTAGAAACGTGCGCGATTGATATCGAAGCGTTGTTCCTTCTGCAGATGATGAAAAAGCTCGCCACCGTTGACGAATGCGAGGACGAGGTAGAGCTTTTCAGGAGATTGGAAGGAGAACTTCAGGGGTACAATGAAGGGATTGTTGATCTGTGCCAGCACAGAGCGCTCCGCTAGAGTATGCGCAACTTCAGAGCGCGAGATGATGTGTGCCTTGCGAATGGTTTTGAGTGCGTATATCCGGTGCGTGTCTTTCTTCCTACGGGCCGAGGTTAGCAACGGACTGATTATCGCTCTCTACTCGGTGACCCACTTGACCTGCATGACCTTGCCGAAGCTGCCCTTTCCGACGACCTTCAGCAGCTCAAAGTCCTCGATCTTGAGAGACTTCAGCCGACTCTCAACAAACCTCACACCAACCTGGATAGCGCCAGATCCATACTGAATGTCGATCCATTCAACGCCGCTCTGGCCCAAGTTTCGCCCTTGCTCAGCATGGGCAGCAGCAGCCTTCTCCTTATCTTTTCTGCTCATCTTTGGGTCTTCGACGTACTGCCTGACCTCCTCGAACCTCGGATTCACCTTGCACGTGCCAATGAAGATGTCTTCGCTACGGCCAGCGTTCGGCGACGCGTTCGGGTTGCGGATATAGAGCGACAAGGCGAGGTCTGTCACACGGGAGACATCGAACTTGTACTGCGTGTTGTCCCCCGCCCAGACGGGATTTTGCGGCGTTCCAGACACGGCGTTGATGAAGACCTGCTGCTTGTCGAAGTCCACAAGCGCGTAAGGAAGGTGTTTCGAAGAGTATCGGCCATGCACAGTCGGGGCGGCGTTAATGGCACCTGCCGCAGACTGCGGCCGGCCAGAGCCCATGTAGGAGCCTACGTTGCCAGAGCTTGGCCGCATGGATCCTGCGACAGAGAAGCCGCCGCCTGTTGATAGGGATCCCTGGTGGTGGCCTGATCCCGCAAACGCTGCCTCCGCTCCTGGCGGCAGGGCAAACCCGGATCCTTCATGGAGAGTGACGATCAGGATACCCGGCTTCAATGGCGGCGGTGGAGGAACTGCATTGGCCTCAGAGGCAGCTGGAGAAAATTAGCCAGTGGTCTGTCTGGCGAAAACAGCTCTTCTACCTATGCCATTGGGATCTCTCGAATCCAGGCTAGTTGTGCTGCTGGGCGTGCTCGACTGCTTCGGCTGCTCTGGGACGATGGTGGACGTGGAGGAGGAACGGCTGAAGGTGTTGGCCAGGGGAGCCAGATGGGTCTCCTTCAGTTCTGTGTAAAGTGTTAACGAGGCGCAGATAGCCACTTCCACGTCTCCCGCATACTCTTGGTGAGTTTCCAAGACATGGTGGTTGTCTGGACACGGATTTGGTGGGCTGGTGCGCAAATACGCAATCGGTGTACCGCCCCTCAAAAGGTGGAGAAGGGGCAAGACGTTGGTTGCCGGTCGACAAAGTTCTACGTGTTGACGGAGAGACGTGCACTTGCGGAGACAGCGGAGATAGTGAAGTGTTGAAGGAGTCGTGTTGCGAAGTGGAGCGTGGCGGTAATACAGTGTGGATGAGAGAGGTTCAGTGAGGCAGTGGATGTTACTCTCGCTCGTGTCGTCTGCGGGCTGTTGTGTCCCGCCTTGGGGCTCGGCGTCCGTGGACTGGGGGGAGCCACGGGGGGGAAAACGACACCAAGGCCGCCCGTTGTGCCAAGCTCGGCCTCTAAGGCAACGACACCGCGCACCTCGCACTGCGCAACTGCCACCATCTGCACCACGGGCAAAGGCCGTAATATCCGCATTCACAACAACAACACCACCGCCCTCACACTGCTCTGCACCGACTATTGAGTAGATCTACTACAGACTCACTTTGTGCCTTCACATCTCATCGCTCCCCCCCTCCCCCCCCACACCAACAGACCAGGCCCGCAGCGCCCCATCAGACCTTAGACCCGCGCTCCCCGAACAACCCCCCGCGCATCTTACTCATCCCGTTGCGCCAACTGCCGCTTACGCCCCATGAGGATCTCGAGTAGCGCACTATGGGCGTCATCAAGAAGAAGACTGCAGTGCGCGGGACGGAGGGCGGCGTGAAGTACATTTGCGACGTCTGCTCCGCCGACATCACCTCCACAGTACGTGCCAAGGCGGTCCCTGAGCCGCGCGCATACCACTCCACCGCTGTAAACTGCGCGTGGGATGACCCCTCGCCCCCTCCATACCATGTAAGTCCCAAGTCGCGCTGACGCCATGTCATCCAGGTCCGAGTACGATGCGCCAGCGACACCTGCAAAGAGTACGATCTCTGCGTGTCCTGTTTCGCCGAGGGCAAATCCAGCGGCGACCATGACCCCAAGAACCATTCCTTCTTGGTCAAAGAACAGCACTCGATACCCATCTTTACCGACGACTGGGGCGCCGACGAGGAGCTAGCACTGCTCGAAGGGGCTGAGACATACGGGCTGGGCTCGTGGGGGGACATCGCGGATCATATCGGCGGGTATAGAGACAAAGAGGAGGTTTCTAAGCACTACATCGACACGTACATCACCAGCGCTAAGTTTCCCTTGCCTGAACATGCTAGTCCTTCAGATAAGGAGCTCAGTGAGCGTATACCGCGGGATGAGTTCCAGGCGCGGAAAAAGCGGCGCATCGAGGAGAGGAAGGAGGCGGCCAAGAATGCGGGACCGGCAACGCCCAAAACGAAGCCCACCGCTAGCGTGCCTGCTTGCCATGAGGTCCAGGGGTATATGCCAGGCCGTCTTGAGTTTGAGACGGAGTACTTCAACGAAGCCGAGGAAGCTGTCCAACACATGCAATTCGAGCCCGGGGATGGGATCAACCCACGCACTGGCGAGATGGAGCCCGAGATGGAGCTGAAGATGACGGTGATGGACATATACAACTCTCGCCTGACAGCCCGTGTGGAGCGCAAGAAGATACTGTTCGAGCATCGACTGCTGGAATACAAGAAGAACACCGCCGCCGACAAGAAGCGGACAAAAGAGGAACGTGAGCTATACAACAAGGCGAAACCCTTCGCGCGAATGATGAAGCACGAAGACTTCGAAGAATTCTGCAACGGCATCGCCTACGAGCAAAACCTACGGCAGGCAATAGCGCAACTGCAGGACTGGCGCCAGATGCAGATAAGCGACCTCCGGGCCGGCGAGAAATACGAGCAAGAGAAGCACGCGCGGCTCGCGCGGGGGGCAGCCGTCAACCCCTTCGACCGGCTGGCATCAAGTAGGATCAGCAAGCCGACACCCCCCGTAGACACACCGACCGGCACCTCTTTGCTCACCGCTCCCGAGCTGCAGATCCGCAACCGGACCGGCCTCTCCACGCCTCCGCACTCGGTTTCGCCAATCGACAGAGCGCTTACGAACGGCAGCGCCAACGGCGTCCTGACACCCGCACAGCCGAACAAGCAGGAGTTCGTCTGCCAGCCCGTCGCAGGTATCCCATCGCTCAAGATGAACAACGAGAACGCGGTGGGCTGGCAGCTGCTGAGTCCAGCGGAGCAGAAGCTCTGCATGATGCTGCGGATCCAGCCGAAGCCGTACCTGGTGATGAAGGAGGCGACTCTCGATAGGGCGATACGAGAGGGCGGCGCGCTGAAGAAGACGACGGCGAAGGAGATTTGTAGGATCAATGGCAAGAAGGTGGACCGGTTATATGAGTTTTGGGTTCATAGCGGGTGGATAGAGAAGGCGTAGATGGGGGCGGCAGTGTCTGAGTGTTCTGAGATACCCTGGTGTTAGGGGCTAAGATTACCGGCGTTTGGAGTCGGAACAATTCATCCGGGATACGATCGATCAGATGCGAAGACTCTTGGATGCTAATGTCGGGCCTTGCTTGGCGATGTCAACAAACCGAGACTTGCAAGGCCTGGAAGCCATAGTATGCCTCCCACGGCGGCACTACAGGCAACAGTGTATAGAGCGAGGTTGGCTCTCGTTTTTGATGCTGGTCTTATAGCATTGCGTGAAGAGACTAGGTAGATAATCAGACATCTCACAGGCCAAGCCTAACAGTTTGCAGCGCTCCTCGATCCTACCCCAGACGCCTTTCGAGGGTCTTTACTAATCTTGGGTATTAAACCAACTATGGCGGGGGTTTCGATCGGTCCCAGTGTCAGGTTTCGATTAAGCCAGTGATTCAACGTCTCGCACTACTACCAGGATGCCTATATATTCCCACAGGTACACGATCTTAGACCCAACATCCACCCGCACCTTGTACCCGTCTCTCAGCACGCTGCTCCTCTGCTCCAGCATCGCCGACGAAGCCGACAGTATTGCCATCTTCTTGGCTATAGATAAACCTAAGCAATCGTTGACTAACTACAGCTCCAGCTCCGGATCTGATGCGGCACATCCTCGGCTCCACGTCTTGGCATATGGTATCAAGCTGGACTCGCGAGCGTGACGGTGAGACTCGAAAGCTCCATAATTCTCCGCCAACGAAGCATTCGTTCCTCCAGCCCGCCTAACAATGGTGGCCAGCGGAGCCACCATGGCACCCCTCTCGTGCCGCCTCGCAGCAGCCGGCCGAGTCAGTCGCCAATGGCAGACCAAAACTCTACGCCATCCCATCCGGCCCACCGCAGCGCAAACCGTTCCTCCCAGATTCCTCGGCCACCGCTTTGCCTCCAACACCACCACCAGCACCAGCAGCAGCACCACCACCACCACTACAGAGACCGCCGCCACCGACGCCCGCTCCCTCGTCACCCGCCTCAAAAACCTCCTCTTCGGCTCCTCCATCGCCCTCTTCCTCACCTTCAGCTACCTCTACTTCACGGATACCCGCGCAGGCATCCACAAATGGTTTGCCGTACCGATGATACGGTATCTATACCCGGACGGCGAAGACGCACATCATGCTGGAACCAAAATCCTCAAGGTACTACACAGCTTCGGCATGCACCCGCGCGAGCGCGGGAACCCGGATGGCGCGGGAGATCTGAGGGTCGAGGTGTTTGGCCATGCGCTGGACAACCCGATCGGCACCTCGGGGGGACTGGACAAGGATGCTGAGATCCCCAGCCCGTTGCTTGCGCTCGGGCCGGCGGTTGTGGAGGTCGGCGGGACGACGCCGCTGCCGCAAGAGGGGAACCCCAAGCCCCGCGTTTGGAGAATTCCGAGCCAGAATGCGATGATTAATCGGTATGGGCTCAATTCAGAGGGGGCAGACACGGTGGCCATGAGGTTACGGCAACGGGTCAGGGAGTTTGCGTATAGGATTGGGTTGGGACTTGACGAGGAGGCGGAGAGGATGGTGCTGGATGGCGAGGCGGGCGTGCCGCCGGGGAGCTTGGTGGAGGGGAAGCTGTTGGCCGTGCAGGTCGCGAAGAACAAGACGACGCCGGACCAGGATATTGAGGCTGTTAAGAGGGACTACACTTTCTGCGTTGATCGGCTGGCGAAGTACGCGGATATTGTCGTGGTCAACGTCTCTAGTCCGAACACGCCAGGCCTGAGGACGCTGCAAAGCGTAGAGCCGCTCACGCAAATCCTAACGGGAGTTGTCGAGGCGGCGAAGTCAATTGAAAGAAAAACCAAGCCCGCTGTCATGGTCAAAGTCAGCCCCGACGAAGACACCGACGACCAGATCGCCGGCATCTGCGAAGCCGTCTGGAACTCAGGCGTGGACGGCATCATTGTCGGCAACACCACCAAGAAAAGACCAGACCCGTTGCCCAAAGGCTTCGTCTTGCCGCCGAAAGAGGCAAGCGCGATAGCTGAGCAGGGTGGGTACTCCGGCCCGCAGATGTTCGATAGGACGTTGGCGCTCGTGAAGCGGTACCGCCGATTACTTGATGAAGGCCCGGCAAAAGGCGGTCTGGAGAAATCGCTCGCTCCCAAAATCATCTTCGCTAGCGGTGGTATCGTGAACGGCAGGCAGGCGATTGAGATCCTGAATGCTGGCGCAAGCATTGCGATGGTTTATACAGCAATTACATATGGTGGAGTTGGCACGATCAGCAGGTACGTAGACACGACGAACACCTTCTACGCGTTACTCAGGGTTGCTGATCTTCTTCTCTACAGGATAAAAGAAGAGATGCGAGACGTGATACGATAACGATGAATATGTATATACCCACAAGACAATGCACATATATTGCTGCTTCGACGTAAAATTCAGCTTCTCCATGCCATGAAGCATTCCACGGTTGATCTAGGCATTCTTCTGGGGTCTCGATACATTGAGAACTCCGCCTTCATCGTCCCGGATTAGAAGCTTTTCCCCCTTCGTCAACCCATCAGGTAAATCATCGCGCCTGCGCTTGGCTCTGGCGGTTTAACATATCACGATCCAAGTCTCATGCAGCTCGTTCATGGGCAGGGCACGCAACTCCCACGGCTGGCAAGAGGAGGGCTAACACCGCAAAATCACGGCGTTATTGTCGTCGAGCTTGGGCTGAGCGGGGCATTGATCACGTCCTGTCGTTGCTCGCAAGCACCCGCGCTTCGCTAACAGCGCGCACGTTGGTTTCCTGCAGAGGTCGTGTGCGTTGTGTGTTCTACGGGAATTTGTTTCAGGAAATGTTTGCGTTCTCGAGGGTTTCCTTGCCTGAACTGTCAGAAGGGAAGCATTTAGGAGAGGGGTTGGTGCACGCAGTGACCTATTACTTATTGGAGGGAGCGAGAGCGTGGTGCCGTTGCTGGCAACTTAGAAGAGTAGAAGGTATACTGAGTTTTGCGCTGGAAAAGGCGAAGACGCCCTTCTCTCACCGATATCCAGCAAAGATTCATTTCTCCAATAAAGGTGCAACCGATGGGGTTTGATATCCTTAGCCGGAGCTTCGCTGGCTCTGATACTAAGCGTTATCAACAGCACCGTTATCGTCATCCAGCATGGTCAGCCAATATGGATCCCAACGACAAACCTTCCTAGAGCCAAGTCTGTTATCTCAAAGGCTTTAACCTAAGGCTAGTGTCACGTGATTCCTCACCGTGGGGCCGTGTGTAATCGATTGATTTAATCTTCGTTTCATAGACACGTTTACTTCTGGATTACCTGCACTGTTGTAGCTCCTAGCTGGATGTCCTGAGTTGCAGACTATTTTACTTCGTGACTTGTCACGTGCGTATATAGAGCCTTGGCCACAGGAAGTTGCCAGGCAGTGCCATGGCATTTGCGGAAGCCCATGGACGTAAACAACCTTGAAATACTCGTAACCGGACGTCGTTGGTTGCATGGGACGTCACAATGATTCAGTCAGAGCATGACGATGCCACTGTCTTTCAACCGGACTTCCAAGGTTTGCTTCCAGGTCTTGTCATCAACTGCCATTAGAGCAATCCGGCACCCACCGGACTCGACCCCCCGATCCACGGTTAACCTCACCCAGCGGAAGGCGAAGCACAGCGGCTAGCCAAGCCGGCTTCCAAAGCATGCAGAACCAGCTGCCAGACTCGCCAGGCGGCTTTTTGTTCCAGCGAGAGGGCGTCGCTTTTGCACACAAGCACTAGACGAGGCTGGAGGCTGTGCAGTTCTCCCCCACCCAGCTGGCGCCGAAGCGAAAGCGGGAGAAGGCGAAGAAGACGTCCAGGCGGTTCGTGGCGTTGGAGAGAGCGGGGTGAGACGCTGTCGATAAGAGGCTTGGCTGCCACGCTGCAGTAGCGGCTGTCCTTGTCGTCCCATCACAGTGAGAGGTTGGGCCAAACCACGATCAACGACCAGCGCGGTCGTCAAAACCTCCGGCGACCGTCCGTGGCGATGGGCAGCGGGCGACCTGTTTGAGTAGCGTGCCTGATCTGATCTGATCTCTCTTGCCCTGTTGTTGTCTTCCGCCGTCTATTTGAAGACTACGACACCTCCCCCCCCCCCACACGCCGCCCGAGGCCTGTTCCAAGGTTCCTGTTTTGCTCTTTCTGTTCTTTGGCAGCTGCCATTCCGCAGCGCTGTGCGCTCTCCTCCTTCCGCTGCCCGCCCTACCTCGGCCCCTTCTCCTCACCTGCGTCTTCTCTGGCTTCTTCATCGTGCTTCCAGCCTCTCGTGCAATCTTCTTGTCTCTATCTATGAGACGCCATTCCCCCCTCTGCGCACGCGACATCCCGCAACAATGACCTGCAACATCACCTCGACCCCCGTAATCCCCGAGCCCCTCCCCCTCTACCGCCGCGACCCCGACAGCATCTCGGTCCGCTCCTCAGCACCCTCCTACGTCTCCGAAGCCCCTACCTACACCTCCCGACGGACCTCGATCCCCCTCGTCGCATCGGCAACCTATGGCGCCTCCTCCCTGGTCGAATGCTCCTCCATCACGGAAAGAGGCCCAGGCCTGCCCCCCGTCCGCTACGCGCCGGGCTTCCAATCCCGCGCCCACGGCAGCATGAAGGATATTGAGAACCACAACTATAACATCAGCCACTGGAGCAGCATCCATACCAGCCAGCAGCACCGCCAGTACCAGAACGTCGCGCGCCGCCGCGCGAGCAAGGCGGATGCGAACTCCATCCTGCTCAGCATGACGAGCTCGGGGGGTTCTGGCTCTGGGCCCTCCGCTCCCGCCGCGGGGGCGAGCCAGGCGTTTTCGTCGTCGGCGACCACGCCCCCGCGCGAGGGGACACCGCCGCGCGAGCAAAGCAATGACATCCAGGCGGTCGAGATCGACATCACGCCCGTGAGCCCGATGGAGGATCCGTATCTTGTGGGCGAGAACGCGGCAAGGAAGGCGCGCGCGAGCAGGATTTATAGGGAGATGTGTCTCAAGGGCGACATGGCGATCAGGCATGAGGGCAAGACGTGGGATTTTATGCTCGCGCAGATGGCGGATTGGGAGGAGCGGGAGCGGAGCTGGGGGATTTTCAGGAATAGGGTTGAGAATGGGAAGAGGTTTGGGAAGTTGGCGAGGCGGGTAGGGTTGTGAGGGGTGCTGCTTGAAGGGGGTTGACGTTGCATGACGAGGATGAGGCGGAGTGTAGGATGGAAGGCTTCGTGCGGTGGCTAAAGGGGGGCGAGACGACTTATGACGGAGTAACGTGGAGGAGCTGGTTCTCTTTCAACTTTCCTTGCATATTTTACGCTCGGGTTCTTCGGGTTAGACGGATTCAGTAGGCTAGGAATCCGGAGACTTTGGGGTCCCCCGGTCTGGCGTGCTAGGCGGGATCTCCCAGGAAACCACGACTTCGTTTCCTGGTGAGACGGTCTGGGTCTTCTCCACTTCGGCGTTGTGGCTCTGTGTTACCTTCACGGTTGCCGAAGAGCAGTGTTTTTTGGGCACAGCTCGAGGAAACTGTTCTCCATAGCGATGGATCAAACGTGCTTCAACGGGATAGCGTTCGGCAGTATCCCAGTGGCGATCAAGTGAGTTCGTGGCCTTCTTGTTGAATGTGAAACATCCAGCTGCTAGCATCTGCCAATCTGGCTAACCCTCCAGCCGATCTTGAGCCCCTCTGTCTTTTCAACACGGGTGGTGCAGGTACTGAGAAGTAACGTATAGACCATGAATGACATGGAAGTCCAAGGTTACTGGTGTGCAGTCGATTGGAGAGCATCAGAAAGCATATGGAGCGGTCTTGCCTGTGATTAGGAAAGCGCATCATGCTGTTGCAGCCTACCTTCCGTTGTTACTGGCTTAGGCCATGACCTTCACTCTGTCAAGACGGCTGCCTGCAGCATGACGGGCATCTACACCACAATTCGAGAAGCGCGTTGAGGAGGCTTCGTTACGCTTCGTTACGCTTCGTTACGCTTCGTTACGCTTCTTTACCACGCGCAGACGGCTCCCATCCTGAACGTTGTCGGAGATCGGACGCTCGGCTGTCCTCCGCTTTCGCTGCCCGCCATCTCGGCCAAGCAATGAAGTGGCGCCGGTTTCGCTGACAACAACCCCCACAACTGCGACATCGGCGGACCCTTTGGACATCAGAAACTGTTTTACTTGAGCCTGTCCGGCGTCTTCAAGCGGCGATATCGTCTTGCACCCCTACTCATATCTCTAGAAACCCTCTCTCACACTACAGCGTCGCCTCTCCCTAACTCGCATCGTTCTTCTTCAGCTTGCCAACATGCCTGGAGCGGTCAAAGGCCCGCGCACCCTCTACGATAAGGTCTTGCAAGACCACATAGTAGAGGAGAAGGAAGATGGCACCATCCTGCTGTATATCGGTGCGCCTGCCTCGATGCTGGTAGCGGACCTTCTACTAATCCTTCTCACAGACAGACATCTTGTCCACGAAGTCACGTCTCCCGTAAGTTGCCCCGCTACAAAGTATATGCGGCCTCCACGCGCCTCGGATCATTCGAGAACGCTGGGACTACTCGATTGGGGTTACAAGCCAGGAGCTAAGGGCTTTATGAGGGGAACCACGGACAAAAACAAGAGACCTCGGCGTGTCCAAGGCATACTGGACGCTGCGCTTTCACTGCGAAAACTTTACTTCCAACAGCGGACGCTGACATAGTCCATAGCAAGCCTTCGAAGGGCTCAAGAACGCGAAGCGGAAAGTGCGCAGGCCAGACTGCACTCTCGCGACTACAGACCATGTACGTTACTGCCATTGCGTCCGCTCCAAGTACCTGCTGCTAAAATTACCGCCAGAATGTTCCCACAACCCCCCGCAAGAATTTCAAAAACGTCGAACAATTCGTAGAAGAGGCCGACTCGCGACTACAATGCATGACTCTCGAAGACAACGTCAAGGACTTCGGTCTCACATACTTCGGCATGGGCGACGCGCGGCAAGGCATCGTACACATTATCGGACCGGAGCAGGGCTTCACGCTTCCAGGCACGACGGTCGTGTGCGGCGACAGCCACACCTCCACACACGGCGCTTTCGGCGCATTGGCTTTTGGTATCGGGACTAGCGAGGTGGAACACGTTCTCGCGACGCAGACTCTGATCACGCAGAGGAGTAAGAATATGCGTGTGCAGGTGGACGGAGAGCTTGCGCCCGGTGTGAGCAGTAAAGATATCATCCTGCACGTAATCGGGAAAATCGGTACCGCGGGAGGTACCGGCGCTGTAATTGAATTCTGTGGCTCCGCCATTCGGGCTCTCAGCATGGAGGCGCGGATGTCGATTTGCAACATGTCGATTGAGGGCGGAGCAAGAGCTGGCATGGTTGCACCGGATCAGACGACATTCGAGTACCTGAAAGGGAAGCCCTTAGCACCAAAGGTCGACAGCCCGATGTGGAAGAAGGCTGTAGCGTATTGGTCGACGCTCAAGTCTGATGAGGGTGCGAGCTACGACACCGAAGTCTTTATAGATGCCAAAGACATCGCACCCACAGTGTCATGGGGCACCTCTCCACAAGACGTTGTACCGATCACTGGTGTTGTGCCGGGTCCCGACGACTTCCAGGACGAGGCAAGACAACGAGCATGCGTCAAATCGCTTGAGTACATGGGTCTCGAAGCTGGCACACCAATGCAGGACATCGTGCTCGACAAGATCTTCATCGGCTCCTGCACCAACGCCCGAATCGAAGATCTGCGCTCCGCAGCGCGCGTCGTAAAAGGCAAGAAGATAGCACCGAATCTCAAGCGCGCAATGGTCGTGCCCGGCTCTGGCCTTGTAAAGAAACAAGCCGAATCCGAAGGCCTCGACAAGATCTTCGTTGACGCTGGCTTCGAATGGCGGGAAGCAGGCTGCTCGATGTGCCTAGGCATGAACCCTGACATCCTCTCACCAAAGGAGCGTTGCGCCAGCACCTCGAACCGCAACTTCGAAGGCCGACAAGGCGCCGGCGGCCGCACCCATCTCATGTCCCCCGTCATGGCCGCCGCCTGCGCCCTCGTCGGCAAGCTCGCCGACGTGCGCAAAATCGCCGACTGCAAAGGCTCCGCACAAGCCAAATCCGCGCCAAAAGTCGAGCTGGACCCGCAAGTCGACGACCCGGAAAGCGACTCCGACCTCATCGAGATCATGGACCTGGACGAGAAGTCGCAGGGCAACACGGTCCCCTCCAAAGCGCCCGCCTCCTCGGCCGGCATGCCCAAATTCACACAGCTGAAGGGCATAGCCGCGCCTATGGAAGTCTCGAATATTGACACCGACGCCATCATCCCGAAGCAGTTCCTCAAGACCATCAAGCGGTCTGGTCTGGGCTCCGCGCTCTTCCACGCCTGGCGCTTCGACTCGGAGACGGGCGAAGAAATCCCGGATTTCGTGCTCAACAAGGAGCCCTACCGGCACGCCAAGATTCTCGTCTGCACTGGCCCGAACTTCGGGTGCGGCAGCTCGCGCGAACACGCGCCGTGGGCGCTGCTCGACTTCGGCATCACGTGCATCATCGCGCCGAGCTTCGGCGACATCTTCTTCAACAACACCTTCAAGAACGGCATGCTGCCCGTGCGCATCACCGACTCAGCCGCGCTGGCTCGGATAGCAGATGAGGCGAAGGCCGGGCGGGAGATCGAGGTTGATCTCGAAGCGCAAACCATCAAGGATGCCGAGGGCAAGGGGCTCGCGACGTTTGAGGTAGAGAGCTTCAGGAGGCATTGTTTGGTTAATGGCCTCGATGATATTGGGCTTACGATGCAGATGGAGGATAAGATCAGGAGGTTTGAGGAGAGGAGGACCAGGGATACGCCGTGGTTGGATGGGAGCGGGTATTTGAAAAGGAAGGGGCCGACGAAGGTTGAGGCTGCGCCGGTGCCGAAGACGAACAGGGGGGAGGTTAAGGAGGAGCCGCTTGAGTGGTGAGGATGGGAGTTTGCATGGTTGGGATACGAATTTGCATGGTGGATTTTTGCAATGTCATGTTAGGAATTTTAAGTTTTGCCCACGCGCAATCGTAGCGGCACGCAATGTAAATAGATTGAAGAGACTGGTTACTGCTGGTTTCTAACTATATCTACAATTGTATCCAACGACAAAATGCCTGCTGTACAGGACGTCAGACCCGAGCCATCCAAATCATAAACCACGGATATCTAGGCAATCTAGCACCAACGCGCTACTCTCCGTTAAATAATAATATGGCATATAGACTTGGAAGTGGATAGTTCAGGAGCGAAGCCTCCACGATATGAAAGCTGCTGATGTAAGTGTGCGTATTGCGGCTCAGCCGAAGGATCCGAACACGACGGCCTTACCAGAGGTGTTGTCCATCTGGATGAGAGACTTCTCGAGGCTGAGGAGTAGATGTGACGTCCGAACGAGAAGTTCTACCATATGGTCAGCCCACACGCACTTGCAGGTATTCCTCAAGAATCCGACGATCCTACCTTCATACTCAATCTCATACGTTACAGCAACCTCCTCGTCCATCCTAAGCAGCACCGGCCCCTCCCTCCTAAACACCCTCTCCCTAACCCTGAATCTCAGTCCAACGTTCTCCCCCGGCTTCACCCACAGAATCCCCTCCTTCTCCACCCGCACCTCCACCACCCCATCATCCCTCTGCTTCCCCTTCGCCCCCAACATCTCCTTCCCACCCGCACAAGCCCTCTCCCCCAACCACCCCCTCCAAACCCGAACAACCCCCTCCTCAACCTCAACAAAGCACCTGAAAAGCCCATTCCGCGGCCCGACCCTCACAAGATGGATCTGCGCGCACAGCTGCGTGAACAGCTCATGCGAGTCTAGCGACACGAGCTGGCGCACGAGCTCCTCGGCCGAGCTGCCGTCGCCCGTCTTGCGGTGCCGCGCTTGTGAGGCGGAGGATGAGGGATGCGTGCGGGAGCCGGGAATGTCGCCTGCGGGATGCCGACGGGTTGAGAGGGCGGGGGAGCGATGGTGCGGGCGGAATGTTGAGTAGAGGCTGCGCATTGTGGCGAGGGGGGTGGTGAGGGGGCCGTTGCTGCTGCTGCTGCTGCCGCCGCCGCCGCCGCCGAGGCCTTCATTGCTGCTGCCGGGGGAAAGGCAGGCCTCAGGCACATCATCGAGGCCGGGCGTCCCGAGGTAGGTGCAGAAGAGAGGCGGCTCGGTGAGTTTGGCGCTTGGGTGGTAGCATTCTAGCAGCAGGGTGTGGTCGTGTAGGTTTGCGGCTAGGAGCAGCCGATTGTGCAGGATGCGCAGGATTAGGGCGTGGATCCGGTGCGAGAGGGTGGTTAGGGCGAGGAGGTCGAGGGTTGGGAAGGGGGTTAGGATGTGGAGGAGGAGCTGGGGTGGTGTTAGTATGGGGTGCTGGGGTTAAGGATCCGGGAGAGTGTGTGGTGGAATTGGGAGAGATGCACCTCGTTTGGGAGGTCGTAGAGACCTGTGCGTTGCGCTACATCTGGCATTGTACGTATGATTGAGGATAGGAAGGGGATTTCTAAAGCGGTCGGGCGGGCAGATGTAAAGAGTGGTGATGGACGGCTTGGTGTTGAGCTACGTAACTTACTAACTTACCTTAGATGCCGGTTTCGGCAGAGGTATCTAATCTAATCTGATATAATCTAATCTGATATAATCTAATCTAGTCGATAAGTCAGCCTCACGTGCTTAATCGAACGACGCGTCTCCAACGCGCTATCATCCTTCTTCCGTTGGTGAGCGCTGAGAACAGAACCGTTCGTCTGTCTTGCGGGATGAAGGCTTTCGCGCAGCGGAGCGGCCGGACAGGCAGCCCGGCGCCTCAATCCCAAATTCCTAATATGTCGGCAACTCGACGGCAGCAAGCTGCTCAGAATGCAAGAGTCCAGCTGCCACGGACAATCCCTGATGCTCGTAACACTCGTCAACAGGGAGCTCAAAGCGGGTCAATGGCACCGCCGCCCAGGCCTGTTGCAGTAAAGCGAGAGCATGTAGAAGATACCGTCTACAACGGCGATGTTCCTGGTGACAACTTCGATACTGACTTCGAGGGCTATGATGGGAACACGACTATCAGTGAGGTGCAGGTTGAAGACAGTCAAGTCGTACCCTATCAGAATGAAGGGCAGGAGGATGAGGATGAGGATGAAGGTGAAGAGTCAGGAAGCGAAGAAGAAGGAGAAGAAGAAGGCGCGGTGGAGGGACATGATCAGAATCCGGCCGTCCCGCAAAATATGCAAGGTGTGATGGCTTTGTTCAGCCAGCACATGCACGCTGCTCAGAAAGGCGGCTTGAATACCGGGCATATCAATCCGTTTGCCCCCCAGAATGTCTTCGAGGCCCACAACAACTCATATCCCACCACTACATCCGGCCGTTTGGACGATGAGGAGACTGTCAATGGTGCCGATCAAGTCGTGCAAATTTCCTCGGATACGAATGCAGAAGAAGAGGAAACTTCTCCGTCACCTCCGACACAACAGCAGCCGCAAATGTGGCGGCCGGTGGCAGTTCAACAAGCCTTTCCTACGAACGCCCACTTCAGACAGCCGCAGCAACCGCCGAGCTCACTAAGGCAACCACCCGTGTTCCAACAAGCCGCAGCTTTACGGCAGCAGACCCGCCCACAGCCGACCATACCTGTCCGTGGAGTTCCGGCTCAAGCTGCGCTCACCAGGCCACGAACTGCGCAAGCAGCAGCTCAGGATGCCACTCAACCACCTGCCAGCCAGCCGCCTACGTATAGCCAGGTCCAGCGCGAGAGCCAACAACATGTGCACTTTACTCCACCGCCTGCGGAGCGGCTGACTCCTGCACCATCCACCGGCGAGCAGGCAGCCCTTCAGGATGTAAACGGCCACGCTGCACAGCCTCAGCAGACCGAGGCCCAGCCAATGGCTACCCAGCAGGAGCAGGAAGGACCTCCATTCGACTACGACACTCCAGTGCTGTATAACATGGCGTACGCAGACCTCCAGGCCGAATCATTTGACTACAACCCCCGAGCCCCTGACCCCGTCCTCCCGCCCGAGAAAGTCGCTGCTCCACTCCCAGAGCGCCTTGCGCACGCCCATAGCCAGCTGACGCCACCGCAACAGCAGCAGTTCTTTGCATCCCTGAACATCGATGAATGGGAAGATGCAGGCGATTGGTTCCTCGAGCAGTTTGGTGGCCTCATCAAGAAGATGAAGGAGTTGAGGCGTGAGAAGAGGAAGCTAGCTGGCAGGTTGGAAGATGAGGTTGCCGAACGGGATGATCAGATTACGAGGAAGAAACAGCGGTTGAATGGGGAGATGGAGGGTATGAAAAGCCAGGGGCAGGGCTTGTTGAGGACACCGAACAAGAAGCGGTGATATCACTCATGCGGAATTGCTAACGCCTTGCGCAATCATGCGATCTATGGGGAGGGCCTGGACGGACTGTACATTGCTCGGCGTCTGCTACTTGCCAACGGGGTTTGATGTCTAAGACTGTCACGTTTCACTGGGGTTCGCATTTTGCTCGAGAGCGAAGAGTCTGTTGCATAAGTCGTTTGACTTTTGCTTTGCATTGCTGGCGTCCTATACCCCTTGTACGTTCGTAGAGACATCTACGCATGTTTGCTATGTTGCAAATCTTCTACTAGCGATTGTTCACAGCTCATCTATCTACCTATCCGCGCTTCGATTGTCACCCAAAGCCTCCCTCCTTAGGTGAAGAATGCGGGCGCTAGTAATGGTTTACCTTGCCAATTCACGATTCCAACGCTTGTGAAAGCTCTCTCATGATATATCATGATGGCATATACCCTGCCGAAACGCCAGTACATGAGATTCTTCTCTTGAGGTTCTGCTATCCTCATGGCCGTCGTGCCGGCTTGTAATGTTGTGCATTGAGGTAGCCGGACAAAGCTGCACTGAACTGAGGACACGCGCCAAGCCCGCGTTCTTCGACCTCAGGCTCGCGTCCGCCAGCTTGACTTGACCTTCATGGTTTGGCATACCAAACCTCCACCACCCGCGCATCACCGCCGCAATGGCAACAACAGAAGCAGAAGACCCGCTCGCCAACCTCAGACAAGCCATAACGGCTGAAGTCCTCCCCATCCCCACCACCACCGCCGACGCAACCAAAGCGACCGACGCCGAACCCAACCTCGCAAAAGCCACCCACCTCCAGTTCAACCACAACGACCAGCACCGCTCCTTTCCCCTATCAACACCAACCCGCTTCCTCTCAAACGGCAACCCCGTCGATCTCCGCTCCGTCTTCCTCGCCTACCAGAACAAGAACACCGCCATCCCGGACTACCTTGCCGCGACCCAGAAGCTGAATGAAGAGCTCTCAGCACCCGGGGGGCTGGGCGGGAGGGTGCAGAACCTGGTCTTCATCGAGAAGCTGGACCTGATCCAGTGGCTAGAGGGCCAGTCCGACGAGAGCGAGAACGTCAAGCCGTTGGCTGGCGAAGCTGCGGTCGCTGCTGCACAGGCCGGAGGCGCTGCAGATATTGCGAGCGGCAATGTGGGAGGTATAGCGACTGTGCCGAGTGCAGGCGCCGCAGCTCGAGGACCGAAACAGGCGGATCCAAGGCTGGTGGAGATCTACAACGGCGAGCGGCGGCTGGGGGATAGCAACAGCATTCTTCGAGGCATCAAGCCTACGGTATGTTCTCCCATCATCGAATCCTACCCTCGAGTAGCACACTAACCCCACGCCCCACGCAGGACTTCTCCCACGTCCGCAAACACGCCGAAGCCTTCCTCTCCCGCACGCGCCCCCGCCCCTCCGGTCCCACCGTCCCTGCCAGCAGCAGCAGCGCCCCAAACCCCGCGCTCGTCTCGAACCTCAAGAAGCCCGTCACACGGCCCGGCCGCCGCATTGAGCCCATAATCCTTTTGTCCCCCTCCGCATCCTCGCTTCTTCGCATGAGCAACATAAAGTCCTTCCTCGTTGACGGTCTCTACGTGCCTCCGGACTCCTCCTCGGCCTCTGCCAACCTGCTCCACATCACCAGACTACTACCGAGCATTGATCCCAACCGACCGCTGCGGTTTATCATCGTAGACGGCACGGAGCAGTTCAAGCCGGATTACTGGGACCGCGTTGTTGCGGTGTTTACGACTGGACAGACGTGGCAGTTCAAGAGCTACAAGTGGACGCAGCCGGCCGAATTGTTTAGCCACGCGCTGGGCATCTATGTTGGGTGGCGCGGGGAGGATGTGCCGGGCGTGGTGAAGGGGTGGGGCAGGGGCGTGGTCGCGGCGCAGATCGATAAGTGGAGCGGTGCGCAGGGCACGAGTATGCGGTGGCGGGACAGGGAGGTTGTGGAGGGGCTTTGGGGGGCGATTGAGGAGGGGATGAGGGCGAGGGGGTGGGGGAAGGATGGGCCGCGGTGAGAGTGGAGAGGCTGTGAGGAAGCTTGGGCGTTTCGCAAGGTCAGAGGGCTTTTCATTTCTGGCGTCAGATGGCATACCAGACACTTATGGCGTTTGGGGCGCTCGTGGAGGATGTGGGCCGTTGTTAAGAGCGCTTATTTCAACTAGGCCGATACCCACAAAGATTTGCCGGTCGTTTTTTCGAATGGCTAAGGGATGCAGAGCCGTCTTCGCGTATCATAGTGGATTCTCGCTTTGGAAAGGCAATCTTATGTTGCTGGTTCCTGAGGCTGTCTCTGGTCTATCAATGATCGCTAAGCCACTTCATAACCGCAGCGGTAATCTCAACAACCCTGTATACTCCTATCCAACTCCCCTATCCATGAACCCTCCCTCACCCACTGTCCCACCCAAACAGCATAAAGCGGATAAACACAACAACACTCCTGGCCGGCCAACTAACCCTCCAAGCAGCCTCCCTAACCGCATCAACAACGTGCAAAAAACATAACAGAAGGTAGAATGCCAGTAGCGCCTTTACCACCGTGGCGGCGTGCCTCCTCACGTCTCCAAAGAAATCAAGTTCACACGAGGAGGCGGGATCCGGTGGGGAGGTGGGAGAGGTTGGTATGGGATTGGATGTGACGGCTTCGGTGGCAGTGGTAATACTAGTAATGGTGGCGGCCATAGCCCGCCGTCCCGCTATCACAGCCGCTTCGGCGGAAGGCGAGACGATAGGGCCGGTAAACAGAGGCGTCCGCGTCCGCTTGCTCATCGGTGCAGCAATCGTAGTCGCAGGAGCAGGAGCAGGTACAGGAGAAGCAGCATCAGAAGCAGGCGCCGTCGCCGCCACGGTAGCACCTCTCCGCGCGCCAGCGCCGCGCAGCCGGACGTCCACCGCAGCCGGTTGCGGCGCTTGCGTTGAGGCGAGGATTGCGCCGGCCGGAATAGCGGCGGAGGAGACGGGAGGGACGGCTGTACCGCTGGGCCCGGTAAACCATGAGGGTTTCGACGAATGATGGCATGGTGGCGGTGGAGACGTGGTTCTAGGTGAGGGGACTGGTTTTCGGGGTACGATGGCCACTCGGACTGACGGGTTGCGGTCGGCGGCTGGGGCTTGAGGCTGTGCGGCGTCGAGCTCTGCAAGGGCGATAGACGGGACGGGGTCCGGGGGGAGGGCGCCGGGCATGGTACTTATAATGTGTTCGATTAAGGAGACGCGGCGGGTCTCGACGGCTGGCACTATGAGTCAGTAGGTCTCCGGAGCATATGGCAAAACTCTGTGGTGTTCCTCTTGACAGGTCTACGGGAGCGGCTTATCCAAGCCTGGTACAACCTCAAGACAGTGAAAGTTGGTATAATACGTACTCGCTTGGCTCAGCCTAGCTCTGCGTGCATAGTGCTCGTACGCCGCTACCTGCTCCGCCATCTTCCCTTCAAGCACGGGAGGCTCCCGAGACTCGTTCAAGGCTGGTGTAACGATGGCGAAGCGATCTGAGTGGAAGCTCTCCTGGCTGGAGTTGGACTGGCCCTCTCTAGAAGCCTTGACGGCAGGCGACGGACTTCTTTCCACGTAGTACCATCCCTCCTTGTTCGCTCGCCAGCGATGCTTCTGCCTCGATCTTCTCGCCTCGCCGTAGGCCGCTGGTACCCGTAGCGCCAAAGCAGCACCCGGCGACTCCGGTGTCGGCATGTCTGTTACCTCCAACGTGCTGCTATTCGCGCTAACGACCTCAGGCGTAATCAGCCCAGTCTTCGGATTCGGGTTCCGCTCAGTCAAGTAATCGTCCGTATGGCGCATACGCCTGCCCGGGCTCTCCTCGAGCGGATGAATATAAGCTCGCTGCGTCGATATCGATGGTCTGCGTCCGAGTCTCCTGCGTACTGAGCGTTTGAAGAAGTCTCGTTTCCGGGGGCTGTCCGGAGTAGTAATGTGGATGACTGGTATGACGGCATCGGCTTCGCCCTCGTCCGGCATCGTCGTGTGTGGCTGGGTGGAGTGGGAGCGGTAGGAGGCGTTGGAATGGGAGTTGCATTCCAGAGAGCTGCGCGCTTCGAATAGGGCGATTGCCGCGGAGCGGATCGCGCCTTCTACAGCTGGTGCTCCTGGGGACCTCATGATGTCAAACATAGCGAAGATGCTGAGATAGTATGCCCGCAGGATGTACCTTACAACGCATCGCTGCGATGACTACGTTGTCCTCAAGGACCACAAACACCTATTGTTCGAGTTACGATATGCTTCAGCATCAAGGGTGCCTTTTTTTCTGGTGGAGGCTGGGAGGAATGTGGGATGGACGCAAGCGGCATCCCAAGCCACTTCTGCACTAAACGGCCAAGCTTTGCACCTCGCGCAGAGCCAGTGAGAAAGGACAATCACTTACGCTCATTGGCCCTTCTCCTCATAAGAAAGACTGTAGTAGAAATAAGCGGAAGGCTAGGTATTTTAAGGTGCTGGAGATCCGGTCTATATGCGACCACGGCCATATTATGAGCAAGACCTGGGAGAAAAAGATCGAAAGAAACGTGAGAGCAAAGGAGGTTGGCTTGTAACCTTCCGTGGTATACGCTTGAGGAAAGGCGTGTTAAAGGGTTCCCTTCAGCCATCTAGCTCTCTCGTGCGAGTAGCCAGTTCAGTAATGTTCGTTCGTAGCAACGCCTGGCTTCGAAGATCGGAAGCAACCCCCAGATCTGCAATAACTCCAGAGATTACGGGCTATGCAACAGAGAGTCGCAAAGCAAGCCACCCAAGCAGATAACCGGTGAACGCCTAGCAACCGTACATGAGCAGATCTATGTCTAAGTGCAAGAGTGCGCCTGCTGCAACTGTTATTGCGCAGCAAATGAATAGACTCTTCGCCCCCTACCAATCGAAACCTGCCTACTGCTCCTGCGAAGCATCAATCTCAGCATACTCAAGCCATTGGTTGTTGACGGCCCGCTTCCAAGTCTTGATGGTGCCGTCATCGCCAGTCGACACTAGAAGGTCTCCTGTGAATTTGCGGGTCAGTCTTGATTCGACGCCACGAAAGCAAATTCTTCGGCTACTCACCCATCTGAGAGAAGCTCAGTCGCCAGACAGCACCATGATGCTTAGTCAATTCCGCAACCAGCTTCACGACATGTTTGATCCGCCCGGGGTTCTTTTCGTTCTCCTGCGCACCCTCCTTTGCTCGCGAAGCACCAGCCAACCCGGCACCAATTCCCGACGGCGCAGACTTGCCAGCGCGAACTCGCGGCGAGACAGTGGCCTCCGACGCCGAAGAAGAGCCCGGTGCGCTTTCGCCCGCTTCAGCAGCCTGGGCCGGTTGCGGCGTATGCAGTTCGTATATGCGGATCGCGCCGTCCTTGCTGGCGGTCGCGACGACGTCGAAGCCACGCATCGAGCCATTGGCCCATGCAACATCGCGAACGAGGTCACGGGCGCCCTTCAATTCGACTGCTTCGTAGAATCGCCGATCTTTGGTGTCCTGGCGGTAGATCTTGACGACGTCCATGGCGGCCACGGCCAGGGAGAGTGCTTTGCGGTCCAGCCCAGCCATGATGGCTTTCCAGCACGGCAGCTTCTCGCGGTGGAAGCAGACTCTGAAGCTGGTTTCTTCCTGACGGGACGGCGTGGGGCAGACGTAGGTTTCAACCATGGCTTTCCATTCGGAGAAACTGTCTTGGTCGACGGGCTCGTACACTGAGAGGTAGCCGTCGCGGGTGATGAGCGCGAGGTAGGTCTCGTGCATTATGTTCTTGAAGTCCAGGGACATGAAGGGGACTTTGGTCTCGGAAGGAAGCGAGTAGATGCGCTTGAAGCGGAGGCCTGAGTTTGGTGGCTCGGTGGGGTCTTCTTCCCAGAGATTGAACCTGCCGTCTTCGCCAATGCTCCCGAGGACCTCTCCCATGAAGGGTCCGTTCCATTTGACCTGGTTTGTTGCGTCAGTAAGGATCCAGCGGTAGTGCGAGGATTAGCTATAGCACATTCATCATGCATTGAAGCACGATGTGGGTTCACCAGGTAACCCTGTGGACGGCCATATTTCACAAGACAAAGTTTGCGAACGAGACACGGCGGGACGTTAAGCAGCCTGTAACGCAATGCTCGCGGCTTGGATCCAGTGACTTACATCGACGATTTCAGCGTCATGGCCTTTCCAGGTGTCGACAAGCGACCAAGTGTCGTCCTTTCTGTCCCAGACCTTCAGTCGGTGATCAGATGAAGCCGTGACCATGCGCGTGCCATAGAAGTTAAAGTCCACTGCAAGAACGAGATCTTGATGACCATGGGAGAAGGTCTGGAAGCCGCGCTCTGCCGCCATCCTGGTCCAAGCCCGGCAACAGCAAAGAAAGAAACTCTCGAGCTCGTCGAGTGAGCGAGGCAGTCCTCCGAGAAGGGGTTGACCTAGCCCATCATAGTGATCTCCAGTCAGCACTGAGGTAGCAGGCGTGAAAACTGGCCGGCGCCGTTGCGAGCCAGCTGGCTTCGGGTTGACGTCGAAGCTTAGCGGAGCGGCAAGGTTCCTGCTTCTGGCTGGGTGAAGCTCTGTCGGAGACGCAGGGCCTTCTGAAGTTGCTTGCGAAGGCAGACGACTCGCACTGATGTTCTTCAGGAAGTGAGGTTTCTGAAGCCGTTTGGTCACGGCGTTCAGGCTGCTCTGAATTGGATCCACGTTCTCCATGTTGGGTTTAGCGCCCCATGGTCGGCGCCATCTTTTGGACACGTCTTTTCAGAGTCTCAGAGTCTCTCTGTATGAAGCTCTTGGTGGACGTCGTCGTCAGGAAATCATGTCCGGCCGCTTGAGCAGGACGGAGACATGGACTCTGCTGTCTTTGTCCGCGGCGTGCTTTGCAGTCCTTGTGAACACATTTCAGGGCGACGGTGAGCCGCTCATTGCATCACTCGTTTTTAGCGGAATTGCCTTCTCCTTCACTTATGCTCTAATACGATGGCTGGGCGACACCTTCATTCGAGCTGGTCTCAAGGGCAGAGACATGTGCAAGACGAGAAATGGGGAGATGTAGGTACCCTCGTTCAACTGCGGCGACAAAACCATGCTTACCTGCCATTAGCCCGGAGACCATGGGCGCTGTTTGTGCAGTGGTGTACCTGCTCGCAATAATCATTTTCATACCATTTCCGTTCTACAAAGACATCGTAGCAGCAACATCCGGGGGAGGGAATAGAGACCTAGTCCTGGAGGTCGAGCATGTAGAAACTGGACGCTTTCTCCACAGATTCCCCCATAGCAAGGTATGCATATAAACCTTCCGCTACCGCTATTTGAGGCTTATCCCTCGTCACAGCTCGCATCTTACCTTTCAGCCATCATCACTCTCCAAGCAATCGTCCTGCTTGGCATAGGCGACGATCTCTTCGACATCCGCTGGCGCCACAAACTCTTCATCCCCGCCTTCGCCTCGATCCCCATGCTAACCGTGTATTTCGTCGACTTCGGGGTGACCCGGATCGTGATCCCCACGCCTCTGCGCCCCTACCTGGGCGAGCTCTTCGACCTCGGCTGGCTCTACTACGCCTACATGGCTGCAATCTCCATGTTCTGCCCCAACAGCATCAACATCCTCGCGGGGATCAATGGCATCGAAGTCTCCCAGTCCATAGTCATAGCACTGCTCATCGCGCTAAACGACTGCTTGTACATCTTGCAGCCGAACCAAACCCCGCCGCACCCGGCGTTGGACTCCCATCTCTTCTCGCTCTACCTACTTCTCCCTTTCATCGGCGTCTCCCTCGCGCTGTGGTACCACAACTGGTACCCAGCGAAGGTCTTCGTGGGAGACACGTACTGCTACTTCGCGGGCATGGTTTTCGCTGTCGTCGGCATATTGGGCCATTTCAGCAAGACGTTGCTGCTGCTGTTCATACCGCAGATCCTCAACTTCCTTTACTCGGCGCCGCAGCTCTTTCACCTCGTGCCATGCCCACGGCATCGGTTACCGCGCTTTAACGCCCGCACAGGGCTGCTGGAGCCCTCGGTCGCGGAGTTCCAGCGGCCACTTTGGAGGCCGGTGGCGACTGTTATGAAGCTGCTGCATAAGCTGCGGTTGTTAAGGATAAAGACGGACGAGAAGGGCGAGGTTGTGGAGTCGACAAACTTCACCATTATCAACCTTTGGCTGGTGATGTTCGGCCCGATGCGGGAAGACCGGTTAGCCATGGGTTTGCTGGCGTTTCAGACGGCATGCGGGTTGGCCGGGTTATTTGTTAGGCACAAGCTTGCGCTCTGGGTGTTTACGCAGGATAATCTGTAAACTGGTGTACGTGTAAGAGCATTGTGCGTGTAGATTTAGTATAGAGATCGAAATCTGGGGAGCTGGGATACGGCTGTGCTCATTGTTAGATTTCCGGGTTGCCATTCGTAGTCTGCCGTGATCGTCCAATAGCCAGAGGGGTTCTGTATGGGAGTCTTGGTAGTGATTAAGGAGACTCTGCTCAGCACTGGTCGGGCGCTGCAACGAGGGCGACGGCGTGTTGGCCAGAAGCTGCTGCAAAAGAGAACTTCTCCAAAATATTACCTGATGAGAAAGTTAAACTCAGAGGCCTTGATTTACGAGCCCAGTAACCCCTTCCGACGGTTGATGACGACCACAGCAGATTAGCCACCTGTCGCTCTGTATCGCTAGCTGATAGCAGATGGCGGAAGCGGAGGTGGCTCTGAAGCTTCTTACGCCATACACGGCTTTGTTCGAATGTTGATGAAGCTCCACCGTCACATCCAGTCTGCCACGGTTGGAAATGGAAGAGGGAGCGATAGTAACTGCAGAACGCGAAGTCACACCTACAGTGCAGTACCGTGCGAGCAGACTCGGTACAAGAGAACAACTCGGGCATGCGGAGGCCTCCCTGATGGAATCAAGGATGATGCCGGAGATGCGGATTGCAGCTGCAGGACAACGCTTAGGGTCATGGTATTCGGCATGAGTGAAGCATCGACATCTTGCAGGGGCTAGCGTTCAGCCGCACGAGCTCCAAACACATGGTCGACAGTTCGCAGCGGGGAAGCTCAGGGGAAGTCGAGAAGTCGAGGATAAAGATAGAACAGCCTTGCGGGCGCAGCTGAAGAGGCCTCGGCTGGGGCTCTGCTCCGTAGCGTGCTCGTCTTCCTTTGTGGCTGATGATGGTGGAGATGAAGCCATGGGTGACTGCTAAGCGACTTCATTCCAAGCTTGGTACGGAGTGTTGCCATCGTGCTCGCCAGAGTAACGATGGGTGCAGGGCGCTAGAGAGTGACAGGCGCCGCGACGGACGCAGGGAGGACTGCCAACCACAGACAAGTGCTTCCTGGCACCCTAAGCAACCGTGGATGGTGACTGAAAAGGCGGCAGCTGCGGCGTCGCGTCGTCCGGCACTCCCGATGCTGTTGCCCTGAAATGCAGAACGAGTGCTCCGTAGAGGTGGTTCATTTCCACCCAAAGCCCCTCTGTGGTTGGCGGGTCCACGCGATGAAGTGCTAAGTCAAGGCGTCCTTCAGCCAGCCTCGAGCAAGGCCAGGCCTTCAAGGGCAAAGCGTCAGGAACCGGCACGCGGATCGCGCATCTCCCGCCCGTGGATGCCAGTGATGGGCCTTGGCAGGATCCTCCATCACAACCACCGCCGCTCATCTCTTGGACACACCCCGTGTCCCCCTGCAGCCCGGAGTCTCCAAATGCTCCGCTTAGGCAACTGCTATCTATTGTGGCTTGCGCAGAATGGATTGGTAACCTCGCGCGGAGAGCTCGGGACTGCCTGATCGCGCTCGCCCAACCATGATATGATTCGCACTACGCTTCTAACCCAGGCGTCGGCTCAGAAGCCACCGTTCTTAGCTTCGAGATTCCAAAGCACTGGACGCCATCGCCCGGAAGAGTGAAGCCGCAAGGGCAGCTCTCACGCTGCTCAGGGCGCTAAGGCATTGCTGTCGAGTGCACGAGTAAGCCTAGGTCCCCGCAATCAGGCCCAGTGCAAAAGACACTCGCTCTAGCTTGCCCTATCGGGCTGATGGGCCCAGGGGGCGGCTGTCGCCATCTGCAAATAGTCTATCAATATGAGCTGAGGATGAGGGCTTGCCAAATCTCCATGGCGTCTAGCCGTCGACGCCGGATTGTGGAAGGCTTTAGCCTTGTTGCTGTACGGCTCAGCACAAGGGGGCTTCACAACAACGAGATTATATAAGGGCAATGGTACGTCCCTTGCTGTATCTACTCAGACACTCGCAGTTCATTCGCTCAGTCCCAACCACCACACTCGCTCGCAATCTTTTTCAGCTTCCTATATCTAATTGTCTTTACTTGACATCATCTTCAAAATGCGCGCAGCTCTCCTCACTGCCGCCCTCCTGGGCCTCGCGGCCGCGGCCCCTCGCCCTCAAGGCATCGACTTCGGCTCCTTTGATGCTGCCGAGGAACCAGAAGTTCAAGGCCCGCCAGCCGGAGCAACCACCGATGTGATTCCCATTGATAAGGAGGAGCTTGTCGAGGAGCTCACTACCCTCCGGGTGAAGCGTGAAGTTGCAGACGTTTGCAAGCTCTTCACCGAGCCGGCAGGAAGTGGCCCTAAACCCGACACCGACACTCCTCTGGCTTTCCTTGCGTGGAAAGAGTTCAGCGATGCCGCGATGCAGGCCGCCACTGATCATCCAGGGCCACTCTACAAGTCGACTTTCGCCAACAGGGACGGTAGCACCCATCAGAACGGTTATCTGGGACTCCATACCATATCAGCGTACGACCCCAAGATATGCGAGGCGAAATGTAACGAGAAGGAGGGCTGCGTATCGTTCAACCTTTTCTTCGAGCGTAATCCGATGTACAAGCCCACGCCGGAATGCCCGAACCCGCCTTCACACACAAACATCAAGTGCACGCTCTGGGGCTTCCCCATTGCCGGTGGCAGTGCCGTCAATAGGGGTGAAACCCGTCAAGAGTTCAAAGTTGTGATCGCAGGAAGCAACGGTAATTGAGCCCCCGGGCGCCCAAGAAGTCCATAACTGACATCATTCACAGGTTGGACCAAGCAAGCCTCAGCCAACCCCATCAACAAGTTCACCGGCCCCGTCGCTCTCCCCGGCGCTATCAACGAGCCCTCAGGCGCCAAGTCCTACATCCGGACCCAGACGTTCAAGACCTCCGGCTACTTCATGCCCGAGCTGTGCGCTTCCGGCTGCGAAACCATGACCGCGTACAACAGCCGCCACCGCAAGCCCGACGGCACCTACGTACCCTGCAACTTCTTCAACGCCTACGTCCTCACCACCAACGGTGTTGGCGAGGCCACCGTCTGCGCGTACTACACCAAGGAGTGGAGCAGCGAGTATGCTGTTAACAAGGGCCAGTGGAGGGGTGCGGACTTCTATGGCGTTACCAACTCGTTCAGCTATGCGCTGACGACTCCCGATCTCGGCGGCAAGGCCGCTACTGTGCCGCCGGCGCTGTAGTCGGGATAGTATCGACGTCTTCTCCAGCTAACTTTGAATTTGCGGAGCACTGGGCGGTGTTGGTGTGGGGTGGATGGGGGGAAGAGCATTTGATGTTTTGGGGTTATTGGTTGTTTGCATCGTGCGCCATTTGACGCGGCATCTTATAATGGTAATAACGGTATTAGAAGGTAACAGAATAAGTTCAGGTTTTTGGACAAAAATGTTCGATTGTGCCGTTTTCGAGCAAGATCGCAAGGCCCTCGCATCTCGAGTTCATCTTCAAATCGATATGTAGCGTGCCTCGCCTTGCCATTCCATTCACACATAGTAATTTCATCATGCCTGATCCCATAGGTTTGCAATCAACCTAGAGATTGGCCCGCGCAACGCGTCCGTAGCTAAAGCTCCACCGACGTCGTATGCATCTTCTTTCGAGTTCGCAGCACTGGAGCTCCGTTACCGCGTCCGGATTGGGGGTTACAACGGGACGGTGGTACGATCACGTGATGTCTACAGCACATCACCTAATATACTCTGTGTTGTCGATCAATGAAGGCTTAGGCTTGATACGCTTACATAGTTATGTAGTATCCCACCACGTCCAGACAACATGTATATAAGAACACTACAATGCGAGAGTGTTCTCGGTGTGTACGGATAGATTGCGAGCACTCTTTACCCCTATGCCACGTGACAACAACACGGCTTTCTCAGGGGCTTCACAGCAGCTGGCTTTCACAGACGGTCCGAATTTAACCGAACTATGTGCAGGTCTGAAGACATCTGACAATGAGAAACATTTAGAAAGCCCTTCTTAGCGATGGCTCGTTTCAGACTAAAAGTATCCCAAGTTGGGTTTGTGTGGTCTGCTCCTTCCACATCGCAGTGGGACAACCCATCAACACGTGTAACCAGGGTGGCCAGCTCGTTATGATCTACCCAAGTCGCTGAGGAGTAGGCATTGTTCGAGGGAGTACTCAGGGATAGGCATCTCATAACGTAAGTCCAGGTTTAAAGATGTGAGATGTTCCATTTTTGGATTCTCGCTCGTCCTCGTCCCCGCACCGTTTCACGAAACGAAGAGCCGCAATCTCGATTTGATTAAGGTACCGACGCCGCGTTCCACACCCTTGAATATCAAGCTTTACAGCACCTGCCGCTTTTCTCGTCGTGGCCACTCTCGTCGAATCTTATTGGAGGATGAGGACGCTGGCGTCGCTTCGGGCCGCATTACCGGCTTTCCTCCCCGCCTTTCACCCCATAATAACTCCAAAACAAGTCCCAACACCCGGCAGTCAATGCAGTCGATCAAGACCTAGACATGGCCGAATGACCTCAGTCACGTTTCACTACACGAGAACAGCCTGCAATATGCGGTTGTTGCAGATGTCGCTCCCTTCCAGACAGGTTTGCTGGGCAAGTGATATATATATATATATATCCATGTAGTAGCTTCCAACACAGTGGTCTTCTATCCACATTCCCTTCCAGCTTCAGCTCAGGCACACCCATAACTCTCCTTTGCCGGTTCTCGTTTGACCACAGTCTTTCAATATGCACAGCTCACTCATCACCGTTTTCCTGGCTTTCGCCGCCCTCCCTCTCGCTACTGCTGCCCCTACCGCCGAGGCAGAGCTCGTTGGCGTGTTCCGTCGCGCCACAGGCTGCACCATCAACAGCGGGCAGAAGGGCGAATGCGTAGCTACTGCTACTTGTAGAGGCGCTGGCGGCAGGTCTGAGGCAGGGTGAGATGGTCCCAAGTAGCGGTCTCGCTATTCCGTTCGGGCTTGTTCTGACGTCCTTGGTATGTAGGCACTGTCCAGGCGCAGCGGACATCCAGGTAAGCCATCTTGTAGAGCTATGGAGGACAACTAGTTGTTGACTTTTGATTTAGTGCTGCACGTACGGCGCTTGCACCGCTGGCGGAAAGGCGGGGCTCTGCCAGCCATCTGAAACTTGCACCGGCACTAGGTATGTGCTGTTTCGATCGTTTGGAGCTTGTTATATACAGGACGTGGCTAACAATTTCCTCTCCGCCGCAGAACCGCAGGGTAAATCCATACTCTCAACCCCCTCATCCCGAATAATCTAACGATACCACGAAGCCTCTGCCCCGGCGCTGCCAACATTCAATGCTGCACCGCTGGCACCACAGGAACCTGCGGTCCCCCTGACGTCAACGCCGCAACAGTCGCCCTGATCAAAGAATTCGAAGGCTTCGTCAGGTCGCCCGCACCAGACCCGATCGGCCTGCCCACTGTTGGCTTCGGCCATTTGTGCAAGACGGCGGGCTGCGCGGAGGTGCCGTATAAGTTCCCCTTGACTGAGGCACAGGCTGCTGCGCTGCTGCAGACGGATTTGAAGGTACGCTCGGCTTTCACATCCTCTCCTTTCCAACTCCTAATCCTACGCCCGCCCTGCCCTGCTCTTCCCCGAGTCACATGCAGTATCGCGGCAAAGAGCAGGCTGACTTTCCCCCAGACCTACGAAAAATGCCTCGCAGACAAAGTCGCCGATTCCGTCCGCCTAAACGACAACCAGTACGGCGCACTCGTCTCCTGGACCTTCAACGTTGGGTGCGGCAACATGGGCTCTTCTACACTTGTGCGACGTCTCAATGCAGGCGAGGCTCCGAACACGGTAGCGGCGCAGGAGCTGCCGAAGTGGAATAAGGCTGGTGGCAATGTGCTTGCGGGACTGACGAGACGGAGGGCCGCGGAGGTTAGGCTGTTCCAGACGGCGAGTGGAACCCAGGCGCTGCCGTCGAGGTGCTGAGGGGTGGGATGGATAGAGTGAGGGAGAGAGGGGAGTTTAGGTCGTTGGGAGAGGAGAGAACGGATCGCGCGTGTTTGAGGAACATTCAAATAAATTTACTAAAATACACTCTTCCAGGATTGAGAACAGCGATGTCAGCCTCATAGGCCACGGGCACATTATGATCTGCACCTCCCTGGCTCCATGCCGGTGAATACCTGGGTGATTTTGTAGATGGCTTCCTTGTATTGCGAGGCCTTGTAATTGCCTAGAATGCCCTAGAAGCACTTTCTTCAACCGATACTCAGAATAAGACATGCCCTAGTAGATACTTAAACTGCCTATCCACCTAGTTCACCTATCGCTATATCTACATCAAAAGATAGTCCCGCTGCCGGAAAGACCCCTCCCCATTTCTCTAGCCCAGCCTCGCACAGCAAAAACCGCGTCGGCAAAAGCCCGTCCGTGCCCCGATCGTCATGGCTCACATCGCCGAACAGCTCAAGCAAAAGGGCAACGAGCATTTCAAGAAGGGCGAATGGCAGGAGGCAGAGGCATGTTACAGCCAGGCGATCCAGAAGAACAGCAGCAATCCGCTCCTCTACACCAACCGGGCGAACGCGCGGCTGAAGCTGGAGCTATGGCAGGAGGTCATCGACGACTGCTTGAGGAGTATCGATCTGATGAGGGATAATATGAAGGCGTACTTTTATTTGGGTAGGCGGGTTGTTTACTTGATTTCATGAAGGAGCAAGGTCTAAGCACTATTCAACAGGTGGGGGATCTTGCTGCTATCAAGCCGCTGCAACGCTTAACACACCCTATATTCCGTCTCTCGTGCCCTTCGCATTGTGAGCATGCGCTGACTCTGGATCCTCTAGCACAGGCACAGCTCGCCATCAACCACCCAAATGAAGCTCTCACCTCCGCCCTCACCGCCTACGAAATGTGCGTCAACTCCAAGGGCCAAACCTCCTCCGCAGCCACAATTTCGCAAGTCGTCCTGCGCAGCAAAAAAGCAAAATGGGAAGCCCGCGAACGCGAGCGCCTGCGCAAGCAAAGCGCGCTGCTAGGCGAACTCGAAGATAGCCTCGAGCGATCTAAGAAGGCTGATCTGGCGGACATTGACGAGCGGGCAAGCCAAGGGGAGTTAGGCGCCGTGGCGGCGGAAGAGGAGCGCGCGGCTGTTGTTGAGGCTGCGGAGAGGAAAGTCGAGGAGTTGAGGAACACGTTTGCATTGGCGGATCCGAAGAACGTGGGGAAGAGGGAGGTACCGGATTATTTGGTGGATAACATCACGTTTGAGATCATGCATGACCGTGTGTTGAGGCTTCCTCCCCTCGTGCTCCGTTTTGTTACGGGTTGGTGATCAGGCTAACTCGGTATACAGCTGTCATCACCAAGAACGGGAACTCCTACGAACGCGCCACCATCATCGAGCATCTCAAGCGGAGCCCCACAGACCCTTTGACGCGCGAGTCGCTTACTATTGACGAGCTCCGGCCGAACATTGCGTTGAGGCAGGCTTGCACAGAGCTGTTTGAGCAACATCGAGGGTGGGTTTACGATTGGTAACCTTTGAAGAAGTGTCTTGTTCACGGATGCCAGGGGCGGCGTCTTACCTGAATACCCCTTCCTGTGTAATTGAGCACCTTAGTCAAGGCTCGACAGAGGGACGAGTTTGCTCATCCCCTCGCTCAAGAGTTATGCGGATGATGGGCAATCTTGTCTTGTGTTGACCCTTTGGCGTTTATACGCGGACGTGGTGGAGGGGACATGCGTTGCTGGGGCGCACAACAGTCCTCCGGCAATACCTCGACCAGCCCTGTGAGTAGCAAGATGAAATATAGTGCAGTGCCTAGTAGCAATATGCGTGCACTTCAACGAAAACCGCATTGTTGACCCCTTCGTCGTGTTGAACCCCAGTAAACCCCTGAGTTGAACCCCCAGGACAGCGGGGATCTTCGGAAGCGTTGCGGAAGCGTTGAGCGGATCTTGGAAAACATGTGATTGCGTCACGGAAGCCGCGCCTCGTGATGCCCCGCCAAAACCCTGAACTCGAGACAACACGTCAACGACAACAACATCAGCGTCGACAAACAGCACCCAAGACACAAACACCAAGAACCCGTAGACGACGATAGAAGGATATTTCAGATTCCGTCATCATGACCATCGCACAATCCCCCGCATTCAAGAAGGCCGCTGAGGAGGTGAAGAACCTGAAGGCGACGCCTAGCCAGGATGAGATGCTAGAGGTACGACCGCACCAGCAGTCCCGGACACCTCTTTCCATACAGAGGATGGGAAGTCTGGGAGTTCGGTTGTGGAAACACTGACATTCTTGTTCTAGCTCTACGGCCTCTACAAACAAGGCACCCAAGACCCGGCCTTCGACAAGGCCACCGCACCGGGCATGTTCGACTTGAAGGTGCGTAATTTCCCCCACCCCTAAAACCTCTCAGCCCCCATATACCACGTCGCTCCGTCCTTGAAACGCTAGGATACAGTAGCAAGCATCTCAAGGAGAATGTGGTTAACTGACGCTTTTGGTGATGCGCAGGGCAAAGCAAAGTACAACGCATGGAAGAAGGTCGCCGACGCTGGCACCAAGCCTGCGGATGCGCAGAAGCAGTATGTTGAGGTTGTCAATAAGCTGAAGGCGAAGCATGGGACGAAGTAGGTGCCTTTGGGTAGTGGGATGGTTGAGATGGGTCGGGCTGGCGCAGCGGGTGCGGCGGCGGTTATTTGTGAGCTGCCTTGAGATAGCATCCTCTTTCTTATTTTGATACTCGTGTCGACGGATATATGGGTATGGTTGAGAGTGAATAGAGATCAGAGCTAGAGGCTATGAGTATATGATCCCTTCCGCTTTCAGTTCTGCCTTTGGAAACGATGCGCCCATTCCAGCACGTCGTATCTGCACTGAGAGTACAGGCTTACTGTGTAAACATCCACCTCAAGCTTCTCTGTCGTCAGGCCGATCATTTTATATCCAAGAAATCGATATCAAACTGCTTCGTCAAGCGGCTGGACTTCCTCAGCTTCTCTGTCTGGTTACCCAAGCTGGCTTTAGTTTTAGTAGTTAGGGCAACTACAAGCAGCCTCTTGTGGATTCAATCCAAGCCCTGAATGACTATAATTTCCCCAGCCTTCGCCTGTGATCTCTCCGATCTCAGCTTCGGCCTCGCTAGATCCGGCTCGAACTGCGGATTGCCAGTGTCCTCTCCCAATACATCAAGTCTCAAGACTACAGGAAGCCTCCGGATATCTACAACTTTGCACAATTCGCTAACAAGCACTCTCTCCTGTGATCCACACGTTCTCTCGCATGCCTCTACGGTGTCTAGCCCCTATTGAATGATCGTGTCTCTGCTCACTGTGCCATCCGAGCTTGCGCCTTAATGTTAATTATGTCCTTAAAAAGCGGCCTCGCAAGAAAAGCAGCCGTCCTTAGGTTCACCCTCTTCGTTAGTAGCTGTTGGAGCGTTTCGTAAAAACTTAGGGTATGTCGAAGCATATCATACTTTCCTGTGAAGGCGACTGCACGGCGGGACAGGGGTGTCTCTCCTTTGTCCGGAGGCTTTTCCAGGTGAGGGCTGTGGTGCTGAGAGCCTCCCCGCGGGGCTCCCCTCCTAAATCACCACCACTTGACGCCAAACATCTTCCCCGGCGCCTTCTTCTCTCCGGCGACAGCATCAGCTCTTTCGAGATAGATGCGCGATTTGCCTGCTCCGAGTCAGTTTTCCCTCCGCCAAAGGTCCTACACTCCAAACACACCCTTCGGATCCAGCCACAGCTCCCTATACTGCCACTCCCCTTCCCCAGCCCTCCGCCGCATCCGCACATGCACCCTCCCCTCTCCCTTTGGCCCCACGACGTTAAACTGCATTGACAGCTCCTCGTTCCCCTGTCCATCCTTCACCACCCGACTCGGAATGGCGCGATTCCTAGTCCACCGGTTCCAACTCCCATCTCCGAACGCGCGGATCTTCCGCGGATTGCCCAGGGCATCCACACACCGGCCATCGTTCTTGATGCGCTCGACCACCCGGTTGAAATGGCTGACTTTGGAGCTGCTGCTGAAGACGTCGCTCCAGAGGACGCTGGCCACGAAGCCCGTAGCCACGACCCCGACAATAACAACCAGGAAGTTGAAGGATTGCTGCGTCGTTCGTGCTGCTTTTTCGCGGCGGGAGAGGTCCGTCCACCGTACACGTCCGTCGTCGCTGGTTATGGTTATGGACTTTCGCGAGGAGGGGTTGGGTGGGGGGGTGCTGGTGCTGGTGTGGGTTGCGTAGGTGCTGCGGAGAAGGGGTGCGGGATGGCGGCTGACAAGAGGAAGGGTTGGGAGGAAGGATGGGCGGGAGAGGGATGAGAGGAAGGAATTTGTTGCCTTGTGGAGGGGGAGCATGGTGGTGGGTGTTGTGGAGGTGCTCTTTGGTTCGTAGAGGGAGAGCTTACAGTAGGTTCTCCGCAATTTCAGTGCTCGGAGGTTTGACGAAACTCCGCAGAGGCTCGTGCGCGGGAACGCCGCGGCTTTGTGGCGCTTTCAACGGGAGTTCGTCAGGACAGCGCATCACCACGAGGGAATACTAGTGCACAACGCAGGACCATAGCAGGAATCATACGAACCCATTATCGGTCCGAAGTACCTGGGGCTTTGTATACTGGGTGTGCCATACCGAAACTATGGGGGAGTCAGCGAGGAAACTCCACCTCCTGCAAGACCTCCTAGTCGCCGCCGCAGCAGTACGTTGCTTCCTGCGCCAACACGCTGATCCACTAGCCTCAGAACTAACACGTCTATGTACAGCCCATCCTCGCATACTTCCTCTTCCGCCAGATCCTCTCCCGCTTCGACCCCGACGCGCCGCAGAAAGAAGAAGCCCGCTCAAAAGCCGACGCCGCATCCCGCAAGCTCGAAGGGATATTAGCCAGCAAAGAGAGCATAGACGATGACGATTTTGAGGACGACGACCGGTGGCGGCGGCCGCGGAAGGAGGACTTGGTGCTCACGCCGTACGAGCAGACGATAGCGATGGAGGTCGTCGCGCCGGACGAGATACCCGTGTCATTCGAAGGTAACCCCTTCCTCCCCCGGGACCCCGCAATCCAATCGCTATGAACGCTCGCGATACAGCCAAAGCCACACCTCCCAGCTAACACCCCTCACCTAGACATCGGCGGCCTCAGCACCATAATTGAAGAGCTAAAAGAATCCGTAATCTACCCCCTCACCCTCCCACACCTCTACTCCTCCCACTCCTCCCTCCTCTCCGCCCCCTCCGGTGTCCTCCTCTATGGCCCCCCCGGCTGCGGCAAAACTATGCTCGCCAAAGCCCTGGCCCATGAATCCGGCGCCTGCTTCATAAACCTGCACATCAGCACGCTCACCGAGAAGTGGTACGGCGACTCCAACAAGCTGGTGGCCGCCGTCTTCAGCCTCGCGCGCAAGCTGCAGCCCGCGATTGTGTTCATCGACGAGATCGACGCTGTCCTTGGGACGAGGAGGAGTGGCGAGCACGAGGCGAGCGGCATGGTAAAGGCGGAGTTCATGACGCACTGGGACGGGCTCAGCAGCGCGAACCGCGCGGGTACGCCCCAGCGCATCTGCATCCTCGGCGCCACGAACCGCATCCAGGACATCGACGAGGCGATCCTGCGACGGCTGCCTAAGAAATTCGCCGTCGGTTTACCGGCCGCGAGGGCACGAATGCACCTCTTCAACCTGATTCTCAAGAACACGAAAATCGATAGGGAGCGCTTTGATCTCGACTACCTCGTCCGCGTCTCCGCGGGCATGAGCGGGAGTGATATCAAGGAGGCGTGTCGGGACGCCGCGATGGGGCCGGTGCGGGAGCTTATTCGGAATAAGAAGGCGAGGGGGGAGGCGATGCGTGCGGTTGACGCGAAGGAGGTTAGGGGATTAAGGACGGAAGATTTTTTTGGGCGGAAAGGGGGGGTGAGGCAGATGCGCGAACCGGATGACGTGCCGGCGGATGTGCAGGAGGTGGATGGGGATAGGGATGGGGATAGTGGGGGGAGGAGCAGTGGAGAGGGGAGTAGTGCGAGCGAGGAGGAATTCGTCGAGTCGAGCGCGCGATAATCATGTTTGGATCAGGCGATTGGTGTAAAGTAGAGGGGGGGTTCATACAGCGGGCTACACATCGTGCGGTGCATGGGTGGCGTAGGTAGTCTGCGGGACCTGTGTATAGATTGGGAGATGTCGGAATAATCTCCTCTAATGACACCAGCTATCAATATCGAGGACTCCTTCCGCGCTTAAGAGGCTCATCGCGGTTGCTGTGAGGTGCGGGCTGAGTTTATTCTTTCTAAAGGAGAGAATTGAGGCATTTTGCGTGCCGCGTGGAGCAGGGCAGCCCGACACTATTTGCGCAAGGGTTTCAAGCTGGTAATCGATCAAATTGCTACCTAGGTATGTGCTTTCACGAGGTGCGCATGTCTCACGTCGACCAGGGGGTTCTGCAATACACAGGGTTCTGCAAGATCTAACGCGATAAGACTGGGGTCTTGACTTGTCGAGCAAAGCGCTTGTCTGGGCAAGAATGTGACCGGCGCACCAAAACAGAGGGCCTAGGTTTTGCAGAACCCCCTGGTCGACGTTATGGGGCGCGCGGTGTTGCGCCGGAGCGGGTTGACGGGTCGGGCCGATCCGCCGAGCCGTGCGGCAGCGCCTTGACAATACAAGGGTCTCCCAGTGCGGGCTGGCCACGCTCCCTCAGCTCGGGTAGAATTGAGGTAGAGCGTACACGAGATGTCAGACGCACAAACAACTCGTACTATAAGGTGTCATGGTAGATAGGGCTGGGAAGGTTCGAACGTCTAACATTACCTATAACCCGCGTCGCAAGAAGCTTTTGCAAGTCGTGAGTTCGAGGTAGAAGGACAAAGTGGCACGCGATATGAATATCCCGGCTGCACCCTGCTACGCCTAGTCTTCGCAGCCAGACTCCGAGGCCCTACGTTCAAGATTGCCTTGGAATAGCAAGAGCAACATAGACAAACGGATCTTGCTATTGCTAATGGTCTTAGAGCCTACACTCTTTCCTCACACATAACTCAAGTGATCGATTATAAACCCATAAGGAGATCTCGACCTAGTAGTACTAAAACACGCGATGAGATGAAAAAATTTACATGGTATCCAACATCACAATAGACAAAAACCGTTAGTCGCGCCGAACTTCCCAGTTAACATCCTTCCGAATAATCATCTCCTGCGAATTATCACTCATGACGCTAGCATCCTCCCGCTGGACGCCATTACAAGCCACGTCAGCAGAATAGCACGCACGTTCCGGGCGCAGACGCATCTTCCCATCCAGACCCGATGAATTGGAACTTAGCTGTTTGCCCCCCCATCCACTTCGTTGACCACTGCCCATGCTGGGGGTGGCTGCCGACGACCCGATGATGGCCTCAGATGTGTATCCCATACCGCCAGTGTTAAAGCCTTGAAGGAAAGGCTTTAGAGTGGGGATGGTTACAGCAGCGAGGGAATATGCGATAACGACCTGCTGCCAGACAATCGGGGTGGAGAACTTTGTGCCGGTGTTGCGGTGGTTCGCGGGGTCGGAATACGCGGTAAGATGTGCGATAAAGAAGCCCGCGGCACTACACAGGGTTAGCGTGTACAAACAAGTGCAGGGAGTTGAAGGCGGTTTTCATACGGCAGCCTAAAAGCAAAAGCAACCACTACTACCAGTTTCTTGCCGAGCTGTATTCGAACACGCGAGACGAGGTAGGCGGGCAGGATCACTAGCGCCAATTCGATGAGCACGTCGAATGCTGTTATGACTTTCCATCGGAGAACCTATACAGCGATGAGCAGCGCAAACGATAATTCGGTCAAAGGATAGGCCCAGAATCGAGGAGCCTACTTACGTCGCCGCTGCATTGACCGTTCCTATCTCCGGGAAGAATATGATTCGGCGAACATCGTATCGAGATTGCGAGGACAGAGGCAATCCCCCAAAGAGCAATGACGCCTTGACCGGCTAAGTAGCGTATCAACGACTTTTTGCTGTCATGCTGGGCGAATATGCGCTGAATAAGGAGGAGCACAGATGATTTGCAGAGAGCCAGAACAACGATCAGGATAATTCGAGACGCAGCAGTTGCCTGTGTTCGCCAAGCGGAGTCAGCTGAATAAGTCACAACGGACGAGTCAATCGAATTATTTTGCAATTTATAAATTACCTCGGCTAGAGTGAACTGTTCTTTCTTATCAGGTGAGGAGATGTTCTTTCCAAGCCCGTTCTCAAGGGCAATAAACACAGGTATCCATTGACCAAAGCTAATCGCCTAGTGCATAGGCGTTAGTCGATGTACCGCCTTCATTCCGAACAATGGAGAGATACTGACTTGTGCAAGACCGGCAAGCACATCATCGCCACTGTAGCAGCCCCATTTGATAAAGAGTCTGACGATGAAAACAATGCTAGACCAGACAAGAGAGGTGATTGTTGCGATATAGATGTAGCCTTGGTAGTCATCCGGCGTAACTAGAGTGAAACGGTTGTCGGAAGGAGATGGAGGGGTTGGTAAGGCCATGTAGAGGTCGTGTTGAGCACTACAGGTGAAGGGATTCTAGGCCAGTCGGGGGATGTTATAGGAATGGCTGCTAGATACACTCTTTTGACTTGGCCTGTGATATACGACTGTGGAGCGTGAAGACTAGAAACACGAACAGGCGAGACAAAGACAATGCTGACATGCGAGCTGAGAACATTCAACTAAAGATATGTATCTCAGAGGAGAGGCACATGAGAGGGAGCTGGAAGTGTGGCGCGCAAGATGGACATGGCGATCGGGCAACTCCCTCGATCCTCTAGTTTGATACAGGCTGCTGCAACGAGAGTTGCCCTTCGTCGAAAGACAGAGCTTGTTGACAGGCTGACAGGCAAAGAAATCCATTTGCTGCAAGCCAACGCACAGTTCCCGTTCCTGCGCCGGCAGCCATGATCGACTGATGACCGATGCCCTGGCACCGAGGTTGAGGCGGTAAAGAGCTCGGGCTGATTTACCCTTGCGTCGACCCGAGCCGCCGGGTGGGATCAAACTCCCGCCATCCACGCGAGCCGTGTCTGCGCTATGTCGCTTCCTTCCAATCTCATTCAGCGGGCTATCGGCACGCAAGTACCCCGTTGTCCCGTGTGGTCAAGGGTCCAGCAACATACAATCGTACGAGAAGCACTACTCCGTACAGGATCCTCGTGCAGTCGGTGGTTAGCGCACGCCTTGTACAGGGAATTTCTCGTTACAGTATGAGATCTGGTTGGCTCAGCAGACGTGTCTGTTGCTTGTTGGCCAATGACTGAGCTAGGACATGCTCCGTGACGCCAAAGAAAAACCCACCTGCAGACTCTCCACCGGCTGCACGAGGATCCTGTAGAAGGGCTAGCTCCCACCGCGCCGCTGTGCCGCCTGTCTGATGTCGAAGACCCTGGAGAGCAGCTCTAGACATGCAGGTGCATCCTGTAGATGCAATGGTTCCACTGAACCGGTTAGCGTCAATCTACAGTGCATCTGCATCTCCTCTCTTCTCGCTGGCCATGTCCCCGCGATTATTGTTCTTGCTTCTCCCTGTCTCACTTCGTTCCCAGCCTGTCTGAGCATTTCTGCGGATACACTTTCGCCATGTCAGGCATACCTTTGCAAGACCTCAAGCACGGCAATGCCACCACAGAGATTACAATGTTTCCTGATGGAGAAGCCGGGGAGACGGTCGATCCGGTCACTGCGGAAAAGCTGGGAACAAACTACGATCAGAAGGACATGCATCGCATGGGGAAGCTACAGGAATTGCGGGTAAGCCTCTTGAGATGGCTCCTCTCGTCGGTAGTTTCACTGCAAGCACTAACACCATACGCAGCGCAACTTCCGCTTTACCTCTATTGTCGGCTATGCTGTAATCTTGGGGGCTACCTATCCATATGCATTAAGGTACGCCTTGGTGCCTATCGCCGGGGACATTTAATTGCTAACCAGCACTCTGGACAGCACTGCCGTTCTTTCCCTCACGAACGGCGGTACCGCTGGCGCAATCTGGATGTTTTTGATAGGCTGCATAGGAATGGCTACTTGCATGCTTTCTATGGCTGAAATGGCTTCCATGTAAGCGATTGTGACCCAAAATAACTCGACTATAGCCCTGACATCCTTTCCACTAGGGCTCCAACTGCCGGCGGACAGTATCATTGTGCGTTGTGACAATGATTCCTATGCCAAATCGTGCGGCTGATAGTATCTCAGGGGTCTCGGAGTTTGCGCCAAAGAGATATCAGAAGTTTCTCAGCTACATAGTTGGTGAGTACCAACGACTTCCCTTTCGATCCTTGTTTTTCAGTCGGTTGACCCGGGTTAGGTTGGCTTTGTGTTCTAGGATGGCAGGGCACCATGTGTGCATCTGCATACACGCCTGCTGCTCAGATCCAAGGCCTTATCGCTCTCAATCGCGAGTCTTATTCCTTGCCCGGCTCGCACGCTTGCCTCATGACGATCGCCATTACAATCTTCTCGATCTTCTTCAACACCGTCCTACTCCGGAAGCTGCCCTTGATGGAGGGTATATTTTTAATCATCTACGTGTTCGGATTTGTCGCAATTGTCACTGTCCTATGGGTTATGGGTCCCAGGGGTGATCCAGCTACCGTCTTCACGAAATTCGAGGACAATGCTGGATGGGGCAACACTGGTCTCTCCACATTAGTCGGTATACTCGCCCCAGTCGTTACTCTAATCGGTTCGGACTCGGCATGTCACTTGTCCGAGGAACTGAAGGATGCTGCGTATATCCTTCCGCGGTCGATGGCTACTACCGCCGCCATCAACTACACTGTAGGTGTCGAGTTTATGGGCTGACCGCTTCGCAACAACTGACGATTGTGTAGCTCGGCTTCATTATGGTCATAACCTTCACATTCACAATTGGTGACATCCAAAGCATTCTTACAACTCCCACTGGCCAACCCTACATTCAGCTCTTCCTTAATGCCACTCAATCTCGCGTCGGCACCTCAATTCTTACAAGCCTCGTCATCCTCCTCCTGCTCTTCTGCGCTATCAACCAAATCACAACCACCTCACGCCAACTCTTCGCCTTCGCCCGCGACAACGGCCTCCCGTTCTCCGCCTTCCTTTCGCGCATCCGACCAGGCTGGGACGTGCCGCTCAACGCGCTGGTCGTAACCTTCGTCGTCGTGTCTCTCGCCTCGCTTATCCCAATCGGCTCAGCAATAGCTTTCAACATCCTCGTCTCGCTCGGCACCGTCTCACTCCTAGCCTCTTATTTCGTGGTCATCGCCTGCATGATGCTCAAGCGTGTGCGTGGCGAGAAGCTCCTTCCCTCGCGCTTTAGCCTCGGCAGGTTGGGTATCTTTATCAATGGCTTCGCGCTCGCGTTCCTGGGCGTTGCTTTCGTCATGCTGTTTTTCCCGTCGGCGCCGCATCCGACCGTGCAGACCATGAACTGGACCATTATGATTTTTTGCTCGGTCATCATCATATCCTTGGTGTATTATTTTGTTGTTGGCCGGCATGTATATGTGGGTCCTGTTGAGTATACCCGGAAGGATGTGTGAAAAAGGGGGCATGCATATGCGTCGGGGCGTGGAGAGAGTTTAGCACGGCCTTTTGTGCTCTAGGTAGAAAATCGATCTCTTGAACTTGCCCTGGCTTGTCGATTTATAGAATCACGGTTTGGTGCTGGTAGTCCCCGAACTCGGCTTGTCTAAATATTCCGGGCTGTGGGTTGTCTGCGTGCTGCGGTCTAGCGTTCCTCCAGTGTTGTCAATAAGTAGTTACAGTATATATTTGTTCCGCATTGGGAAATAACGATCCAGTACCGTCGGTTTTTGGTATATTTGCTAAGCAAGACCCTTGAAAGCCCCGTCTAAACCGCATATAGCTAGAAAACGCCTTAGTGTTGACTTTCAGCCCTATTAACCTTAATTAAGCCTCATCAGCCTTACCGGAGCCTTATCAACATGTTTAAAAGCTGATCTTATATGGTGGAGCAGATAAACACTAGCTAAGACCCCTTTAACCAATCACGGCAGCGATTATTCAAGACTCCCGCAACTAAATATCTAGAACACCTGCCGAGACCTTGGATACCACGGTTCGGCGGCTCCGAATATCCTCCAAACGGCTAGCTCTAGTACCGCCGGTATTAAAAATCCAGTACCGGTCCAATCCAGTATAAATAATTAACGATTCGCGACCTGCCGATTGACAATACTGCGTTCCTCAGTGGGTTCATACGCGCTCAGTTAACTGTGTACCTTCCCCTTCCAGCAACATGCATAATAGATGCCCAACAGGCGAGTATTTACTGTTAACAGATAGACCTTTGTTAAGTGTCTGTTGCCTAAACTAGTAAGAGACATGATCTCGAACCCCTCACTTACTTAGCAAAACAATCAACAAAGAGCCGTTAGTAAATAGTGAACCCGGTTCTTATATCATAATAGTCTCATTGATATTCAATATCGCCATATTGCATCCATCGTGACGTGAATTGATATAAAAGAAAACCCAAAAAGATGTCTGCCAAGGGGCGGCCATAAAATCGCCCACTCCTACAATCTCCGCCCCATAACGCCCGCTTGGTTTGCTACCAACTGCAACCAAATGTATACAGTCGTAAAATCATCCCTCAACCAAATCCCGTCCGCCCAACTCATCTCCCCTTAACCAAGATATACCCAAACCTCGCCGTCTTCTGCAGAAACGAGCTCCCCTTGCTCGCCCCCGAACTCGCCAAACTCTCCTCATACCCATGCTCCGTCTTCTCCACATCATCGAGCGGCGCTTTCTCAGCGGCGCTCCCATCCGCCGCCGCAATGGTGGAGGCGAGACTTAGTCGGCGCTCAGCAGTGATGCGCCGCGCCTCGCGTATTGCGGTACACAGAGAGAATGCCATGGAGAGGAACAGAGTGACGCTGAGGGCGATCACTGTGGCGTCGATGCTGCAGCTAGAGCTGGAGGATTGTGCGTCTTCGCTTTCGGTCTGCTGAGATTGACGGCGGTAAAAGGAGTGCAGGGCGCGAGGGTGAGAGAGAACCCGCTTGACCAGCTTCCTGCGGTCTGAGATGTCGTCGGCGTCGTCATCAGGGCCCTCAGTGGGGACGGCCGTCGGCGCCGGTGTCACGGAAGGGAGTGGCGCGGAGGTAGGCGTCGTGGTGGTGGGAGCAGTCACCACGGGGTCCTGGTTGCCGTCATCGTCGTCATCATCGTCTGGAGCCGGTGAAGGCGAAGCGGCGAGAGTGCTAGCTGCCAACAAGGTCGGCGTGGTGGGAGCGGAGTTGGTGAGGCTCTCGTTAGCATCGTCATCGTCATCGTCACCTGGAGTAGACGGAGGAGGAACGGCGGACACGATCGTTGCCAACGACGTCGGCGTGGTGATCACGGTGGCGGGCACCGAAGGCGTCGTGGTGTCACCTTCGTCATCGGTTTCGTCGCCGATGACAACAACGGGAGATGGTATGGCCACCATGCTGCTGCTAGTCAAAGACGATAGTACTATAGTCTGCTCCGGCAATGCAGTCTGCCGCTGAGCAGCGGCAAGCGACGAAGTCGAAGCTACGGCCGGCGATGGCCGCGGCGCGGTGCAGCTACCGCCAGATGGTGACAGCACGCCAATCGTGACAAGGATGAAGCCGATGAGAAGGAGAAGCACGGCGAGTGCTTCTAGTGGCGGCGTTACCCATACCCAAGGATAGGACTTGGTGATGGCGCTGAAGTAGCGCTGGCCGACAAGACGGTACACGAGAGTTATAATAGATATGATAGCCTGCGGCAATCTTAGAATGAGGACGTAATGCCAGGATATAAGGGAAGCTCACTGCCGCAAGAAGCACGCCGTGCTTGGTAGGGGCGTATGGTGAAGTTATGATTGAGGATGCGTCGAGGGCTAGCACGATGACGGCAATGAGCAATCCTAGGAACCTATACCAGTCTGGCTTGTGCATCCAGACCACGGAGGTGTAGCACCGCATTGTGCTTAGAATTTGGAGGGACTAAGAATGATAGCTGGAACGAAAGCCGTCGAAGATTGATACTCACAGAGCACACGCAATGAGCAGAGGCACGAGCAGGAAGAGAAACTTGCTATCTCTGCGGAGAAAACCTCCCTATACAATGCCATCATGCTGCCATGAGTTGGCAAGCATGCTCTGAAACCGTAGTGCACTGCCAGATTACGCTGGCCAAGCTCGTCCTACATGCGAGTCGAGCAGTACAGCCTCTCGTACTTGAGCTCAGCCTATTCATAGCAGCCTAAGCACGCGACCAACTGCCCACCAAGGCCATGATTCGATCTTGGCTGGCGAAACACAGCTGGGTAAAGGTTGTAAACGGGGACAAGTTGTTGAGCAGGGTGGCGGAGCATCTGTCCGTTTTGCTTGGGCCCAAGTTCTCGGCACTTGGCGGGCGGACATCCGCTGGCGGAGCGGCTGTGTGTCAAGGACGCCCAGGTCTTGTACTGACGATCACTATCCGCATACGCCGGATTGGAGAGAGCTAGCTGCCCAACCTCATGCGCCGTCGTAGAGTCAAAGTACACGGCCTTAGCCCGGCCGTCACCCGTCATGCTACCCGTGCGGAGCCTTACTGTGGGGAAAGTCCATCAAGATAGCAATCATTACTTCCAACGCCTAAGAAGTTCCAAGCATATCCACCTATGCCTCCGTATCTGAAGCAGCCAGAGGGCACGACCGAGACCTATCGCGCAGCCAGTGGGCTCCGTCTTTTCAGGTTGAAGCAATGGAACAGAAACAGGGGTTGCGATTTGACTACCTCAAGCGCCTAATTCCCCAGGCTGAAAGGTGCCTCATCATCCGATGCCTGTATCAGCGGAGGCGTAGGCCGCTGCGGAAATATGTTCAACACTTCTCCTCCTGACCGGTTGGCAAGCACACCACGAAACAGCAATGTCCACGTATCTGGATCGTGCAAATACTATATAAGAGATTCGTTACGTCGTTACTGCTTATCCTAGCCTATTCTACCCTACCGTTTTCGCTGCCAACGCCGCAAGAGGCTCTGAAAATTTAACCTTTCCCCTATCCAATCGTGTGTCCAATGAGCTCGAAGGCAGACCTGTCCAAAGAAGTGATTCCAGCAGAACAGAAGAGTATTAAGAAAAAGAAGGAGTACCAAGATAGACCAGGCCCAAAAGATGCAGAACAAGAAAACCACGGAGATCCAGAGTTGATTCAAGATGAAATGGCAGCATATTTCCGCTCCTGAGGGCTCTTGCTAATCGCAATCCAACGCTGTATCCAATTGTCGTAGCGAAGGGGTCCAATATCTAGGCAGTGATTGACAAGGACTTCAACCGACAGGTTTGACGTACGGAGGCTGTCGTTGGAAGTGTCGAGCACGGCGTAAAGACTCGGGCGGTAACACCTTTGCCAATTGCCTCAGCAGAAGGGCAGCAGCGCTACGTGAGCGTCCCCATCATCATAGCCACGACCTTCGGATCCGGTTTCTTTCTTCCTGTGTACGTGTCAGCCTTAACTCACCCCGCCCCTCGGCGACAAAAGTCTCACCCTCAACGGCTCGATTTCACAAGGGCCAACCTACCCCTTCTATCCCTATCCACTCTTACAACATCCCTATCCCTCGGCCGGCTGCTGCTCCCCCCAACACTCCCACTACTCTCAATGACCTCATAATCATCTCTCTCGCGAATAATCAGCGCCTGCTGCCGCTTCTCCTCAGCCTCACGCTCCAGCTTGACAGCCCGCCGCTCCGCCTCCAACGACGCGATCTCGCGCTTGATGTCGCGGTCGCTGCGGCGATTGCGCTCGGGCAGCACGATGGTGAGGGGGCCGCCGATGTGGTTGGACTCTTCGAAGCGCTCTTCGTAGATTTCGCGCTCGCGGCGCGGGCCGGGGGATGCGGAGCGCACGGATTGCGGGGCTGGGTAGTACATGCTTGGGGGTGCGGGAGGGGGTGGGGGAGCGGGCTGCACGTATTCGGTGCGGATGACCTGTTCGACGGGGACGGGCGGGGGAGGCGGAGGGGGCGGCGGTGCGAAGAATTCTGGAGGAGGCGGTAGGGGTGGGACGAAGAAGTCTGGAGGGGGTGGTGGAGGAGGGGGCACTTCGAACTGGGTTGTTTCTTCATAGCGGTAGGTTGTCCGGTCTGCAATGGGCGGTTAGTAGCTGCGTCACGTAATGGCGGAGGATGAGCTGATGGCAACGATGACGCACTGTTTTCTTTCTTGTAGGTCTCGCTAATCTTGATAATCTCGTCGATTTGCTCTTTCTGTAGAGCGCGGCGGACAACGATAAAGTCATCCTGTAATCGTGTCAGCACGAATTCCCATCACCACAGATGATCTACCAACCTCTTCCTCGAAAGGATACCCGCACTGAATAACGGCCTGCTTATCCACCAACCGCTTAGGCATCCGCGTCTTGCCGCGCTTAACCTTCTCTCGAACCGGCTCGATCTCTTCGAAGCTGGAGCTTGAGCTGGAGCTCGACCTTCTGGAAGCGGCCCTTACGCTGCGGCTGCGACGGGTGCGGCTCTTTTCTCTGTGGATGCGAACATCACGATACTCCTCATCTCTGTCTGGCTCGACATCGCGGTAGCGGATCTCTTCAAAATCATGTTCCCGGTAGCGGTCACGAGGTGGCGAGCGACGGCGGCGGGACTGCTCACGGCGGATGGGCAGAGGGATGTCTACGTTGGCGGGGGGTCGCCAGTCCTCGCCATAGCGAGCTAGCGGCTTCCTGTCAAAGGTGTCGAGGGAGGATTGCCGACGGGCGAACCCAGGCCTCATCCGCCTGACGACGGGAGCATCAAAGTCGTCCCTCTCGACGACGGATTTGCGGCGGTAAGGAGCGAGGGCACGGCTGGCGACTTCGGCTGCCAAGGGCTCGTCTAGAAAGTCAGGCCGGCGTGGGGCGCGCGCGAACCGGTCCTCGTCGAAGAAGCGGTCGCGCTCCTCGAAGCGGCCGCGGGGTCCTCTGACTTCCCGTCGCTCGTCGACTTCGACCTCTCGACGGCGGGCCGGCGGTGGTGCGAAGCGGTCGCGGTCGCGGTCGCGGTCGCGGTCGTCGAAGCGGAAGGCGTCGCGTTCATCTTGTGCGAGGCGGCTGATGCGCTCGAACTTGTCGCGGTCCCATCGTTCTGTTGCTGCGCGGCGTGGTGGCTCTTCGAAGAAGCCGAGATCCCCTGCCGAAGCCCGGAAGCCGCCTACGCGCGACATGGTTGCTGTTGATGGTATGAGGAGGAGCGGGTGGTTGGTTGTTGGTTGTTCTTGCTGTCGCACCAGGCCTCGAGGGAGGGGTTGGTGGTGTGGTGGCTGTGTCGGGCTAGATGGAGCGAGGTTTTGACCAATTCTGACAGGTCTGGCAGTTCAGATAGCGGGATAGAGCAACTTGAGCAGATTCGAAGGGATTTCGCAAAGAAGAAGAGCTATGCTGGCGACTGCAAGCAGGTCAACCTTGGATGGTGGTGGTGCAGGTCGTCGTGCAGGTCGTCATGTGGGCTGAGCTGGCGCCCGACGTCCTTGGTCGTCATCGGCGCCCTCGCCTCCACACAGAAGCCCGTCCGGCTCGTGATCCACGCCTTTCCCCATTTACTCCTCCTCAAGCAGCCCAACCCTGAAGACGGCGCCGGCAGCCGGGATGAGGCTGAAAACTCCTCACGACATGCCCTTGGCCTGATATCGCCGCCTTTCTCTCCCAGCATCTGCAAAGATCATCTTGGGCTTCTTGCTGTTGTAGTTGCAACAAACGGCTTGGAACATCACGTGGGCAAACTCTTGTTTTGGCTGTCGTCGGTTCGCCGAGTGAGAAATTTGATCCCCTTGTTACTTGTCCCGATCTTCTGTTAAACCATGTCCTAACGTGCAACTAACTACAAGAGATTGATGACTTCTCCTAGTGCTGTCTCTGCTTCCAATATTCTCTTACTCCGTCCTCTTGATGCTCTTCCAAGCCTGAAACCCCATTTTCGTGTCACTTTCTTCTTGTCCCCTATGCGGTTCTCTTATGAAGGTCGAACTAGTTCAGTTTGCATCCAGAGAGCGCCGCACAGTCTGATTCATCCAATCTTGTACATGTGAAGGGTTGTTACATTACGTATCAGCGTTTAAGCGAGCGACAAACCGAAGAACCATCGAAAACACCGTCCCACGAACACGAACCAATTCAATTGAAACCCCCGGACGGACCAAAGAAACGTAGTGCCAGGACTGAGAGAATCTCCTAATCCTCAGGCTCAACCTTGATCGCAGGCGTGCTGCGGATACCCCTCAACCTAAGCCTGAGCCCCGTATTCCAGTTCATGACCCTCTCCCTCAACAAGTCAGTCCCCAGGTCGTGGCAGGGCACCCACGAGACGACGTCAATACAATACCTCCACCCAACCATCCAGATGGCCTCCAAGATGCCCGCGACCGGCGCGCGGAGATGTTCGGGCATCCGCGACGGCCCTGCCATCTTCGCCTCGAGCAGGAACACCGCAGCCATGCTCAGCTCACCCATGTGCGGTCGGTCGTCCCGCTTGTTCGCGGCCGTGGCTTTGTCGCAGGCGTCGATCCAGGTGAGCATCATGGCTTTGATCTGGTCCAGCGTCGGCGGCTGGGTTGCTGTTGCGGTATTGTACGGTGTCGGCGCGGCTTGCGCGGGGGATGAGGAGGGCTTTGGCCGCTTCGCGCAGCTTTCGAGGGCTTCGCCTTCCGCGTAGAGCTCACGTGCGGAGCGCTTGATGGGCTGGCGGGCGCGGGTGTTGTAGGCCGGACCGGTCTTTGAGGAGTTCATGGTGGTGGAGAACATGGTGAGGATTTGAGAGAGGTGGTGGTTTGTGATGTTGATGAAGAGTTTTGGGAGTGATGATGGTGCTTGAGGTAGGGGTTTGAGATTTTGATGAAGACTTTTGGGGATGATGATTTTGGGTCGCAAGAGTCTTCAGAGAGTCAATGCAGGTGGGAACTTACCTGCTGCAGCGTGGGATTATATGCTTGTGCGAAATCTGCTTCATCAACTTCTCTTCGCTCAGACATCGTAGGAAGTTTGGGTGGGTAACCAAAGTTTGGGTTGACTTTTGCGAGTGGTACTAGTAGTTGCTGAACCGCAGTTTACCACCTCACAATATCTTCGCTAATCACGCACATGCGACGGAGACGAAATTCACACCGTGAAGATATTCTTCATCAACACTATAAGAATCTTTGCGACCTAGGATTCTCTTTCCGGATGTCGATCAGAAAGCCATCGTCGCCGCGGTCGCACCGAATTGCATTCCTAGTACACCATCGTGAACACACTTTGTTTCTGTTGTCTCCAACGTCGAATTTTTGTATGATCCTGCCGCGATAGCCGCAAAACCTGACCACAACCATATCTACGTCAAAATCTTTCAGCCGTGAAGCTGCTGAAATCCTGCAAGAGCGCCGCGCACAAAAGGGGTATATACATGTACGTCCGACAACCCCATTTCCAGCCAGCCCGCTTGAACGCGCCCAAGAAAACCAGTTGCTACCTCGCCTGTCGTACCAGAAAACAAAACATCGTAGACAATGAGCCTAACTATCGCGTAAATCCGCACAGATAGCGTGACTGCTCACAAACAGGCGACTCCTGCCTCTTTCCCGTCTCGCTCGCAGCTCCCCTCCACTCCAAGTTCCCTTCGTCAGCGAGAAGCCGCCCATCCATCTCACACTCCCGCCCCACCTCCCGGCACAAGCATATCAACACAGTTCCCCAGCAGCCTCCCCGCCTCATGCAGCAGCTCCCACCTCGCGCCCTCAAAAACCTCCTTCATCAGCACCAACAGCCCCAGACACGCGTTCCGATTCTGAACCCCACTAAGCTCTTCAGGCGTTCTGACCCCTCCCACCCGTCTAAGGAACCCCTGCAGATCCTGCACGCGTTCGTCGTGAGTAAGGAGGCTGTAGGGCGGCGACAACGGCCCATCGAGCGCGTAGCCATAGGACCATACTACCAGACACGCGAAATAGAGGACCCAGGGCCTATTGAGCAGGAAATCGTCGCGGGCGGAGTAGCTGAAGCTTACCTCTCCTCCTCCTCCTCCTCCTCCTCCCGTAACTCTGCCCTTCTCCGCCGCAGCAGACGGCGAAGGCGACCGCATGTCATGATCATCCTGGGGAACAAGACACCGTCTCAAGAACCGCAGCGCATAGAACGTCGCGTCTCGAGCGCGGGCGGTAGGCGCCCAACCCTCCTTCATACGCCGCGCCGCCCCTGCGTAATCTTGCGCCGTGATGCTGCGGCCCAGCAGCCGGCGTGCGCGGGCGAAGATCTGACAGTCGACGATGTCGACGTGCATGGCCATGTGCGCGAGGTGGTGCAGGACTGTGCGGGACTCGAAGGTGTTTTCGGTGTCGAGGACGCCAGGGTTGCTGCTGCTAGTGCCGGCGTAGGGGCTGTTTTCGCCGTTGCTGCCGCCGCCGCCGCCGCCGCCGCTGCTGTTGTGGGGTTGTATGGGCGACTTAGCCGCAAGACTTTCGTCAAAGTCTCGTTTCCAGAAATCAAACGCCCGTGTCAAACTCCCGCGCCACCGATCTCGCCCCCCGAGCGCCTGGCTCACACCCAGCGACGAGACTTGGAGATCGCGCTGGTTCATGTGCCAGCTCACGCTCAGGAGCCCCGCCATTAATATCGTGCGTCCGAAGGGATTCGTGCGGACAGGCTGACCGTTTAGCGTTTTCTTCAGGCCGTCAAGGAACGTGATGGGTTTATTGCCGGTGCCGCTCCCGCCGGCAGCTTGGATACCGCTCTCGAGGCGCGCGACGTCGGCAGAGGAGGTCGCGGACCAGAGGACCTCGTCGCAGGGGAGCGGGAGCCGCATCTCATGCGCGACCATCACCGCGGAGTGGCCAAACATGGTCGCGTGGATGGAGTCCATGACAAAAGCGGCGAAGGCGGCGCGGCGAGTTGCCTCATTCGTGATCCAGCGGTTCCACCACTCGTCGGGGGTGTTGATGCCGGAGTGGTTGACCGCCGTGCTGCCGCTGGCGCTGCTGGCCTTGGAGTCCTTGACAGGCGGAGAATCCAGCGACGAGCGGCCGATGAGCGAGCTCCCACGCCGCATGAGCGTCAGGGTGGTAGCGTGGTGGATGTGCGCGCGCTCGTGCAGCGGGCGGGTTGAGTACAGCTTCTCGAAGATCTCGAGCAGCAGCAGTGCCTGGAAGACCCAAAGTTTTGCCGGCGGCCGGAAGTCGGCGTTCATGAAGATTTCCCACCGCAGGTGCCAGGCAATGAATTTGGAGAGCTGCGAGCCGGCTTCCGTCAGCTCAAGCCCGTAGCTTTTCTCGAGGCAAGAGGCACCCAGCGCCATGAGCGCGAGGAGCAGGAGCGGGGGACAGGTTGTGGCGTTGAAGGTGGGGCGGTGCAGGATCGGGACTTGGGCGTGGAAGTGCGCCCAGTAGGAGCTGATGTAGGTTTGCATCATGGTGAGGCTGAGGACGTGGTGTTCGTCGTTCATGTCGCCGTCTAGTAGCTCCTCTTTTTGCTTGCAAGTCACTGTGTGGTCTGTGTCGTTAAACCGGCCTGTGATCAGATCTAACAACTGCTGCCTCTTCTCCTCGGAGAGCGCAGATTCGGGTAATGTAATGTCGAGGATGCTGTGAACGGCCATCACTTGCTTGGCCGGCGCTGTCTGAGGCAGGTGCCCGCTCCCGGCAGGGTCATAGTTGAAGTAGGGCGCTTGCATACTGAGCGACTGCGAGTTCATCAGGTTCATACCGTTGGCGCTGGGGTGTCCTATAGGGGACGCTGAAGGCCCGAAGTTGGAGTCATTGAACAACCACGCGGTAAAGTCGTCTGCCATAGCAAACGGAGACCGGCTAAAGCCTTCCGCTCCAGCGCCAAACATCGGCATAGCAACATTCGGCGTCATGCCTCCCAGCATGCTGGGATCCGGCACATTAGTCATTCGAGTGTCAGTGGGTGCGGCACTGCCCATAGAGGTTATACTTATGGATGTGGGTATCGTATAGTCTCTGTTATTACTGCGAGGGCTCGGCATTTGGCTCATCGTGTTCCAGCCCGGAGGCGGAAGAGTAGAGAACGGCGGAAAGTTCTGTTGGGGGTGATAGGCTACAGGAGAGGGCGGAGGGTAGGTAGGAGTGTGCGTGGGTGTTGAGGAGCTGAATGGCGGAGGGGGCCCTGCCGATGCCGTGCCGTATGATGTCTTTATGTGCAAGCCCTGCACGCTGGCAGTACCTGCTGATGCCTGCATAGGCAGTGACGGCCGGACAAAGTCATTTCCACTGGAGGGGAATGTTTGCGACCTTCCGTTGCTCAGAGAGCCCAGACTCGAATGCCGTTGCAGAGCAGCGTATCCCGACGGGCTCCTTGGCACAGAAAGCCTCGCGCTGCTTCCATATTGCTGCTCGCTATACGAGTGTCTTGACTTCAAGTCGCCAGCCGTGGGTGAGGGTAACGTCTGATCAATCGGGGGCGTGCTGTCTGAGCCCAGGGTTCCCGAGCTGAGAGCGCCGGACGCCGGCGATTGTGGTATAACGAACGCTTTGCCCCCCATCTGAGGTTGGACCTACTCTCTTTCGTCAACAACACTGCTAATACAATCCCACCTGACTAGCCTTACCGTGGGGGAGTGTTGAGGCATGCCAAGCCTTTCGGCGGCATTTCTTGCAGCCATGGCCGATGTCACGATTGGGTTGATGTTGTGCACGAAGGTCTCTCTTCGCAGCACTTGCGAGCCGCGGGCTGTGTGTCTTTCCTTATGGCGAGCGCAGAGATCCTGCCGGACAAACGAGCGATGGCAGTCAGGGAAGTCGCAGTGATAGATCTGCTTGGGGTTGTCTGACTTGATCAGCCCTCGTACCTGGCATTTATACGGGCCCTTGCACGTCACAAGAATATAGAAAGCTGAGTCCGATATTCACAGCACTCCGCGCACGCATGTGAATCGTCGGACCCCTCGGAGCTGCGCTGTGCCAGCATCGCGAGTCCGATAAGAGTTATCACCAAGAAACAGGAAAGAAGTAAGGACTGTTTTGACAGAGATCGGACACAGCGCTCCTAGGACCCTGAAACACTTACGGTTCAGCTGGTGCCGATAGAGATGTTCTGCCCGCGAATAGCTCTTGCCACAATCCGGGTGAGGACACTCAAACTTCTTATCCAAGCCTTTTCTGCTCCTCCTCCGCTTCCTCGAAGACCCCGTTGCGCCTTCTTGCCCATCGCTTCCATTGTCGGAGCTATCATCTCCGCGCTCGTCGTCCCTCGTTCTCCGTCGCCCCCGGCCGTCGTCTTTGATCGGAGAATCAGCTTCGGGCTCCATGATGCCCTCCATTCCGAAAGGCAGGTGTCGGGCGAGTGGATCGAGGCTATGGTTGCCAAACTCCGCGATATGTAGTGAGAGGACATGCGCCGTCATCGCAGGGTCGAGTCATATGGTGAGGCTTTCGAGAGCACCCACGGGCCCGCCGCAGTGGATCGCATGTGTATGAGAGGTTCGTGAGGTATAGACGATTTCGTGCGTCTATGACAGTCGGCAGGTCTGTTCGATAAGGTACCGGGGCCTGTTACGTCTATCTGCAGTGTACTACGGCGTGTCTGATTGCATTCGTGTTACAAGCCCTTGGGGCGTGATGGGCGGCGGAACTGTGAGCAATAGATTGTATGGCGCACAATAGATACATATATATCCAGCGTTGAAAGTTAGGAATGCTCAAGATGATGTGTGCACTGCCTTCGGTGATGGCTCGACCTCAAGCCCTGCGGTTTGAGATACACGCCGAAACAGGCTAAGAGCTCTACGGAGTGCACAGATGCCGCCCTGGACTCGCACAGCCGCAATCAGGATGTGGACAAGCGCGGAGATGCGTGGGACAATCTTGACGGCTTCAGGGCTCAGGGCTCGGGGCGGGGCGGGATTTGCGGCCGTACGGTCAGTGGTGAAGGGTAACTAGGGGTGGGGGGATGGCGAGATCCGGCTCGCCACGTGCTCGCTCACGGCTCAGGGACCTTCCCGCCGCTAGGTAAGGGCGAACCAGACGTCCAGTCTCGGACGTTTACTTGGATCTGCTGCTCAGGAAGATTTTCAACGCGCAGGATAGGAAGGCTGTGCAGGGGCAGAACCGTTCCTGCGCGTAAGATGACGCCTGACGTTGCTGCTGCGACTGTTGCTGCATGGAAGGGCTGAGGAAGCGCCTCTTGCAGTCCACAAACGGCTGCCAGAAGCGTGAGGCTTGCGTAGCGCGAGCGCGTGGGGGGCTTGACGCGGGATGCTGCGTGCGGACTCTTGGGGGCACATGAGGGTGGCAGTTTCGTGGTGTTGTTTTCCATCGTAAGAACATTTGAAGTAGGCGATTTTGCGGTAGATAGGAAGGCTATCACTTTGTCTCTCAGCTCGCATATCAGAGGTCGCAATTGGTTCAGCAAAGCGAGAATGGGCAGCCTCCGTGTTATCTGCTTCAGTCGTTCTTCTCTGAAGTCTGCAACTAGTCCTCCTGACGGATCCGATGGCTTCGCTGAAGGTTCCCCCCAGTCTGCTCATTACGAAAGAAACAATCACCTCGTATCTTGCATGACATCGGCGGCAGCCTCCAGTATCGTCTCAACTGAAGCTATGGGTTGAAGGGGTATGGATCGCTGGTCCTGGAGAAGCGTTTCGCCCTCACCCACAACCGGTGAGCGTTAATACAGCGGGCTTAGACGCGTTCGCTGGTTTAATGGAACACTACCCATTTTCTTGATTTATTCTGAAGTCGAGCAAGGAACAACCCAGGGTTTAGCAGCCAATTGGAGGCTTCACGGCCCCTGTTTTGACCCCTGCTTGACTTCAGAATAATCAAGAAAATGAGTAAAGTACCGTAACGTTCCACTTCCAACCGTGACGGAAAGCAATCGCCAACTACTCTGCACCCAGAAGATCACATAAGGCCAAATCACGCAGGTAGCAGCGAGATAGCGGAAGCGAAGAGCCAGGAAGGATGGATTCGCTGTTGCACGAATGTAGCATTGGCTTCTCTCAGCCACCTACGAAAGCGTCAACCCAAGGCGTCACTCGACGCCATGCTACTCCAGAAATGCTGATCTACCTCCAGAAAATGCGGTATACTACAAGCCAACTGGCTGGGTATAGTTGCATGAACACTGCGACGCAAAGAAGGCTATCGTGGCCGTCGCACCTGTGCCAATACTGCCGCGGCCACAGTCGCTTGCAGATCAATCGTCAACGCTTTTGGAGGCTTCGCTTGCGTCTGCTGCAGGGGCTGTGGGTTCCATTGGGTCGGTCGTTTGCGGCTGATCCTGGGTCTCAGGACTGCTGAGCTCTTCGTGCTTTTTGTCCTCTTCGGACTGTTCCCCCGCCTCTGTTTCGCTTTCTGGCTTGGCCGTTGTACCAGCAGACAACAATGGCGCAGTGGTAGGGGACGGTTCTTCGGGCGGTTGTTCTTCTTGAGCATTTGTCTCTTGCTGCCTGTCTTCCGCCGCGACGGTCTCCTGCTCCTCGCTTGATTGAGCAGGTCCTTCCGGCACTGCCTCCTCAGAGGCCGTTGTGCTTGGTGTTTCCACTGCCGTCGTTGAGCTTTCGGGATGCGGCTCTAAAGGCCCATCTCTCTCCACTTCGCCTGTCTGCGCCTCGTCTGAGGGCTCTTCATAGGCGGGCGGTTCGTCCTCTCTCGGTGCTTCAAGCTGAGCCGGCTGTTCCTCCTCCTCGTTCTCCTCAGGCACGGTTGAAACTGCATTCGCACCTACTGACGGCGTCTGCCTGTGCCTCTTCGTGGTATTGCCAGTGGCAGTCGTAGATTTTTCAGCAACAGGCAAGTCTCCACCCCTTTCGTTTTCTGACTGCAAAAACTCCGTTCTTCTTATAAAGGTCGGTTGGTCAGACGCCACGGGCGTGGATTGCATGCCTTCTGCTTCGGAGGGGATGGTGTAGTTGTCCTCGGGAATTAGGTTGTATTCGTCGCATACAGTCTTGAAGAGAACGTAGAGGCCTGTCCTGCCCTCTATCCTCCAGAACATGTCACGGTGCTGGAACCAGGCGTGCGCGAAGATGCGGTATACGCGTCGGAAGATATTTGTCAGCTGCCGTATCTGCTGCTGTGGGGTGTTCGCCTCGGTGCCCAGAGCCAGTCTGCTCGGGAAGTGCTTTGGGGAAGTGAGGGTGTTCGCCGCCCAGTCCAGCGTGTGGCAGCAGTAGTCTATCGCGCAGCATGACTTCGGTGGGTCGTGCACAGCGCAGAGGTACTGCCATTCCGAGGCGCGCATCTCGGGACACGTCTGCGCTGAGCATGGCGGGCTGTCGGCGAAGAGTTCGACGACGATGGAATTGGCCTTTTGGGTGAGAAATCGGCAGAGTTCGTAGAGCCAGAGGGCGCGGTCTACGCCATCAGGCGGGTCTGCAAGCCGGATGGCAGTTTGCCGATCAATGGGGATTATTGAGTTTGAATCCACAGGATGGGTGTGGGAGTTGTACAGTGCTTTGAGGTGCTCGGTTAGCTGGAAGGCGGAGTCTATCTTGGGGCTGATCAGTATGCGTCCAACATCGTCGGCGCCTGCGGATTGAGCTTACCTCGGACAACTCTACCAGAGGAGGGCCCTCTGCCATGTCCGCAGCCTTCGTACCAGGCCGTATCCTCCGCGACGCGCCTTGGTCTACATTGCTGAAGCCACCAAGCTTGCCCTTGTCTTCAGACATTGCGGCTGTTGGAGACAAGGGCCCAATCTGATCCTCAGCCATCGGCGGTGGGCTGGGAAGGCGCGGAGAGCTGGAGGGAGACATTGCGGCCATCTTTGGTGTGGAGGCTGTCAGACAGCTCAAGGAGAGTTTCGTCCGACGTTGCAGGCCGTTGCTCTACGATCTGGAGGTCCAGAAGCTGGCTGACAGGGAGGTTGCCAGGGAGGTTGACAGGCAGGTTGACAGTGACAGTGTGCAACTCGTACAAGCGGTTTGTCGTTCTCCGCGTCCCGCGTCTGAGACGAAAAACGCGCCAAGCCCGCTCGAGCTCAAGCTCCCGTCCGTTGTTTCTCTGCTGTTCGGCCGGAACGACAGCAATTTCACGGAGCCTCTGTCGCACCCGCCCTCCATCCATCCCACGGCCTGTTCACCTCTGGACTCCTTTCCGATCTTGTCGCAGCTTGTAGCATATGTATTATTCTCAAGGCGCTGTGCCCTAGTCGTCGCGCCGCTCGGCGTCAACGCCCTTTACGACCTCCACCAACATCTGCGAGGCAGCTTCCTTGCAGCCCATTAATCCGCCATGTCATACTCCGTTCTCTCTACGCCTCAAAGGCCATTGCCCGGCGCATTCGCCATGACTCCAGCGCCCAGCGGCATCGCGCCTCCGGCCACACTCAATAAACCAGCCTCGATATTCCGAATGAACACCATACCGAACATGCAGCAGCTCGCAGCCCAGCAGCCTGGACAGCTTGCGCCTCCCCAGCACTCTGGCGCATCCGCGCCGACAGCGCCCGCGCAGAGCCCATCGCACGTACAACGAGGGGCGCAGAGGATCAACGATGCGCTGTCGCGCGAAGCCAGTTATCCTGCGCTGGATACATACATCAACCGTACTGTAAACCGATTCTAACACTTCAATTCGAGCACTGACACTGCAGACAGAGGGCATCTCTTCCGACTACGACATCAATCCGAACCCAGCGTGGGCACCGTTCCAGAGGCTGAAGACCTACGAGATCCCAGATCGAATCTTTGAGCAGTACAATCGCGCGCAGGTGTCGACTATGATGGGCCTTTTCGCAGAGCTCAATCACGCTTGGGTCACGATAGACAACGCGCTCTACCTATGGGACTACACGCATCCGAACCCGGAGCTAATCGGTTTCGAGGAGCAGCCAAATAACATTACGGCGGTGAGACTGGTTGTTCCGCGCCCGAAAGTCTTTGTGGACCAGATCACGCATCTTTTGGTGGTAGCGACCACTTCCGAGATCATCCTCATAGGCGTCGCTTCTCAGCGGGGGCCGGAAGGCGTCCATGGTGTCTCGCTGTATCAGACGCGAATGCAAGTGCCTATCAAAGGCATCGACGTCAGCTGTATAGAGGGCTCGAGAGACACCGGCAGGATCTTCTTCGGCGGACGCACGTCGGACGATGTGTATGAGTTGACTTATCAGCAAGAGGAGAAGTGGTTCGCCAATCGGTGCGGAAAGGTCAACCATGTCACTAAAGGGATCTCGGCTGTCGTGCCTAGCATCTCTTTCGGACACAAGGGACCACCCGAGCACGTGGTGCAGATGGCAGTCGACGACACCCGCAAGCTGCTTTACACCCTCTCGTCTGAGTCGACCATTCGAGTGTTCCATATGAAGCCCCCCAATACGCTAGACCTCGCGCTTACCAGAAGATTATCAGATTTTCGGACCCAAATGTCACATATGATTCAACGAACGGAGCTGTTGGGGCAGGGCGTGAAGATTGTCTCCATCAATCCGATCTCGTCCACTGAAGCATCGAGGATCAATCTGATGGCAGTTACTTCCACCGGCTGCCGAATCTTCTTCAGTGCGACAACATCTTACTACACCAACGACGCATCTGCAGCCCCTACGAGCATGCAGGTACACCATGTCAAATTCCCGCCCGGAGACAGAAACCCTGCCCAGTCACCCACGCAGGGTTCGTCGACGCAGGTAACCAGCTACCAAGGCGGGCCGGCGGCCGACACCAATTCGAGATCGCTTGTCTTGTCCCGGGCTGCTGCTCGGTTCCCGCCTGGATACTTTTTCTGCTTTGTGCAAAGGAGTCAGCAGCGTGACAACGACACTCTATTCGTCTCAGCTCCAGATACCGGACGGATCGCTCGACCGCAGGAGTCAACGCAGCTGACAAGGTTCGTTGAGCAAGCCTCGTGGATCCCGCTCGGCAGTGTAATGGCAGACATTGGACTTGTGACGAAGCCGTTCGCCGCCGCTCGCACGCCACCGGGGTTTGGCAACGAATTGGCCGTGCAGTTCGACACTACGACGAGCGAAATCGCAATTCTGACTAATAATGGAATTCACACCATGCGCCGCCGACGATTGGTGGACATGTTCGCTTCCATGATCCGACACAGCGGCGGAGGGCAAGAGGGCGTGGAAGGCGAAGTCAAGAACTTTCTGCGAGTGTATGGGCGGGTAGAGACAGCGGCAACTGCGCTAGCCGTCGCTTGCGGTCAAGGTTCCGATGTGAATCCGGAGTATCGAGGCACCCAGGTCGCGGATAACGATGTGTTAGAGCACGCTCGACGGATATTCATCGAGCATGGCGGCAAGGCAACGATAAACGAGAACTCGCTCCTCGACCAGGGGGCCTCGGCGGTTGACAGGGTGCAGCCGTCGCCTCGACACGATGGTCTGGCGCTCTACATCTCACGACTGGTGCGGTCAGTATGGAAGGAACCGATTCTCAAGGAAGCCGTAACGCCTACTGGTGGCCTCACCGTGACACCGACAGTGCCTCTGGACAAGCTGCGAAAAGTGCAACACGATCTCACACGGCTGCAAGAATTCCTGGATGCCAACAAGACCTTCATCGACGGACTGGCGGGCTCGGACGCGCTCGGGCGTGTCGTAAACCGGCAGGAAGAGGTCGCCTTGCAGGGGGAGCATGTGGCGCTTACCTCCTTGGTGCGCCTGATCTCCAACATCATCGAAGGCATATCCTTCGTGCTCGTTTTGGCCGACGAGCGCGTCGACGAGGTCATATTCTCCCTCAACGACACGGTGCGGCAACAGGTCCGACAGCTCACGTTCGAGGGTCTCTTCTGCAGCGAGGCAGGAGCCAACCTAGCGCGCGAGCTCGTCAAAGCGATAGTGGACCGAAACATCAAGAAAGGATCCAACGTCGAAACCGTAGCCGAGTCGCTACGCCGGCGATGCGGGAGCTTCTGCAGCGCCGACGATGTGGTCATCTTCAAGGCGCAGGAGCAACTCAACAGAGCCGCCGAGACGGGCGCAACCTCTGAAACAGGCCGCGCGCAGCTAAATGAGAGTCTCCGGCAGTTCGAAAAGGTGGCGGCGAGCTTGTCGATGCGGAATCTGCAGGACGCAGTGAATGCCTACATCTCAATGGCTTTTTACGCTGGCGCGATCCGGCTCGCGCTGCAGGTCGCGCAACAACGGGATCGAGGCAACCGCGCTCTGAGCTGGCTCAACGACGGTCGTCCCGAGCAGGATCCGCGAAAAGAGGCATACGAGAGCAGAGCGCGCTGCTACGACCTCATCTGCGCAGTCATCAACAAGGTCGACGAAGCCAGCCAGCAAGCTCCCCCCGATGCAGACGGACAGTACTCCGCGGTAGCCCGGCGGCGAGACGAGGCCTACGAGCAGATCAACAGCTCCGAAGATGAAGTATTCCACACCTACCTCTACGACTGGTACCTGCACCAAGAGAAATTCGACCGCCTGCTCGAAATCGAGTCACCTTACATCATCACCTACCTGCAGCGCAAAGCGCACGACAACGCCAGAGACGCGGAACTGCTGTGTCGCTACTATGCACGCCATCATAGCTTCTTTGAAGCCGCGACTGTGCAGCTGCAGCTGGCGAAGAGCAGCTTTGACCTGAGCTTGCAGGACCGCATCGAGTATCTCAGTCGCGCGAAGACGAATGCATCGACGCGGATCACGGGGATGGGCGATGTGCGGCTGTCGAGGCAGTCGCGGCAGGAACTGACGCGCGAAGTGTCGGACCTGCTCGATGTGGCCAACATCCAAGAAGACATCCTTACTCGACTGCGCGACGATGCTCGCGCGACGCCCGAGCGGCGGGAGGAGATTGTGAAATCCCTAAGCGGGCAGATCCTGCCTTTGCAAACCGTAAGGCATCCCCTGTTCCACTGCCCGCGTTCTTGACACACAACTGACTCTTTGCGACCGCAGCTCTTCGAAGACTACGCCGACCAAGCCGGCTACTACGACATCTGCCTCCTGATCTACCACGCGGCCGACCATCGCGAGAAAGCCGACATCCGCGCAACGTGGCAGAACTGGATCCAACAGCTGCACGATGAGGCCACGGCTGCGGGCGAGGCGAAGCCGTATGAAGTCGTCGCCGAGCGGGTTAGGAGTCTTGGCCGACGTGTGCACCTGTCCGAATCTGTATTTGATATATGTAAGGCCCCCCTCCACATCCCTTCCCCGATAGTCCCTGCCTCCCCAATCTCCTGGTGGTTTTTTTTGAGGAGGGTAGAGGATACTAACGACAGAAACAGCACTCGTCCTCCCCCTCCTATCCCGCTACGCATACACGCATCAGCGTTCCATGGCGCCTTTGAATTGGCCCACCGAGCTCCTCCTCTCCCTCGGTGTGCCCCACGAAACCCTCATCTCGGTGCTTGAGTCCCTCTTCTACAACGAGGAAGCGCCCTTCATGGGCCGCGCGCGGCGGTACCCGGCTGAGAACATCGTTTATGTCGCCCAGCGATGGTTAGAGGAGAGTCTGAGACAAGGGGGACCCGCGCTGGGAGGCGTCGAGAATTGTGTTGCTGTTAGTGAGACGTTGGGGGTTGTGCTGGGGGCGGGGGTTTTGGATGAGATTGGGGTGGAGAGGGCGAGGGGGGTGAGAGAGGCGGTGGAGGCGTGTTTGAGGGGTTGAAAGCTGGGTGCTGGATGCTGGATGTGCTGCTTGCTGTCGTGGCTGGGTGTCCGTGTGGAGGCAGAGGTGGATGGGATTGGGGATGCTGGGGAGAAGACAAAAAGCGCAGTCGGAGTTTTTTGGGCGTGCTGCGTTCGAGCGAGCACTTGTGGCGTCTCTTGGATTTGGGTATCACGTGCGAGGAAGGTAGAGTATTGGCCTTGGTAGAGAACGATGAGGCAATCCTTAGAGCGCGAAATGCGCTGCTTATCGACGATCCTTGGACGTTTTTGTCGCTACGGAGATGGTGCGAAAGCTCATTCTTCCCAGATTAGGTGGTTGGATGCCTGCGAGAGGTAGTCGGGGCTGTGTGGTTGGCTCTGGTATCTGTGGGACTCTTCGCATCCACCTGCTCTTCAAGGCCATCACAACCCCTTCATCTCTCACCAGCCTTTCCACCTCTAGACCCCCTTCGTGCAGTCCCTACCAACCTCAGAAACATATCCCCACCCATGCACACCGCTGCAGCGAACCTTGGTCAGCACCCCAGCCCGTACGAACAGCCGCACACTCTTCGAGGAAGATGAACTCACCTAAAGCCAGATACGGCACATACACACCGTCCAACTTCCCCTTCGCCCCGTCCGAGAAGCCGCTCCAGCTGCGATAGTCCGCGATGCAGGTTAGGGTTGTGACGGCGGTCTGGACCGCGAAAACGAGGAGGGCGGGGGGGAGGTGGGGGGAGTCTGGTGGGTCAGTAGGGGAGTTGGATGGAGAGGAGGATGGGGAACGGATAGGTAGGGGATTGGGGAGATGGAGAAGAAGAGAGTCGTACCTCGTAGCAGAGCCGGGATCGCCCAGAGGCTGAAGGGAAGGTGGAAGAGGGCTTCAAGCCAGAGATACATTGTGAACCATGGCCTGCCCCAGAAGTTTGTTAGCTACTAGCGGAGGTTTAGACCCAGACGACGGAAGCCTGGCGAGTCCGTAGCCCTTTAGACGCGACTTGTGGTATGAGGGGAGGGGCTCACTCACGGCGGCTTTGTGAAGAATTGGTCTTGATATGTCGTGATGTAGTATCTCCGCAGATTGAAGATTGGCAGCGATTGGATAGCTGCGGGGTATAGAGGTGCGAGATCGACGACTATAGGTTCGAGATTTAGTTTGTGTGCTGTTTTCAGTAATACATTCGAATGGACACTGGTTTGATGCCATGGGCATGTGCGGGAAATGTGCGGGAAGTATCTTGCCCTCCTACGAACCACTAAAAGACATTCAGAAAACATGAAACCGGCGAGAACGATCGATCGGTGCTCGGTGTCTACACCGCCTACAACGAACTGAGATCCTGGGTGACTAGAAGAGAGAACTGGTCGACATACGAAGCATCACAGGAACGTGAACGATAAAGAAAGCCAGATAAATATAGTCCAGGTAGTGTTGAAGACCTTTACGCGCCATAATGACGGTCTCTACTCTCGTCCTGCGGATGTATTAACCAGATTGCCTCTCCAGAGACCGGGGCCGCGGAGCTGCTACTATGTTCTTGTTGTTCTCGAGAGTGATGGCGGGTTGTCGTTCCTGAGGGTTGAATCCGCAATATCAAAACGCGGACGCACGTGACTTGAGCTCATTGTCGGCGCAAGGGACCCCCAAAGCTCGGATGGACCTCTTTCTCCACGCAGTTGACAGCAGTAACCAGCCGCAGCTCCTTCCAATACCCACCTACTCTACACCCATCCCCCATCTCATCCTCCTCCATCCTGGCGTCCCCACGACTCCTCAAGCTCGCCTTCACCGCCGCCTTCCTCTTCGTCTCCATCACCCTCATCCTGGCGTCCGGCCGCATCAGCACCCGCCTGACGTCGCTGGTCGGCCATCTCACGCCCTCAAAGCTTTCCTCAGCTACGTTTACTTCGGTGCGCCCGCTCACGACCGCGACGATGGCGCCCGCGAGGTACCGGAACCCGCCGCAGGCGCCGCCCAAGTTCACCGCGACGCCGGGCTCGCTGATTGAGGACACGAAAAAGCTGGTAAGGCTCTCCTGCGGCACATTAGGGCAATGTGCGTGCATTTGAGTGCAATGGTAAGACTGACACAAGCATGCAGATCGAGCGGTCACGAAACGTCCAAGATGCGGTTGCGAACCTCACCAAAGACTCCGCCTCCTTCGACAACGTGCTCCTCCCCATGGCCCACGACGATAACGAAATGGGCATCGAAGCGCACATCATCGGCTTCTACCAAGCCGTGTCTCCCGACAAGTCCCTCCGCGACGCCTCAACCGACGCGGAGAAGCTGCTCGACGACTTCGGCATCGAGTCCATCATGCGCGAGGACGTGTTCAACATGGTCGACGCGGCCTCCAAGAAGGACGAGAAGCTCGACCCGGAGTCCGCGCGCCTGCTCGAGAAGAACCATAAGGCGTACATACGCAATGGGCTCGGTGTACCGGCGGGGCCGAAGCGGGACCGCTTCAAGGAGATCAAGAAAAGGCTGAGCGAGATCGGGATTCAGTTTCAGAAGACACTGAACGAGGAGAATGGCGGGCTATGGTTCACACTGGAGGAGCTTGACGGACTACCCAAAGACATTCTCGATAATCTGGAGAAGGGTCAAGGGGAGAATGAGGGCAAGGTTAGATTGACGTTCAAGTACCCGGATTACTTCCCAACTATGAAGTATGCCAAGCGCGCCGACGTCCGCCAGAAGGTCTTTCTGGAAAACGAGAACAAATGCAATAGCAACGTCCCGCTGTTCCGGGAAGCGATTGTGCTGCGCGATGAAGCAGCGCGGATACTTGGGTATGAGAATCACGCACAATTCCGCATTGAAGACAAAATGGCGAAGACGCCGAAGACAGTCGATGACTTCTTGGGTGATCTCCGAGAGCGATTGGCCCCTGGCGGTGTCCAAGAAATCAGCAAGCTACTCAAGCTAAAGGAGGAGGATCTCAAGAACCGCGGCCAGGAGAAAGAATTCGACAACCGGTACTACCTGTGGGACCACCGCTTTTACGACCGACTCATGCTCGAGAAAGACTACTCGCTCGATCACGAAAAGATTGCAGAGTACTTCCCACTAGGCACTACAATCCGCGGCATGCTCCACATTTTCGAAGAGCTCTTCGGCCTAGCCTTCGTCGAGATCACGGGCGAAGACCGCGACAGAATCTCAGAAACCAAGAAAAGCTCCGACATCGTCTGGCACGAGGACGTCCAACTCTTCAGCGTGTGGGACGACGAGGGCGAGGGTAGCGGTTTCGTCGGCTATCTTTACCTCGACCTGCACCCGCGCGAGGGCAAGTACGGGCACGCAGCAAACTTCAACCTTCAGCCGGGCTACATCAACGAGAATGGGAAGCGACGCTATCCCGCCACGGCGCTGGTCTGCAACTTCTCGAAGCCGACGCCCAAGAAGCCGAGTCTGCTGAAGCACGACGAGGTGGTGACACTGTTCCACGAGCTCGGCCACGGCATCCACGATCTCGTGTCCAGGACGACATACTCGCAGTTTCACGGCACCAATACCGTTCGCGACTTTGTCGAGGCGCCGAGCCAGATGCTGGAGAACTGGTGCTGGACGCCCTCGCAGCTGAAGGCACTGAGCCACCACTACTCGTACACGTCGCCCGAGTACAAAGCCGCATACGAGGAGAGCGCCGACTCGAAAGACAAGCCCGAGGAGCGCATCCCGGACGAGCTGATCTCGAACCTCATCAAGGCCAAGCACGTCAACGATGCGCTGTTCAACCTGCGCCAGCTCCACTTCGGCATCTTCGACATGACGGTGCACGAGCCGAAGAGCCACGCCGATGTCGAGAAGCTCGATGTCACGGAAACGTATAACAGGCTGCGCAAGGAGATCTCGAAACTCGACGGGCCCGAGGTGTTTGGCGACGGCAAGAATTGGAAGTGGGCAAACGGCGAGGCGACCTTTGGACATCTGATTGGTGGGTACGACGCCGGATATTACGGTTATTTAAGGTAAGCAATCCTCTTTCTTGGTGGTACGTCTGAGCACGGCAGCGGAGTAACTTCCGGTTTCTGCTGCTTGGCGATCTCGGAGTCGCGTCCGAGTTTGGGGGCGGCGACGGCTCGCCGCAGCCGAGGCGATCTTTGAACGATCCTGCGGGGCTTGCTCCTGTCGTTCAGGGACCTTGTCGCCGCCGGAGGCTTCGCCGCTGTGAGCTGCAGCTGGAGCTGGCACTGCTGCCTGATCTCGGGATACAGCGTCGCCACCGAACCCAGAACTACGCCCTGCAGACGCTCGGTGCTCCCATGGGCGTGCAAACATCACTGTTTTTCAAACATACCTGGTGCAACCGTACTGACAGACTCTTCGCAGCTCCCAGGTCTACTCCGCAGACATGTTTTACACCGTCTTCAAGGCGGACCCGATGAACGCGACTGAGGGCCGCAGGTACAGACATACTGTCCTCGAGCGCGGCGGCAGCCAGGACGAAATGCAGACGCTGGTTGACTTTTTAGGCCGGAAGCCGAGCACAGAGGCGTTCTATAAGGAGCTGGGGTTGAGTGGGTAGAGGCCGTTCTTAGGGGCCAGGATGTGGAGCTTGTCAGTGTGGTCTGCAGACGTGGTGGGCGTGCAGGGTAAGGCAAGCATTCCTCTGAACGGTTAGAAGCTGGGGTTGGAAGCTGGAGTTGAGACTTGTGCATGTTTGTCGTCGACACGCTACGCTGCTGGTACGTGGGACGAGATGGCGCGCCGCTGCACCGGTCGCTTTGCCTGTTGAAGATCGGGAACTGCATGAGGACATGATGCCGAAGGAGACTCACGCATGCCCAACCACGAGATTTGAACTCTTATGAGGCTGTGACTTCTGCTTTGGGACAAAAAGAATGACCGAAGCATCTAATCTTGAAAGATCTTCGATTTGCGCAAACAGCAGCCGCTAGCGGGGAGTGCATTAACGAAGCTTTTAGAGGAGTGGAGCCCCCGGCTCCCGTGCCATCTTGCATGATGACGGATGAGGGCTTCAGTCCACCAAAGACACCGGAGAAGTTAAGAGAAGGTAGGAGCCCCACTAGAATTAGGTATTTTGAATGGTCAGCTGTCACCGGGAGAGCGGGTATGCAGGCTTGGGGGGCTACCAGCCCGCACTTGAGGCCCCCTTGTAAATGCTTTGCGGCGGAAATGCCCTGATCCTAAAGACTGCAGCCACGTGCAGTTTAGGGTATTGAGGAAAGGGCTCCGCTGCAAGTGGCGCCTGCAGTGACACCCGTAGCCTTCCCCGTGCCGAGAATTCGATCTTGAATGCGGTAATTTAGATGTGATTGTTAGAGTTTTGGGAAAAGACATCACGACGGTGCCCCGTTACAATCCCGGACCAACTGAGTTAGCGTATGGACAGCCTCCGTAACATGAGGCATGTCCTTTGCAAAACTATGATGAAGAACGAGGAAACGGCGAATGCCGCAACAGGGGTGAGACTGATCAAGGGGGTAATTGTGATTGGCTACCTCAGACCGGAGGTCAGCTCCGACGGCGGCGGGATTGTTGAAATACGGTGCAGTCCCTGCGGCGACATGCCAAACTACAGCTACCTCACTCTGCCGCATTCGTCATGATGACCTAACTTTTCTCAATTTTGGAAAACCGTTTGGGAGAATGCTGCATCATCGCGACATGCGACTGAGGATGCAAAACACGGGGCTTGCCCGGACGCGATTGATCGTCCCACCATGATGGTAAACACGCGCGCCAAGCTGCCCGATTGTGTCTGTATGGGCGGGCGCCCGTGACTGGGATACGCAAGTCGAGGGCCCAGGTGGGTCTTGGTTTTCGAACCGCTGTTTCTCTCACCCGGCGCAGGCAGGCAACTTAGGAACAAGCGTACACAATGGAGGCCCATAAGCGGGCTGTTAGCTTTCCTGAGAAGCGAGGTATTTTTTGTATCCGCTTTCCGCCAAAAAGTACAAAACTAGCCGGGGAGGCTCACCAGCTCGCTTCTTGGCACACCCTCGCATATTGTGAGTAGACCATTGGGAGACTGAGGGAGAGATAGACGGGAAACGTTCTCGCCTATCCATTGGTGCCCTAGTATTCAGACGACGACGCTCGAGGCTTTCAGCGCCCGAAATGGAGTATCCTGGGCTGTAGCAAGAGGCTCCGGGGCCGCATCCGGCGTGCGGTTTCACGATTCCCGCGAATTTAAAGATCGACATGCCTGCCGTCCGAACGGGCTGATGGTAATCTGCGTTGAACAATTTTGATAGCCGGCCGTTGGCAATGCGCGCGACAGTAATAGGAAGCTTTGCGCAAGGGGAGTTGTTGTGGATACGGGGCCAGCCTCCCGCCAGCCGTGCGCATACAGTTGAATGAAGAGTGAGGTGCCAGCAGCGCCTGGCCGGTCGAAGAAAGTGGTGAGCGTACGGTGACGGACAACGGTTCTAGGTGCAGAGCCTTGGCGTCGGCCAGGAGCCCACCTCCGCCAGTTTAGCTAGCAATCGCACGGGCTGGGGAGAATTCGATGCTTCATAAGGCGTGGATGGCCACCGGGGTGCCAATGCGCTGTCGTCCTCCCGAATTGTAAGATCGCGGATTCCCGAAATCGGTACTGTCTCGTCTTCGGCTGTTCGTGGCGGGCTCATGTGACCCAAGCAGAAGATACGTTATTGAATTGCCATTGTGGTCTGTTAATGGCTTTTTGCCACCATGTCCGCCTTCCGTTCTATTCGACCATCATCGTCAAATACCACGCCTCACGCAGCATCTGAAGGCTCGAGCAGCAGCAGCACCCACGGCGGGAACGATCAGAGCGGCAACAACGCGAACGCCCAGCGGGGGAGAAAACGGCGCGCCCCAAGCCATGTGTCACAGAACGCCTGCACGAACTGCAAGAAAGCGCGAGCGAAGGTGAGAACTACCGTGTGATGGAGTTCCAACAGCGCTGATCTCCATTGTGCAATAGTGCGATGGAGAAGAGCCTGCGCCTTGCAGTCGGTGCGTGATGCGCGACATCGCGGACCAATGCCAGTATGAAGTCCACGTCAAGACCGTGAAGGAGGAGATGGTGCGGCGCATCAAGACCCTTGAGCAGCAGAATGCAGATAAAGACCGGTTCATCCAGCAGATATATGACTCCCTAAAGGGAGGCGCAGACGGCACCGAAGCTATCCGGCGACTCCGGGATGGCCAATCGTATGAGCAATTGGCGAACTGGTTAGGCCGCTCTCCAGTCGAAAATATTCGCAGGCTTTCACCGGCGTCCGAAACCAAGCTCTCGGATGTGGTTCGAAAATACGAGCAGAACGTGGGCGACAATGGAGCACCACGTGACACCAGCTCCTCTCAGTGGACCAATGTGGTGAACGAAAAGCTCGCGCATCACCTGATTGCTCTCTACTTCACCTGGGTCCATCCGGTGCATATGCTCTTTAGCGAGAAGCATTTCATGACGAGTTATAGCGGTGGAGACCGCCAGTATTGCACGCCGTCGCTGGTCAACGTCATGTGCGCCATGGGAACCTTCATGCTCCAGGATCAAGGAGGAACGCCGGTGGATGCGAAGGGCCTGGGGTCGCTTTTTCTCGAACACGTCAAGGAAAACATTCAGAATGAGGACCCTGACACCTTGACATTTGTGACAACCTATGCGATCCTCTTTCTGGTCGAGCTCAGCGCAGGCCAAGCCAGGACCGCATCATCGCACCTTCGGCTTGCTGTTGAGTCACTTCACAGGGTTCCTAGAGCGAGTTATGACGGCGAAGCCGTAGAGCTCGCCGCATGGGGTGTCCATACCATGAACACGTGAGTCAGTGGAGTTTCTTTGCATCTTTTTCGAGGTCGACGTTTTGAGACGTGAACTGTGGAACAAGGTAATTATGCATTCGCGCATAATGTTGCATCGCCGACCGCAGGGGAGGAAATAGTGACGATCATGACGGCGCTCTTGTTCATCAGAACCTAAAGCCCTCCGTTGCCCAAAATCGTGGTTGGCGAACTTATGTTCAAGCGGAACGGACACTCTCATGTCCAGCTGGAAAGCAAGTGTAGATCGATCGCCGTCTGTGGGCTGTGACATGCCGCGTGTCCGTTCAGCGCTTTCGTCTTCAGCGCTGGGCAGTCCGATCCTAACACATGCTTAGTTCTTGGGCAGCCTTTACATATCAGAAGCCATCGAGCCCTGTCTCGCCCACCGCGACTGTCTTCGACGGTGTCGAGATGGATGCCTCGGACGCATATTGGCAGCCTTACCGCTTTCCCGCTGACAATGCATCCAATCCCATCCCCAGCTGTGCGATTCAGACTGCGAAAGAACTGGCAAAGCTCAGCCAGGCGTCCCACCAGATTATCACCGTGTATTGCGGCAGTAGAGGCAAGGTAACAGCCTCCTCCATTCTGAGCCTGTATGGCCGCTGTCTGCGGTGGTACGAGGAACTACCCACCATGTTGAAGCTGGATGTGCCTGACTCCGAAGGGTTACCTCACATCTTCCATCTTCAGTGAGTCGACGTCTCGCCATCATCCGCTGCTCCTCGCTTGCGAGTTTTATCACCAGACATCGACCACATCTAACGTCCGAACAGCATCTACTACCACGTCGCATTGTGTCAGCTGTTTCAACCACTCCTTTGCTACGATGGATTTTCGGATGGAACAAAAAGACACATCAGATCCATTGCGGTTCAGAGTGCTCAAGCCGGGCTGCAGATTCTCGAGCGGTATCAACGAATATTCTCGAACCGATATCAGACGCCTCTGCAGGCATTCTGCCTGGTTCACCTATGTGATACGCTGATACGCCAGCGTGTAAACGCCCAGGAAGCCATCGAGTTCTGCTTTGAGATGCTTCATGAAGCATTGGCCGGTTTTTTGTTTATCGGTCCGTTACAAGCCATGTTTTGCCAAACGGTCAAGGAGCACGGCATGGCATTGCCCGATAACCACGAGGAGGTTTGGCATGGGCGTAAGAGGTACAGTACGGAAGATCTGCTCGATACGTGTGAGCGCATTACCTACGTCCAACCGGTCGACATCCTAGTCGAACGTATCGATCCGTCCATATCTCAGGAATTCGAAAAGGCGTGGCAGAAGTTTATCGAGACGCATGGCGGCACCGAAAAAGAGCAAAGCGACATAGTCGATGACGCGGACGTGGAGTTGCGGCCCTCCAGTGAGCGCTCCGGTCAGGGCAACCCAACGAGGAGGTTCATGCAGATCGATTCATTGATGAACCCTTGAGGACGCTCGGTGTCGGCAATCTTATGACTGTGCCTGGCCACCTCTTCTCTGCAATTTATGCACGGCATCACCAGCACAGCGGGATGCCGCGGTACGATTTACGTTCTACGACAGCTGCTCGCCGGGCTACCATCTCTTTCTACGATTCTTATGCGGGGGCGGCGTTGCGCTCCGTGAGCTGAAGAGTGCCTTTTCTGGCAAGGATGCATCAGCTATGTGGCCGTTAAAGTGCGGTACGGTGGTCTCAGTCTCTTCATGCGGTTAGAGGATGTTTCCTTGGCTGCAAAAACGGGTTTCTGGAATGGCTTGTTACGGAAGAAGACATAGAGGGGGAAACGGTCCGCTCTTCGACGCTCCTGCAGTGGGTCGACTTAGGATTTGCTCAAAGTTGAGCGAAGATGGGAGAGTCGGGGCACGGAGCTTTCTCCGTACAGGTGCCTCAGGCACAATCACGTGAATGCTACCTTCTATCTTTCGCTCGGTGACTCAAACTTGTTGTATCGTTAATGTAGCTGTCGGGACAACGAACATGCTGGTGGATGGAGAAAAAGCGCCTCAAATTCAGCGCGTCATCACCATCAGATTGAAGGTACCGGGCTTCAGTGACACCATTGTCAACCTTCGCCAGTACTGTTCTTCGCACCTCAGAAATACTCATATCAATTCGCAAGTCTGCGTTGGATTCAACACGACTACTTATTGCAAAGATGTTCGTTAGCTTTATAACAGACGTGGAAGTAGTTCGGTCCTTAGTACCACAGAACATCAAAACCCTTACACTATCAGAAGGGCAAGAAACTCCATGTACCGAATCACTCCAGAAGTTTGTTTCCAAAGACGTCTCATCTCTGTTTCTCTTCCGTCTCATCCCCGCAGCAACCTTAACAATAAAACCTTCTCGGTCTACAAACTCACACGTGCGTCAACAGCTCTAATTGTTCTCAGTCAGTGTGACCTCAATGCTGCTCAACAAAAGTACCGCTCAAGATATATTTCCCTATAACATAGCGATACTGCCGTACCCTTAAACCACACTTCTTACACTCAGCCCAGTCACGTTCAAAGTACTAAAACCTGTGGCACGATCGTTGCGCACCTCTGTCCTCGATGTCTCCGGGAAGGGACGCGATGAACCCGCGGGCTTCTCTGGGTGTAATTTTCCATACAATTTGTTTTTACCACCGACAAGCCCGCGGCTTGTGTTCACAAATCCACCAAGAGAAGTGTACAGTTGACCACAGGGTGGAACAGCTGCAACTACAGTCTACAGCCATCAGCCCTGACGGCTGTAAGTGCACTCTGCCGGACGTCAAACCATCCACGCAGCACGAGACACACATCCGCGTGCGGCCCGAATCAGACGGCCCGTAGCAGAAACCGACAAAACGGCTATGCAAGGTGTACTCCTCGATTTCAGATACTAGCATATTACCGTAGGTCAAGTCCATCTAAGACATTCAGACCCTAGAGATATAAACACGATATGCAAACAACCGCCCCGTCAAACCCCTTCATCCCCCCCAACAGCCTCATACCTTCCTCCGCTCCCACCAGTCCCCCTCGTCCTCCCTCTTCTTGTTCTCAGCGGCGCCTCATACATCCTTGTATAATCCACCCGCTCACCCCCTAGCATCGCAACCCCGCTCTCCCCCCTCCCAAACACCGGGCTCCCGTCCCGCCAGAAATCAGTACAGTTCGTTATCATGCCGCGCGTGAAGGGATTTTGCCGCTGCTGCGCGCGTACTTCATGGCCGCGCGAGCCGTGCAGCATGAGCGTGAGGGCTGTGTCAAGGCCTAGGAGGCGCTTCCATTGCTCCCAGAGGGTCTCCTTGGCGGCTTGTTTTTGCTCCGCTGCGGCGTCGGCGGTGAGCTGCCCGCCGTTGGGGGACGTGCTGCCCGTTGTGACGAACGACGTGATGGCGTCGGCTGTGCCGTGGTTGTGGAGGTGGCCGCGCATACTTTCGTATGTCGTCGTGGCGCGCGCGATCTGCACGAGCTGCACGACGAGGAGCATGGTTACCCACACGAGCTGGAGGGATGTCCAGGCTGCGAGGACAATAGAAAAGGGGTCCTTGTTGAGGATTTCGCAGAGGGCGGGGGCGAGGATGTTGCACTGCTGCGCCTCTGGTGCACTGGTCGTAGGGGATGGGATGGCTTCCAGATACGCCAACACCAGCTTCACCATCAGCAGGATCCCGACCTCCATACTCAGAACGTACAGCACAAAGTGTCGATGGTTGTTGGCTGCGACGCAGTTGTAGACCCAGGGGCAATGATGGTCTTCCTTGGCGACGCAGCGGTTGCAGCGCTTGCAGTGTTTGCTGCGCAGGGGTTTGCGGATCATGCAGAAGACGCAGAAGTGGGCCTCGTCGAATTGGCGGAGCGAGAGGAGGGTGTCGATGGTAGCTTTCTGTTGCTGTCGGCTGCCGGACTTGGGGATGTAACCCGGGTCGGCGAGCATGGTCGTGAAGTAGAAGTAGGCGCAGAGGCCGTAGGAGGCCGCAAAGAGTATGTTCAGGAAGGGATTAGATAGGTATGTCCCTAGGCAGCGGTCAGTTTCTGCAAAAAGGATGATGTTGAAGTCACTGACATGGTAACCATCTCGTGATCCAGCGAACGCCCACCCAAAATAGCGTGCCCGCAAAAACGCCCGCTAAGTAAGGCTGGACGCGCTGTCAGTAGACGCTCAGAACGAAACTAAGTTTAATGTACTTACAGTCCTGTGTATATGTTTCATATCCGCCGGCGCCCAGCGCAATAGTTGTTGAGCAACCCATTGTAAACTCCACGCGATAAACAAGGCGATGGGCACGGCCGCATACACCACCATATAGCTCAAAATATATAAGGCGCACAGAAGTATGAGGAACGGCCAGAGGAAGAAAAATCGTGACAAAAACGCCCTCCTATCCTTCACCAATGGGGACAGCGGAAAGTATCTCGGACTGCCGTTCGAATTGAACCCTGAATCCGACAGCGCGCGCCGCCACTGCTCGACAGTATTCATGTCCTGCGCCGTGACCGCCGGCGTCTTGCCCTCGTTGTTCTCCGCGAACCGGTCGGAGCCGTACTCGATCAGCTTCTGGATGCACGGCTGACTCCCTTTAACCAGCGCCCAGTGCAGTGCCGTGAACCCCTTGTCATCCCGCGCATAGACGTTCGCGCCCCATCGCAGTAGCAGATCCACGACAGCAGGGTAGCCCTTGTACGCCGCCCACATGAGGCTGGTGTGGCCGTTCGCATCGGGGATGTCGACGGGTATGTCCTGGTGCAGCAGTAGCACGAGCTGGAAGACGTTGCCGTCCAGTGTTGCTGAGTGGAGGAGGTTGAAGCCTTGGTCGTCGGTCAGGAGCGGGTCGGCGCCGTGCTGGAGCAACAGGTTGACGGTGTAGTAGTAGCATCGTTTTGCGGCCCAGAGCACCGGGGTGGCTTCTGCTTCGCCGCCTTTGGCGTTGACGTTGGCGCCGGACTGGATGAGGAAATGGCAGAGGGCGTAGTGGTTGTGTATCGCGGCCCACTTTATGAAGCTGGGTCAGCATCTACCCCCATAGCCTTGTGATCTGAGCGCTGAACGTACGTGAAGCGGTATGATGCCCTCCTCGTCCGCGTATGTTGCATCATACTTTCCGCTGTCGAAGAGCTTTTGGATTGCCCCAATCTCCCCTAGACGCGCCAACTGCATAATGTCCTCCTCGATAGGCAGCTTCCGCTGCGCCCCCATCTCTGACAGCTCATGGTGGCCTCCGTCCGTGATGCTGCCGTTGTGGGACTTGGGTTCGGGTCGTCCGGCAGTGATCGAGGACGCGGAGGACATTGGGGTTGTCCTAGGGTTGGTTTACTGGTTTCTGGGGTGAAGGAGGAGCCTCTGGGGATCAGGCATGGCGGGACAACGTATGCGCATCTCGAATTCGAGCAGGAGGCGCAATGGGGAGGAACGATCGACGGAGGCTTGCGCGGAGTCGAACTCGGGAGGCGTCAGCGTGGCGGTGCGGCCAAGGCAGCAAGACAGCGAGGCAGTGAGGCATCAAGGCAGACAAGTAGCCGGCTTCCACGTCAGAACGTCAAAGTAATTGCAGTATTAGAGGTCACGCAAGTATACTCAAGCGAAACTCATCTCGCAGATTACGTACTACATTCTATGCATAAACCTGATAAACCGTCACTTGAAAAACACTTTCCACATCAGATGCTCGCTTCCAATGTGCTTAACTAAGGGAATAGCAGCCCAGCAGTCCATTTCGCAGGGGGCAAGTTACATCAATGGCTGAGATGAAGCGCTCCGAATTGACAGCAATCCGGTCTATGGCCGTAACTGCCGGCCTTTGTCCTTGCATGATCGCCGAGCTGGTGGTTTGGAGGCGTCAGGCTTACAGAAAGCGGAAATTGCTGGCCGAAGCGTTCGACGGGCAGTCGTGGTGAGAACGCTGACTGCTGCTCAGCTGCCACATCCGCTGCTAGATGTCACTATGGTTTAGAGAGGAAATGACAATGATCGGGACTTACTGTTCAAGCCTGCGCTCGCGTCAAGAAAGCCATCTGCAGCTTGTACTGGTCGGACCTGATCGAGCATAGTGAACTGCTTCAGACTTGTAGTTCTTCTCATCACTCGAATCCTCGACCGCATATACGTCCCAAAGCTCAAATGTCATGGACGGGGTGCCCTTCATTGGCAGTTGCGGGCTTTAATGCAAAGTAGGACCCGGAGTGGGCGAGGTGCAATGGAATAGCCAACCCATCATAAAACTCCTCATACCCTACTTCGAGGCAATCTCCTTATCCATATTCGGGCCAAGGCTTTTGAAGGAGCGTCTCCTATGGCTCCTACTCTATCCGCTGAATTGACTTCACGATCGACCACAGAGGTACCTTAATCGACATGGAGGCTAGCGTGTGATCATACTGGCGAGCCGCTGAACTCTTCCCTCAACCCAGCCTCGCAAAAGGCTGACCGCGGCGGTATTGAAACGGTGTGCGTGCTGTCCATATAGCTTTGCCAAATCCACGACCGGACAAGTCGACCAGACGTGCGGCAGACTCTTAGCAACGACGTGGTCTCCTCTTTAGTAACCCGTTTGGTGCCGCTTCTCAAGCACTACGAGGCTCGAGGGCAGATTTTCCGTCGGATCTAAGTTTAGGAGAATAGTCTATCTGCCCAAGTGGCGCTGGGTCCGGTTCATGATATTTGGGACTCGTAACGCGGAACTCGGCCGGTATCCTATGTTGTACGAGCTAGGACAGAAGAGGAAGAGCGTAGGTGCTTCGCCACCAGAGAGTAGAGTAATAGGGAATTAGATAATAAACTAGCTTCTAAAATGCTTTATTTTTTAGAGGTAAACGACGTGGTTGATAGAACCGTGATTTGCGGGGGTTTCCGCGGTGAGGGTATTCGCTTATGTGCCTAGCGTTTGCACTGTTTGCACCGTTCCAAAGCGCCAAGACTTCGCAAGCGAAGCGACGCGGCAAATCCCGCATCCCGCACAACGAAGCCAGAAACCTACCTCTCACCTTCAACTCCAGTCAAAGCAACACCAACAGCGCGCGCCCACTCCAACAAACCCTCCCCTAATCCCACTCCGTCAACCGTCACAATGGGCCGCGTCCGCACCAAGACCGTCAAGAAGTCCGCCAAGGTCATCATCGAGCGCTACTGTGCGTCCAGCACCACTTTCAGCGGGCACGGAAGAGATATTAATATCGTGCAGACCCCAAGCTCACGCTCGACTTCGAGACCAACAAGCGCATCTGCGATGAGATTGCTATCATCGCTAGCAAGAGGCTGCGCAACAAGGTCCGCTTTCCCACTCCCCCATCCCGCATCCCGCAGCCCTTCGGACAACCGGACGTGCTAACAGCAGAGTGACCGATTCTAGATCGCTGGTTACACTACCCACCTAATGAAGCGCATCCAGCGCGGCCCGGTCCGCGGCATCTCCTTCAAGCTACAAGAAGAAGAGCGCGAGCGGAAGGACCAGTACGTGCCTGAAATCTCGGCGCTGGACTTCACGCAGAACTCGGAGAGCGGGCAATTGGATGTTGATCAGGAGACGAAGGATATGTTGAAGAGCATGGGTGTAAGTGATTCATCTAACGGGAAGGAGGAGGGGGGAAGGGGGTGTGTATGGGATGGCTTGCTGACATGGTGCTTGTGTGCAGTTCGACTCCATCCCGGTCAATGTGGTTGCGGTTAGCCAGCAGCAGGTTACTGAGAGGCCGCGTCGCTTTGGTGATCGTCGTCCGGGCCAGTAGAGGTGATGAGCTAGGGTTCTGGTGCAAGGGGAATAGGTCTGCGAGGTTATGGGGTATCTGGCGCAGGTAGACCAATCTACTTCTCTTCCCCATCAGGTGTCGCTGAGTCTTTGGGTCTACCCGGGACGAGGCTTGATTGCCAATATTCCTGCTCTTTGAGATTTTGCCCTGCACAACGAAATACTAACGGTATGGTTGACTGGACTACAAAACTACACGCGAAGGTAGGTGACGCGCTTGTGGAGCACGTTCCAGCTTCTACATCCAAGCCCATCGCCATTCGTTGTCATCTTCTTCGGCTGTTCGCCATTCAGTTTCTTCTTTCGAGTCTTTCCTCTGTTATAACTTGGCGGCTACTTAGAAGGACAACGCACTTTGACATGCCGAGTCGTACTTGGTGGTCTATTCGACTGTGACTAACATCCTTCGTCGTCATTTTTGTTGAAGCATCTTGTGCATAACTGGCTCTTTAGCGGGCAGTACGCTGGGCGCTTCGGAACCTTCTCACCAATCGGACCCGTCTTATCTACTCCTTGTCAGCTACCTTACGAGTGGTTAATAAAGCATTCTCCACACTAGAAGATTCTATTTTGATCTACCTTATATTCGCCCGTTTGATCACGTGCGACACGTTTGCCAGAAACGTTGCCGTCATCAGATTGAGCCGCCATCGAGGCTCGAAGAGATGGGGAAAGGATACTGGCTACCATCACCGGCTGTGTTCTAACTCAAAAACAAGGACCCAAATGCGACTTCGTGATCTGAAAAGTCGGAGTTGAGACATCACCGAGGTTTTACGCTAGATCTCTCCCGTAACTCATATAAACGCCACTCGAAAACATACCCAGGGTAAATTCTTCACGCTGTGCCTCAACCTTCCAGCAGTATAAGCCTAGTTCAGCCTCGATACGTCCTGTCCGTCCCCCTCCAGCCGTCCTCTAAGTAAGGACCTCCGCTTCCAGTCCCCCTCCTCACCCTCTCCCTTGCTATGACCCTTTCCCCCCTCTCCCGCAACGACTCACCCAGGGGCTCCTCCACCGGCGAATGCACAACCACACCCCTCCCTCCACCACCCCTTCCCCTCAGCGGCGACGCCAGCTCCGGCTCCACAAGATCCAACCTCCCCATCCCCCAGCGCAAACCCGACAAAGTCGGACTCTCCGGCTCCGGCATAGGCGCCGACGCACGGGCGGCTCTGGCAGTCCAGTATGCGACATCCGCCTCCGTGCGCCGTACATCCGCCTCCGCGCGCCGGATCTCGGCCGCCAGTTTCTCGCGGCGCAGACTGGCGGCGGCGGCGTCGGAATCGCGCCGCTGCTCGCGCTTCTTAGACGGGCTCTCGAAGCTAAACGTCCGCCGCTTCTCCGCCTCCTCCTCCGCAGCCCAGCGCGCGGCTTCGTCCTTCTCGCGCTCCATCCGCCGGAGCAGGTCGTGGTACTCATCGCGGCGGCGCTGGGCTTCGGCTTCGTCGCGCGCGGCTGCTTCGCGGGCTTCTTTGGCTGCCTGCTCGCGCGCCCGCTTAGCGGCTGCTTCGCTGTCCCGCCGCCGTCGCTCCTGGGCATCCCGCTTCCGCCGCTCGGCGTCGCGCTGGCGTTCACGGTCCGCGAGCCGCGCAGCTTCCTTCCGCGTCCACTCGTCTTCTCTGCGCCGAGTATCGCGTGCGGTGAGGCGGTCTTTCTCGCGCAGCGCGTCTTCTTGCGCCTCCCGCTCCACCCGCTCCGCTTCCTCCTGCGCGGCCCGTCTCGCCTCTGCTTCAGCAGCCGCCTTCTCGGCCGCTTGCTGACTTCGCCGGTGCCGTCGTCGCAGCTCTTCACGACCGGTGTCGCGGAAGCGGATGTCGGCGTCCTCGTCGTGCGGAGATGCCGTGGCTGACTCGGGCGGCGCGGTTGGCCGCGTGTTTGTCACGGAGACCCGGAGACCAGTGCGGCGCTGTCGGGCGGAGCTGGGAGACTTGGAGGGCTCGTCGGGCGCGGCGGCGGCGGTTATCGTACGGGGAGGGCGCGGCGGACCTCCTGCGCCGCCGGAGCCGGGGGCCGTGGCTAGAGGGGGCGGGTACGCGTATGTTATGGTGCCTTTGGCGGGTGGGGCGTCCGCTAGGGCTGGGACGGCGGTTGTGGTGTTGTAGGATGGGCTTGCGGGGGTGGTGTAAGCGGATGTGGCTGCGGTATTATAGGATGAGTAGCCCTGGTAAGCACCGGTTGTATACATAGGGAAGTTGGGCACCGCGGGCGGTGGGTTGGGTGCTTCTGGCGGCGTGGTGAAGGGAGAGTGTGGACTGTAAGGGGATCGAAGCGGGCTCTGCGGCATGATGGCCACACGGTCGGAGCTGCTGGAGTAGCTCGACTCGCCGGAGCGCCGGTTGTACTTCTTGGCGGCGGACTTGCGCTTGCTGGATCCGAATTCGAGGATGATTTCAGGGTTGACGTAGCGGGACGTCCTCTTGGACGATCTCTGCTCTAGGCCCGCAGGCTCGCGGTACTCAACAGCAGCTGTTGTGGGGGTGGGAGGCTGGGTGGTTGGAGGGGTGGAGAAGCGCGAATCACCGTCGAGACGGAAGCTGCCTGAGGAGGGCCTGGAATCCTGGATGATGGTCTCTTTGCGGGTTTCGTGGTGGCATGGGCGACTACCGTCGCTGAGGGGACATCGATGGAGATACTCGTAGGATTTGCCGGATGCGACGTAGGTTCTCGTCTCGATAAGACACATTGTCGGCTCTTTTCGGCGAGTGGTCTTGCGGATGAGGAGCTCCTTCGGTCGAGGCGAGTACTTGCGAAAGGTCGGGCAGTGGGTGCTGCCGCAGAGGAGGTGCTTGACTAGACACATGGTGTCAATATAACAGACTCTGGTAGGGCTAGAGCATAGGAGAATGGGACGATGTATAAAACAATACGTGTGCAGGTACGGCAACGGGAATAGTTTGGCAGAGTGAAAGAGCGCAAGAGAGCGTAACAGCATCAAAGCAGAATCATCAAGCATACATCGCGCGTGAACTTCCCTCACTGACCTTGTGTTGAGGTGATGATCTTGTTGTACCTGCAGCTGACTAGCCGGGTGAGACACCCACCCTTTATGGAGGGGGTGATCAGGAACAAGTAGAGAAGCTTAGCAAAAGTCAATGACGATAACGAACAACGGACGTATAATGAGGACGAAAAGGCTCGGGACAGAGTGCTACCGATCCTATGCAAGTAGCAGAGAGGTGCAGAAAGAAAGGAGGATCCTGTTGGACGGATCCAGCACTTAACTACCAGAGTGCCGCCTAGCGGCCTCAGAAGCGGTCCCCAGGATTCACCAGGCCATACATCATCGCTGTTCACACCCCAGCCACGGTGCATGAACTCCTGTTTGGTGGGGTCCGGTTTTGGAGGCTCTGTTTTGGGGATGCTATACCATACTTGCATAGCCTTACGGGCTGCGCCCGCAGCCACAGATGCCTCCTGTATCAGCGCGGCTGAGAATACGAAGGGCGCAAGCGGGCGTTTATTGATGCCCAGGGCCTTTAACACCGGACAGTACGACGCCGGCGGACTTTGGTGACATCGTCGTGGTTGAGCTTGCCATTACGGTCGCCGGTGAAGCTCATGCTGACCTCGGCGTCGCTGAGACCGGTGTGATAGATCAGGCTTCATCACCACAGCCCCACAGGCGGCGCCGCTCGCATATTCACAGGAGCTAGAAACTTCCCTCACCGCGTGAGATGCTTGTCCCGCTCCCGCGAAACAGCAGCGTCGGGTGATCCGAGTTGCGGTAAGTCTTGTGAGCGGCACAGCACGCAACTGGGGTGTCGAGGTCATGGTGTTGAGCATGTGTCTCAGGGCTGGGGCGGAGCACGCTTGTGGCTTGGTTTACCGGGGAGCTAGCTACAGAACACCCTTTTTGACTACCGCTCCACTGATGATGCTTCGTTTACGGGTTTTGCACAGGGCTGAGCTGATGAGGTCAGCGGAGGCGGGCTTCATTTGCTGTGGTTTCCTTCCGGTGAGCTGGGACGAGGAGAATAGGGAGAGCGGGCGCTTGTGCAGGAACGACTCCACGGAGTTGGACGACGACGAGCTCAAACCCATTGGATTCGTAACCACCGAACCTTGGCAACGTGTGTAAGCTGTTGTCTTCAAGCAACTGCAACCCATGTCTGCTGCTCAGCTGCCTTCAGAGTGAGCCTCGTTGCCTGTTGCCTGTCGGACGTCTCCTGCTGTCGTGTGCTGCGGACGCTGAATTATCAATCGATTCAAGTCGGTGAGACAGAAGGCAACTCGTGTCTACAGCCAGTATCGGGTTTACAGTATAGCCCCGGAGATGCTGCTCGGCTGCGGCCAGAGCATAAGGCATCGCCGGCCCGCGATGACACGCAGCGGACGCACTGTCGAGGCACGGCGGGTAGGGATGAAGGCTTGACTACTTGCTGCAGAGGACATATGCGAACTCAATTCTCTAAGAGGTCAACATCAGTTCACACAGCATGATGGCACACGTAGTCCCAGACGACGAGAATAGCTACTCCCTAAACCACCAGCGTTTCAACCCTATCAATAAATGAAACCACTGTATTTATTCTGGTGTTGAGGCTGTGCTGAGATATGAACATGGCCCCCAACTCCTCGCCAAGAATAGATTACCGAGAGCGCTTCGTACTGTGAACGAAATCCTGTTTTCTACTATCTTCAAACAAAAAACGATATCGTATCAATAGCAATCGATATGTTCTCGCAAACAATAGAGTTACGCAAAATCTACATCTTCTCTACAGAGAAGCGGCTGTCGCTGGGAAGTATGCATGTTTGTTTGGATACAAGCGTATCTAAGTCTTTCAAGATTCGATCACTTGCAAAAGCATTTAGATTCCGTTACCCCTTTGTCCTCTTTCCGCCGACACTCGATGCAGGATTCAACTACCCTTGCTCAGCTGAGAAATCACCTGCATCCCCTGGCTGACCAGAAGGCTGCAATGAGACCACCTTCTAGACCCCCCTACCGTTGGCATCTAACCCGGGCCCGCCAGGCCGTCATGCTGTAGACGGTTCCACAGAGTACGTGGCCCTGGGCTCGCTCTGAGCTGCACAGCAGAGAAGAGGATGTGACTGTAACGCCACGCCACCTCCTCCATATGTGCTTGCGTAAGCTGTTCCAAAAGAGCGACCTCTGACTGCCCAGACTGGAGTAGATTGTAAAGCACTGGTCGACACGCGAGAGTAGGGAGCTGTATCAAATGTGACGATCCTAGCAAAGCGATGAAGCAGAAGCCTGACGGAGTAGACCGGATATCATTGACGATCTAATGCCTCAGCAAACAACAGAACACACAGCCACTGTGACAAACAAGATATCCATCCCAACAGAAGAGAACTCCGGCCTGACTCCCTCTGCACGGCAAACACGCCCAACGCCCCGCTTTCTTGCACGCAGACACATTAGGCAGACAGACAATAGACTGACACACAGAAAGGAGACACATGACCGCACCTAGCCTCCCAGAGCTCCACTTCCCGCCTACGAAGGATCGAGTGTCCACGTCACCTGGAACACTTACGCCAGCCGCGTTCCCGGCGCCCCGTCCACAGGGCAGCCCAATAAGAACAAGCTCTCCGTCTTCCTCGGGCAGCAGGCCGTTCCCCCCCAGCAGCCCTCCCCTAAGTTTCTACCTCCTATGCCCACCCCCCGTCTCCGCCGTGCCCCCCGCCGCCGTCTCATATCCCGCACTCGGATTCGGATAATAAAACGCACTGATGGCGATAACCATATAAACAAGCACACACAGCACGCCCTCGAGATAATTACTCTTGCCGTCCCTTAGGAAGTTACCCACGACCAGGATCGCCAGGACCAGGACCACGGCATCGAACGTCTCGAAGTGCAGGTCCATCGGGCGGCCAAGGCCCCAGCCGACGATCACCACGAGAGGCGTGTTGAGGAGCGCGGTCTGCACGCACGAGCCGAGGATGTGTGACAGCGCGAAGTTCATCTGGTCGTCCCACGCCTCGTCCACGGCCGTCAGGTGCTCCGCCGTTTTCTCGACCAGCGGGATCAGGATCAGGCCCAGGAAGGCGTCGGAGATGCCGCGCGAGTCGACGATGTACTCGATCTGGCGGACCAGGAAGATGGAGATGAGGGCTACGAATGTAAGCGCTAGGGCCAGGGCGACGACGCACTCGGTCAAGGTGAGTTTCTCTTTGGCCAGGTCTTTGTGCCGATCGACGTCTTTTTGCTCGTCGGCGCGTAGGACGTCGGAGTAGAGGCTATGGTGGGTTTGCACTTGGAAGTAGATAAAGCTGGGGGTGAGAGTGTTAGCGGGGGTGGGGTAGAGGGGTGTCGATCAGGAGGGTAGAGAAAGGGGGAGAAGAGTAGGTATTGGGAGGACGTACACGAGATAGGCGAATAGAAGGATCACGGCTGTGGCGCGGCTGATGTTGAGGGTTTCGCGGGCGAAGGCATTGCCGTTTTCGGTGGAGAGGGCGGCGGAGAAGACGGCGGGGACGACAAGGCCCACTATGAAGAGTCAGCTAGGGTAACGGAGAACAGTACAGCGCTATGGAGGGACTGCGGCGTTCCCACAGCCTAAGGTTTGTACTCACTCCCAGCAACCAACATCAGATTGCTCCCAACCTCGCTAACCGCATTATGAAACTCCTGCTCATCCCTCCTACACCCCCCAATAAAGAACACAGCCCCCAAACACAATAACAAATTCGCCAAAATCGATCCCAGAATCGCGGCCCTAATAATATGGATATGGTGCGAGACCGAATGTGGGTCGGTGATCAGGACCATGAACAAGATAAACTCGACGATGGATCCGAATGTCGTCTCGAGGATGATGCCTGCCACCCTGGGCACCTTCCGCGCCATTTCCTGCCCCGCGAAGCCGAGGAGGTTGGCGGCGGGGATCATGGCGATGTAGTTGAGGATGAAGATCCAGAGGTGGGCGTCGGGGCGGGCGTAGTACTGTATCACATCATGTTAACAAACCCTCAAGGAGCTGTTAATCCGCAACCAGGTCTCTTACAATCGCAATGGCGGCCGGTATGAACGGCCACAGCACATTGAGCCACTTCGACAACCGGCTGGTGCTCCTGAAACATATCCTGACAAACCTGAGCGGATGTATGCCTTTACGACCGCTCTCTCCGTCTGGCTGAATGCCCTTTGTCACTTTGTGCCCGTTGTGGTTGTACTGTGGTAGGTCGCCGTTCTGGTGGCTGTGGTGGCCGTAGTGGTGTTCGTGTTTCCGAGGCTCTGGTCGGCCACGACGCGCTCGCCGGCTACTTGTAGAGGAGGAGGAGTGAGGCGGGATTGTCGCCTCGGGAGGGTATTTGGGTTCGAAGGTGTAGCCGTAGCCGGGTTCGTGGCTTGCTCGACGCGACATCGTTGCGCGACTGCTGGCGGACTGTGCGGTGTATAGGCAAGTGTTTTGGAAGCGAGCGACGTGAGGATTCTCAAGTGTCAAGAGAGAGCGTTCATGAGTGTAGGTTGGAGTTGAGAGCGGTGCTGCTACGCTCTGGCAGGCTGCGTGGTGTGCAGAGAGAGGAAGCTGCTGCGCTTACAGGGCTGGCAATCACAACGCGCAGAGAAAGTGAGCAGACGGCGCAGAGGAATATCTACAGCAAGGCGCGAAAGCGGAAGGAAGTAGACTTGGAGGAAGCTCTTGGAGGTTTGTTGTCACGCAACCTGGTGACCCTGTTTCAGGCCCTAGAAGCTTGAACTCTGTGACATGGTGTTCTGATGCTGAGCAAACAAATCTACGCGACACCTGCAGAGCGAGATCATTATTCTGATATACGATTGGCCAGCTCTTGGAGAGTGCTGCGCTGTCGCCAATGGAGGCATTTCGTGGTCAAGCAGGATTGTTATGCCGCCGAAATACCCCTTGGCAGGACCCTTCCTTGGCGGGTTTGACACCGGCTTTCCCCAGATTTCCCTAGACGACGTCATTCCTCACAACGGTTCAGAGTCGGTGTCGCTCTAAGACGGCGTAGAGGGCGAGCTTACACGCGGTTTCTCCGCGGAAGTACTCTGAAAGATATCTGAGTGATTGAGTAGAACGTAATGTGTAAAGAAACACTAAACCCATTCGCTACGTTAACTACAAACGCCCAAGGCAGAACGCAGAAAAACAAGCTGCTTCGACGCATTAAACCACGCTGCATCAGGTGAATGTATCATTAACCGTTCAATCCGCCTCGCCGACATGTAAACAAAGTAGAATCCGACAACATCGTCTGACTTCCAGTCCCAGTCCCACTCAACTCCACCCCCCACCCCCTTCCACCCGCGGCCAGCCCCTCTCCCCTGCTCATCCCACCTCTAAGAAGACGAATAAGCCTTCTCGACCTCCTTCTTGTACTTATCCAGTATCGCCTTCCGATTCAACTTCTGCGCGCTCGTCACCAGCCCATTCTGCGGCGTCCACTCCTCATCCGCCAACACGACACCCTCGATGATCTCGATGCCCGCCAAGCCGCCCCTCTTGCCCGCCTGCTGCATCTGCTGCAGGACGAGCTCGTTGAGTTTCTTGCTGTGCACCAGCTCCTCGAGCGAGCCGCCCGAGATGCCGTGCTCGGACGCGAGTTTCTTAAGCGCGGGCTCCGCGGGCACGATGATGGCGATGGGCTTGGATTTCTCGGGGGAGGCGTAGACGCAGATGTTTGCGGTTACGGTGGCGGAGCGGTAGATGGATTCGAGCTGCGGGGGTGTGTTAGTCTTGCTGGCCTATCAAACACCTATGCCCATCTCCTCCGGGCGGGGCGGATGGGGAACAGCAGGCGGAGAAAAGGGACTGATGCTTTTGTTTGGGACCTTACCTTCTCCAGCGCAATATACTCTCCGTTAAGCGTCTTAACCAGATTCTTCTTCCGATCAATGATCCTCAGCTGCCCCTTGCTGTCAAACTCGCCAATATCCCCAGTCTTGAACCATCCATCATCCGTGAAGCTCTCCCGAGTCTCCTTCTCGAGATCCAAATAGCCCTCCGTGACCGAGCCGCCTCGGATCCAGATCTCGCCCTGGGGAGGCTTGTTCGTCGAAAAGTATCCCGCGTCCTCGAAGTCGACGAGCTTGATCTCTACGGAGCCGGTGATCTCGCCTAGCGCGTCGTCGGTCCAGGCTAGGGGGTCCATCACGGCGCCCATGCTGCGAACAGGGAGGGTCAGTTTGGATACATGTGTCACACGAGAGATGGTCGACCTACGCTGACGTCTCCGTAAGACCGTATCCACTGATCATAGGCGCAATAGCCAGCGAGATGAACCGCTGCGTCTCCTTGGAAACCGGCCCACCGCCATTCAAGCAGATCCTAAGCCGTCCACCCGTAGCATCTTTGATCTTATTAAACACGACCGTATCCAGAATCCCACTACCCGGAATACCGCTCGACAAGAAGAACCCCTTGGCGCTCATCGCGCCCCAGAACATGTTCTTAACTATGGGGCTTGCGGCGCTGACCTTCGCCACAATGCCCTTCTTGATGGACTCCCAGACGGCGGGCACGCCGACGAGCACCGTGGGCTTGAACTCGCGGATGTCGCCTTTGCAGTTGCGCACGGATTGGTCCGAGAGCGTCTTCGGGTTGCCGTAGCCCATTGTGCCGCCCCAGTAGAGGACGGAGTTCTCAAACACGAACTCCAGGATGTGCGCGAGGGGGAGGTAGGTTAGGAGGCCGTCGCCTGGTCCGAGATAGGGGCCGACGATGACGTCGACGCCGGCGACTGGGCGATGTCAGTGTAAGCCCATAGTCTGGGATGAGAGAGCGCGCTGAATGTAGCACTTACTTGCGGCGATGACATTCCTGTGCTTGAGCAGCACGCCCTTGGGCGTTCCAGTGGAGCCAGAGGTGTACATGATACAGCACAGGTCTTCTGGTTCAGGCGGCACAGCATCGACGGGGTTCTGCTCGCCCGACTTGACGAGCTCGTCGAAGCTCTGGATCGTGAGGTACTCGTGCGCGCTCTTGAGCTTCTCGATGTCGGCCTGCTTGACGTCGCCCTCGCTGTTGTAGACGACGTGGCGGATGTCCTTGGCTTCCTTGAGCGGATTCACAAGCTTGAGCAGCAAATGCGGGTCCAGGAAGATGGCTTTGGCGTGGGTCTGCTGGAGGGAATGCTTCAGGCCCTCTTCGCCGAGCGTGTCATAAGCTGTCACGATGGGTAGAGACTGGGAGATGGCGCCTGAAATGCATCAAGTTAGCTTACGAGAACAACTGATGGAATTTTGAGTGCGACTCACCATGCGCTGTTGCAAGCCAGTGTTTGCTATAGGCCTGTCAGTGCTGCCATATCTGTTAAGCGCTCCGGTACTCGCCTCGTGCCGGCAAAGATGTGCACCCTGTCACCCTTCTCCAACCCCAGGTTGCGGAATCCAGCGCCGACCTTCAGCGCAAGAGCCTCGTACTCGACGAAGCTCATGTAGTTGTACGGGCCGAGCTCGAAGTAGGTCCACTTCTTATCCTGCTCAACCTCCTGCCCATCGACCATCTTCTTGACCTTCTTGACTTCATCGTGCGTAGTAATCAGATTGCGCGAGCCGACCGCCTTGGCGTTGCCGTACGTCGCGGAGCTGTACTTCAGGATGTCGTAGATAGTGGTGATGTCGTCGCGCGGGCGCAGCTTGAGCCCGTCCTTGGTCTTGATGTTGCGCCGCGGAATCGTCTCGCCCTTGACCTTGGTAGCGCCAGGCACCTCGACGGTGTAGGGCGGCGTCTTGTAGCTCTTGGGCTGCGGCGTGAAGTGCTTGAGGTCCTTCGGCATCGCGTCACCGCCGGTCGACGACCGTCGTCGGTTTGGGGAAGACAGGTTGGCGGTTGGGGATGATGCGGGCTAAGTGTGTCGTGAGACCGAGTTTTGTACTCTGTACGAGTACGAAGAAGGGGTCGGCTGCCTGGGTAGGGACAGCTGTCTCGGTCCAAGAGTCTTGGGTCGTCAGGTTGTCAGGTTGTTTGGGGCTGCTTGGCGGGAGGCTGTAATGGGGGGGGCGCTTCTGTCCAAGCTTGAGGCCGTTGCTCCAACGCACGGTGATGACCGCACCCACTGCAGGGTGAGGGCCTGGGGAAGCGGATGACCAGCGATCTGCGTGCGAGTATCAAACTAGCTTAATCTTGCAGCACTACAACAGCAAAAACCATCTACTTCACGTTCAACAGCTCTGAATGGACTCGCAATGAGGCCCCACTTGAATCAGCAACAAACACACCAGGCCCCAAGCTGACGATGCCAAGCCCTGCAATGGTCACAAGCTGAGATCGAGGCGCCCGCCCCCGTCTTCAACCGACACCCAAAGCAGACACGCCAGCGATGGACGCCCTCCTCGCCGCTCTGGGCGACGAGATATCCGACCACAACGAAGGTGTGCACTTCGATCCCCACAGCAATCCAGGAAACAGCAGCTGAGCGGTGAGCAGAAGCCTTCCTCGTGTTCTCGCAACCCATCCCGTCTTCCAACCTCGGGTTCGTCGACTCAAAGGCCCAGGTGCTCGAGCTCCGCGTCGCGGGCAGAGACCTCACGATCCACCAGTCGCCGGCCGTGCTGGCGTCGAATCGCGCCGAGGGGACGACAGGTGCAGGTCTGTCGCGTCGTTGTCCTGTCCCGCTATTTGGCCCCAAACGGCACTGCTTGCGAGGACGTGGGCACGTGACTGATGTCTCGTGCTGTGCGCAGTTGTGTGGAAAGTGACGCCGCAGTTCGCGGAATGGATCGCCTCGGGCTCGAACATGCTCTTCCAGACCGGCGTCCTCGGCCGCGACGCCACCGTCCTGGAGCTGGGCTGCGGCGTCTCTGGCGTCGTCGGCCTGGCGCTGGCCTCTAAGATAGAACGGTACATCGCTACGGACCAGGACTACGTCTTGAAGCTGCTTCGGCAGAACATCGCTGAGAACTCGCCTTCACCTACTTCTACTACCAAGGGGGGCAACAGGCGCGGTAAGCCGAAGCGTCAGCACGGGCCCGGCAGCGAGACTACCGCCGCCGCGAATATAGACGCACTGGCACTCGACTGGGAGGAAGACGACCTCAACGCTCTCCCCGCCTTGCTGGGCCAGAGTCCTCAGTCCCCGGAGCGCGGTCTAGACGCCGTCATAGCCTGCGATTGCATCTACAACGACGCGCTCATCCACCCCCTCGTGAACACCTGCGCCGAACTCTGCACGCTCAGGTTCAACAGCGATCTCGAGAACGACGACGGGAGTGAGAAGCCTACGGTCTGCATCGTTGCGCAGCAATTGCGCTCCGCAGAAGTCTTCGAGGCGTGGCTGGAGGCGTTCATGGGGCGGTTTAGGGTGTGGAGGGTGCCGGATAGGTTACTGACGGAAGGGCTAAGGGAGGGGAAGGGGTTTGTGGTGCATGTTGGTGTTTTGAGGTCATGCATCGTGGGTGGACGAAAAGTACTGAATTGGCGAGTCGAGCGATAGATAGAAGAGAACCAACGAGACGTTAAAGCTAGAGGCTCAAGCTCAGCTTGGAGAAGCACTCTGATGTTCATATAATCGACACTCTTTGAGATGGCGGAAGGTGGAAGAGAGCGCACCGTATACCGATGCGCATACGGATCTGATGATTGCCCATCCTGACAGAAAAAGACTCCCCGGCTCAAAGTATCACAGATAAAGAAGTCGTACCATCATCAACAACTCCATCGGTCTGGTTCTCAAACGCTTGAACAACTCCTTGACACTTACCCCAGCGAAAGATTCACCCATGCGCCCAACCCCGCCTTCCCCCCCCCCCAATCCCAGCCGCTTTCTACAAGCCCCACCGCCTAAGAGCAGAATCAAGAATTCGTGGCCACAGTATGGTTGGTCCCTTTCTCGGTCTGCGTGGCCCCAAACTCTCTTCATTCTGCTCTTGGTCTCAGACATCCACAACCTCACCGCCAGGGGCTCGACTCGCCCCCTATAAGATCCGCGCTCTCAAACTCCATCTCCCACTGATCGACCTCCTCGAACTTCTGCTTCGCGGCCGCCAGCTCTTTGCTCTTACTCACAATCTCCACGACCGTCGTATCGCCCTCTCCCTGCGACTCGCTGCCCGAGGGCGGCTCGCTCAGGCCCGAGGAGTCGCCGTTGTTGTTTTCTTGGTCCGATGTCGGGCGCGGACGACGTGTATACGTTCTCCTGGTCGCTGCTGCCGGCGTAGTGGTCGCAGGCCTACCCGCACCCCCCTTCCTTGCCGAAAGCGGCGACGCAGATTTGAGCTTCCCGGCGCCTCCGCCCTTCTTCGGCGTCCTAGCCGCCGTCTTTGTGGGCGCTTTGCCACGGCCTCTCCGCGCAGGCGCCTGCTGTAGCTCGTCTTCGTCTGTGTCGACCATCGCGATGTCAGACGAGCTCGGGATCTCGAACGGCGATTTCGCTCGCGCGTCGCGTGGTTTCCGGCGGCGCTGGGGGAGCAGACTCGCTAGCGCCGCCGTGGTTAGAGCGGGAGCTTTCTTAGGTATCGGCTGGGCGTTGCGTTTTGGGCGGGCGGGCGTGGTTGCGGCGTCTTCGGCGTCGGAGAGGTCGGAATGATCGGCAGTCCGCGCGCGTGGGGGACGGCCTCGGCGCCTTGCAGGTGGTGCGTCGTGCTTGCGGAGTTCTTGGCTGCGGTGGGAGGGGCTGCTGGATTCTGGGGGGGCCATGGTTTCGCTCCATATTTCAGGGGCTTGCTCTGTTTCGTGGGTCGTGGGAGCTTCCTGCGTGTCGGGCATGCGGTCTGGCAAGCTCGATGACTCATGTGCGCTGTCTTCGTCGCGTCCGCCGATAGGGGGGCTGATTAGGGGTGGTGATGAACGAAGTACTTGTATCTCCGAATCCGGCTCCAGTGACGAGTGCTTGCGCTTCCTGGAGCTCGAGGTACGCGCTTCTTCAGGAGTCCCGGCCACCGCGCTCGAGGGTACGGTAACTTTCCTTGTGCCTACGGGCGTTGACTCGTCGTCAGGGTTGAAATCCCCCAGAGTATCATCCTCGTCATCATTATGCTGCTCGACCATACGCAGGATGCTCGGTTGGCGTGGCCTGCGCCTAAAGTTGGCTAGAGCGAGGACGGAAGTCTCAGGCCCTGGTGTGCTTTGTGGCTTGGCTGCGGACAGCGGGATCGGCGGACCGTGTGGCGATGAGGTTTTCGTGATGCGCTGAACGGTCCGGGTTGTGGTCGATGGAGCCTCAATCCGGTTCATAGGCGCAACAGGCGCCGCTTGTGTCTGAGGCGTCTTCTGCGCCGGTCTCGGGGCTGGCATCGCATACAGATCTTCCGTGTCACTCGTTGCCGCCGACGACACCTGTATCACAGGCTCTCGCTGTGGCTCAGCCCTCGGAGTCTGCTGCACTTGCGCCGGTGACGACACGCCCGCTTGTGCGCCCTTTGCTCTCAACGCTTCATCCCGTCTCTTCCTGAGCGCGTCCAACGCGTTCGTTTGTCCAGGATCCTGCGCGACCTTCTTCACCAGCTGTCTCGGCCTAGTGTTCGCCTTGCGCGCGTTCTTGACGGCGCCTTCGCCGAGTGCGCCTGTCATCTTCACCGTGTCCGACGGCCGTTGCGCGCCTCGCCTTCCGCGCGGAGGTCCTTTGACAGTTTTTACAAACCCTTGGCTATCATCGCTGACTTCGTCGGTATGTTCAGAGGATACGCGTGGTGCATTGAGGCGGCTTGCTGTGGTTGTCGCGAGCTTGGGTGTGACGGCGACGCGTGTGGGTTGAGCTGCGGTCGACGCGACTTTTGTGCGCTTGGGGCGCGGCATGGCGAGCGAATGACTGCTGCTGTGTTTACTTTATCTCGACAGTTACTCTCTGAAGGCTACTAAGCTGCGAGAGAGTGAAGGCGCGAACTGTTCGTGAGCGTGATGTTCTGGTGGTGGTTGCGGTAAGTTTTCGAATGACGATGGACTTGAGGGACCTGAGGGATTTGAGGAGCTTGACGCGTGAAGCACCGGCTTGGCGCGGGGATCCGCGGGGCGTGCGGTGAGACGATCAGCCCACCGTCCTGCGGTTCGCCCACAACCTGGAGCCTCCTGGTCGGGCTGGTTTTGATTGACACTGGCGACGTTTCTCTAGTAGGCAGAGCAGCAAAGGATCAAGGAACGAAGCATCGAAGCTGAGCGTGAGCGTGTGGCAACCTTAACATGCACCGGGACCAGACGTTCTTCCACCTCCCAGCACGGCCAGAGCATCACGCCAATTGATAAATCTCCCTTTTGGTACTTGGCGGCGCTCGACCACGGTTACCTTCACGTGCGTCTGCAGCCTTCAATCTTGGGGGACAGCCGGAAGATGCTCTCCTCGTGACAATTTTCCGAAACGCTCAATGTCCTACGATAGCCTGCAGTCTTCGATGCCTTATCTATCTCCAAACAAGTCCTTCTCAACCATCGCCCGGCAGATCGGGTGGTAAAAGTCCTTGTTCTTCTCAAACGTATCTACCGCCAACGTCCTATCCGCCTCATCCAGCCCCTTGAAGAGCGGCCTCACGAACTTCATCCTGCCCACCTTGCCCAGCAGCTCGGCAGTGGGCTGATACACCGACTGCGCCCTCGCCTTCAGTCCGATAACAAAGTACCGACTGACCAGCTCCACATTCTTGCTCTTCGCGAAACCATACTTCTCCCCCATCAAGTCCACCCGCCCCGGCTTGAGCGCCTGCGAAAAACTCTGCACGCGCTCGAGGAAGACGACGCATTGGTTCGCGGACCAGCCCTCGATGTCGCTAGCGTTGGGGTTGAAGGCGCTGTCCGAGCCTTTGGAGAACGCTTCCCAGTTGTCGGCGAGCTTGTAGCATACGTCTACCATTGAGGTGTCGAAGTCTGGCTTTGGTGGGTAGCCTGCTTTGTAGAACCAGGTGTCCCAGTCGAGGTCTTCGAGCTTCTTGGAGGCCTCGGAGTCCGAAGAGAAGAAGTCTAGAAGGGTGGCTTTGAAGTCGTATGAGTCAAGGGATTTGAATTTGTAGCTCGTGAAGTACTGCGCAAGGTGTCAGATGCTGACTGTCTAGGGAACCACGCATGATGCCTGTGGCTGGCTTACGTGAGGAATGAACTTGTCCCATTTCTCCTTGCCGATCAGCTTCTCGAGATAGTAGAGGAAGATAAAGCCCTTCTCGTACGGCACGGAGGAGAAAGCATCATCGGGATCCTTGCCCTTCAGGTCCACGATCAGCTTAGTGAACTCATGATCTTCACCGAACCTTTCGACGGAGTCTTGCAGCGCTTTCCAGCCGATGATGGCGGAGAAGTCTCGGTGCGGCTCTCCGTGGATGGCGGCTTGGATACGCCTCTCGAGATATGTTGTCCAGCCTTCGTTGAGCCAGAAGTGCTCCCAGGACGCATTGCTGATGAGATTACCGCTCCAGCTGTGAGACAGCTCGTGCGCGATGACATCCACATTCTGCCCTTTCATGATGTTAGCAAACGCCGACGTAAAGCGAAGATGCCCACATACTGTCACCGCTGATGATCGTCGGCGTCGCGAAGGTATAGACGGGATTCTCCATGCCGCCGTAAGGGAAGGAAGCCGGCAGAACCAACACATTGTACGTCGTCCAGGCATAGTCATACACTATCTTCTCCGCCGCTTCGAGGAACTTCTCCATGTCATTCTCAAGCTCCCACTTGCAGCTCTGGATTTCCTCGGGCCCGGTCCAAACGGTGCTCCTGGGACCGATCGAGGCACTGGCTAGATCGCCACTAGCTATGGCGAACAGGTAGCTTGGAATGGGCACATCCTGCTTAAAAGTATAGAGCAGTGTGCCACTCTTCCCATCCTTGCCAGGCTTCCAGTTGTTGGCGCCGGTCGGCAAGCCACTGGCTAGGACGGGCAAAGGTGAGCGGAGGTTGAAGGCGAACGTGGACTTTACGTCTGGCGTGTCCTGGCATGGAAATATTGATCTGGCGTGGATAGCTTGACATTGCGAGACTATGCATATCATCAACACACCGTACCGCAGCATCTAGGCGTGGCTACTTACACATGTACGGATGCTTTTTGTTGGATGTTTGCGCCGGGGTCAGCCATTGCAGCGCTGTGCACTTCTCCGTCGTGCTCAGAGTTATCTGGGCTCAGTTGTTAGTGGAGACTGCCTGAGAGAAGCACCACAGTACATACATCTAGCTGCACGCATTTGCCCTTTGCAACGCCGCCATCAAGTGTGACAGTCAGAGGACTGCCGTAAGGCTCGAAACGAGATGCGAGGCCCCATTTTGCTGTCTTTCCTCCGATCTTGACCTCTTTGATGTCCAGATGGCTAGGTCGTTGTTAGCTGTCGTCTGGTTTGACGTGTTGCAATTCCGCATCGCAAGTCAGAATGTGTTGTTGGTAGGGGCACAAGAACTGCGCTGACTGGATCACTTCCCTTACACCTCTGGCTTACGGCTACCTTGGGCTTCTCGCGAAGCATTGCCTCACTAATAAGATAGGGTCCAGGACGAGATGTACAAATCATTCATCGAGCGGCACGTCTCGGAGTGAGGATAAGCACCCGAAGTTGAAGCCTTAGGGAAAGTACGGGGAAAGCACGGCAGGGTGCAGCATCACGAGGGTAACTCAGGAGCTAAAAGCACAACGACCTCAAGAGGAATTATACAGTACGTGTGACAGTTCTGTCCAGTACACACCTTGTATCAAGTACAATCCGGTCAATCTCTCCTTCCGTAATGGATTCGAGGCTCAGCTCAACGTTACCCTCAAGCACTCGTTTCTCAAAGTTGATCTCGAAGTTGGCGATGGTATGCTTCGTCACGAAGTTGTTGTAGTTACTCAAGGTATTGGGATCTCGAGGTACGTTGATGGTGATATCTTGCGGAGGTGGGTGGGTCACCATCGCATGCGGAGCTCGATGCATGGCGGTGTTGTTGACGCTTCGAGGGGCAAATGGATTCAGCTTAGGCAGCCATCTAAAAGGGCTAAGTCTATTCATCAATCTTGCAGTGTTGAAGGGATAATCAGTCGCATGAGAAGTTGAAGCACGTGAGCACGAGAGTCGCCTAATCCGGCAAGCGTGACTCTGCCGTGATCTCCTTCGCCGAACTCTCACGACTGCTGTCAGCTCTCTCATCCAACTTCCCGGAAATGCGGAGTACTTCGCACGTAGGAAAGAAATCCGTCGCATCTGTTCTGAACAGTAGGCCTTGCCGCTCGATCTGGGCACTCACGATCGGCTTGTTACCATACCCATCAGTGGTACTTTTCTTCCAGTCCGATGATACTTACTACGCACACCGCCGCAGGCCAGCCCATGAGGGGAGCTGGCAGGCGAGTGAAAGCACGTGAGGACAGCCTGGCGGGTCTGATAGCTTCTTTCTTCTTATCATCTGCGTTCCAACTCAATCTTTACCACTGACCGACAGAAAGAAGACAACACCATCCTGAGAAGTCTACACTGTTGCATGCCTGGTCAGCATTGACACTTCTCATATCCAGCCAACTCTCACCTTGTCCACAATCAAAGTCTTCATCAAACCATGTCACACAGGGTTAGCTTTGGTTTGTTACAACCAACTCCTTTGTCCATACCAAGATAACGGATCTTCGAGAGATGTTATACAACCCGTCGCTAACATCACACATACTAAAGTTCTAAGCTTCCCCTCGCATACACTGACACCCAGCCTATATGGATCGACGGCAAAAACGAACGAGTCAGTGGAGCGCTTGACGGTTGTGAAAAGACAGGCGCCTTGCCTGGAGAATTGAGTTACACCATCGAATATACATGTCACGCCCAAACCAAAGCTGAAGAGCAGTTTCGCGATGCTTAGAATGCTCGAGACTGTGTCACGACTCCGCCACTCCTAAAGAGCGGGCGACACAGCTTTTCGGCCTCGAGCGATTAGAGACAGCGGCTGAGACTAAACGCTCCGAACGCTCCCAGAGTCTCGCGCTAGTAACACGCTAGAATCTAGCACTCGATTAGGCCATCCGGGATGCAAAAATTAAGCTACGAGAAAATGAGTTGCCCTTTAAAGACCTCAGTTCTTAGCGACTCTAGGATATTAGCTATTTGACGAGTGTCATGGGTCAGGAAGATGTATTCATTAGCAAGTTTCTGCTATTACCTCCGAATAAGTAGTACGCGGTAGCAGTTTCTCACCCTACGTGTCGCCGGCACTCAAGACACATGTATAGCAAATATACTAAATTCACCAGTCCACACTGGCGAGTGGCTTCTATAATATCGCTTACATACGTGGGATCCACTAGTGTCGAGAGTGGCCTTGGAGGAGCTGAAAAGACAGTCTCGCAAAAAACTTGTCAATGCACATTGCCAGCTCCGGAAACCGAACACCTACACCACAACTGCCTGCGTAGCATCTAGGACGTGAGATGCCCAAACGTCTCGCAATCGCATCATTGAGGGCGAGATCCTAGCCCGGCGCCTTGGTAGGAATTGTACTCGTCCGCGATCGTTCACAGTCACATACGTGACCTGGAGTATACGCAAGTCGCATGCGAACACTAAGAGGTGTCTTGAAACCCGGAAAATTCAGTAACAGCACAACGACGTAACTACCCTATACGAAGCCTCTCAACCATTCTATGCAATAGCTTGAAGCCTGCAGCGCACTTGCGGAAGTATACCAGCACCATGACCATACACCACTGGCAAACGCTGGACATCTCTCGATGATCCAAGCCACACCAAGAAGCAGAAATACAACGGGGCCGGTCCACCTCCAGCTATACCCCCTATTGGTTTATCGTTCAAAAGTTCAGGACAGCCATCTACTAAGAGTTTAACCCACCAGCGATGCTCTGATCATGCTGATATCAGCAGACAGTGACTTCCGCCCTATCCGCACCACTATCGACTTCGAGACTATCGTAGCGCGGCTGGCGAACAGACTTGGAAACGGACTGCCCATATTCGGAATCACCGACTCTAGAGAAGACGTGGCCTGAGAGCGGTGCAGCTGTAACAGCATTCACACTCCAGGCGTCACGATGGCAGAGAGCTTAAGGCCCTGCTGCAGCCTCCACTCAGAAGGTAGATAAGGGAAAGATCCCGAAGAAACCGGACAACGGCCAGATTCGCGTTAACAGGATCCGAGGGCGACGACGCGCCATGGGTCGACTACCGGAGTCGTATGCAGCAGTCGGTCAACAACGCCTCGTCCAGGTTTAACGTGCAAGGCCTCCTGCTCCAGATAGGACGTGGCGGTCTAACGCCGAGGAACGTACTGTCGGCGTTCGAGCAGTGGAACCCGGCCGAGCTCGAAGGATTCCACGACGTCGAGGGCGTGCTCGTGCACTCGCCGGATTCAGCCTTCGCACGCGTATCTATCACCACACCCGTCCTGCCGCTCGACCCACGGGACGTCCTGCTTCGGTTCTTCGTCCTCCACAGCAGCATCTCCCAGAACGTGACTCGGAACAGAGAGTACTTTTTGAGGGAGCTCTACCGAGTGAGGGGATCGGCTCGACAGGGATGGGCAGTCATCGACGCCGCCGACGCCGCCGACGCCGCCGACGCCGAGACGACTCACAGCTACCGGTGATGCTTTCATACCAAGAATCACAACGAGTACGGAGAGATCGAGATTCTGGATAAGCTACCAGACGTTTCTTATGCCTCTCTTCTAGGAAAACCGCTTGCTGGTCCTCAAACATTCCGCAAGCGGGTTACCGCTATCCTGGAATGCCATGCGCTAAGCGCGACACATCTCGCCTTCTGCCGTGATGGCTTATTGACGCGATAGGACAAGAAGGTTTGACTAGCAATGTATATGGACAACTTTTTTCTTGTTGTTGAAAGCTACGTTAAGAGTGGGTCGGAAAGCCTAACACTAACAAAGACTGTGGCACGTCGATTCATGCTACCAGCGTTAGAAGGCGCCTTCTAACTGAATCAAGATGATGAAGGCAAGGTCGAAGCCTATGATCCAAAACGGCCTGGCTGGCTAAAGACTACTGTTCCCCGCCGCCTGGCCAACGAGAAGCTATACGGACGGGTCAAGGACAACTACATCGAGGTTAGAACTACTCGCATGTACGGAGACAATCTTACCGACAACGGCTTAGTGGCTACGGTTATCGCATTCCTTCATTCCCTATAAAACCCGTTTTCACAGGAGCAAATTATTTCGCGCACTGTTCGTAGAGGAGAAGAATATCCGTACGTTCCTGCGGTCCGGTCTTACGCTTGTGCGTACTTCGACAGGAGGTTGATTAGCAACCATTCCCCAACGCACCAATCGAACACGGCAATCCCTGCGAAAATCTGCAATCCAACACTGAAAATCAGCCGGCCGCCCAACTAACAGTAAGAGCCTCGTACCTAGCCGGCGTCTTGACCGACACTATCACAATCGCGGTTAAGGATACGCCCTTCTTTATAGACCTAAGTGTTCGCTACCCGTTCAAGCCGCTAGAGCAGTTCCCTTAGGTGCTTACGTGTAAGAAGTCTTAGGAGAAGTTTAATAAAGGAACATCCTCACCTCGCTCAAGACATCCACGCGTATACCCTTATTACGCGGGCAGTTGATTAGCGCGTGCCACCTAGAAGTCGCAAAGCCGCTATGTCGTGCGCTACTGCGCGCCGTCAGCGCCTTCGTACGAGTAGCTTTGAGCATAGCTCATTCTTTGCATAAATCAACTGGGCTCTAAGAAAGGTAGTCCCTTTAGAATTGCTGCTTGGCCATGATGGTCATAAGAAGTGTTCAGTAGACACGAAGGTTAACAGAAAGGTCCGGTAGAAAGGTCCGGTAGAAGGTTCGGTATTTACAAAGATTGATGGTAAAGATTGTAAAGAAAGCTTGGTATAATTGGAACAAGTATAGCTATACTCGTTTGAAACGAAGAGCCGCTACGTCTCATGGCAAAGACGCCCTGCCTGTACGTCGTTATGCAACGTCCCGAACTTCACGCAACTTCGTTGAATTTATAGCTAATTTAAAGTCAGACAATCACCTTTCTCCTCCAAATGCTCATCGACCACGTCACCGCAATCGGCGACGACGTAGCGGAATTAAAGAAGACTGCTGCGAAAGGCAATAACCTTATCAGGATGGAAGGCAGGATTGAGGGCAGGCTGCTGGCGATGGATAGCAGGATGCTGTCAATGAGCAATGATATTCAGGGCGTTATCAAGAGGGAGGATCGATTCGATTGTGGGATAACATGTACAAGTTCTTCAAAGGGGATGCTGGAGAGGGCACTATTGTGCGAAAGCGCAATTTTGCCGGAATGATGGCTGAGGCCGAGGTCGCCAAGGAGAAAGAGAAAGTTGCGAAGGACAATGAGGCGGACTCCCTGCTCGATTTCACTGCTGCTAGCAGCACCACGCTATGCACGTATGAAGCACACTATATAACATGTACATATCTTCGACAGTCCCTCCATTAGGATCAGCACGGTGAAACTGTGCTTCAAGACCAACTCAAGGAGTCTCTTAATGACTTAAGCTACCTTGGAGCGTGCCCCCTCTTATCTCAACGGGTTGCCCATTTGCCCCCAGGCCGAGGACGAGCGACGAGCCGGTCGTGCGTCCAGTGGTTCGTCCATACGATGCAACTGCCGCGGCTGGTCCTTCTCATGCGGCTTCTGCTCAGTCCGAACGATCAATTTACCCTGACGAACATCTATTGGCTCCGGGTTCGCACGCTCGATCTCCAGCTTGATCTTCCCACTAGAGTCGATGGTCGCCCGTAGAGGCGTGACCCACACCTTGGGGCCGCCTTCGGTGTCGAAATCGGAGGACTCGACACCCTTCTCCTTCCCGGTGGCGTGGCTGTGCTGGCGCTTGTCGTTGACAACGACGCCTGCGACGCCGAGTCTGGCCTCGGAGATGTTGCCTGTGGTTTTCTTGCGGGGTTGCAGGACACGCGCCTGTACTGGTGTGTGGAAGCTTTGGGGTCCGAGCACGGGATGGTTCTCCATGAAGTTGCCAGAGCGGAGATATGATAGACCCGCTGAGGGATGCGTCGAAGGTGGCCCAGTGTCGAGGATGTCAGGTGCCACCTTATTGGTTTTGCCTTTCGTGAAGCTTGCAGTGGAGTGTGTTTGAGGCAGATCCAGGAAGTCGTGAATGAGGTTGCTCAGGTCTTTTCCATCGGCGAACTCGGTACGGTAGTTCCTGATGTGCGCAGCGATATCCTCTTCGGAGACTTTGATCTCGATCTCGGGTCCATTCTCTGGACCTGGCGGTTTGATGCCGTCGTTTTGGTATTCGCGCCGTCGCTCAGCTAGAACCCTTTCTTTGATGTGCGTCCTGAGATACTCCTCAAACTCGTTCTTCCGTTTCCGCACCGTCTCTGTGATGTAGCGCTTGAACTGCGCCTCTGTCATTCCTGCCACCCACGGGCCTTTGAACCTCCACCTAAACCTCTCCGTCGAGGCTGCCGATGGTGAGTTATACGCGCCGGGAAGTACAGGTGTCGTCGGCGCCGGCGGGTCTGGGTCGGTATTATCAAGGTAGTCCTCAAAAACGCTTTTGGCGGCTGTCGACGTTCCCGACACCGTGTTACGACTGACGGGCATCGCCAGGGGCATGTTCAATTCCTGCCATTTCTGAAGAGTGCGAGTATGGTCTGCTGCCGACTCGAAATCGGTGATATGTTCCCATGTGTCGAGCGCGGTGATTCGGACAGCCGGGGTGGTTGTGTTGGTGGTGGATCGTAGAGGCAGTGCGCGCTTCAGGCCCCAATCGCCGCGCGAGAGTGAGGATTGAGGGGTTGTGATAGCCTGGTATATCGGATGAGGCAAGGTCGAGGTGTCTGATGCTTTGGATGCTGCGGCGAAGGTGGATATATCGCTGCCAGGTCGAGGGAGAGGAGGCGGAAGGGAGAAGAGGCGCGAAGATCGCAGGAGCTGCGCGCCTGGCGACAGAGACTTCCGAGACATCTCTGAAGCCTTCAGCTACCAACGGATGCTGGCGCAGAGGATCCAGACAAGCTCCAGCTGCAGTTTTGATAGAATCGTCCGTATTGGTTGACAGAAAGTCGAGTTCGGTTCCCCCGAAGTTCAGCCACGGATATCACGTGGTTGCAGCATTCACGATCACCAGCGGAAGATATACTGAGGGTGGCACGTCGAGCAGGAAAAAAGCCTCACCACGAAACTAGAAACTCAGGGCTGCATTAACAATGAAGCTCCCTTTACGATCATTATGATGCTCTACATCACAGTCTAGATGGCTAACTCAAGGCTTAACGTCCTATCGTTTAGTCTCAGAACTTACTTCGGCGGCTGAACGTGAATTCCTTTGTGAAGTTAATGGCGAACGAGCGCTGGGCCGCTGTCGCGGTGAGGCATTTTTCCCGCCCGACGTGGGTCGAGAGGGCTAGATACGATTCCGCCAGTGTTCAGCTATTGGAGAGTGCAACGACAAAGCGTGTAGTTTACAGAGAGTGCATAGCTTCTAGTTAGTCGCGAGCCACGGCTATCAATCCTGATTGCGTTTCCACTCAATAACATGGCCTTCTGCTAGGGCTGCCTAATGATCGCTGACGTATACGCATATAGGCTACTTCATATTGCCCATGTGTGGATCTGAAGAGACTGGTCCTTCAGTGACCCCTGCGTACTCCGCGAGTGTCGCTTACGCCATATGCCTGTACGGCTATCTTCTAGCGGTAGCAGAAGTCCATGTGAACGCTGAAACACGAGGCGATGCTCACGGCATGTCTCGTTGCGCGTCCAAGTAGCTCATGGATCAAAAGCACACCCCAGAGCCGATTGTCGATAGCTTTGATAAACACAGCTTAAGGATTTGCTTGTGTGAGTAGCAGGTCCAACACGCTGGCGTCGATAGAAATTCCCTTCAAAATGAACATAAATGGCGCCTCGTCAGAGACCGTTCATATACCCCAATCCTGGTCGTCGTCTTCGTCGACTTTGTGGTTCGCTATTGGGGGTTTGCCTGTCTTAGGCTCGTACCCCTCGATGGCTGAGTGTGTTGAGGTATCGTTCTTCCCATGAGAGCCTGGAGCTACTGGCGGCTTGACTGACATCTTTTCGGCTACATCGCTACTGAGGAGGCGGAAGGGATTCCCGGAAGTAGGCTTTTCGCCCCTTTCGAGGGCTAGAGCCGCCATATCCTGGCTCATGTTCTCCTGAACAAGGTCCTCGGGAAGAGGCTTCTTGCTTCTGATAGGCAACGCCATTGTGTGTGCTGCCTCCGGCTGATCAACCATGAGAGATATGTCGGTACCCAAACCGCCTCGCCTCGTCCACGCAGGCTCCTCATTAAGCTGGACCTTGACATAGAGCGCTCTCCGTGCACAGTCTTCAGAGCACCAAATCTCGAGCTGGCTCCGTGGCACGATTCTGGCTGGACTACCGTCGCTGCTACCGGGAACTATGCGCATCTTTCCGCCCAACTTGTCTTTCTTCGGTGGTCGTGGACAGAGCGCATAGCCGCACAGGTCCGCGGCGTGCCGTTCTTCGATCAGGGAGTCGTAGTCGCTTGGTTGGAATGGCGTAATCAGGCTCTTGAACTGTACTACATCGCCTTCAGAGGGGTGCGCTGGGTCAGCTTGTGGAGATGATGGTAGCTCGAGGAGGGCTTCTAGGGCTTCGAGTATCTGGGCTTCGGCGTCCTTCTGTTGCTGAATGAGGCGGGCATGGTGGAGGGCTATGTCGAGGTTGCGCTGGTCGCGAGGATTGACGGGTGGTGATGATGAGTTGCTACTGTTAGTGCTCTTCTTCAGTATTGATTTGGGCTTCATAGCTGCCCCTCAGCGTTGTGTGCGCGTGGTGATGCAGATGCAGGTGGGAAGCCTAGCGGCGTTCGGAGTTTTGATTCTGAGGTAAGACCGAATGCAGCAACACAGTGCTCTCCATACAACCTCTCACAACCCCGGTAAGCCAACACTTAGTAACAGCACGGCGTAGGCTCCGGACACTTCAAAGGAAACGTACATAGCTGGTTTGTGTGTCCCCGGTGCACAGCGTAGTTTGGCAGCGTAGATGTAGCTGACGTACACTTGCCCCGCTACAGGCTCCGTTGCTGCTGTACAGATTGTCCTGTCTGTCATTGGCGCTGGTGGATGAATCAGTAGCAGTAGGGCCGAGGTGACCGCCACACACATCAGGAGTTTCCTGAGCAGAGTCGCTTTCCGCTGTCATAGAGCGCCTTCTCACCGCAGCCCTCACAATGGCTCGCCCACCGTTCAAAGTCAAAGCCATCTACAACTACGATTCTGCTCACGAAGACGACCTTGGCTTTCCAGAAGGGCAGGTAATAACCGTGACTGAAGAAGAGGACGCCGATTGGTATGTGGGGGAGTACACAGACTCATCGGGTACGAAGCAACATGGCCTTTTCCCTAAGAACTTCGTGGAGCGCTATGAACCAGCACCACCTCCACGGCCTGTAAGGACCGCACGGCCCAAACAGCCTGAGCCTGCCGCCGCACCACCAGAGGAAGAGACAGAGCGGGCGCCCCCGCAACCGGCAGCTCGAGTTGACGAGACCGATCGGATATTGCGAAAGCCAGCTCCTCCACCAGCTGAGGCCCCGACAGGCGCTAAGGAGCAAGTCTTGCCCTCTTCTCCGCCTTCATTCCCAGTGCCCAAAGCTGCCGAGCCAAAGCCAGAACCTCCGCTCGCCTCGGAGCCAGCTCCGGCTCCAACCGCCGGCAAGGCACCCCCACCTGCAGTAGCGGAGAAGCCGAGTTCGTTCAGAGACCGCATAGCAGCTTTCAACAAGCCGACTGCAGCCCCGATAGCTCCCTTTAAACCTACAGGTGCACCAGGTGGCTTTATCAAGAAACCATTCGTGGCACCTCCGCCAAGCCGCGATGCTTATGTACCTCCTCCACGCGAGCCGGTGCCGCAGAAAGTGTACAAGAGGGAGGAAGACCCAGAAATCGCGGAGCGCCAGGCACAGAACCAAGAAGATGCTGAGAAGGCCGGTCTTGTGTCCACTGAAGCAGCCTCAGAGGATGCGGAAGCGGCTCCAAAGCCGCAAAGTCTGAAGGAGAGGATAGCCCTGCTACAGAAACAGCAGATGGAAGCGGCTGCGCGTCATGCCGAAGCGGGTAATAAGGAGAAGCCTAAGAGACCTCCCAAAAAGCGGACTGAATCTCACGAGCCGGTTCAAGCGCATGAGGCGGAAGGCTCGGACACAGAATCGCTGAACACAACGGAGCAGATATCAAGAAAGTCAACGGACTTGACACGTGATGCAGGACATGCACCTCCAGTGCGAAGACAGTCTCGCGGTCCAAGATCTCCAGCCGCCGTGCCGCATGATCGTGAGCTCTTTAGCGACGGAAACGACGCAGATCAATCAGCTGCGGGCGAAACAACCGAAGAAGCTGAGGGTAGCTCTACTAGCGTTGAGAACGATGAAGAGAAGTCCAAACTCCCAAAGGCACCAGGAGCATTCCCCAAAGAACCGGACGTGGGCACCGAAGAGGACACGGTAGAGGATGATGAAGAGGAAGAGGATGACATGGATGCTGAGACCCGACGGCGGATGGAGCTAAGGGAGCGGATGGCTAAGATGAGTGGCGGAATGGGTATGGCTGGCATGTTCGGCCCTCCTGGAGGTATGCCTATGCCAGGAGCTCCAGTTCCTAAGAAACGAAAACCAGCAGCGAGCAGCACCGGAATGTCCGCTGAGGAGCCGGAAGCGTCACCGGTACAGTCGCCTCCTCAGCGCATGCCCATGATTCCAATACCCGGCATGCCGCATAGGGAGCACGTGAAGAGCCCTGACTCGGACACCGAGTTAGCTGTTGAGAAGGAGCCTGAACCGGCGCCGCCTATTACCAGCCAGCGACACGCAGACGAGGTGCCTGATGTCGAGGATATCAAACCTGAAGTCCCACCACTTAGACAACCGGAAGAGCGAGCGGCCCCGCCACCGCCACCATCTCAAGGTGTGTATCGATTTATTCGCAGAAAGCCCGTGCGACGCAAGCCGCTGCCGTACCTTGAACCACTCAAGCCAGGGATATGCGCTACCAGCAAGCCGCAGGTGGATGGCACTGGTGGCGCAATCGTTGTTTCGAGAGTCAAGGTGTATAGTAGGTTGTCTAGCGGAGCGCGGGCTGTATATCTAGTGAAGTCTTTTATCTGGACTATGCTAAACCATGACTTCCAGAGAGACCAGTACAACCCCCACCGCTAGCTACGGAGCGTGCCATTCCTCCTCCGATACCCAGTGATCGACCTGTCCCAGCGCCACCGCAAGGTCTGCTTTTTCGGACATTGCACGCTTGTTAATTGACCACTAACTTCGACCAGCCCGTCCTGTGCCACCTCCCCCTACAGCGCCGAGATCACCAACCCCCGGCTCAGAGTCTGATGACGACCTGCCGGGAAGCACTACTGAGCTTCCAGTCAGAGGGACTGCTCCAGCCGTGCCCAGTGCGAGAAACTCGCGACTCCTGAACGATGCAGATGACACTCCATCGATGCAGTCTCCGGATAAGCGTACATCTTTCCTGGCCTTTGACCCTGCGTCACCATCTTCCCCAACAATGTCAAGCCCGACAGAGAAACGATCGAGTCGCATACCACCAATACCCGTCGCCAGTCCAGATCTGGCACCTACAGCATACCCGCGGCCTCCACCTCCACCACCACCTACTGCGGCACCGCCAAGCCGTCAGCCGACTATGGAGTCAGTGCCTAGACGTATGTCTACGGAAGGAGATGAGGGAGAGACCGAGTATGAGGGCGACTACGACACTGACATTGCTCCGGGTGCCACGCACAAAGACGCATTGAAGTCTCATGCACGCGAATCGAGTCTGGACGACAGTGTAACTGCAGATGATAGATCTTTCCGCTCGCCACCTATGCCACCCTCCGGCTTCGCTCCGCCTGTTCCACCTGCTGCGGCTCCTCGGGCAGTACCTCCCCCTCCACCGCAGCAGCCACCTAAAGATAGGAGATCGATGGATGTGCCGAGAGGCCTGCCGCCACCTATACCGCCTCCTCGAGAGCAAGCCGCGCAGCCTGGTGAATACGAATATGACCCGTACAAGTACAGCAGCCCGACAACACGCGCTCCCCCACCTGCCCCAGGCATGCCGCCACCTGCGCCTGCACCTGTGCCAGAGTCTCAGGAATATTCAGACGATGATGAAGACTTGTACTCCGCTCCGCCTCCACGAAAATCTGCCGAGCGGCCACCGCCGTTGCCGCCTCAAGCCCCTCCGCAACGAGATCGACCAGTGCCACCTCCACCGGTACAAACGCTAGCAACGCCTCAACTGCCACCGCCTGGACCACCCACTCCCACTCACGCTCCGGCCAACCGCAAATCACTTGATGTTGAACGACAGCTCGCAAACGCGGGTCGAAGATCAATGGACCAACCCCGCCCTTCCGCCGAGCACGGCTACATCGCAAGCGACATCGACCTAGGTACCAGCAGTCAGTGGTGGGCGTACCAGAACACCCCGCCCCCCATCTTCCAGAACCGCCCAGACATTCTCTTCGAAATCGAAGAAACCACCAACACAAAGCGCGGGGGCAAAACCACAATCTCCAAAGACGTCTACGTCCTCTACCCCGACTATTCGCAGACCGTCATAACAGCGCGCTTCGACCCCCGCGACGTCGGAGACGTGGTCCTAGAGCAGCGCCACGAGCCGCCTCCCGCGCGCCTGCGCCAGGACCAGCTCGAAGCCGCACACGCCCGCTTTGGCCAGCGGATCTCAGACAGCGCGAACTCGAAACACAACACCGTCGTCGGGGACGGCTCGCCGGCAGCCTTAGTACTAGAACTCATCCGCCCGCTCCCGTCCGCGCTTCTACCCGTCGGCACGCGCGCATACGGCGCGCTCGTGTACGCAAACATCGCGAACGCGAGCGTGCAGCAGTTCGACGAGATCAGGCCGGGCGACATCATCACCTTCCGCAATGCGAAGTTCCAGGGCAAGCACGGGCCTGTGCACACGAAGTATAGCGTTGATGTTGGCAAGCCGGATCATGTGGGCGTGGTGGTGGATTGGGATGGGACGAAGAAGAAGGTCAGGGCTTGGGAGCAGGGGAGGGAGAATAAGAAGGTTAAGATGGAGAGCTTCAAGGTGGGGGATTTGAAGAGTGGGGAGGTGAGGGTTTGGAGGGTTATGGGGAGGAGTTGGGTTGGGTGGGAGGATGGTAATTAGGGGCGTGTGAGGAAGGGGGTTTTGTATAGAGAGGAGTCGCGTGTCGCAATGGCAGTAGCATGCCCTGTACTATAAAGATCTGATCGTTGCGACTGATGTGTCGATATGCTTCCCTTTCGTGATCCCGTGCTTGCGTGTTCTGCCGAATCCGCGTCCGCGACTTCCACTCTCAAGTCGAAATCTCGGATGTCTCGCTGCTCGGCGACATCAACATGGCACCAATACACATGCCATCGGCGCTCTCCTTCGAGCTGATAGCCAAATGCTCTGTATGCCAGAGTCCCGAGTCTTACGTCTGCCTTCACTAACCGCGTTATTCAGGTCACGAAAGCCCGCGCCGCAAACCTCCGTCTCCCACATGGCGAAGTGCCTCTCCCCATATTCATGCCTGTCGCTACGCAAGCCTCTCTGAAAGGCCTCACGCCGGAGCAGCTCGAGGACACCGGCTGCAGGCTGTGTCTGAATAACACGTACCATCTGTAAGGGCAGATCCGGCCAGGTCTGTCTGGACACTTGCTCATGCCGTGATCAGAGGACTTAAGCCGGGACAAACCACACTCGATGCGATAGGCGGGGCGCACAAGCTGCAGTCATGGCCGTACAACATTCTCACAGGTGCTTGCCCTGATGTCCTTGAAAGAGACACCGCTTGAGAGACGGTGGGCAAGATGCTGACGGACGCAGATAGTGGTGGGTCAGTTTCTCATACCTGGATCCGGCCGGGTATGTCAACCAGCTGACAGAGCGCAGCTTCCAAATGGTATCCCTCCTCAAGCTCTCGAAAGTCACAGAGGAAGGCGTGCGCTTCCTAAGCCCGCACGACGGCAGTCCCATGTACAAGCCACCGCCTCACTCGCACATCCCCATCACCAACTAACACTCTCCGCTAGGCTACTGACACCCGAACATTCCATCTCCCTCCAAAACTCAATCGGCTCCGACATAATAATGCAACTCGACGACGTAATCGCAACCACCTCCCCCGACCACGCGCGCATAGAAGAAGCAATGAAGCGCTCCGTGCGCTGGCTCGACCGCTGCATAGCCGCACACAAGAAGCCGGAAATCCAGAACCTCTTCTGCATCATTCAGGGCGGGCTGGACCTCGAGCTCCGGCGACAATGCTGCGCGGAGATGGTCGCGCGCGACACGCCTGGCATCGCTATCGGAGGCCTCTCGGGCGGAGAGGCGAAGGACGCGTACTGCAAGGTCGTGGATACTTGCACGGGCCTTCTGCCGGAGAAGAAGCCGCGGTACGTCATGGGTGTTGGCTATCCGGAGGACCTGGTTGTGTCGATAGCGCTCGGTGCGGACATGTTCGACTGCGTGTGGCCGACGCGGACGGCGCGCTTTGGCAACGCCATCACCTCCTCTGGCACCCTCAACCTCCGGCATTCGAGCTACGCATCAGACTTCTCGCCCGTGGAGGAGGGGTGTCCTTGCGTTTGCTGCAGGCCGCCAGAGCAGGGCGGCTTGGGCATCACGAGGGCATATATCTACCATGTTGCTGCGAAGGAGACGGCGGGCGCGCATCTGCTTAGTATGCACAATGTGCATTATCTGCTTACGTTGATGAAGAGCGCCAGGACGGCGATTGTGGAGGACAGGTATCCGGCGTTTGTGAAGGGGTTCTTTGCGAAGCTGTATCCGGAAAGGAGTAAGTATCCTGAGTGGGCTGTGACGGCGCTGAAGGGAGTTGGTGTAGATTTATTGGTGAACTAGATGTATCGCGGTCTGTGGTCTGCATGTTACCCTGGTAGATGCCTTCATGGTAACATAGAGATCAGGCGTAGATTGGAGCCTCTCAGCCCTATGAACTACTCACCCTTGCAATCCGTCGCGTCCCCTTGGCGAGGGACGCGTTCACATGCCCATCGTCATCGCCCTTGGACCCTTCGAACATCCCACTAACAAACAACATGAATACGCCGTCCTAGACAACGCTGAATCCACGATACAGTTCGACACAATCGACACAACCTCTCACGCCGCGCCGAACAGCGACAATGGGCGACGACCCGCCCTCTGCGCCCGTCGCGCACTCTCCGCGCACCACCAACAATGTCCGACAGCTCTCAAGCTCCCTAAACAGGCTGTCACTCAACACAGCCTCTACAACACCGCTACCGCCTTCCCCTGGCCCAAGATCGCCAAAACCACCGCTACGAACTTCGTCGAGCAATATGAGTCTCGATCGCCGAACAAGCGCTACTCCAGCAATCGCGAGGAAGTCGTCCACGAGCTCTCTGAGGAATGGCAGTGCGCCAACGACACCACGAAAACTTGATCCGAGACGCTCAATATCCAATCTGGGTGCTTCGTCGTCGCCGGATCATAAGGCGCTTCCTATGGCCCAGGCTGAGATAGCGAGGGCGGAGCCTGTGACGGCTGCTAGTGTTGCGAGGGATTACTTCAGGAAGGAGCTAGCGCGGCATGAGGAGAGTCTTCGAGAGTGAGTGCAGTCCGATTTCTTTCGAGGTCTGGGAACGACGTGGAGGGACATAAAAAAGCAAGCGCTGTGGGGAAGATCTTGCCAGCGCTGACAGTCGCAAACAGTCCTCCATCGACGGTAGTCATCCTCCACGACTCCTGCTATGGCCACAGATTCTCGCGTCCGAAGACCTCGAAAGCCAACCTTAGCATGATAGTAGAGCGCCCAGAACGTATACGCGCCGGGGTTCTGGGTATCTCAGCAGCCTACGTGCGACTCGGCGAGCGCCATGCCGGAGGCCGACACGCTCCACATCCGCACAATGCACTACCTTCCACGCTACCGTTTCGTATACGAAGAACCTCACGTTCTATTGACATCAACTCTTTGCCGATTACAAATGTCCATGGTACGAGTTGGATGGCAGAGTTGAAGGAGATGTGCGCATCCGCGGAACGCAAACTGGCTACTACGGGCAAAGAGCTTGTTAGAGAAGGGGAAGGACAGCTAAGCGAGGATAGGTTGCATGAGGGTGACTTGTATCTCTGCCCGGAATCGTTGGGTGCGTTTCAGGGGGCGCTTGGTGGGGTCTTTGATGGCGTGGATGCTGTCTTCAATGGTGGTGAGTACAGCCAGATTTCCGTTGGAGCATCTCGCACTACTACTACGCCTTCGTTCGCGGGCTGAAGCAAGACAACATCGTTCTTGTGTCACGCTTCAGGCCGGACTCTCAGCGTAGCATAAGGGATCGTTATTCATTGATCTGGGCGCCAGCAGCATTTGTATGCACGGGACAAAGACCTCTGGAGTCCCTCAATACTGACATGTTCGGGCAGACAGCGGTGCCAAACACGCCTTCGTATGCATCCGCCCACCAGGCCACCATTGCTCCGCCGACTTTCCATCTGGCTTCTGCTGGCTCAACAACGTCCACGTGGGTATCGAGTATGCCGCACAAGCGTACGGCTTAACCCACGCTGCAATCATCGATTTCGATCTTCATCATGGCGACGGCTCGCAAGCCATTACGTGGGAGCGCAACGCCCGGAACGCGAAGATGCCCAAGAGCACACCGGTGTCCAAGAGGCCTTCGATTGGCTACTTCAGCTTACACGACATCAACTCCTATCCCTGCGAGTATGGCGATGAAGAGAAGGTGCAAAATGCGAGTCTTTGCATCGAGAACGCGCATAACCAAACCATCTGGAACGTGCATTTACAGCCCTGGAAAACAGAAGCGGAATTCTGGGAGCTCTATGAGACGAGATATTCCGTGTTAATCGACAAAGCTCGAACTTTTCTTCGCAACCAGACACAGCGTGTACTTAGCAGTCCGAACCGCCCGCAGCCTAAAGCCGCCATCTTCCTTTCTGCAGGCTTCGATGCGAGCGAGTGGGAAAGCGAGGGCATGCAGAGGCATAAAGTGAATGTCCCTACCGAATTCTATGCACGCTTTACACATGATGTAGTCCGTATGGCCAAAGATACCGAGACTGGCGTCGATGACCGAATCGTCAGCGTGCTGGAAGGAGGATACTCAGATCGAGCCCTAGCCAGCGGCATTATGAGCCATCTCAGCGGCCTCGCTGGAGACGGTGAAAGCAGCCTGGGCGACAAGACTGAGTGGTGGCATAGCTCGTGCCTTATCGCTCTGGAAGGGGTGGTCAGTCCAAATGCACCAGCGGTGCCCAAGAAACCCAAGCCTGGAGCACCATCGACCTTTTTCTCCACGACTCAGTCGTTCTCCGCGAAGGTTGTGGATCCGTCGAAACTATCGAGGAGTATTTCGGGAACGTTACGGACCACTCCTCCGAGAAGTAAGTCATAGCCCAGTAAACCTCCTCCCAGTCCTGTTGGTTCTACGCGCTTCCGCAAACTAGAATTTGTGGACTCTTAGAAACCGTTCACCCCCTAGAGGCCCTGGATGCACGTCAGCGGAGGCTGTTCGGCCACTTAAGAAGTTTCTCAGGGGGTGCGATGTGTAGCATTGTAGATTTTTGTGCTGACAGCTAGTCGTAGGCCTTACGCCTCCACCGCCAGAAGTCGATTGGGCCACTGCAGCCCACGAACTCAGCAAGCTTCTGATACCGACAGATCGCCAGACACGGAGCTGCCTACCCGAAGAACTCTCGGAGCCAAAAGCCAAGAAGGAGCGGCAGTCTATCGCCGTCCTGCCTCCCGATCCAAGTGGACGGCAGCTCAGAGACCGGAAGTCCAAGATGCCAAGCTACACTGCTCCAGCCTCAGACGACGAGGCACTTCCCGCACAACCCGCAACAAAAGATACTAGCCGTAGGAAGACCATGGCTGTCCTGCCGTTGGACGAACCAGCAACTGTACAGGCGTCTTCGAGGGTGCCGAGCAGGCGACTAAGCGTTGCTTCTACCATTAGTTCCACGAACGGCGATCATAGCACCCCTCCGCTCCCTGTTAACAGAACTGCTAGACCAGCGCCACCGAACATGCAGGTCAAGAAGGTCAGAGCACCCGCGAAGGCGCAGGTTTCTCCACCGGCGGTGCCTGTCAGACAGCACAGCGTGCCTGTTGAACCGTCTGAATATGCTACGAATCAAAAGTCCGCGCCAACCTCAGAGAAGCAGAACTCGCATGAGAACGACGGAATGGATCAACTAGCATCGAAGCTTAAGAGAATCACCATCAAAGTCCCACCCAAAGAGGAATACGAAGCACGCCAGAAGCAAAAGGAAGCTGATGCAGTCAGAAAGGCGGTAGCAAAACCGGCCGCGCGCAAAGTGCCCACATCTAAGACTACGAAGGCTGCTGCCTCGAAAGCAAGCAAAGCTGGACAGACGGTGGTCGTTGAGGCTAACGGTAATCCTGGGGATGCCGCGCCGTCGGCCAATATTACGCCACCGCAAGCCCTCAACACTTTAGCGGATCCAACCCCGGGCGACGCTATTCCACCTCCCACGGCCACGTCCACTGCATCCGCCACACTCAACATCGGTATCAGCTCGCCGGCTGCAGCCGCCGCAAACCCCGCTGCACCGCCCCCGCCTCCAGCACCAGCTACTCCGCCAACCTCTTCAGCCGCCGCCCCACACGCTTCCGCCGCCCCACCCGCCATCTCCCCACCCAAGAACCACAGCCCAGCAGTCCCACCAACCACCGCCTTCATACCACCTCCCACCTCCCCGCCCCGTCCCTCAACCCCTCCGCCATCTGGCCCCCAATTCATCCCCTACGCCCCGCACCCACCCAGCGCGCCCCACCACCACGCAATCGCTAGTCCGGCACAGCCGCTGCGTTGGCTCCCGCCCAACTCCGACGCGGAGGCTACGGGTGGTGTGGTCATGCCGCCGGGCAGGAAGCAAAAGGCGCTCCCTGTGTTTTCGGCGGACGGAGTTATTCCGTTTGGGACGGCGGCGGCGCCGTCGGCTGTACAAGCATCAAATGGCGCTGTGATAGGTGCTGCACGGCATGGATCGGAGAGGAATGCTTTAGGTGCGGGTGGGGAACGAGAGAAAGGAGGAAAAAGAGAGGGGGAGGTGTGGGAGGTGCCTGATACGCCTATGCGGTGATGGATGGCATGATCCCGGTTTCGTTTCCGTTTTAGGCGCGCGTTTTGGATAGAGATACCCCAATTGTTGTTCTTTAGCGTCTACCTTAGTTCGGTATGAGGTAGACTTGGACTTCTACGAGGTAACCAAGGTCCTAACGATTTGATATGTTACTTTAACACACTCTTCATTCTGTTCGCAATGTCAAAAGAGTCTGACCGCCTGAACGATACAACATCCTAACCATATGATGCCCGTCCGGTTATAGAGTCCATCTCTCTAAGATCCGTCCGTCTATATAAACCATTCCTGGCCATTCCTACCACACCAACCGGCGACGCCCCACACTCCTGCAGTCCCACACATCCTCCCCAACGTAGCTGCAGCTCTAACCTAGATTTAACACGGGCTGATGAGGGAAAATTAGAGTCAAGTTGCGCGGACGCAGCATGCAGTACTTTCTTCGCCGAGCGTCGTGTTACGGCCAGCCGCCCACTACCGAATGCGGCGATACTGGCATGTGTATAGAACGACCCGGCTGGACGATGCGCATCGTACGCGGAGACCTCTAGAGTCTTACCCCAGTACGGCGGTGGGAAATCTTTGGTTGGAAGTTCGACCATGGGTGATTGACTGAGGATTGTGTGAGCAAGTGAGACTCACTACTTCGATAAAAAGATGTTACTCTCTCAGATATTGAGATGACGTTCAGCCGTCCCCTTGATACTACATTTTTATCGTATTTCAAGACAGACATATCACGACCTACATCTGCATACATCGACGAGCCACGGCGCAAAGACATGAGACTCCAAATGCGGCCATAACAATCTTATCGTTTATAAAGTCCTTCAAGCCTCAAAGCTTGAGCAACTTCCCGCGCTGACCTGCAGCTGAGAGTTCTGAGAATCTCTACCGCGGGGGTATCTCCTATGATGAAGTTTAGGAAGCCAGATTGAATGCGCGTAGGAGAAGAAGCGTGCTCAGAGCGTGAGAGATGATGAGGTGAGGTGTAGTTCTCCGGCCGCACTAGAGCGAATAAGGCGTAGACGCTCGGCTAGAGCGGGAAACCACCACACTTCATCGAAAAACAGCAAAGATAAGCCCCAAAAGCGAGAGCAAGCTGAGGAAGTAAGAAAACATCACCAAAATGCAAAAGTCAGAAGGAAGCCCGATGCGGGGGTCTGGATGAATTGTTAGACACTGATCGGTCTTGCTCCGAATTGAATAGATGACTTACCGAACCCGCAACCTTGAGATTAAGAGTCTCACGCTCTACCGATTGAGCTAACCGGGCTGCTGTTGAAGTTTGAGATCATTTTTTGTAGATATCTAAGAAACTTGAGCTGAAAAAACGCAAGCAGCCCAACCATACGGAGTCATACCAGGACTCGGTCGGCCTTGCCGCCGAAACGACTGTAGAAGTCATGCCATGGCCGCTTTAAGAGTCTCAACAGATATGTTCTCTATATCCCTTCACTACCATGAGTTCTTCAGACACTAGAGGCTCCTCTGTCGTCTAACTGAGACTTCATCTTCATGCATGCCAGTATGTTCTGCTCGAGGCGCGGACGAGGGATTCACGAAGCAAATCCCGTTTCTGACATCTCCTGGGATCAACACCACGGCAAGGTTTCACTCATTAATCAACAAACAGCTTGCAAGCATATTGCAGACTATGTTGTTCATTCTGATATGGATCCAAATGCTACGAGAGTAGGGTATCTTACAGCGGCCAAAATCGCAGAAGGAGAAAAGGATACAACCGCACATCCAACTCCACAGCTCCTGAAGATCCTCTGCAGGAAACCAACAAAGCGGCTTGAAATGCTTGCGCCATCCACTTGTGACAAATTTTAATCCTGTGACTTCGTCCGTAGCCTTCATTGCTGCGTCTTTCATACCTCGTGCCCTTCAGCCATCACCAGCACGAACTGAAACCACCAACCCTGAGGCTCGTCGCATTGATTGCTTTTCGAGTCGCGGGAGTTCGGGTCGACACCTACTCATCGGCCAACAACGGCGCCCTCTCCCTATCCTCACTAACAATCTCACCCCGCTTGAACGGGTCCCTTCCCAACAATCCTGGCACGCCGACCGCCAGGGAAAGGAAGAACAATATCCCCATGATGATGAACGCGAAGATCCACTGGAACGCAATCGCATGCGTCAGGAACTGCGATACGCCGAGCGCTGGACCAAGTCAGTATCAAACTCACGACGGCCTCGCGCATAGATTCAGTGGGCCACTTACCGGCTGCGAGAACCGATAGCTCAAACCCCATCGTATAATCCTTAAACGCGACCAAAAAGAACATCCCATACGCCAGTATTCCCCAAATGGCGATATTCGCCAAAATCCTCGCCGCCAAGCTATGCGCATGCACCATCGCCGCGCCGCACCAATACAGCGCGACGAAATTCCACGCCAGCGGGCCGCTCACAACCGGAATATGAATGAATCTTGGAGTCTTGCTGTGCCGGAAGTAGGCCGCGGACAGGTTGAAGAAGTTGATGATGAGCAGCACCTCTGCGATCACGAAGTGGCCCCGTACCCAGAGCATGATGAAGACGAAGAGGAGCAGGTTGTGCGCGATGAAGTGGGAGCCGACGTTGCAAGCGGCGCGGACGTAGACCTCGTTGCCGGAGTAGAGGTGCCACGCGTAGCCGATCTGCATTATGTAGAGGACGAGCCTGCGGGGTGTGAGTAAAGAGGTTTCCAAACAGGACAGCCAGGACAATCTCCCTGATCCGCTGCGCGGGGCAGAGTTAGGGAGGAAAATGGGGCTTGCATACCAATACACGCTCGTAATAACAGAGTTCATCGCGAACGGCGTATGGTGGTGCCGATTCTGGCCCCAGATTGTGTGGCGATCATGCTTGTGCTTGCCGTCGTGCGGCGCCTCGAAGGTGTAGTAGATGGACGTGATGACGACTAGGAGCCATGAGAGCGCTGTGAAGACTTTGTAGCCGATGATGCTGCGGCGTGGATACTCGTCGCGGTTCATGAAGGGGTTGACTGGGGAGTTGTTAGCTGCTGTTTGCTGCGTGATGCGTGGGCTGCTTGCCTGAGTGGACCCCTTCGTGGACTTGGTCCAGGACTTCGTTGGTGTCTGGCATGATTGTTGTGAGGAGTGGTACCGGGGAAAGTTGTAGACGGCGCAGCTACTCAAGAAGTTTGCGCGTGTTTACTGTGTTGCGGGCGGAGCAGCTATCAGTTGCAGAGCGGAACTGAGGCTGCAGGTTGGTGTTTGCTTGCTGCGACGTCATTCTCGGCCCACTCGGATTGGCCAAGGAACGCGTGATGGCTTGCATAAGCGTCCCCCGCTTCGGAGATGCTGCCGCGTCCATCCCAAGACCGTTTTCAAAGCCGTTATCCGCAAATGTTAGGTAAGCACCTTGATCGTAAACTACATCCGCTTACGGTTCAGAGAACGATGGTTGCTTAAGGAATGCGTCGCTGCATTGAAAGCTAGTCGTGGACATTAGGCGTACGCTATAGGCAGGAATCATAGATCAAGGATAGATATGGTAGTCAATGCACGAAAGGCCTAAGCTGCTGAACACTTCTTATCACAGCAAACTGGTTTAGTTATTTCAGCTTTGACATGATCACGGATCCAACACAATCGTGAACATGGTACGAATCCATAGCAGCTAAGCACGTCGGGCGGGAAAATGACTTCCCGCCTGACGTGCTAAGGTGCGGCAGCGAGCTTTAGATAAATGCCCCCTGGAGGTCCGCAGTGGGACGAGATCGGATATCCTCGGCGGCCTACTGCACAACAAAGTCAGGGGCATCGATTCTGCAAGGGACGGTGAGTGCATAAGCGCAGTGCTGAAGCTCAAGGACGTCGGCCCATCGACATAGCGTTGCAAAGGACATCTCTTCGAGAGCAGTCCTTGTGTTAGGTCCAACATCGAGTTTTCTTCTAGCTATCCCTAGCCCATGCGAACATTCAATACCGACACCGCTCAAAGCCCATGCCCAAACACCGTGACAGATGCCATCTCTCAGACCTCCGTCTCCGTCTGTGGACTCGCCAACTCCTCATCCCCTTCTCCATCCTCCTCCGCCGCCTCCTCCAGCTCCTCAGGCTCTTCAGCCCCCTCCGGCTCATCCTCCTCCACATCAACCACTGCCTCGTTTGGTCCCTCCCTTTCAAGCCTCAACCACTCCTCCCATTCCGGAAACATATCCTCATCGGCCTCCAACCCCTCCGTCCCCGGCGGCACGCCCAGCATCTTACTGACCCTGCTCTTGCCGTCCTTTTCCAGCGCCTGTTTCCACTTCCCCACCACCCCCGGCGTGCTGCTCGGCTTGTACGTCTGGCTAAAGAGCACCGCCTCCGCAACCCTGTTCGTGCGGAGCAGGAGCTCGATGCAGCCGTCCACGTCGCCGAGCTGCCACAGACACGAGAAGGCGACGTTGTGCGCCGCGGCTTTCTCCGCCATCGCTGTGAGCTCCCTCAGCCCGTCTGCGTTGCTTGTGCTAGAGTAGAGCAGCAGCAACGAGCTCATGTCTTTGGCGTGTGAGAAGCACTCCTCGGCCAGGGCGATGTTCCATGCGCTGAGCGCCGCGTCCCCGACGGTTTTCCACTTGTGCTCCGCGTCCGCCTCGCGCGCGATGCTGAGCGCGACGTCCAACTTGTTCAGCGCTAAGCTCAGCTCAAACCTATGCTCCGCATCAGTAGCCACCTCGAGCGCTTCCTCTTTATACCCCTGCCCCTCCAAAAACCTCGCAATCTTGTTCTTCTGCTCATCAGGAATCTCAGCGAGAGTTTCGTTCGCGGCCTCCATCTCGCCGCGGAGGACTAGGGTCTGATACTCGACGACGCTGAGGCTGAGGGCGTACGAGATGATGGCGACGTCGCGGTCCGCGAGGTAGACGCGGCCGTCGCGTGGGAGGTAGCCCAGGACGTAGTGGGGGGCATCGAAGTGGGCGATGGTGTAAGTTTGATCACCGACGACTTTCCAGCCCGTAGTTAGCATGGCGTATGGTTGATCACTAATGAGGAAACTTACGGTAGTTGAGCCGGTTGGTGCTGTTTGTGTAGATGAAGCAATCGCCCCTGATTTCAATTAGTACGGTAGTCATAGTACATACTATCAAGTGGTTCAAGACTTACACCCACTGACCGGTACGGACGCTGTGGATACTCGTTAGCAATGTTGCACAAGGAACTCTTACGAGGTCCACTCACGTCTCGTTGATGTCCGTAATAACCTCAAAGGCAGATTCTACGCCATCGTCCTCGACCTCACCCGCCTGAAGCGCAGCAACATAACTCTCCCTGGAGAAGCGAAGCACGTAGAACGTATCATCGCAGGCCAGCGTCACAAGCTCGCCGCTCTCTGACCAGTAGACCTACGCAGAAGTCAGACACATAAGCTTCACTTCAGCGAGTTTCCTCAGACGACCTACGTTCTTGGGGTCCACCTCAATCCGCCGAATCAGCGCCCCCGAGTCCCAGTCGAAGAAGCCAACACCCCCCTGCCCCTTCACACCAAGCAGCGTTCCTCCAGTAAGGCCTTCAGCTTGAAATCCCACATTCAACCCCCCACTGCCCTTCTCCTTGAAGTTCCGGAACATCTTCACGCTCGTCGTCGACTCCCGAATAGCGTAATCCTTATCATTCTCCTTGCTCGCCCACGCGAAATCCAGCGCAGAGCCAAACGCCTGGTTGCGGAGCGCAAGCGCCGTATAGATGATATACTCACCATCCCCACACACCGACACAAATCTCCCATTCGGACTGTGAAGAAGAGACTGCGGGTATATTTCCGTGGAGCCCAGGTCTTTGGTCGGAAGAGTCAGGCGCTCGCCGTCTTTGAGGCTCTTGTCCGCGCCTTTGATGACTGTGGTGAGGATCTCGGAGTGCCGTGCGAAAATGACTTTGCCGGAACTATCCATGGAGACTGCGGGCTCTTCCCTGCCCATCTTGATCATTACGGCGCCGTCGTCGAAACCGATTGCGATGCCTTGCTTGCCGCGCTGGTTGGCACAGCACCAGGCGCGCTCGAGGCCATAGTTGAGGCTTTGCTCTAGGCGGTAGGTGTTTGCGTTCCTGCGGACGGTTAGCAAAAACCTCCGGTCTCTAGCCCAAAGTAGCGAGCATCGGCGCTTACCATAGCTTTATGGAACCATCCTCAGAGCCGCTGATGATGATAGGCAGCTCAGGATGGTAGCAGGCGAACGAGACATTGCTGGTGTGGCCTTCGAGGGTAGCTATTAGTCCCTTCGTTTGGTAGTCCCAGACCTTTGAACATGGGTCAGCTAAAAACCGCCAGTCACATCGTCAATTGGACATCCATGAATACCTTTACTGTCCGGTCGTCAGAAGTGGTAAGCATGTATGGCTTGTCTGCCCCCGGATAATAGTCTACATGATTGACACCCTTGGTCTCGTGCGCTTCGAGGGTGAAGCGGGGAGTCGAAGAGCCGAGATTCCACACCTTGACCGTTCGGTCGAGACATGCGCTGGAAAGTTCAGCGGAAATGTAAGACTCCTAGGTTTTGCGGTTTGGCTCACCTAGCAAATGTGTTTGTGTCTTTGGGGTTGACTGGTGGTTGTTAGCGAACAGGTAACTCCTGAGAAGCCTGAAAATTCACATACAGCAGACATTCATAACGTAGTGGCTAAGAGCAAGTCAGTATAGTTGACCTTCTACGATTCCATGTTTTGTCGGAATCGACTCTTTGTGGGCAAAGAAAGGGGCTGTGTTCTGAGGACTATGGTCATGCCGCACCTGTGACCTTCGAAAACACTTATGCATTTCCACGCTTGTTCCCAATTCCACAGCTTGATGGTCATGTCATCGCTACCCGTGATCACAAAGGGCTGCGTCGGATGTACAGCAATAGCGCGGATATCTAAGCACCGGCTATCAGAATCTGTCGAGTACATATTCGGTCCACAGCTTACAGTCAGGGTGCGCTTCGAACGTCGTGACTTTCTCGGAAGTATTGTAGTTGTAGACGCGAAGCTGGAAATCGTCCGATCCACACACGATCCAGTTCTGCACCGTGTCAGCCCCAGCTCCCCTTACTACAGCGTTCAGGGCCGTCGGTGGACCTACCTTCCGCGCAATAAATCTGCCAGCTCTCACAGGCTACACCATCATCAGCTTCCCTTCCCTAGTCTCCTCACCCTCCTTCCACAGTGTGCACATACCACATCCGTAAGCTCAAAAGTCTTGACAATGCTCTGTGTCGCATAGCTCCAGATATGGACGTGTCCGCTGTATAACGTCGTAAGGATCCACGGCTCCGTCGGGTGGAAGTCGATGCCCTGCTGTGCGTCAGCGCTGTTCTAGATGGGCTTCGAGGGGTAGAGGTACCTTGACGCGCTCGCTGCGGGCGAAGAGCTCGCGCTGGATGTTGAGGGTGATGTTAGCGGGGCTCATTGTAGGCAGGGCTTATGGGGGAGCGGTGAAAGAGGCTGCTGGAGGGGTTCCTGGGGTGGCTAGACGCAGGTGGCTGTACCTTAACGTCGAGGCGCATCGTTATGGTTTATGCAGGATGTCTGAGGTAAGGGAGAGGGTTCGGCGTGGGTTGCAGGGCTCGGTCAAGTCATGCGGCGTGGATGCTTCGAGGGAATGTCGAACTGGAAGGCGTGTTTTGGAGAGGAAATTGGTGGTCTGGAGCTTGTGTTTGGGTATCTGCCGTGCTCTCAGATTATTGTTGCGACGTCTCCAAGTTCGGTGTGGTGGTTCTCCCAGGGCCGACTTGCCAAGATTTCGAGGTGGAATGCGCTGATGTGGGTTCACGAAACACATGGCAAAAAGCACCAACAGCATATTGTTGTACCTTGAACTGCCTATTTTTCGCCGACCAGCAAGGCCAAGCTAGAATTCTACATACAGAGAACGAGCAAAGAAATTCGTGCCGTGAGTATTAAGTATACAGTTAGTCGTAAGCGCGTATCCTGCACTTCCCAAGAACCCGAGTCCACATCGAAACTCCAGTCCCGGGAATCGCAAGCCCAACCCTAAAATATCCAAACAGAGAAAGAGCCTCAAGCCACAAGAAGCAAACCCCCAAAGACAGCCGAATAGCCAAACCTGGCCTATGAGATTCTGCTCCCAGTACTTCTCTACTGATACCTCGGCGGTGTGCCCGCGGGCTGTCCGCGGTATTCAAGCTCGCGCCTCATCAGGTCCAATGTACCAGGGAAATACGGCTCGACACCAAAGTTTCTGAGATAAGCCGCCGTCTTCTCGATGCGCTTGATCTCCCTCTGCACAGCCCACTCCTCGTTCTCTTGGAAGCGCCTCCGCACAACTTCTTCCATTGCTTGGTCTAGCTTTCCGTAGAAGTCTCGGCGTGCGGCGAGGTCAGACGCATCGCCAGTGTCGAGACCACCGTGCGAGTTGAGGTTGCCGCCGAGCTTGAGGATGAGGTCGAAAGCGTAGCGCGGGCCGGTGGGAAGGGAAGACAGGCGCGTGATGTCGGGCAGGAACTTCGACATCGCTGACGCGAAGTGCGAGGCAGAGATGGAGTCGTTGAGGTCGTCCTGAAGGCGATGAAGGTCGAAGTTGACGATGGTGATCTTGCGGTCGAGTTGCGCGTTCAAGGTGTTGGCGCTGTCGGGTGTGGTAGAGTCCATGACTTTCGCGATGGATGGTGGAACGTCTGTGGGATGGTTAGCCGGGACTGTCGCACGACACGTGGTATGCGAAGAATGAAGTGGAACGTACCAGGCCTCAGCCCTCTTTTGTCGATCCACGAGTGCACCTCTGCCCGCTGCTGCTCCATCTGCTCGACGTAGCTTTGCAGGTCTGCGATCTGGCTCTCTAGTTGCTCGATCTTGTCCGAGTATGGGCGAACAGCTTCGTTGAATGCGCGCGTCAAAAGGTCTGGCATTGGCTCAGCCTTGATCGGCGCCATTGGAACTGGGTTCATCGGAGGCAGCGCATTGTGTCCCGTGCTGCCATTGACACCATTGGGTAGGCCTCTTGTCGCGCCATATGCCTCCTGCGGGCCCTGTTGGCGTGAATACATGTCTTTGGAGTCTGGCTCGGTAGGTGCGAGTGCAGTCGCAGGAGTAGTAGGCTGAGAGTTGGTCCTGCGGGAAGATGTAGGGCGCGCTTCGTACTTCTCGTCACGATACTTGTTGTCGCCGTAGTCTTCAACGTAAGAGTCGGTGCGTGTGCGTGACAGTCGTTTGAAGAATGACATGTTGGGAAGAAGAGTAGAGCGAGGGTGGAGGAATGCTACTGCTTTATGATCGAACTGGAATGAGGGATGCTCTAGCGCTTCGATAGCTGCGGAAGAGGTTGGTCGTCCTTAAAGAAAATGCGATGGCTGTTGTGGGGTTGGAACTGATGGTGCGGTGTTTGGCCGATAATGCTGTGGCTGGCCAAGATGAGATGAACCCTGAAGACAGCAACACGGACCTTGTCGATCCGCGAATCCCCGGACTATTCTACGGACTGTAGTGGCAAGAGGATATCTGTTCGGCTTCAATTGATAGAGTGTGAGTGAGTGTAGAACGAGCAAGCACGAGGAGTGCCAGTTGCGACAGCTGCGACGGCCGTCATAGAGATGGCGACTGGCGAACGTTGGGGAAAAACGGGGCTCGAACAGCCGGAAGCGATGCGAAACACCATCTCCGACCGCCAGGCTTGCCGCCGCCACTCCGGCAACCATGGCGTATGCCGCGCCTCATTGGTTGACATGACGGCTACACTAACGGGTTCATTGCCGTTACCCGCCATCTCAAAATGGGAGAAACCTCGAGACCCCGACATTGAGTGGGTGCTACTGGCACGAGTTGGAGAGACTCGTTTGTCCCTCGAGCAAGAACGAGGATGCCTACTCTACGTGTGCGATTCCGAACGGCTGTCACTGCTCACGACAAGGCGCTTGCGGACCACATCGATTTATTCAAGTCATGCCAACCTTCATCACACGCTTAGCTGTGGTCGGTTAGCGTAAATCTTCTTTGCACTTCACCAGCATTGAATCTAGATAAGCATCATCAACATGCAACAATGAATATGTGGTGCAGTAGAAATCTGCGTCGAGATCACTTGTCTCGTTCACTTGCAGCAGCTGTTCCCCAGGAACTGGAGGAGCATTGTCGCCTGGAGGTGCTGATAGCTGTGTCCGTCGACGCTCAGCTTCCATGATAACTAGTCGACCCTCCAACTCCTCCACTCGTTCTTCCAGGGTTTGATGAGCCTTCTGCAGACCGTCGTGGAAATTGAAGTTCTTGCCCGCTTCCTCCTCTACAAGTCCCATGTTGTCGTTGAGAACTTGCTGGTTCTCGTTGATTGCCTCTGCGTACGCCCGGACGTTTTTCAACGTAAACTCTAGGTCCTCAATACGGTCTTCCATGGCTGCTCCAGTTTGTAGCTCAGCGCGCTGTCGCTTCATCGTTCTAAGAGGCTTAGGGGAACGGTTTCGATTTTGGAACGAGGTGCTCGCAGCTGGTTCGCTATGTTCGCGCTGATCAGGGATGGGTCAGCTGCTTGCTTTTCTTGGGCAGCGGCAGACAGCGGCCGAGGAAGGCCTTCCCAGTGTGATGGGGAAGGATCTCGCTGATCTGTGCTAATGGTACCGCACCCTCCGAATGTTGACCCGCTTGTTGGACGCATCGTATAAAGGTTTTCATCTCCTTAATGCGCTGCGTCAGCCCTTCACGCCACTACCTAAGCAGGGAAGTTCCCGACTATGAACATATAGCGCTGTGCTCTTGAGAGGGCGATACACAAGCGACGCTGGTTACGGACGGACCCAAACGGGTTCGCCTGTTCTTTGAAGGCAGCAACAGAATGAATAAGAACGACTGCCTTTTCACGGCCTTGGAATCCGTCGACGGTGGCGCACTCCACTTGTACGTTCTCAGTTGCTTCGATGTACTGATGAAGGGAAAGCGGAGGCAGAGGCGAGGAAAGAGCGGCCTTCACGCGCCCTCTTCTCATATGAATCCATCCTAGTCGGCTCTGCTGCTCTTGCAACCTTAGCAGCTCAGCTTTAGCTTTAATGATACCATGATCCGCAACGTTCTCAGCAGCCGTATTACGCGATGCAAAGTGCACAGCGAGGCGAATGTTAGTCTCGTTATGTCCAAATCAACAGCGGACAGTCCTCCTTAGTACAACCAGCGGTCAGAGAATCGGTCTTCCTGTTTAATCACTAATACACATGTCGGCATAATATAAACTAGATATTCATATCCATTCAGCTTATTATAATACCCCTAATTACGTGTTAGTAAAGTAGTTATAGTAACAAATTAATGACAACTTACGCCGAATACAAAGTCCCTACACACGTAGAACTTCATACACCGTTTCCTTCTACAGTCCTTGCCTTTGTTGAGTGAAGTCGAACACGTGAGGCGCCTGTTTAAACGAATCCCACTTGTTAAACTCACTGCGCACCGTCTCGTAGTCGGTAATGATGATCTCGTAGTCCTGGAGTTGTAAGGCAGTATTAGGGTCGCTCTTGTCGTTAGCATTGGTGTAGACCTGCGCCCGCATTGCTCGGTACTTCTCAGACTCCCGGCCCTTGGCCCTTAGCAATAGGAAAGGCTTTTCGAATTATTGATATCCACACAGTATTGGTTAAGTGATGCGGTACCACGATAAGGGTCCGCAGTCGCGAGTTATTCCGTGGACGGCCTAGGGTTTTCTAATATTCACTATAGTAGCCAATAGAATCTCGAAAGCTTGTGTCGACATCGGTATATCCGATAAGGTCATGATCTTCCGCCGGAACACGATCCGCTTTACGGGCGATAAGGGCCAGGATGGTAAGAGCTTTGCCTGCGCCCATGTGGTCGCCATGACGTATGGCCACCATCATCCGCTTCTCTTTTAATGGAAAGACCCGGTCGGGGAAATCAGATCCTAATAGCTTCTTCTGCGTCCGGCTACTGGTTTCCAAAAATTCTTGGTGCCTCTGAGTTTGGTTGAGGAGGCACTCCGGGCAGTGTCGAATATAAGCCTTGAGCTTTGGTGCGAGACCCTTGATCACGAAATCATTTGTGATTTTCTCGCGTGATCGGTTGTACTCTGCGTGGAATTTCTGGTCGTGGCATAGGTCGAAGACCTCCTTCTCCAGCGCCGGTGGGATACAGAGGCGTTCGTCACGTCCTAGCCGGCGGCGATAAGCCGGCGTGCGGAAATGGATGAATCTTCGACGTGGATCGCTCGCATATCATGTCCCAAAAGTAGCAGATGGCCGGAAAGTTCCTCCTGAATGATCTCCTCTAGATTGTTGACATCCCTCATCTCGTACGCTAGCGCCTTGATGATGCTAGCCCGTAGCTGTCTTTCCGGAGTGCCCCATATGGCGCCATTGTCCACTTTTTCGTAGTCAGCTTCCCAACCTTTGGCATCAAACCTGTCGAACGAGCTTGTATGAGGAGCTTCCGCGAGCTTTACTGCCACCCAGCTCAGCATCAGGTACTGTAGCAGCTTGTAAGTGCGCTACGCGGCGGACTCTTTTGTAGCCAAAGTAATGAAGGTAACGGTGAGTGAGTAAAATTGGCAGCTTCGCCGATCAGGCAACTGAGAATACTAGCGAGTGTACGTGTTCACACACTGAGCGATGATCGTCTCTTTCAGGTACCCCAGGCTTTGGTTCTCGTGAAGTTCCAGTATTTCCTGGTCAAACGCGAGATCCAGAACGTACATTTCACAGGCTGGAAGGCTGCGTCCAATGGTTCGAGCTGATCCGAACGGGTAAGAGCTCTTATAGTTTCAACGCAGCAAGCAATGCTGCCATATCTCCTCGAGCCTCAAGCCCTGCTCGACCGGCTCCTTCGGGAGGACGAATTCCCGAAAGACGGTACTGTTGAGCCGCAGCCAGGCGGCGGGGTGGTCGTCATCGAACTCAAAGGGATCCTGTTTAGCGCTATACCGCAGCTCGGGGCTGCGGCGACTGCCACGGCGGACCAGGTCGCCGTCGCCGTCGCCAATGGGCTTAATAATGCGCAGGAATTTAGGAAACCGATGAAGTCGAAGAGAACAGCCCTATCTTTCAAAGATTCTCGTCTCCAAGAGCTCCACTGTAGGTATGAACGGCAATCATATCGGGAATTTTAAGAGCGAGTGGTAATCCAGCACAGAACGTGCGAATATTTAAGAGATAGCTATCCACGTCACATCGCTATCTTCACAACGTGATATCTTTCGGTGCGGAGGATTTTGTTCCTCTGTCTTAGTCTAACTGATATAACGCGGCCACTTGAGTTTCGAATTCGTAGTCATCTCTCCTCGCTCTTCACCTCATTTGGCACAATCATCTCTTGATTGGCGTTGTTCTCCATGTTGTTGCTTATGACTCGTTCTCTGTTCCATCTGTTGGCGCTGCTGCTGAGAGCCAGCTAGACGTTGCCGCGGGGGAGGACCGTCTGACAGATTGCGTGCGTTAGATTGAGCAATTAGTTGGATTCGGTGTGTTTGCGGTACATTTTGAGCCGAGTTTCGGCGTTGTTAGAGTAGCCGACCTTGCACAACGGCCTGGTCAGCGGTTTGTCAAAGTCTGCTTGAGGGATCCGGGCCAGCCGCTTCTCAAGCCTTCGGTGGAAGCTCCTCACCTCGGCGATCCGCCGCTTGATCGGGCTGTCGTCTATCCTATGCTTGTTCGTGAGGTATTTGCGGAGGCCATTAGCCTGAGACTGATGCTGCCGCGGAGACTCCGCCACTTCACATTTTCCAGAGCATTTTTGCACACTGCTGGCAACAGATGATCCGGCTTGGGCAATTCTTCTAATCTCCGCAATGGTCTCCAGGCTCGAGGCACTCCTCGTAGCTATTAATCTAGCTGGATTTGTATCAGGTGGTCGGCCCAGGAATTTCTCCCTTGCAACCATGCTTGTGACAAGTAGGTTTTCGCGACAGCTTGCCGCCCGTCTAGTGTTTCCTCTTTTGTCCCTTCTTGATTTCTCAGTTAACACAACTCGCTGTTGCAAGGAATCCAACGTCTTCCTGGTGGTCTGCTGATCCTGTCTCCATGTTGACGCATATGCCTATCTCTCGTCGTTACGGTTCCACCATACCTCGGTCTAGATGACGATAGAAGCTGTGGCAATGTTGAGGCGTAGGCCTCCGCTCCCGGCCATGATCAAGAGCCGAGTTGCTTAAGCGACTCTAGGTCTGGAGCCGCTGGAGGACACAGACCACGTCTTCCTGCCAATCCCGCTGCCGGGAGGTGCGGAAGAGTTCTAAGAGACAGCCTTTGATTGGCTTCTAATGTACCTTGTCGACGGTTGTTGGTCGGCTGGAAGTCCTGTAGTCAGGGCACAAGCGCGCTAGTAACAGCTAAATCAAGAGGCTGTAAGCTACAGCCCTGGGGAAGATTGAGACCGGCTGCGGATACTGCGTATGAGTATTTGAGTAACCGAAGGGAGTCCAGGTTTACCAGTAAGTTCCGTGTAATGAAACAACGGCTCAATGCTGAATCTTGCTCAAAACTCTTGAAGAGATGGTTGCCATCCTAAGTTGGCGGTTAACATAAATCCATCTATACCGCGGATGAAGAGGACCACGTTGCAACCGGCGGGAATGAGTTCGAGGCAGGCTTGTGCGTAATTATAGCTAGAAAATGTCGGAGCGGGTCTTTCGCCGCCGCCTTAGGAATCGGGAGGAAGGAAATCTAGAGAGATGCCAGCTGGCCTTGCACTTCCCATACAGTCTTCACTCTTCGGTGTCCCAGAACTGTTCCACGAATGGCCTCCCGCCATTGCCTGAGGGCATGTTTCAGGCACATATTGGGCGGGCGAGAGCAATTCTCGAAGCGAGTGATTGCTTGTGAAAGCACGGCATGTTGAGACGGTTGGCTGCCCTCCAGCCGAGCCTTTAGGCTGTTGATCTCCTCGTTCTTAGCTCGAAGCGTGGCCTAGGGGTCGCTGTCCAACCGCATCCGAACCTCGTTCGACGTATTGCTGGCTATTTAGAATACGATCAGTGTATATCTACACACGCGAGGCAAGTGATGTTGCGTACCTTAAAGAGTCTTTAGCTTATTGTCTAACTCTTCTATGCGAGATGACGCTTAGCGATGTTTATTCTTCCAGTGTAGTAGTTGACCGTGCAGTTTGTGCCGGCTCTAGCTAAATATGTCGTTCACGTTTAATAGACACGTCTCCAGTAAATCTACGGACGCTGGGTCCGTCTCAGGACTTGAGACAACGCGCTGGAGCCGGCTGAGCTTTTCGGTCTTGGTCTTGCGGATGATCCCTACCAACGTGTTTTGAGTTGTATTCATGAGCCGGTCTCGGTAAATTGTACATCTTACACTACGCCCAAGTATCGAACCAGTCGAAACGGCTGACCAGTCCCTCTGTGGAACATCATCTGCACAAGCGGGACATCACCACCGCGCCGCAGACAATCAAAATGAGCTCTCTATAGCGACGGGGGACATCTCGGCTCAAAGCCCTGATCTTCTGGCGCCAGAATGCCATCTCCCTAAAGGAGGTAAGCGTGACACCGACAACTACTATGTAGACCTAACCTCACCACCCTAGGGCAGCCATTTCCTGCGCTTCGTCAGCAAGCTTCGGGGGTCCATCATCATCGGCTGGGGAGGATGGTGTGGCGGTGATGGTGGAGGCGGCGGCGGGAGGGGCAGCGGAAGGAGGAGTGATGGTGGAGGCGGGAGGGAGATATAAGTATACTGAGAGATAGGACTTTTAGGCTGTCTGAGAAGTCTGGCGTCATCCCTTTAACTGCTCCGGGGTTATGATACTTGCTGCAACTGCTTTTGCACCTACCAGAGCTTCTGTGACGTTCCGGAAAATGGAGTCTCTTGCTTTTCATAGGCTCAACGGACTCTGTAATGTCGAGTTCGATGTATATTAAGCATTGGACCTGGGACTGCCGCTGACAGGTGGTGTAAAACTCTGTGATCCAGGGAGCGCTTTGTGCGAAGTTCAATTCTGAGAGTTGTAAGGGTTTATCTGGTCTGTCAACATTGTTTGTCCTCGTCGTTTTGGATCCCATTTAGAAGAGATTGGTATGATAGGGTTGCAACAGCAGAGCGAAGACTTGTTCGGCCACAGCTCTGGTTGGATCCTCATTCGCATCAACGGATAAAAGAAAGTCGGCTTGACGTGCGGACGGATAGCCGAAACGGGACTCCTCCTAAGTCTTTTTCTTGGGCCGCAAGTCTCCATGATCTCTTTGATTAGTTATTACAGAGCTGTCAAATTCCGGCACTGAGAACGGATAAGGAGTGATATAGTGATGAGACTATCAAAGTCTGTCACCGCTGGCGCCCCATGTAGTCACAGCCTTGCTCCTTCTTAGCCGTCAGCCTTGCTTTCTCAACTGCGAAGTTTCTGCGTATTGCGCTGGACTCCAGAGCATATCGTTTAAAATTTGCCCACTGTGTTATTAAAGAGGGCGTTCGCGCATACGTTGTTGCGGCATTGTTTTCGAACTGTATGCTTCAACACCGGTGCCCGTAACATCACTGGCCACCAGCCAAGCAATTTATCCCATACGATTTGGCGTGGTATTCAACTGCTGTGGCGAGGTCATGTTCGGAATCTTCGACCTATAGGTGTAGAAAGCGTCGCACCGTACCACTCTCGAAGTAGACAGTCTGTCCCGGCTTCACCACAACATATCGCCACTTGTCCTTACCCTGGAGGTAGTCCTTAGTCCACTCTGCGCTCTCATCCGGCATTGGCTTTTGCAGCCAACCGAATCCAATCTGCCCCTCTTGCATCGTTATCCAGATCGAAAATCCGTGGGAGTCTTAGTGTGTGAGTGTTAATGCTCCCCCTTCCGCCATCAAACACCACTTCTCGATAGTCTTAAAAGTAGTAGTCTACGAGCTAGTGAGTTCCCGCTTTACTATGTTATCTCCGACCTCGATCTTGCGGATTGCTTCGAGCAGGCTACAGTCTGGGTGGTTGGATTGGGTAGCATGGATATGGACCAGAAGAGTAGTTGGACAGACATCCTATGCGGTCACAATTGTGTTGTGAATTTGCCAATCTTCGGCTTTTGGTGGCAGCACTTTTCTGGGCGCCAGGAGGACGAAGGCAAATCTGGGGATTGTTCGCATTTGGGCCAAATTCCGCTTCCGCACAATGCCCCTGTCCTTCATCTCCAGTCGAAGCAACCTCCAGGCGTTTAAATGCTGATCCTCAAGCCGGCCAACAGCGCACAATTTTATTCATCTATTTCTTGAACCACGATCTAGTCATGCCGTTCTTGGCCATGGACAGTACCAATGTGTAAGAGGCCCCTTAGGTGGGACAGCGATTTGTTGTCCTGCCGAGTTGCATTGGGTCGACTTGGATTAGGATCGTCTTTGCGGGTGCATCTTCGTTATTCACACTGGCTTCCGGATCCACTACTCCTTCGGCTTCATCATGTTTCTTAGTCGCAGAGGTCCATAGACATGCGCAACCAACAAGAGAGCGGAGGCGCTAAGGCTTGCCACGCCGGACCAAGCTGCCTGCCACGAACGGGCAGGTGAAGGCGTATTAGGGCGAAGGAAAATATCGCTGCTGTGAATCGTGAAGGGAAAGTGTTGCTGTGAATCGTGAATCGTCCTGGGAACGGCGGCTGATTGTTGCTCGCGATTGTCGCCTTTTGGTCGCTTGCTGCGAACAAACTCGGACACAGCGTCCGCGTGTGGCAGCGGCAACCCAATCCCACTATTCCATGAACCAGCACGGTCGGAGGATATTGGCGCAGCTATCGACAGCCTCCCGAACCAGGTGTGTACCAGGGCCGCTGCATATGTTCAGCCGCCGGCGAGCTCCTTGGCCAGATGTCAAACGGGCTAGCTAGAATGGGTAGGTCCTCCTCGTCTCGTGGCGTCGTAGGTGCGCGACGCCTGATTGCGGGAGGCATCGCAATACCTCATCGTTCCTCGAGCGTTGTTGCTGTGGGGCCGGCACGCCGTTGAATCGGCGGCGGCAAGACGGTGGCACGTTGTTCGCTTGTCGATCGGAACTCTGTGGCTCGCGCGTCGTTGGCTGATAGCGTGGCTGAACTGCGCTTGAATTGCGAGGCTGGTCTCGCCCTTGGCACCATTGCTTCGCGTCGGGTCAATCTGTCTTCGAGCAGTGCGATGGTCTCATCCGTGCCTGCCATTACAATCTCCCGCCAAGTCTTCTTTCTGAGCAACCATAACGCCGAATCACGGTTCTTCGGACATCAGTTCGTGCTTGGATGTTTTCTTCGTCCCTCCACCCGGATCTAATCCCATATGCATGATTGCCATTTTCGCTTGGAGATTCGTGGACCATCAGGCGCGGATTCTACATCTAGCTCTCCGAGCCCGAGTACTCCAGGCCGGGATGCTGGTCCACCAAGATGTTACTTTGTCTGGATGCGATTGCGACTCCGCTACAAGCTAAAGAATTTCTCCAGACGGATCCCGACGGCTGGATCATCCATCACACGGCTCTTTCATGCAATGGTCCGGCTCTCTCTGCCGCATGTGATAGTGGCGTTTGACTGTATCCGTCCTTGGAGGCCGCGTTAACATCATCCCGCTCTACTAGCAGCTTAACCACCGCCTCGTGCCCTGTGTCGACCGGTTGCTGGATGCCTTCTACAGCGTTGTCTTGTGGAATTCTTGGCGCTTTTCTAGCGCGTGTGGAACAGGGAGCGCTTGGAGGTGTTGCGTCCTGCTGGGGTAAAAGGCGGTTGCAGAGTCCGCTCGGCCGTTGGCGAGCTTCGCGGCGTGATGTCCGACGGGCTGGCCGAAGCCGGTATCTCTTCTTCGCCTTGTGGTGCTGATGGCGTGCGGCGTTGGATCGTTGGCGGCATCGGGATTCCTGGCCGCGGCTCTTTCATGCAATGGTCCAGCTGCCTCGGCGACAGACAATTGCGTGTAATGCCAGGCGACAAGTGTCAATGCTGGGACTAGGTTGAGCAGCTCATTATAAGAGCAAGTAGTGTTCGAACTGTCCTGAACCAGCCCGGTAACATCGTTATCACAGGCTTTCGGTGCCTCTTCAACCGTAGTCGACTGCACTGGCCAACGCCTCAGGTGAGGTTGCGACTTTCCCTCGGGCGAGAGTCTTGATTTGCTGTGTTTCGTTCGTCTTTCCTCGACGTTCGCGCCATATCAGTCTCCTATGTTGGAGTTTGTGTGGCATGCAGTTGAGCCTGCTCCTGCTGGTCAAACGCGTACGTAACGGGGATGTACATGTCAGTGGCATGTATTCCTTACATCTCGGGAACGTCGACGTCGACGTGAATATTCACGCGCTTCAGGACCTGCGCCCGATAGTTCTGAGACGTCAGCTTTCTCGATTGACTACATGATCGTGTGAATCTGGTAGCCAGAGCAGTAGCGTCTGTGTGCGTACAACAAAAGTCGTCAAGCAAGTCGATGTTGAAGCCTAACCCGAGGAGAGCCTGTTTTCGGAAGAGATGCGCGACAACTGAACCGTGTAGAAGAGCGCATCCGTGCTGCGCCACTGGGTGAGGAAGGGGAAGCTGCGCAACCAGCCAGTAGAGGACGATGTAACGAAGGCGACTGGAGGCCGGAGACCGGAAATGATGTATACCAAGCGCCACAGGAGGCACATGATCCGATTTATCCGAAAGCGTACCGTTGTATTTAGTAACAGAATCAAACAGGATAACTGGCATATAGAACGGTAAACGACAATAGTTGCTACATGCGTTACTCTTTTGTAACATCCTGTAGTTTAGTTGCTTGGTTATGTGAGTATGGTAACAGAAGAGGTAGACTCTGATGGGGTGTTACACCTTGCGTTGTGCTATTGTGTTATGGAAGGCTGAGGACGATAAGAACAGTAGGAATGCTAGTGACGGAAAGACTTGAGAAGACGAGGAGAAAACCAAGCACTCCAACTTCGAAGGGGCTGGGAAAGAAGGCCAAGCCCCAAGCTCACCGCTCGAATCCGTTCAGCCCCGTGAGATACCGTTTCTACCCATCGAGTTCACAAACACCGCGAGCTCACCTCATCCAAGCTGTTCGTCAGTCAAGCTGGGCCACCGTGGACGCCGCAATTGCAAATCACTCCCAGAACAAGGTTGGTAAGAGGAGGATGGTTACTTGCAGTCTCTACCGTCTGATTCATTGCCCTGACGCCCAAACCGCATCCCACATATGCAACACCGCTTGTAGAGCAAGTTTCTAGTCATCCGCAACCAAGTTCTGGCCCTCCCTCAACCCCTCAACAACCAACTCCTTGCCCTCCGCTCTCCTGTATACATCTTTGATATCGTCTGTATCACTGTCAGCGTCTTTTCCTCTTGCGAAAGCTTCAGTGTAAACGGCGACAACTGCCGCATTTTACGCACCCGTAGTCGTCTCAAAATGGCTCGTAGCATCATAGCTCTTGCTAATGAAGATGTTGTCGTTGATCCCGCTCTCCAGCGGCTCGTAGATTGGGATGGGCGGGCCCATGAACTTCTCCTCGATGCGGCCGAGGCGGTCTAGCCCGGGCTGCAGCTCGAGATGGTGGTTGCTGTCGCCTTCGGCGATGGTGCTGACAATCGCGATGTAGTAGCCTTTGGGGCAGACGTTGTGCGCGGAGGAGACCATGGCGATGTAGATATCTGCTCGGGTGTCAGTTTAATGAACCCCGTTTCCTTCCGTTCAAAGTGTTTGAATAGTAGTGGGGAGAAGAGGGGGGCCTACCGTTCTTCCGTCCGATCTGCGACTGCGGGATAATAAGCTGCAAGGAGTCGCTATTATCTGTGCGGTCGATCGGGTGGTTCAAGATACAGATGGCCTTGAGCAAATGGCCCGTAACCTGCACCTTCCCAGGGAAGTATGACGGGTCCGCAAGAATCTTCTTGCATTTCGTCTCAAACTTCATGCCATCACCCTCCTCGCCGCGCTCCTTCATCGTCGCGCGAATTCCGGACACTTTTGCGCCATCGTACATGATCTCGTCCACGTCGGTATTCAGCATGTACGTCCCGCCGTAGATGGCTGACAGGCGCGCGAAGCCCTGCGGTAGCTCGCCAAGGCCGTACAGCGGGTAGATGTACGGCGACTTGCCGTAGCGCGCCATGGAGTTGCCGTACAGCCGGATGCGGACTATGGCATCTGGGGCCATGCCTTTCGTGTTGATGTAGTCGTCGGTTGCGTACAGCGCCATAGCGTGCCCGATGAAGTCGCGCGTCGTGGCTTCGAGGCCGAACTTGTCGTATACGTCCTTCATTGTGCAGGTGTTCATGTTCAGGCCTGTGTGGGTCCCGTCAGCTCTGATCCGTACGCTCTTTACTTGACTAAGTGCAGGCCGTACCCTTGTGTGTCGACGGGTCATCTTCCTTGAAGTTGCCCACCCACTCAAGGAAATTCCGCGCGCGCCGCTTCTCGAATATGCCCATCAAGGATGACCGCAGCGCCTCGCCCGCGTCGGATGGGACCTTGGCGACCGTCGCTCGGGGTCCATTGCCTTGCTGCACGTAGCTGCCAGCGATCTGCTTGAACTCGAGGTACCGCGTGACGTCGGTCGAGACGAGGATGTTGGTCAGCTCGCCATTGGACATAAGCAGCTTGGGCACGAGGTCGATGTTCCAGTCGTTCACCCGGCCGTATTTCTTCCATGGCTCCTCGCCGGGTGAGTAGTTGCCGTACTTCTTGAAGAGCTAGGAGGTGTGAGCGGGGGCCCGAGAAGGTGAGATTAGGAGGCTGTACTGATTCTATGTTGATTGAGGCGGCTTCACTGCGCAGCGTCAGTGTACAAGCTAGCTACAGATATCGAGGCATATGTACCCGCCGTAGTGATCGTTGCGGTCGATGTGGAGGACTTTGTTGCCTTTGACGCTTAGGACGCTGCGCGAGGTTTAGCAGCGGATCTAGCCCCGCACGATTGAGGCAGACGGTACCCCGACAAGACGCATTCAGTGAGGCCTGCGTGTTTGTATTAGCTGTCATGCATCCGCTGGTGGTGGGGCGGTCGAGGTACCTGTGCCCAGAACGACAACGTCATACTCTGGTGCGATTTCCTCCATGTCGGCGGGCGATCAAACAAAGTATTCAGAGGAGACAAGTGGTTTGAGTGGCTTAATTGTCTAGAAAGTGCAGGTGGGTGTAGACAGAGGGCTGTTGCTAGAGTTGATGCGGCGTGTTTGAGCTGCCCGCTGCGGCGAGTGGCGCACGGGCATGACGGCCAAGAAGACATGTGTGGTTGGCGGTTATCTCAAGAATCATTGTTTCCGACTCCCACGTGAAGCAAGACGGCATTGCAAGATATGTATAGTACATTGGAGTTCTACAACCTGCCAATAATGTCATTGAACGATAAGCAGGATTATGCGCCTCCGAAATGCTGCCCATATATGTACATGAATTAGTAAAGATTACGCCGCAGGGGCTACTCTCGCATCCTATGCCTGTGTAGCACCTCTAGGTAATTCTCGAGGTGCGGCGCTGGTTTCATCTGCGGAAGCATCCTTTACACTGCTCTCCTCAAGAATAGCACTGTCTGCCACACCACCTTCTGCCTCCTCGTCCTCCGCGTAACCAACGGTTGGCGTGTAGGCAGGGCCTTCATCCGGATCAAGGTTCACTTCTGGGTCGTTTACTCCAACTCTTCGCGCATCTTGCCAGGCATACCATCGCTCTGTAAGAACAGCCTTTATGGCTCTTTGTGTGTGTCGGATCTGTGCAGTAATCGCACGTCAGTTGGAGTTTCTCGAGTTTCGGCGGCGGCGACTGGTAGGCAACAATTTATGCAACCGCGGCCTTAGCAGGACCTATCCAGTGCCGGACTGAATGTGCGCACGTACCGTCTCGTCTCGTTGTTCAGCCTCGTACTCGCCATACCCGCCTTGAAGTCGAAGCAATTCGTACGTTTGTGTCTTGATCCGGTTGCGCTCCTTCGCGCAAACCCACCAAAGGGCGTGGAGATCATCCCAACCCTTGTGCCTAAGCTCTTCCACCGTCCATGCTCGACCTGTGTCGCGAATGCTTCAGTAACAGACGACCTGATGATGGTATGAACCCACTGACCGTGTGCGCCAACCTCTTCTGGCAGCGCCATTGCCCTCCTCTCAGTGCCGAAGAACTGCCAGAGCCCATGATCCTCATCCACCTGCAGTTTTGATCTCTTCGAGGGGTCAAGGACTGGAGTTGGGAGGTCTAGCTTCTTGACGGATAGAGTCTGCCGGGGCCGGAGCCCTGTTCGCCGGACAGCGGACACGCCGCGATCGCTATTGCGGTCTCGCCGGGGGTAGAGCTGGCTTTGGGAGGTCGAGAAGCGCAAGACGCATGGTACTGGATGAACGCGCTTGGGCGGGAGAGAGGGAACCAGGGAGCCGAAGAGCGGCTCTGCGGTCTGGAGACAGGAGCTGGGGCGGAGTCTGCGGGCGAGACAAGGCGTACTCATTGTTGTCGCAACGGGAGCCGATGATGGATGGAATCAATGTTTCCTGATGCTGCCGTCGAGCAAGCTTCGCATGTATCACGAACCTATGCTCACCTGGGCAGCGTTCACAACTTTGGCCAGTTGCAGAGTTATTCCGTCCCGAGCAACAAGCCAAGGTTCAGCCCTGCAACCAGCGGGAGGGCTATCCGGTTTCTGGTCTGGTGTGAATGCGGCTTAACCTTAATTACCACCAGGGTACAGTGACGGGAATGCAGGCGGGCTGAAAGTCAGGTACCACCTCACACTCCGCTACCACCACTTTAATCCGAAGCACACTGCTACACCACCACTCCACCTCGTGCGGAACGATTGACTCGTAGCAGAGGCGCGCGCAAAACTTTCACATCCCACTCACAACCGACTTGCGAGGCTGAAAGCCAGCTCTTCTCACCATGAATCGTCCAGGTCGGTCGTCCTCTCATGTCGCGCAGCCCGTAACCCCGCCTGCGCCGGCCCACTCAGTCTTTCCCGTCTTTGTACCACTCGATCTCTGGCCATATCAACCACCACCGGCGGCATATGGCCTGAATTTCTACCATCAGACATTACATCTCCTCTCCTTCACAGTTGCTATCTCGAAGCGGACAGGCGCACCAGCGAAAGCAACATCTTCGCTGCTCTTCACACTTAGATCTCCGTCGCAGGACCGGAAATTGCTGACAGGTAAACCGAACAGGGCCAGGACCGCAACCGCTACGAGCAATGGCCGGCAACGTTTTCCAGAACCCACAACAACCCGCAGGCGCGAGGGCCACACCACTCGGCTCCGGAAGGCTGCAAAACGGCAAACTAGGTTGGCGCAGGAGCTCCCAACACCTTGCATCTGGCTGCGAGGCAGCTGACATACTTCAAACGGACAGGTAGTGGCTCTAGCTGGACATTCGGAGTTCCAATGGGAGGCGCTCCTGGCCTTTCGGGCAATCAGAATCGGGCAAACAACCCAGCCGCTTCCTCCTTCGCTCAAGCAACTGGCGCTTCGCAGTCGCAGCAGCCTTTGGACTTGTCGTAAGTGCCTTTCCTCTCAGCCATACCATCCCAGCCCAAGGTGCTCGGCTTGCGCCGCTCGCTCATCGGATGCGGAAAGAAAGGACGAGACTGGAAGCTGGCTGGGGTATCGTACGAATCGCGTTCGTTGCATGAGGGCTGACTCCATGGCGTAGTGATTTCCCGTCCCTGTCGAACAACGCTCCTCAGCAACAGCAGAATGTATCCTCACACGCCATATGGTCCAACACCCCCAGCCTACGGGGAAATCACGGCCGCGGTGCGGAGGTTAGTGTTTTGCAGACTTCCTTTGCCAGAGCACAATTCTCAAGATTCCATTACCATAAATCCGCGCATCCAAAAGCAGAATGGATGCCCGCTACCGAGTGACCTGCAAGATGTTCGTCAGTCGCGCTGACCGAACAGGGCCCGCAACCGCAGCATACACCAGTCCAACGCCCGCAAGGCCAAGGAAGCACGCCCCAGCCGCCCTCAGCCTCACAACCCACGCAACAACCGCTCTCCCAGCACCATCAGTCCCAAGCACTCGAAGAAGGCACCTCCCCATCACCGCAATTCGCGGCGGGCACTGAAGAATTCCGGTTCGGAAATCAAAGCAGCACAGGTCAGCAACAAGGCAACCTACAAGCGCTAAGTGGTAGTATAGACGAGTTTCCACCCTTAGGTGGCGGCCCGGGAGACATTGGTCTAGATCGACGAGCCGGACTGATGCAAAATAACATCTATGGAGGCAATACGAACGGCAATGGTTTCCCAGGAAGTCTCAACGGAGGAAGGAACAGCCTGGTTGGCCCGTTGGACGGCCAGCAGGACCGAACTGCACTCATCAGTGCAGGAGATCGCATGACTGCGCCTGTCGGGCTCAATCCAAGTTGTAGGTCAACCAGTGCCTTCGAGGGAAGCTTGTGTCTCTTGTGACTACTTACCATATTGCAGTGGCACGGTCATCCTTCCTGAACTCGCAAGATACAGATCGGAACGTAGGTCCACGACGTCTTGCTCAATCAAGTTGCAATGCACCAGTCTAATCCTCTCAGGGTTCTTCCGCATCGCAACACACCCTCGGCAATGCGCTTTCACACGTGCAGCGATCAGCACAGAGTGCGTTTCGTGCAGGCGGGATCAACGACCCACAACAGACCATCGTACACGGGCAACAACCACCACGGAGTGGCCTTTTTGGTGTGGATCCTATGGAATCGTCCCAGAGTCCCCAACAACGACCAGAACCGAAACGACTCGCACAGATGACCGATATCGAGCGTTTTGGAATTCAAGGACTGCTGGCCATGATCAATTCCGACCATCCGGATCACTCGCCACTTGCTCTTGGGCACGATCTGAACGCCCTAGGTCTTGATCTCCGTACCGAGTAAGCCACGCAGATGATAGGATCCCAAGGAGAGCTTGCTGATGCTTCTTTTAGCGATTTACCTATCTACCCGACCTTCGCAGGCCCCTTCGCAGAGCCGAACTCTCGTCCAATCATCCCCGATTTCACTCTTCCATCAGCCTACAAGGTCACGAACGTCCCACCGTTACGAGAAAAGATGATAAGCTTCTCCGATGACACACTATTCGCTATCTTCTACCAGTACCCACGAGACATTCTCCAGGAGGACGCCGCTGGCGAGCTGTGCGTGGCTAGATCGTATCACTGCGGAACTGTCGCTGACCATCTCCTAGCTTTGCACGAGAGTGGAGGTGGAATATCAAACTACGGCAATGGATGCGAAAGGACGAGCAATTCGGCAACACGCAGCGGATCTCGGAGAAGGAGGAACGAGCTTACTACATATTCTTTGACGTCAACAACTGGCGGAAGGAGCGGGTATGTGTTTCTTGTATCGGTTTTGGAAAATGCCGCCAGCTGATGATCGACGACAGAGAGAGATCCTACTGCACTACGACGACCTTGACATGAGACATCAGGATCTGCGACAAGGTCAGCATGCTGGACCGTCGTTGTCGTAATCGAATATAGTTATGCGGTAAGCTCTCAAGACCATGGCATTCATGAAGCCACTCACTGGACGGGTCTTCAGCCTTAGTGGCGTCTCTGCTGGAGTTGGTCCAGTTAAAGCCATGACCTGCAGCAATTGGGTAACACACAGGCTTGGAGAGGTGTAGCACTATACATGAGTCCAAGCTCTTACCCAACAATTTCAAAAACTGCTAGACAACTTCTGAAGTATGCCGTGAGAATCACCATCGAGTGAGCTCGTAAGTGTAAGGAGCATCACTTGTCGGCGAACCGACGTGTTTCGTATGAATGCTCACTTGGATCCTGCGTTGCCCATCTCTCGCGCGTCGCTCTTTCCTCCTCTTGCACCTAAGCAATAATAATTCGGTACTCTTCGGGCCAACCTCGCTAGTCCAGCACAGTATCTCGCAGCCTTCACTCTCTGCCCATCATCTTTCCACTCACAAACCTCGAAGTCTTGGCGTCATCGTTCCCGTCCTATGGGTACACCTTTCATTCTTCTCTCTTCCTATAACCTCTTCTGTATTTCCTACCAGCTCGACCGCGTGTTCGAGGCGCAAACCAATAAACGAAACTCCTCTCCTATCGCCGCTCCATGCAACCATCCGAACCGGATCACCTAGCGGCAAAGCCTACTTGCTACTTCGATTCTTGGGAATCCGCCGTAGACCCTAGCAGCGATGAGCGACCTTCCTCAGGACGAACCCTTCCACTGTATCCGTTCGATCCGTCCGACGTAAATCCGATTGACTCGACCTCTCCCATCGATCCGCTATCATCCAGCCCATTGCCGAGACCAGGACCGCATCATGACACCGGTTGGCATGAATGGTGCTGGGCCCCACAATGGGAGAAAACAGGCGGAGATCCAAGGTCAGGGCCGATGCAAGTGAGCCATAGACGGCTGCCGAATGAGGGTGTACCAACAGCCCACAGCAGCTCATTGCCTACTACACCCATTACACTACACACGAAGCGGCGACAGTCTAGTGGGGCTAAGGCGCTGCGCATGCTTGGTGTGCCTGAGCTGACGGCCGGGACCGTGGGGCCTCTAACTCCAGACTCTCCGCCAGTCCCAAGCGCTTCTATGCCCTCCACACCGGCACCTAATACGCAGCGGCGAAGGTCAGGTGATGTCAAGGCACTCCGTGTACTCGGCGGACCTGCGTGGCTGCCGGAAAGTATCCGTTCATTGACACCAGAAACCCTGTCCAGAACCTCCACCGCCAGTAGTCGTAAAAGGCAAGAAGGCGAAAACCCGGTGAACAAACAACAAGCAGCTAGAGACATCGGCATGGTTACATCGAAAGGGTCACAGACCAGCGCGAATTCATCCTCCACCGGCAAGAAATCCGTTGCTTCGTCGAAGAGCAGTATTGCGCGGATATTCTCTAGAGCTGTGCCTGACATGCGGCTCATAGAGCTGATCGGCAAGGGAATGAGTCCGCTGCTGAGGGGCTCACCGCAGAAGAGTCTCGCACAGCCGCCTAAAGACGAGCTGAGCAAGCAGGTTGATGACAAACCCCAGCCTGTTACGGTTGATAAAAGCATCGAGCAACATGACAAATCAATGCAGAGACCGGCTGTCAGGCCACAGCTGTCAGCCATGAAGTCGGAGAAAAGCAGCTCACGGAATCGCAGCAAGGAGAGGAAGCGGCCTGCAGCAGTATCGTGGTCGAGGCATAGCGAGCACCATATCACATCATCCAAAAAGCGCTCAACGCCCGCCCTATCTAGCTCTCGTTCAAGCCCTGGTCTTATCCACTCTTCAAGGCCGGCACTCAGTGCTGCAGACCACCATGGTTCACACAGCAGCACGCACAGCCACGCATCAACGCCACTCACCATCCTAGACATCCGCGGCTGCCCCGAGCAGTGCGACAGCGCTTCCATGCTCCCCACGCTCGCCCACAAGCGCTCACGGCCCGCCTATCTGCGTTCGCTCAGCAGCATGGACAAGCTGTTCCGGTCCCGTTCCGCACAGAAAAGCGAGAGCGGAGCCTCCGTGCTCTCGAGCCCTGGACCAATTCCCTCATCTCAATCGGTCACCCCGCTCGGAACGCCCACGTCGACCGCGTCTTCGCCTGTGTTGACACACACCAAACCGTACCACAAGCAGCGAAAGTCCTTCCTCCGCTGGCACTGGCTCGGCTTCGGTCCCGCGGCCTCCAGCCCCATGGATCTGAGAGCGCAGACACCAATCTCAACAGCCACGCCTCACAGCCAGCCAGGCGGAGGAGTAGCAACAGCGAAAGCGGCAGAATACTTCGATCCCACCGACCCAGCCGTCATACGCACCCTCTCGAAAGGCAAAGACAGCAAGAGCAAGCCTGGCGCCTCGAAAAGAGATAAGGCGGTCCGCCGCGTCGCAAGCGACGACGACTTCCCCCGCAAAGCCATGCGCAAAGCGACGACGCGGTACCATCCCCAGCGCGAAGCCGACGTGTACTCTCTCTCGAGCGACAAATCAAGACACAGTCCGCCCGCTGAAGCCGCGCAAACCGCGCCCGCGACAGCAGCGGCAGCACCAACGCACCCCATGATGCCAGTCACGGGCGCAAAATTCGCGCTCCCGCGCCAGCCCCCCCGTCAATCTGCCGACCCAGCGAGGGCCCCGGCGTTCTTGCCAGAGGCGCAGCGGGTTAGTACGCCGCCGCTACCGACAAGCCGGCCGGGCAGGCAGGGCAAGCTGACAGGCTTCTTCATGAGCTTCGCCGCGCCCGGCTCGGAGGACCCACTCACCACGCCTCCCGCACGGCTGGCGCTCAGGCCGCCGCTCTCTGCGCCTGCGGTCCCGTCGGCGCCCTCTACATCCGCACTCGCAGACGACGGAGCAGAGAAGGAGGGGAAGGAGATGGACTACTACCGCGTGCGCATGGAGCGCATCATGAATGCCTCCGAAGATGAGGATGCGAGTGAGGACGAGGAGGTGGAGGCGAGGGCGGGCTTCGATTGGAGCATCCCGGAGCATCTGCCCAACTCGCCGCTGTGTCCGCTTAGTCCGAAGTTTAGGGGCGGCGGGAGGGGCATCTGTGTGTATCATGGACGGGGGAGGGGGGTAAGCGGTTCCGGTCTGGGGTTCTGAGAAGGAGGGGGGTGAGGGAGTGTGGGGGCTGGCGTGACTATGTTGTTGTGCAAAGGTGTGCTTTCTGGATGCGCGTGATCGAAAGCGTGCGTTGGATTTGAGGCGTTGGAGAGGGTACTCGCTGGAGTTTTGGGTAAGGGGAGATGGGTTCCTCTACGTGTAGCAGCCATCAACAAACCTCGCATCAACATGTGCCGTCCGCAAGCTCCAAACTTTGAGGGAATCTCCGAGTTAGTGGCTCGAAACTCGTTGTCCTGCTTAGCAAGAGAAAGTGACATAAGGAGAGGTCCATTAACTAACAATATTGAGCATCCGATTGCCGTCGATCCTATACATCATTAAATTAGATCATAGGCAGTTTTGGAGCTTTTAGAAAGCACTAAGTCAAAGCAACCAAGACCCACTAGAAACTCAACCAATCTCCACAAAAGCAAAAACATGTGTAGAATAATCGTTGGTCCGCCCGACAAGGTATAGACGAGCGGATATTCTAGCCTCGTCTAAGGCCGCCCGTCCAAGAGGCTAAACCTCGTGCGCCCGTCCACAACTAGCCGATAGAGAAGAGCGGACGAGGTAAACTTTAATATAACTATTTTCTAGTAGTGGAGGCACAGTAAGAACTTATTCAAGTTAGATTATCTTATCTTCTCTTTCTACATGACTTTTAAGGCTGTAAGGCTCTCGACCTTTTACAGACTACCTATCTAGGCAAGCTGACCTTGTCCACCGTCCGTCGGCTCTTCTTAAGACCCTCGTCCCTATCCGCCCGTCTAATGGCCTTACCCTACCCTCGTCCGCCTGTCCTAGGGCTCCGACGAGGGCGGGCGGCCTAACGACCACCCTGATTATATATAGCAGTAGGTGTTTACTAGTAGCCACCCACCTACCGATGGGATATCTGCACGCGGTTGTAAGGTTTTTTTTTCATTCTAGCGGGTGAGCGTTGCCGCCCTATGCTCGCGCGAGCTGAGGTGCGTTCGGGTGAGTATGGGTGATCTCTCACTCTAGCCCACCTATGTCTTGGGGGGGAGCCTAAAAAGGCTCCCATATAGTGCACTATAACAGGCTTTCTATTTTGGTCTCTCTAAGGCCTCTAGTAACTAGCTGAGCGGGGCAGAGCCATCCGGATAAAGTACCAGATCTGGTTAATACCGGCCTCTGAGGACACGGAGGATTAAGCAAGCAGGGCGTAGATTCATGCGAGCATCCTCAGGTGCAGAACTAAAAGACGGGATTAGATAGAGTACTACGTCCTACGGGCTGACCGAGCGGCGCAGTTTCATGCGGAAGGCTTAGAGACCAGACAAGGAAGGAGCTTAATCGAACCATATTTGACCACGACTTGTCCATTCCAAAAATCGACGTACCTAGGTAGCACATGTCAACTGCGAGGGGGGCCTTCGTGGTGTCCCTAACTGCACCAAATGCATGCCAACCTAAGATAGGGAGGTGGTCTACCCGCCAGAGGTGCATATCAAGGCTGAGCTTGCCTAGGTAAGTGACACGAGGACGATATTCCGCCATGGTTCTATTTGAACGCCTAACACCTAGTCCGTAAGGCAAAAGGCATACGTCCGCGAAATGCCGCCGACTTATTGGCGGGGTCAGCTCCAGAGTCAGGCAAGCAATTGCGACGTACTCTTCTCAACCTTCTTGTCTTTCTGCTAGACAGCATTGGGAGGCTTCAACGCACAGTCAATACGGCACTCATTTTTCGCTGCTCCAGGTTATCAACATCCAGCTGTATACCTGTAGACTTCGAGAATTACTTCTCTTGGCTAAGGCGAGCGGCAATATCGCTCGACGTGTAACTCCCTCGGTCACAAGATGTCGTCGGTCGTTCTGTGCGAGTATTGCAAAGTTATCGCAGTTGCGTGCAGCAGTTCCAGCTCACAGACACAACCCATGCAGTGGATTAGGTATGGACGTCAAGACTGTTATCCGGAGCTTCCTGCCCTGGCCGCTTCAGCGTCTTCTGGCTGTCCGGTTTGCCGTGTGATGATTCACGAGATTCATCGCCTTGCGAAACCGCCGCAAATCCCTCCAGAGCCTAGGGTTATATCAATAGCCAAAGTGTGTCTCGTTCGGGAGAATCTTTATCATGATGGGATACCGGGTATTGAAAATGGGGTTTTCAGACTTATCGTTGATTTGTCGGCTCCGAGGATGGGCGGTTGGTCTGCCACCTTCGAAGTGTATGCTGATGAAGGTATCGCACTGATCTCGGGTGTAGAACCAACAAAGAATCAACAAAGATAACATCAGTCACAGACAGCGAGGCTGCCACACAAGGCAAGATCCGAAGACGAATTCCGAGCTGCGACCCTTTGTCCGCCCGGAATGTCCAGACTGTGAAGGGCCTAATCCGCGAATGCTATGAGCACCACAATGGGTGTCGTATAGACGGACTTAGAAGTCTACCTAAGAGGCTCCTAGACGTTGATACTGGTGATGAGTTCCAAACTCGATTGGTCGAGACTGTAAAGCTCTCACCAGCATCTCTGTATGCCGCTCTAAGTCATACTTGGGGCCAAATATTAGCATCCGGTTCCTTCCTAACAACGAATGTCAACAGTATCGAAGACAGGCTTCGAGCAATGCCATTGTCAACTATGCCGCAAAATTTTCAGGACGCTGTTAAGGTAGCACGCACCTTAGGGGTGCGGTATCTCTGGATAGATTCCTTGTGCGTAAGCTAGGACATGCGTCGAAGGTCTCAATAACCCTAACACACATAAGCAGATGCATTATCCAAGATAGTCAAACCGATTGGGCGGCTGAGGCATCAAGAATGGACCAAATTTACGCAAACGCATATATCACCATCGTCGCAACGTCAGCAGCATCTGCCAACGAAGGTTTTCTAACAAGACCACCGCTTCTATATCCACCAGTAAAAGTACCCTACCCTTCTACAGGCAACGAAAGCTCCCCTAGCTTCTTCTATCTCTGCGCGAGACTTGTGGGGCCTTTCCGTAATGATCGTAAGGAACTTATCGAAAGTACCATATGGAATAGCCGAGGTTGGACATTTCAAGAGCGTCTTCTGTCCAAGAGACTTCTCCACTTCACAAAATTGATGCTGCATTTCGAATGCCGAGTTCACGACTGGATGGAGGACAATCGACCAGAAGACAACGGACCACAAACCTTGTACAACAGCCACACAGTTCGGCCCGGGTCCGACGTTAGCGTTTTTGGGTACGTCCCGCGGAATACACTGTCAGAGAGAGAGCTGGGTTATCGATCATGGTACTGTCTTATACAGGATTATTCGGCCCGGAATCTCACTAAAGCTATGGACAAGTTGCCGGCTATGGCTGGTCTGGCTCGTGTAATGGCCAACTTAGTCCATGATCAGTACGTGGCAGGCCTTTGGAAGAACGATTTGATCCGTGGTTTATTCTGGAATATAGAGCCTTACCGCAACACCCAGAAGTCGAATGTTTATCGGGCGCCGAGTTGGTCTTGGGCACAGTTTGATGGCAGAATTACGTTCACCGGGGCCATGCCACTGCTAGGTAACATCCGCTACTGCTGTAACATCTTGGACGTAGAGGTGGAAGGAGTCGCAGGGGATCGAATGGGACTTTCAAGGTCTGGCTGGCTCAAGCTTAGGGGGAGGCTTGAGAGCGTCTCGGGTGTTGAAAGCGTTTATACTCAGGTTGCTCGGGATCCCCGTCCTCATCGAATTTTTAGTAATGCAGGTCTAGTTGGAGAGGGCCACCTTGACCAGGGTATTTCGATAATAGGCCCGGGGTTGTTCGCATTTCTGCTTCGAATTGACTTTGTCGAGGGTGAGGATCATTTGGTCCCAAGATGTCTCCTACTCAAAGCAACGGGGACAGACCTGAACGAGTATAGCCGAGTGGGCACGATGAGCATCGTCACCAAGGCAACAGAAGGGCGCTTGGATTTCTTCGATACAAGTACCGAGCATACTATAGTGGTCGTTTGAGGAAACCGAATACGTCAGATTAGAAGTCAGCGAACAATGCCTGAGTTTCTGCGAGCAGCAGGTATGACCTACTAGCCACATCAGTTCGACAAGTCTTGCACGAGAGAGTTAAAAAACGTGACCTGTGGCGAACACCCCCCTCATTTGTTCCTAGTGTCACTGTCAATCAGGGGTATGATGAGCCATCGTTCGTACAACATCAGGCGTCCAGTCAAGATTGCGCTGAAGCCATGGGGTGTTCTGCAACATGTGGCAAAGGACAAAACGCGTTTGACACCTAACAATCTGGTAGGAAACGATAGGGAGGCTTGACCGCATTCTCTCCCCGACGCTGCCCGCCTATGTTACATAACTCCTACTTCGAATCTCACAGCACGTCGGTACTACAGAGCCGTATAGATCAATAAAATTACGAATTATACCGTACGAATAAACGATACACCGCTGCTGCGCATTGAATAAATCTACACACACCGGCCCCGTTCACAAGAGCAACCGCGACTCCCCACGGTGCACTGCGGTTCGCAGCCCAGCGCGCCAACCGAATGCTTCAAGCTTGATGGTTCTACATATACAGTACGCTTAGCCTGCAATGAGGACTCAGAGCAGAAAGACTAACGTTATAGTCTGGATTGTCAGCTTCTAATCCTCTGCCTATCATCGATGCGAAAAGGCAGATCCCTTACTCCTGCCACAAACGCAACCTGAAGACCTGACGGCCACCCGCCGAACCTGGATCTATAACTACATGGCAATGGCTGATAGAAATCTAATCCAATATACTGCATGTGATCGGAGGGACAGCTGGATGGATATAGAGCTGAAACAGACCGTCAGGAATAGCACGTTGGCGCCTCGGAACCGGATATGTAGACGTAGGATTACAAGCACGTAAACGGGATTATATTGTACTGCTGCGCGTTGGACGCATCTTCACGCGTGTAAACGCGCTGCCGTGATTTTATGCGGTGCACTGCGGCTCGCGGCCCCGGCGGGTGGGCCCGTCTCCGAATGCCCTCCTCTGCTGTTGAACGTCGAGGAAAGTGCTGGAAGGCTAATAATTACAGAAGAAACTGAAACATACTAGAGAAAAGAAGAGAACTCCTTTAGCCTGCGATGAGAACCCAAAGCAGAAAAACTGTAACCTTAGTTGTTAGTTATTGCCGCCTCAAGGTCTCAAAAACCCTAACCCTAAGCGCTTTTGAGGTGCAATTTTCTTTCTACTTATATTACTAGTTTCTGCACGACAGCTGCGTTATGATAGACTAAGAGGCAGAGTAGCTAACAGTAATAGAGAGCCAAGAGGTTTAGAAGAAACTGTAGGGGTAGCTAAATACTTCTCTTTCTACGGATCTAGATAACCGGCAATATAGTAGTAGCTCCTTCAGCTTTAGGATTTATATTAGGCTCCATTTCTAAAACAACGCTTGGAAAGGAGCCAGAAGGGGTCTGTTATAGATAGTGGGTGAGGTAGTGGGTGATGCAGGCAATAGATAGATAAGTATAGGTAAGCAAGGGTGAGCACCACCTAGCTCACCCACTTAAAGCAGCACCCCACTATAAGAGGCAACAAAAACGGCCTTAGAGATATCCGATAGATATCTAGTCACTTGACTACTAATCTACCGATTCAAAGCCTACGTATGGCAAAGCGGACGAGATGCCCAGTACTCTTTGAACTATGGCCGTACGTGGTAGAAATAGCTCTTGTTACGATACACATCAGGCTCAGGTACGCGCAGCAGCTCCGTGGTGGCATTGCTCAACATTCGTTGTCGCGATGAGTTCCAAGTATCATCCCACGTCTTTGTACAGCAATTTCCAAAAATGACGGAGGCTTTCCCAATAGAATCACAACTCTCAGCGTGCCTCGGCGTATAAGTTTGACCGCCAACGACAACTCATCGCAGGTTTAGTGTTGAAGTCGATACGGTCCATGCGAAGTGCGACGACTCGGGGATGCCAACAGCGCTTGCAAACAGAGAGTCGAAGACACGAGCGTTCTCGACCAGATCCGTACCGAGGACGCGTCGCATAGTCTCCAAAGAAACACCTTGTCTGAGACCCTGTCACCGTACAGAACGAGTCGATCAACGCGTTTAGGTAGTTTGACCCCATCAAAGAATGCCGAAGGGAGGTTCAACAAATCCACATTTTCAGCCCCGAGGTCAGGGCTGTAAACTTGGCGTACATCACCAAAGCCGTCCCCCTCGTCGCAGAACAGTACGGCATTCAGGCCAGAGCGGCAGTAGTCGACGGAGCGAATAACCCGTTCAGGCCTATCTCTATCGTCGGACCAGCTTCCACGGTTGGCGACCACCGCGAACAGGCCCGCGTTAAGAGTTGGACTGGTCTGACGGAGACCGACAGCTACGATAGCTTTCTCAATCACGTTCACACTGGTGTGTTCTGCACTGGTATTTTGAGCAGGGATCCGGGATAATGACGTCGTCAAAGCAGAATGACGTCCCAGGGTACGCTTCGACTGAATATTCCAGGGCTTGGAGAAAAGAAACAATGCTGGCGCTATCTGGCGGCCTGGAGCAGAGATCGAGAGTAGCTTGCTGGAGAGGGGGCGGGAGTGCGTCGCATAGCGAGGTCTTCGGAGAGGATGGAGCCTCGTCGCGGCACATGAATGCCTTGTATTCGGGCCTTCCCTCGATCTGAGCTAGTTCTGCAATCGATCCATTTGCGAAGTAGACCGCTGCCGTGCTGGGGATGTGGTGAGAAGAATGCCACGGAACATCTAGGTACAAAATGCATACCCGTAATCAGAGGTGAGACTAAGGCCCATACCAGGAACTCTGAGCCGCTTTGGCGGTTGCTCTCGAGCTGGAATACACGGCAAGAGAAACAGGAGGCAGAGGAGCGGAATAAGGGAGCGGGTGGTTCGATGCGGCGTTGCGAAAGGATGAGTACTTCTATATCTGAGAATTGGGATAGCGGAGGGCTTAGGATGACGTTGGCATGCTGAGATTATAGGAAATACCTTGAAATTGTGTATGAGGGCTTAAAACGATTATTGCTGCCTTGAGTTGAATTTGGTGCCGTGTTTCAGCACGCGCAGTCCACGCCTCCCGCTTCTGTACCCAAGTTTGGAGTGTAAGTTGATTCAGAGCGTGACGAGCATGGGTCGCGTATCGCCAGTATCTCGAAGCCTGAGATTGCCTTGTGTTATGCGGTCGAGTAGCTGGCTAATCAAGTCCACTTTCAACTCTAGGCGACGCGTCGTGAGGAAGTGGACTATCGTTTACAAAAGACACAATCACCAAAAACCATGCATGAAAAAATGTTTTGGTGACAATCTTGGCCGAAGCCTTCTTCATCGCAGCAGCTTAATTGAGCCACTACGTAACGAGCGTGCGAACACAGTATACGCCACCGTGACCGAACCTCTATGTGATACGACAGCGCCAACAAGAGCAGCGTGCAAAGAACAAGGGGACAACTGCAGTCCCAAAACGCCATACCAATTACCCATCGCTGAACGCAGACTCAGAGAGCATCCTCAAAACGAAACCACCGGCCCATCACGCGATCTATGCAGCACCAGCACTAGCAATCGGCTGCTGCACCTTGGTGACCTGGTCGCCGGCCCTGACGATCCGGTTACCCGCATCGTCCTTGACATACTGGATATCCTTGTTCTCGCGCTGGGCCCTCTTCCAGATCTCGACCTCGCAGCCACCACGGATAACTCCGATGCGCATGGTGCTGAGCAAGTTGTGCGCGGCATTGCTGTGCATATAGACACCCCCGTTGAAGATGGCAGTGGCGTCCTTGCCGAGACCCGACTTGATCATGGCACGCCCGCCGGGGTGGTCCTTGATGAAGTCCGAGACATCGTGCACAACACCAGCCACGGCGATGAGGTCGCGGCCGTTCTTGGCCTGCTCGACATAGTCGTCCCACTCCATGACGGGGAGCTGGTCGAGCGGGACACCCCAGTCGAGCTGTGCGCGCTTCTGGTCGAGCTTCTTCTGCTGCTGCTGCACCTTGCCCTTCTGGATCTCGTTGTTGCGGAACTGCTTCAGGTCGTAGGCGAGGCCGAGCCACTTCCAAAGCACGATGCTCCACTTGGTCGGGTCGTACTGGTGCCACTCGATCGCGTTGCGGTAGTCGGACGGGAACTCGTGGTGGAAGTTGTGGTAGCCTTCGCCGAGGGTCACGAGCGCGGTGATGACGTGGTCGCGGGGGGAGTTGCGGTCGTCGAAGGGCTGGTCGCCGAGCCAGTGCGCGAGAGAGTTGACGCAGAAGGTGGCTTGCTGCACGAAGAAGATACGCAGGATGCCGGCGTAGATGAAGCCGCCCATCCAGTCACCCCACCCGAGGCCGGACACGAGGGTCGGGAAGATCAGGCCCATGAAGGCAACGACCGTGAGGTAGTGCTTGTGCTGCCAGACGACGACCTGGTCATCGTTGAGATCGGAGATGTCGGTGCGGCCGATGCGCTTCGGGTTCTGCTTCATGATCATCCAGCCTAAGTGCGAGTAGAGCAGGCCCTTGCGGACGCTGTAGGGGTCCTTCTCGGTGTCGGTGTAGCGGTGGTGGGCTCTGTGGTCCCGGGCCCACCATCTGATCGATCCCTCAACAGCGCCGCCGCCAACAGCAGCCAAGAAAATCTTGAGAGGTAGCGATGCCTTGTAGGACGTGTGTGCCCATAGTCTGTGGTAGCCAGCGGTGATGCCGAGACCGGTCGCGAAGTAGTAGGCAACGGCCCAGATGGCGGTCTTGAGTGTCAAGGGTGTCCAGAACGCGGCAATGCAACCCATGAGTGGGATTCCGCCGATGCTGATGACGTTAGTATGTAATTCTGTCCAGAAACTGTCCGAGTACTCACAGGAACACATTTAGCCAGTTGACGTGTTTGTGCCAGTTCTTCTTCGTTATCGGTGTATCGGTGATGTGTGGCTTGTTTGGCTTGTAATCGGGGTTTCGGTTGGGCTCCGAGGCCTTTGCTTGTGCGTTCGGCCTCTTGCTCATGTCGAGGTATGTGGGGTCGACGGCAGCCATGCCGCTGGTGGGCTGGTGCGAAGGCATGATGGTCGAGCTCTGAACGCGAGCTGACAATGAATGTAGAGGTATGTGATCAGGACGCTGGAGTGTCTTGACTAGGGTGAGGTGCGATGGACAAGAGCAGGAAGTGTCGAGCGACAGTGGTATATGTAGTGTAGTCGGAGTGACTGTAGGATTGTCCGAATGGGCAACCGAGAGGTGAATTAGGAAGGAGTGGCGTAGACACTTGTCGAATTCAATGTCTGAGGTGAAGCGGTGAAGAAAGGACAGGTAGAGAGAGACGTGGTGGGATATTAAATCAGTTTAGGCGGCGGTGGAAGGGGAGTTCATGGGGAGTGCGTGCTCAAGTCCCAACATTTTGACTCTGCTGGGCGACACCAGGGTCCATCCGCGGTCCATGACGCAGCCCAAGCTCACCAACCCCACCGCCCAATCATCGCCGCTTGGGTCCTGCAGCGCCCTTCGCTGCGAGAATCAACCGCCGTGCCTTTTCGTGCTCTCGTCTTTTGCTCGTGAAGGACTCCACTCTCAACTGACTGCTGGCTCAATCCTTTCTGATGCACCATGCCTGTCTGATTGTGCCTTTTTCGCGTCTCCCCACTGGGCGATGCACCTGTGGAGCTTCAATCGCGGCCAGCGGCCTTCACGGTCCAGAAGAAGAAGGCGACGGACGAGCAGAGAACGATGGCGACTGCCAGCCCTACGACAACCGCTATGAGCGGAACTTGACACACAACCGTCCTAGCAAGGCCTTCTGGAGAGCTTCCGACTTGGCGAGATCTGTCCTTCGCGTCAGTGCTCCCCCGCAAAGAACACCGCATCAGGCTTGAGGCATCATAATCTTCAAACCGTTGGGGCAAAGGGATCACCTCAGGCATCTTCCGGCTTCTGGAACATCGTGCTCACGTGCCTCGCGCTGGAGTCCGCTTCCGTTTGCCTCCGCACTCGCAGCCTCTGCCACTTGCAGTTTGACCTCGGTGTTCTCATCCAATGCTGTGCTCCACTCTTCGCATCGAGGGAATCCCAAGAGTGGGCTAGAGTGAAGCTCGCCGCACCTCACTTGTGCTTTGGGCCGCTGAGGCGCAGAAACCATCACTTCAGCCTGCCCTTGACCTTCCACGTCAACACGCTGCCGCCGCGCGTTTGTGCCACAGGAGCCTCGGCTTTTGTGCGAACTCCTTCATGTGCGCGGTCCAACGCCTTTCTTGGAGATGGGCGCGATAAGGCTGAAGACCACATGTCCGAATCAGTCATGCAGAGCTCCTCAACCCTTTTGAGTCTCGCCAGCATCACGCCTGTTTTTGTGTGTCGTTCGATTGTGGTGCTGTCTCGCCATGGCCAGCCATACTCCACGAGACCACTCTATGCAGATAAGATGTAGTTGCGAATATTCCATCAATCAGGGAGTACCTTGATTTTTCGGGTCTCGCGACGTCATGTCTTTTTCATATCAGGACGGCAACTGTGCTGGCGGCTTGGCCTTCACCGCGCTCGAGCCGTCACTCAACGTCAAACTGTCTATCTGCACTACACATGTGATAACCGCCTCTTGGCTCAGTAAATTGCCTGTCAAGTGGACGTCTTTCTCAAGTGCGTGACGGTTTCTGTTCCTCCTAGATATACTTTGACCAAGTACAGTGATATTACGCTGATATTCTTACTTGCTTGCAGCTTCCGACAGCTGGCCCGAAGCTTTGCTGTACACAGTCTAGGATAGACATGGCTTGATGGCCGAACACGCCGTGCCAGCTCCCCAACCTAAGGTAGGAGGTAGGAGGTAGGAGGTCACGCGAGTAACACAAATGCGCGGACTCCATACCCAGAAGCTGCCGCAAAACGAATCGAGAACTGGGTTAAACCGATTCCATATTACTTGCGCATGCGCTTAGATATAAAGGTTAAGGCAACAGTCCGCAAAGCCTTCAGATCGCTATGTCTAGAAGTATACCAATGATCGTTCAGGTGGTGATTCATTGGTTCGTAATCATGGAGTCCGGCGATTTGTGTCACTCGCATGGAGCATCAGAGCATTCGGGCTCTTGGATAAGTCCACATCTTCTTCTCTGGTAGAGTTCTATCATTGTTGGTTTACCTTTCGATTCACTTCTTTAGCCTGCAAGATGCTGAACTGACTTTACTATACAATGACGTCCTTGATATCGCTATTGACAGGTAGTAGGTGAAAGTGTCGACTACGCTCAAGCCACCAGCTAGGCTATAGGAGATGCCCAGCGGAAGAAGGTGTAAAGCTGTTTCTGTGATTCTATCTATACACTGGCTAGACGACGAAGGGCATACTCACGTGACTTTGTTCGCTCTCCGTGTGCAACGGACGGGCTATCACTATCCCAGCGATACCGAATTGAGCCACTGCTGTTTCAGGTGTGTTACCGAACGACACTCTCAGTGGCTCGGCATGCGGCGATAGGAATTATCTCCTGGAAGACGGGATATCTGCCGACATGAAGGTTACTGCCGATCTGAGGCTGGATAGTGGACTGCCCGCCGCAGTCCGCAGCCACGGATGGCGAGAGTTTTCAGGCTGGTGCAAGAGGCAATGAGGACTTCGGGGGAGACCGCGTCACGTTACTCGGAGCTGGCCAATCATGATCATCCAGGACCCCTTATCAGCGCCGCTCACTTAACCGTTTTACTCACCAGCACCGGTCCCACTTGGCAACCATCAGCTCGCCGGCGGACAGCGCGCGGGGTCCTCAAGCGACAGCGAAAGAAGCTGAAGCTGTTCGGCGGCTCCCATGAAGGCTGTCTCTGTATCGTTGCGCTCGACCTGGCTAGAGCATCGCCGGCGCCGGATGGCTGCCGTTGTCTTGCTCTCTAGCCTTGAATTGACCAAAATGTGTATCTCGGAGATCTTGCTGCGATATGAGGGCATTGATATAAAGTCCGCACGCTTATCCAGCCATGGAGTCCACAACAGCAGTCCCAGGAACCAACAACCAGGCGCGAGCACCCAGCTGCCATCAGCCACGCACCTCATCGGCCCACGACCGTCATCAATCTCTCGCCTGTCTACAGATCCGAGTCCCTTTGACGGCCAGTCGATCTCACCTGCACTGCAGCACGAGACCAATTGCTTGACAGCGGGGTTGCGCCGACTCGAGGATCTTCAGAAGCTACCCAATTTTTGCAGACCAGCTTGCAGACGCCTCCGCCAGACGTTGTATCTCAGCCAATCATCTTATCAGTCTTGGCTTTACTTTTGCGGGACTTATATCAGAACCCTGACGTGCCTGAGGAAGCTGGAGCGCGAGAGGTATATTTACTGCACAAAGTCGCAATTTGGCGCATGAAACCTTGAAACACCTTTGCCAGGTTCGACCAAACCCTCAAAAGTCAGCATTTCAGATTTACCACACCATGGACGGACCAGATCAGATTGGACCCGATACGCGGCCAAAGCAGAGCTGGGGAGACAGGGGCCGCCGCATTGCCAAAGCACTCACCACGAGGTAAGCTTTTGTCACTGGCGCAAGACCATGCTCCCGATTTGTTATGCTGGAATGCAAAACCCCTCGGCCACATAGCAGCAGCTAACAGTTTCAGGGATGGACTCATTGGGAATTACGACTATGCCTTTCTCTTCAAGCCGAATCTTCCATTCATGAAGAAAGAGCGCAGAGCAGCGCCGTTCTTCGGACTGCACGATAAGATGCCACTCTTTCTCGCCCTACTCCTCGGTTTCCAGCACGCGTTGTCCATGTTGGCGGGTGTTATTACACCTCCCATCATCCTTTCCGGCTCGGCTGGCGCAAATCTAGGCACAGACGTATCCCAGTACCTGGTGTCGACCTCCTTGATTGTCTGCGGTATCCTATCTTCCATCCAAATCACCCGGTTCCACATCTATAAGACCCCCTACTACGTCGGAACCGGCCTCATTAGCGTCGTCGGCACCTCCTTCGCAACAATTCCCGTCGCGACCGGTGCGCTCACCCAGATGTACCAAACAGGCTTCTGCCCCTCCGACGCAGACGGCAACCCTCTCCCCTGCCCGGACGGCTACGGCGCCATCCTCGGCACAGCCTGCTGCTGCGCCCTCTTCGAAGTCCTCATGTCCTTCACCTCCCCGAAGTACCTCAAGAAATTCTTTCCCCCGCTCGTCACCGGCCCCACCGTCATGCTGATCGGGATCAAGCTGATCGCATCCGGCTTCTCCAACTGGGCCGGCGGCAGCGGGAACTGTTCCGCACGCCCTGCAACGGGCATTTTCCGGCTGTGCCCGACCATCAACGCGCCACGCCCTCTCCCCTGGGGCAGCGCGGAGTTCATCGGCCTAGGCTTCCTCGTCTTCCTCACCATCATCCTGTGCGAGCGCTTCGGAAGCCCGATCATGAAATCGTGCGCTGTTGTCGTCGGGCTCCTCGTCGGCTGCATCGTCGCAGGCGCATGCGGCTACTTCGACGACACGGGCATCCGCAACGCGCGGCCTGTCAGCTTCATCTGGGTCGAGACGTTCCGGCTCTCTGTGTATGGCCCCATTGTTCTCCCGCTGCTGGCCGTCTACATCGTGCTGGCCATGGAGGCGATTGGGGATATCACGGCGACCTGCGATGTCTCGCGCCTCGAGGTCGACGGCGCGCTCTTCGACTCCCGCATCCAGGGCGGCGTCCTGGCGGACGGCCTGAACGGAATCTTCGCAGGCCTCGCGACTATCACGCCCATGAGCACATTCGCGCAGAACAACGGCGTTATTGCGCTGACGAGATGCGCGAACCGCAAGGCGGGGTATGCGTGCTGCTTTTGGCTCATCGTTATGGGCATCTTCTCGAAGTTCGCTGCGGCTCTTGTCGCGATTCCCAGCGCGGTGTTGGGCGGAATGACGACGTTTTTGTTCTCGGCTGTTGCTGTGTCCGGTATCCGCATCATCTCGACTGTGCCGTTTACAAGGCGTAATCGGTTCATCTTGACCGCGGGTTTGGCGATCGGGTATGGTGCCACTTTGGTCCCGACGTGAGTTTTTTCTTTCCCTTTCCCCTCTACCCCCTTTCCTCAGTCCCAGCTCTGCTCCCAAGGGGCAAGCGACAGCAGCTGACACGGCAACCCCACAGCTGGTTCTCCTACGCCTTCACCTACGAAGGCGACAACCGCGCCCTCCTCGGCTTCTTCAACGCCATCGAGCTGGTCATGGAGACCGGGTTCGCGGTGACGGCCTTCCTAACGCTTATCCTCAACCTTGTGCTTGAGGAGGAGGTCGCGGATGAGGAGACGCCCGAGCTCACGGCGAATGATGTCGACAATCCTAAGGATCGCGAGGAGTGGGATCGTATCAAGGGCAAGGAGGATCTGGAGCATAGGGCGAGTTCCAGCGAGGGGGAGATCGGGGTGCAGAAGGCGCAATAGAGGGTGCTTGTTGGAGTTTTTTTGGGGGGTGGGTGGGATTCAAAGGGGAGGATTTACGTTTGATAATGATGATGAGAGACGAGGTGATGTGTACGTTGGGTGGATGTTGGGTCGCACGATAGATCTTTCGCTACAAGATATCCCTATAGGGCGCTCTGCTTCAATGTACAGGTCTTACACGGTTCGGCGCTTCTCTTGCCCGGGACCTAGGCGTTTTTGTGCGCGCGCCCCCACTAAAACTTACCTAAGCCTTAAGCCTAACCTCTTTATTGTCCTAAATGTCTTAAATCGTGAACTTGAATCTAGAAAGCTCTGTATAAACAACTTAATATAATAAGAGGTTAGCTAAAGTATAGAGGCACTAATACTATCGCCTCTATACGAATTTGGGTGAGGCGGCGGAACTCAGGCCTCGTACCTGCAATACGCAAGACAGTCAGAAACCGCAGGCAGCCAGACAAAGGAACTTGCGTTCTTCCTCCAAGGCGACCAACCGAATGTTGTCAAATTAGTCTGGATAAAGCTAGAATGGATTTCATTTCGCTTGACGAGGTGGAGGCAACACTTCGAGAGCTCAAGAAACAGGTGGACCTAGCGCGAATCGACAAGGAATCGCCGTCGCTGAAGCAGGATCTAGACATTAAGTATCAACGAACCCAAGTGCTTTACAAAGAAGGTCGCTTCAAAGAAGCTGAGACTCTCGAAACTCAACGGTTGCTTGTGTTAGTGGCTCTTCATGGCTTCGCAGACAAACGGACCATTGAGTCGATGGACGCCCTCGGCTCGCTGCGATTCAACGCAAAGGGAGAACTGGACGGTGGAGATCTCCTCGATACCGCCATTGCACTGAGAATCAAGACACAGGGAGCAAGCCACCCAGACACACTCGCAAGCCTTGCTAGTATGGTCGCGAACCTCCACCAATCGGGTCGATCCTCAGAGGCAGTACAGCTCGGTCAACACGTCGTCGACATGTGCAAAGCAAGCCTTGCGCCTTCCGACCCAGCGAGACTCAGAGCCATGTCCAATCTAGCCTCCGTATATACATCCAAGGGTGATCTTACCAAGGCCGAGGAGCTTCTCCTAGAGGTTCTGCGGATCCGCGAGGATACTCTCCCTTACGACGACCCAGACACCGTGAGATCCAAGGTAAATCTTTCGGGTGTCTACTTTGGACAAAAGAGATGGAAAGACGCAGTCTTGTTGCTGGAACCTGTTCTAAGCATTCGGCGGCGGACCATGGGCGATAGTCATCCCATGGCCATGAGCATAGCTCGACAGCTAGTATACGCCTACTCACAGCTCATGGGCCACACGGACAATCTCACAATCCAGCTCCTCATCCTTAATACTGCCAAGAAAACACACGGGGAGGATCACGAGCAGACCCTCGACGCGTTACTGAGTCTGATACCAACATATATCCAAAGGCAAATGTGGAAAGAGGCGATAGAAACAACGGAGCAAGTTCTCGAGAAGCAGAAGAAGCGTCTTCCTGCAGATGACCAAATGGTCATCGATCTGAGCTCGCACTTGGATACGTTAATGCGAGAGTTTCCGAACCGTGAGTGCAAAGTTTCAGATGTCTCGAACATAATATATCGCCCCTTGAGTCTCGATTCCCGCCAGATACGGATAGCCTACATCACGAAAGGGAGTCGCAGCGATCCCCTGGAGGCGACTCTCCTACGAACTTCGCTGGACGCACTACCATCGTACGAGGCTCTATCGTATGTGTGGGGAAAAGACCAGAGTGTCGGCAAATTGACCCTGAATGGTCACTGTATTGATATCACGCCAAACCTTCAAGGCGCGTTGGTGCAACTTCGCTCATCCATCGAAGATAGACTGATCTGGATTGACGCGATTTGCATCAACCAGGAAGATCCAAAGGAGCGAAGCAAACAGGTGCGGCTGATGAGAGAGATCTATTCCAATGCGAGACGAGTCATTATGTGGCTTGGTGAAGAAGCCGAAGACACCAAAGCAGGAGTGGAGTTTCTCAAAGCACTAGAAGTGCATCCGTCCCCGAAGGAACATGCCGCGGAGGTTCTTAGGACGGCCCCAAGTGACCTCACTGCAATGCTTAACGGCATAGGCGAGCTAGTTTTGAATCGACCATACTGGAATCGTCTCTGGATCATACAAGAGGTGATGTGCGCCAAAGATCTGGTAGTGCACTGCGGCTCATTGACGGTTGGCTACGAGATTCTGGAGAAAATACACGACATCATTCTCGAAGCTATTGGGGTACTAATTCAAGAGAGACACCCTGCCACGCCGCGATATCTCCGAATAGTGAACCAACTGTTGAGTGGCGGCGGTCGATCGTCATGGAGGGAGCACACTTCGACAGGCATGCCTTTGGAGGAACTCCTAAGATCTCATTGGTCATCAGAGTGCTCAGATCCGAAAGACAGAATTTACGCGTTGCTGGGCATCTCCTCCCTCAGAAAGAGTACTCACCCCGGGCTGAAAGTAGACTACAGCCAGTCAACCAGCGAAGTCTACCGTGGAGCTACCAGGGCAATCGTCGAGGAGACGGGGCGGCTGGACGTTCTTTGTTTGGTGACGGAAGCGGGGACACACGCAGTTACCAAGACCCACAGGGCGCGGCAGCCGTTTCTCCCCTCCTGGGTCCCGGATTGGAACGTTCACAGAAGGACCGCCTTCTCCTTGATCAGCACACACCCGCACTCCAAGGCATCCGGGAACACAAAGGCGGAATTTGGATTCTCAGGTGACGGTACCCGCTTAAATGTAACTGGGCTTGGTATATCCACGCTCGAGTACTGTGCCCAACGGTTTGAGATGGCACAGATGAGGCTGAGAGACATTATGAAGTTGTTTCTAGGCTGGCGAAAGTCAACATTGGATTATTCCCGCCCATGGCGTGGAGGTGGAGTCAACAGCTGGCTCAGAAAGTTTTATTCAATGCTAAATACCAACAAACCTGAGGACACTTGGCCGGTGACTGATGCCGACTGGTCCCGCTGGGAATCAACATCGCTTCTGCCTGGACCCGTTGACTCGGCGCTCTCCGAGCAGGAAAAGCAGTTTTTGCGGACTACATACCAATTCTGTGTGGGCAGGAGGCTCTTCTACTTCAAAGATTCCGGGTCGAGCTCCCTGGGAGGCTTCAACATTGGCCTGTGTCCAAATGAAGCCACGGAGAGTGATTTGCTCTGCGTGATCCCGGGTTGTCCCATGCCAATTATTTTGCACCCCGTGGACGAGCATTTCCTCGTTGTCGGCGAAGCATACGTCCCCGACTACATGATGGGCGAGGCCATGGAAGGGAAGCCTCAGCTACAGATATTTACGCTTCATTAGCATCTCTCTCGAGAATGGGAAAGCTACATCCAGATCGTCGTTTGATTTGATCTATGGTTTGCCCACCCCTTCTCGTCGTCCAAGGATTAGGTATCTTGATTCCTTAAAGGAGAGTAGGAGGCGGGGCTTAGTGTAGAGGGGGGGAAGGCGATATAAGAAGTATGTAGGTCTAGACAAGAGACTGAATGTATAGGTGATGCTGCGGCTAGATCTGTTGGAGGTCCATAAGCGCAGTCGTATTGGTGAGCTATCCGGAGTTGGCGATTAGGAAACAGATGCGAGAGGAGATTGGAGGTTGACTGAGTGAAGCTGAGGTTCCGGGTAAAGAGTCTGGATGTGATCGGTTTGACAGTCTCCGGATTAGATTTGGAGCGTTTTGAGTAGGGGTGAGGTACTAGCATGCGGGACTGGCCAGTTGATGTTCTAGCATCGATGTAGGCAGTACACAATTCTTATTTCGAACAGGTGTCCTTGTCCGAACTCAACGGTTGAGCTCGTCCTGACGATCTTCTCATGATCCACTCCACTTTTTAATGAAGTTCTCTCTTCGACAAGCCTCCTCGACCGTCAAAGGAGCATCGACCTTCGCTACACCTTTACCTACCTCCCCGATTGCATGTTCGAATGCAGCCAGGCGCTCGTCCAAGGGCTTACTGCTCAGATGGACCGTTGCATAATCCGAGCTAGAGTACATCGAGCTCAACACGACCTGCAGCTCCTCATCAGCGCGCCGCATGACCTGAGCCGTAGCCTGAGCAGTAGAAGCGGCAACTGAATCCTGATGTTCCTGAAGCCGAGTCTCCCTGTCAATCAGCGCCGAGTCAAACGCTTTGCGGAATTGTTCGACGTCGTTACTGGGAGCCGAGATATCAAGGTGTCGCAGGAGCCGCTGAAATGCTTCCTGTGATGCGGATTTTCTATCCAATCCCCATGCCGGCTTCGCCGCATGTAGTGGGTGCTTCTCCTTGGTCGCTGCTTTAGTAGGTGACGCCGTTCGGGCAGCCGAGAGACTCGCAAGCTCTTCGTCCAGCACGGTTGAGATCTGCTCAATAGCCTTGTGCACTGGGTGGAGTTCCTGGGTCTGTGCACTCATGACATCGAGCCTCAACGCTAGGTATTCGAGGGTAGATACAACCTAAGTACATCAGCGATGCTTGTCCATCTGTTTAATAGCCTGCCACTTGTGAAAGTTCTGCGGGCATATCGCTCTGTTCGTAGGGATGGCACGGAAAGACAACGGAGTCACGCCTCGTAGAAAACCGCACACCGTATCGGACTGCCGTCAAGGATGTAAGGGAACGACAGTCACCTCAGCAGCAGCGTGTAGAAGGATACAGAAAACGCGATTCTGGTCTGTTACTTACATATGCTGACCACTTTTCCTGCTCGGCCAGTTGAGATTCCTTGGAGCGCTTGAGTGACCGCAGGATGGGCTCTCGCAGCTCATGTTCGACCACCATCTCCGCGACTGAAGCAATCTCCGCATGCAGTGTTTCTAGCTCGGCTTTGAGTTCGTCTCTTTCCGCCGTGAACTCTTCAACGGACCTTCGCACAACATCCTCGCCAAAGTAGCTGTGTAGACTTTGCCTATACAAGGCGTCCACGTGTGTCTTGATCTCAGCTGTGCGGAAAGCCACAAGCGCACGACACCGCTGCTCAACGGACTTCAGGCCATCGTAATCTTCTGGTGCCTGCTGAAGCTTCGGCGCTAGCTTCGCAATACCGGTGAGCAGACGATCATCGGCCGTAAGACGCTCAGTGATCGATGTAAGCAGCGAAGCCTTCGAAGACTTCACTTCACGTTGGAGGGTGGCCAGCTGGTCTGTGGCCGCTTCTGATAGCTCTTGAGCCTGATCACAGCTTTGAGCACGACAGTCGCAAGATAGAAGGTGTATACGTACAGCAATGTCCAGACTCTGTAGCTCCTGTACATGCTTTCGGTTTCTGTCCGCGGTTGCACGCCTTGCCGCTCCAATCGGTGCATCGTTTTGTGCTTTGAGCGCAAGCAAAGCCTGTTTCTGCACCTCAAGAGCCCGAGACTGCTTTTCGATTGCTGCGGTCGAGCTCTCCAAGGATTCAATAGCTGTCTGGATCTCGTGATCATAGATAGGTCGAACTGACTGAGCCCCATCTGACACTTTGGACAAGCTGTGCCGCGGGAAGAGCTTGCGGTAACTGCATAATATAAGCAAGATGGTCCCTAAGCGTTACTCATACTATATCCAATCACATACAAATCCAGCTCATCCTTGCTTAGCAATGTAGCTGGCTCGAGGTATTCATCTACCCATGCCGTGATCTCATCTTTCGTCTTCGCAGATTGGAAGGCCCACTCGACATCGTCTCGCCCAAGCCCGGTCTCGCGCTCCTCTAGCGCAGTAAGCAAACGTTCCAGGCTGTGTGAATCCTGCATCTTTGACAGCTGTTGAGTCCTTCAAAACGCCATGCAGGGGGACATCAAACAGAGGGCTTGCTCCTTCATGTAACAAGAGAGCGGGTAAATGTTGAGCATGCAGCAGAGTATTCCAGGATATGAAAAGTGTCGTTGGAGATATACGATACTTCTAGTGCTTCATCGCTAATTGTAGTTTTGGGCCGTCGGAGCTTGGAGCAGGGAAACGCCGACCACTTTGCGAATCACGCGTCGCGTCGCGTCGCGTCAACGCGTTCACTGGACGCAAACCATGGGATACGCAAAAGGAAGATGAACAACGGAACGAGCAAAGAACATATCTGGTACTCAGTTCTTTAGCACTACAACGAGTAATAGATCACAGCGTGAGGACTATTGGAACACTCCATAAGGAACTCGGGTTCCGCCCTCGCTCCAGTCTGCTTCCACTTCCACTCCATCATCAACGGCACTTTCCCAAGAGAATCATCATCGAAAACATCCCATCATCAGTAACTCAGAACACTATAACATCTACGACCAACCCCCCCGTCCTCCATCATGTCGCCCGCACCTCCAAATCACGAAGAAAACCAGTACCTCAACCTCATCCGCGAGATTCTCCAGCATGGCGAGCACCGACCCGATCGCACCGGCACAGGCACATACTCAATCTTCGCACCGCCTCAAATGAAGTTCTCCCTCTCCAAGCCCTCCGCCGACCCCGGCCAGCCACCAATCCCCATCCTCCCCCTCCTCACCACCAAACGCGTCTTCCTGCGCGCCGTCATCGCAGAGCTCCTCTGGTTCATCGCAGGCAGCACGTCCAGCAAACCATTGTCGGATCAAGGCATCAAGATCTGGGACGGCAACGGGAGTCGCGAATTCCTCGACAGCGTCGGGCTGGCGCATCACGCAGAGGGGGATCTGGGTCCTGTGTATGGCTTCCAGTGGCGGCATTTCGGCGCAGAATATAAAGGCGCAGATGCAGACTACACAGGGCAGGGCGTAGATCAACTGGCCGAAGTCATCGACAAGCTCAAACACAGACCGTACGACAGACGCATCATCCTCAGCGCCTGGAACCCGGCGGACCTGAAGAAGATGGCCCTCCCGCCGTGCCACATGTTCGCGCAATTCTACGTGTCGTCCCCGCGGCCCATCGTAAACGGCGTGGAGAAGCAAGAGAAGGAGAAACCGCGTGGCGTGCTACACTGCCTCCTCTACCAGCGCTCCTGCGACATGGGCCTCGGCGTGCCGTTCAATATCGCCTCCTACGCGCTGCTGACGCATATGCTGGCGCATGTGTGCGATCTTACGCCTGGGACGTTCACGCACACGATGGGGGACGCGCATGTTTATGTTGATCATGTGGAGGCGTTGAACGTGCAGTTGGAGCGGGAACCGAGAGATTTCCCGGCGCTGGAGATCAAGAAGGATAAGGGGGGAAGCATTGATGGGTGGATGGCGGAAGACTTTGTGGTTGTGGGATACAATCCGCACAAGACAATCGCGATGAAGATGTCTGTATGATTTTGTGGTGCGGCGGCGCAATTACTGAATAGGAGCATACTTTTGGACGGAGAGCACATTGCAGGAGTACTTGCATTCTGTCCGACTGTAAGCAACTGGAGCATGCACATTGCTAGAAATACTCACCTGGGATATCACGCAGTTACGAACTATAACACAATGCAAACAGTAGGAGAGGGCAGCCCATCAATCAAAATGCCGCCCTCAGTCCTGGAAGCTTGAAATTCCTAGGCCTCTGGAATTAATGGCCGAGACCGAAGCTGCGTGAGCAAATCTATCAAGCTGCTAAATCAGGAGTGGTTTCAAGGGTTTCAGCGATTTCAGACCGACCCAAACAGATTCTTCGCTAGCCCCCTTCGCATTGAGACAATACATTGACAAGACCACAGCATAACACCCCAAAAGCTGTACTCCATGACCCATTACGAAGCAATTAAAATGCGACACCATTTCCCGATCTGCTCCTGGTATCTGCATCCTCCACCTGGATCGAAACCTCCACATCCCGCCAGATTTCCCCATGGAGGCCTCGTTGCTTAAGACTGGATTGGCTAGAGTCTTCATCTTCGGCCCCGCCCATGATGGCCTGGCTGCGGAAGTCGTCGTAGTGGGTTTCCGAGGTGCTAGCGTACGCGCGGGTGCTGACTTTCGACTCGACTGGAGGTACAAGAGGGAAAGGCGAGTTGTCCTGGCTGCGGAGGTTGGATTGGAGATTGGACTTGGGCCGCGTGCTTCCGGACCGCTTCGTGAACATCCCGGTGCTGCCGCCCCGCGAGTCGCTGAGCTCGTACTCCTCTTGCGTAACGTAGGTGCCGGTTTTGCCGGTTTGGAGACTGTTCCAGAAGGAATTCGTGCGTGGAATCGTCGCGGTGATCACGGAGAAGTGGATAACGATCCTAGAGTGTTGTTGTGAGCCTCTCGTTCTTTGGTCTTTTCTGAGAAATGGCAGGAGCTCAAGAGGAGAGAACGTACTGATCCCAGATCGCTAGGTCTAAGCTGGCCCCTGAGAAGTTGAGCGTGAGTATTTGAGTAGCCTGGGTGGGGATGAGGCGTACATACACGTTTGATCTGCTGAACGCAAAGATTTGCCCACTGCAACAATCTGGCCTATAGCTACGAGAGACACGCTGTTCTAAGTCAGATCAACTATTCAGTCAACGGGTAACGAAAAAGGGAGACCTACAGAACCCTCGTTCCGAATAGACTTATCACTTTAATCCGCGCGGCCTTGGCCATCTTTAACTTCCAGATTTTCCGATAGGCACCCACGGCAAGGATCACATCTGTTACCATGTTCGATATAATAACCGCGTAATTCAGAGAACTGCGCGAGGGGCACCGCGATGGTGCGAATCGCCATAGCTCAGGCAATGGGCACTGAAACGCCAAGCTGAAGAAACAAAAGACTGCCCAGCCAGCAGTGAGTGCGAGGGCGATATAGTAACCGCGATGCACTGATGGTGCTACCCGCTTGAACAGCATCACAACGGACGCCTTGGCCGATGCCATGGCGATGATACCGGCAAGTTGGCCCGCATAGACAAGCTTTGATAGAAAGTCAGCGACGCAAGTCATAGTAGCAACTTGCTGTAACGCACCTTGAAGTACGAGGTAAGACCTGCCGGGCTAAGACTTGTGTCGTGTCTTCCAAGGCCAGCAAGCACAGCCCGATAAAGAAGGGCGGAATTTGTGACTGCAAAAGCCTGCAAAATCCACGTATGAGTAAAGTAGTCGCAACAACAGCACAGGAAGTCTGAACGTACTACGGCCAGCGCAAAAGTCACATCATCAAACATAAGCTCAAGTCGATGACGAAGAGCAAGTGCGACGCGGATGGCGGCAATACTGAGCGTGATGACGATCAGATTAAACGATACTACTACCACGACGGGGCCGCGATTATCTGGAGTAAGCTCCTGGAACGGTTCGAGTACGCCAGACATGTTGGTGTTGCTGTTCAACTATGGAGCTCCCGTAGCGTGATGCCAGTGGAAACAAATCTCTAAAGTGCAAGGAGAAGGCCAACAGGTCTGATCTGACCAGAGAAGGAACGTCGTTGGCCATGCTGGTCTTTCAAAGTCCATATCTCACGATCTAACTCATCTTGATGCCACAGGGTATCCGATAGATTGGGCAAGAGATCAATTCAAGCTCGACCCACGTTCAGGAGCACCAGATATCCGGGATGCAAGGCCCGCTCTTCCGATCTGTGATCCACACCATCGTTCCTGCCATGAGGTAGCGGTGAGGCCCTGGAGCGTATTCCGATTGGATCTTCCTTTCTGAGAATTGCTGTGAGGATGAAAGCCCCCGGCGAGATTAACACGACGAAGCCCGTTAAGCCGTGTCAGTGTTCATGATTTCTTGCGCCTCAAAAGCCACTCGTTTCAAAGACTCAACGCTCAGTGCAAGATCTGCACGACTGAGGCTCGCAAGATATGGAGCAAAGAAGATCCAAAGTAAATAAATCGCTAGGTCGGAAGCATGGGGTAGTAGCATGTTCCAGACTGCCAGCTGTAAGGGCACCAATACAGCTCATAATAGACAGCGAAAAGCTTGCAAATAGAATCTGGAAAGCGCACCGCGTTTACCGCCCAGCAGCTAGGATAAGAGAGTGCCCTTTGCACCCTTATCGGATGAACTGGTGAAGTCGAATGAAGCTGCACGGCTGGTGCGGAGCTATCAACGGGGGGCATTCGGGCACAAGTTCCCGGTGCTAGCGTGGCCATGGACCCCATTTCCCGCCCTGTGCAGCCCGCTGGAGCAACATCCATGAACATCCTCGTGCTGGGCTGCTGCCAGTTGCAACGAGTGGAACATCTCCGCCACCAGCACAGGGCTCAAAAGTGCTTGGATGTGCTCGTCGTGCATGATGGCTTGCTGCCATCACCTTTTCTGGAATCAGGGCTCGCTAGGATATCCGCGACCATCTATGAGGATTGCAGTCCTCGACTCCAAGCCGACCCGTGTAGACTAGAAGCGGGCAAGGGCGCTAATGCGGATGTGCTGCCCCTTGGGATGTAGGATTAAACAGGCGGGGAGTCTTCCTCGCTGCGATCACTCCACCGCCACTCCCTGTGAGAACCTCGTGTGCCTTGCTCCCTGCTGAGGACCGGCTCTGAGCGCTGACACTTCAATCTTCACATGTTGTAACCCTCTTCACCTTTTCAGCTATTCCTTAACCCATTTCATGAACATGGCAGACGACAAGTCCTTCGAGATGACTGTGGTGGAGGAACGCCCCGTTCAGGAAGCCAACCTGGAGCATCAGATGGATCGGGACTCGGGAAACCGCAGTGAGCAAAAGGGCTTTCTGGATGTATGAGCTGCGCAAATCGTTCAATGGGCAATGCTGACATTCCGCAGCGCTACATCAATCCTTCGGCCATCATCAACTTTGGGTTCACCCTACAAGCGGCTTGGGAAGCCTCCGGGGTTTCCTTCCAGTTCAGTCTGCTGAACGGCGGTCCGGCGTCATTAGTGTACGGCAGTATATTTGCAGGCGTAGGCTCGACGATGATCGCCATATCGCTGGCAGAGATGGCTTCGATGTAGGTCAGAGCTGCTGCAATTGCGAATATATCACTCATGTATACGTTACAGAGATCCTGTCGTAGGAGCGCAGTATCGATGGTCTGCAGCATTCGCACCTTCGCATCCAGCATTCTGGGGACTGTTTCAAGGTACGTGCACAGTCCATGAGTTTATTCAGGATTGTAGAGGGTGGTGTAGTAAGCGCGAGTTGCCAAGTTCTAACATTGGGATTCCATACACGCTCCATAATCTTTTCCTTACCTCCCGCCTGCATCATGAGAGCTAACGACAGATAGGTTGGATGTCCGTATTCGCCTGGATAACTGCGACAGCAGCGTCACCCGCATACCTCGCGAATGTAGTTCAGGGCCTTCTCATCTTCAACTACGAGTCCTACGAGCCTCAACGATGGCACGGCACTTTGATCATGTGGGCCTTCGTCATTGTTCCCGTGCTGTGCAACTTCTGGTTCAGGAAGCTTCTGAACACGCTCGAGATGATCGGGGGGATATGTCATTTTGTGTTCCTCGTGATATCAGTGATCACCTTGGGTGTCTTGGCTAGGCGGAGTACGGCAGATTTTGTCTTCAATACTTTGACTCACGACCTCAGCGGTTGGACAAACCCTGCCATAGCCTGGAGCATCGGGCTTTTGACCGTCACCTTCCCGATCACTGGTGAGTCTTGCAAACCACTTTTGAAGCCTTGTAGTAACTAATGAAAACAGCCTTCGACGGAGTGCTCCACATGAGTAAGTTAATCAAGCTCCAGCAGTCGTGTAACCTGAGTATACAGTAAACTTACAACGTACAGGTGACGAGGTTAAAGGACCAAAGACAAGAGTACCGCAGAGCATGATTACGGCTGTGACCTTGAACAGCGTGATGCAGTTCGCATTCATGGTCTGTCTCATGTTTTGCATAGGCGACATCGATCTTGTGTCGACTTCTCCGACCGGCCTCCCTATTATCGAAGTGTATTATCAGGCCACCAAGTCGAAACACGCGACCAACATTCTGGTGGTGATGATGGCCTTTATACTGTTCATCTCGCTATTCAACATCTTCGCCTCTGTCTCACGCCTGACATGGGCTTTCGCCCGCGACAACGGACTACCTTTCTCGAACGTGTTCTCCTACGTAAGTATACCTAGGTAGCGCAAGTTGTTCAAAGGCTGATTTGGCGTAACAGGTCCATCCGACTCTAAAGATTCCGCTCTATTCTTTGGGACTAGTCGGCGTGGTCTGTTGCCTGCTCGCTATCATCAACATCGGCTCCTCCACAGCCTTCAATGCGCTGATCTCGCTCCCCCTGATCTCCCTGTACATCTCCTACCTAATACCGATCGTCTTCCTCCTCTGGCGCAAGGTCAGGGGAAGGCATCCGATATACGGTCCTTTCAAGCTCGGCCGCTACGGGATCCCAATCAACCTGTTCGCCACGGTCTACATTCTGTACATTCTCAGCTTTGTACCGCTACCGACGATCAAGCCCGTGACTGCGGTGAACATGAACTACGCGGGACCACTGGTGCTTGCTGTCATTGTTATCGCCATCTTGGACTGGACTTTCAGCGGCCGTTACAGGTTTCATGTTCCTGTTCCTCGCGCTACCAAAGGGGATTTTTAGATAGTGGAGATGTTTCCCGAGCGTTGATCTTCGTATGGGTCTCAAGGTAGCACAGGCTCTGCCTCAACCGACGGACGATAGTGAAAGAGGCTTGGAGGCTATTCAATAGAAGGTCAAGCGGGGAAGCAGAATATTGAATTACTAGCAGTCAATGATCAAAGCTCCAGAGGGCACAAACCAAGCCATCCGGCCAGCGCTCTCCGCGCCCAAGGATTATTGCCTTGAATCAATCGGCTCCGAATCCCAGACTGCTTAGCAAGGGCGTGACGGATTTTGTGGCGTGCAGTAGCTGATTCCGAGGACATGATTGATATCAAGCACCCACCATTCCCCACGTGCCAGGGCTGCCGGGTAGATTGGCCGAGAACGGGCCTACTCGAATACATACTCCCACTCTTGCAAGAGAATGTAATCCATCAGTGCCTGGGTTGGCGAACTGAAGCTGGAGATGGGCGAGGCATTCGTTCTGGCCGTACCGTCAAGATGAACAACTCAGACCCGCATGTGCAGTCAGAACGGACCGGTTTAACGGCTTGCATCAACCCCTGGTCAGAACGGATGCGGACCCCAGATCCCCGCAGGATCCTGCGGGCACGGAAGGCAGCATTTCAAGCCCTGTTCATGCGGGATCCTGCATGGCCAAGCCACGGAGCTGGACCCTCGTATCAGCTGCTTGAAGCGGAGACACATGTTAATATGAACGGGGCGCTTTGATTTGATATTCATATTCCTGCCGTTGCTCTCGAGAGAGCTGTTCAGATCTCTTTGTACAAGGTTCTACTCTGCGGCTCGGGGCATTATGGAGGTTCTTAATGCGATACGCATTGGCATTTCGTCTTTGCGGTACTATCAGTTGATTGCCTATGTAGCCATCTTGGTCATTCTCTACGTGAGTCTTCTGAAGAAAGCCCTCCAATCTACACGCGGAGACAGTACAGGATTGACACTTCATCCAGTATGTGATCAACGCCGTGTATCGGGTTACACTCCACCCGTTAGCGAAATACCCAGGGCCTTTTCTCCAAAGAATTTCGGACTGGCCGTTGGTGTTTCATTGCTACGGAGGCAATAGACACATCATTGAATACCAGAACCACCAGAAATACGGTAGGATTGGTAGACCTATGGGGTCGCTAGGAAGTTTACTGACGCCAGACAGGCAAGATAGTCAGATATGGTCCCAACAGCGTGAGTGACGATACTCCCCTCCCTTCGCATCTTAAGGAAGCAAGCCAAACCCCTCTCCCAGCTCTCCTTCAGTACAGCCACGTCCATGCAGACAATCCACCACGCAAAAGCCAACATCAAGAAAGGGGAATGGTACAAAACCCTCGACATATCAGCCGGAGCTCCGAGCATCCAGATGATGATTGACAAGTCCGAGCATGCGATCCGACGCCGTACAATCAGCCCTGCCTTCTCCGAGCGCGCTCTCAGGGACGCCGAAGGCCTCATCGCTATCAACGCGCGCAAGCTAGCCGACGCGATCGGAACCCTGCCGAATGGCGCGAATCAAGGGGACTGGACTCAGCCCAAGAACATGAACGACTGGGCAACGTATTTCGGATTTGATTTTGTGAGTGATCTGGGGTATGGGAGATGCTTTGGGATGGTGGAGGATAGAGACAATCGGTGGATCCCGGGGGTGCTTAAAAGTGCGAGCAGGTTCTTGTACTATGTTGGATACCTTCCGTTCGCACCAATCCTCAGGCCCCTCATGGGAACATCGATCCAGGACTACGTTGGTGGTCAGTCGGCTGCAGATTCTTTGAAGTATACGCGGCTTGCGAACGGCCGGTTGGCGGAGCGGATGGAGTTGGAACGCCAACTGAAGGACTCTGGTAAAGAAACGACACGGAAAGACACGTTCCACTACCTGCTGAACACCAAAGACCCCGTGACCGGGAGAAGATTTACCACAGAAGAGCTGCAGGCGGACAGCAGTCTGATAATCGCTGCCGGCAGTGATGGAGTTGGGTTAGCGGTGTCGTCCACCATATTCTATCTGCTCCGCTACCCGACAACGCTTTCAAAGCTCACCGACGAGATCCGGTCCGCTTTTGCGGACGTCTCTGAAATTCGCCACCCTAAGCTCGGCTCGCTGTCCTACCTCACGGCATGCGTGGACGAATCAATGCGCTTGTGTCCGGCCAAACCGAGCACGCTTCCTCGCGAAGTTCTCTCCGGCGGCATGATAATTGATGGTCACCACATTCCGCAAGGCATCAGCGTTGGCACCCCGACATACGTGCTGCACCGCGACGAAGACATCTACCCCGAGCCATGGGAGTATCGTCCAGAGCGCTGGATCGTCGACGAGAAATCAGGGGTCAGCTCCGAGAACGTCGCGGCAGCTCGTTCCGCGTACTGTCCGTTCCTCATCGGGCCCATGAACTGCATCGGGAAGAACATGGCATACATCGCTGTAAAGCAGGCGCTGGCCCACTTACTGTTCCGGTATGATATCCGGCAGGCGGGTGCCGAACTGACTGGTGGAGGGAGGCCGGACCTTGAGAAAGGGAGACAGAGGGAGGATGAGTACCAGATGACGGACTATATCATAGGGTTCAGGGATGGACCGATGATTGAGCTGAGAAGTAGACTTTGAGTCCTTGATAAGGAAGGAGGGACTGAGGCCGCTGAGGAAGGGGCTAGATGAATGTATATAGCCACGTAGTCTTACTCTGAGAGATGATCGACTCTTGAGAATTAAACGACCTACCAGACCAATCAGAACATCTTGTGGCCGCTGTTTGAAGCCGAATGTGAGTGCGGATGACATGCACCAAATCTATTTCGACGTCCTCTTGAGAATGCAAGTGTACGACGCACCCCTAGCCGTGACCCTTTGCGGCATCTTCACCGCACTCGCACCTTCCAAGGGCCACCCAAAAGTCCGTTGCCGCATCTTTGCTTAGCTTGTTGATTACCAGATTCACTATCGAATTGGACTCATGATCTTATTAATCGTAGAGCAGCTAGACCGGTTTCGTATGATAGAAAGTGAAAGATGTTCGGCAGTTCAGCTCTTTGACGCATCGATCGCCTAAGGTGTCTTTGAGCTGTGGACTGTGCTTGAGGGCGATCATCTCTATGGCTACGGAGTAGCTTTCAATGCGGCAACGAACTTTACGAAGTGCCCTTGTTCCACCGACAGAGATCATGACGTTAAAGGCCAATTCGGACCTGCGCACCCCGTCCGTTCCTGCGTCTTTCGTCCAATCTCGCCGATGATCGTTCGGACAAATCCGCTCGTAAGAGACATGGGATGTAATGACAGCCGCGTAAGAGCGGCTGGGGAGTCTTCGTGACGCCTTCGCTTAAGTTTTCACCGTACAGCTTCCTATCTCTTTGATGGCTCTCTGTCGTAACCACTAGCTTAGTGGCGGCTTCTCTTTATCGGTAAGGCGGTTGATCACGACAGATGGCTATCAAAGAGATGGATTACGAGGACTCAATTACGACAACTGAGCGTCGACAAGCAGATATCGGCCACGGGAATAACACTCCCAAGGTGCGCGTAAGCATTTTCCCGATGCTGAGACTGGACGATCTCACCTCCAGGCCGACGTCCTCACCCACAGCAAGCCCCCCCGCAAACGAACCGAAGTTCCTCATCCCCATCCCCCACAAAAACCAACCCACGGCTCAGTCGTGGAGAGGACCACAGCCCAGAACCGCGGGGTACCTCCGTTGCCCAGAGCCGCATTTCGTCCCGCTCCATCTCATCTCATCTCCACCACCTTCATCTCCCCACCCCGTCATCTCAACGCCTGAACCTCGTAACGGTGCTCCCGACGGAATACCCCAGAAAGAGCACTCCGGCGACCGGGTCAGCCCAATCAGCGAGGGCGAGTAACCTCACACACGCAACGATGTCCGCCCTCGCGCAAAAAAAAGGGCGGTGGAAAAGCCCTATCCCGAGACGTGCCTGAGATATCCGCAAGGGTAAGGCGCAACCCCCCTCCCGTCCCGCCGCTTTTCCAAGAGGCGAATCCTCGGACCGGGTCAGCCTTTCTCGCACGGCCAGACCACTGCGCGCACATGCGGAATTCAGCAGAAAACAAATCACTTGTCGTAATTCTAGGGGGCTTCACGATAGGTGGCAGCTGCAGCATGGAGATCTCAGCGCCGTCCAGTGAATGCGATGCTGATCAGGAACCGGTCCGAGCGAGATGGGGCACCGTAGTCCCAGATGCAGAGCGTGGAGAAATGCGGGGAGAAATGCGGGGAGAATATCGGGGTGATAAGTCGAGTCCCAGGCGGCACCGTTATGATGGGAGTGCGTGATCCCGTGTCAGATGCGGGCTCTGGGGGGAAACGGTGAGACTTCGTACCGCACCCGGCCGAAGTTACGCAATAAGGCCCGAGGATGGTGATACCAGGCCGCCGTGAGACGGAAGCAGAGTCAAACGTGATTACGCCAAGTATTGTACAAGCGGTTGGCTTTGCGAGCGATGAAGAGGTGTGTTCGTATTAAGTGGTCCCTAGTAGCCCTGTCTGGCCGAAGCCCAACGCATCTTCAGAAAGGAGAGGCCAGATTGTGTCCCACGCAATCCTTCGTCGACAGAAATGAAACGCGTGGTGATAAAATACACAGTGCGAGTCCCATTCGAGAGACCGCGGGGTATGAGCCGACCGAAGAAGAGAACTGGATGAGAGGAAAGATCTATCTGGTAAAAACGGATAGGAGACTCGTGAAGTTCTGCCCAGTATTAAAGTGTGGTGTAAAACGCCCTGCTTTTTCGCTCAAACATGCCCCCCGCTGGGTGTGGTATCGCCCCTTGAGCCCTTCTATAGTCGTGAACGCTTGCTCGCTTCTACCGATACCGCCATAACCATATACTCCTGCAAATGCTGTGTTCAGACTGTAGACTTAGAAACGATCGGCGAGGTCGTTGCCGGCGACCGAGCCGGTCTGCGACGAGTTGCCGGAAGAGAAGCCGCTGCTGCTGTTGAGCAGATCTTGGACGGCCACCTTGGGCGGCTGAGGAACGGGCAGTTTTCTCTGCGCGCCCTCGGGCCTGGAGATGATGTCGCCGATCCGAAGACCACTGCTCTGATGAGGCACGTAAGGATGCGAGCCGTCTGCGCTGGGCTCCATGGGAGCGAGTGCTGGCATCGGCTGGAGAGACAGGTGTCGGAGGTGAGGAAGGTCGAGGCCGTGTGGTCGGAGTCGAGGAGAGTGTGCGGGAGTGGCCAGAGGAGTGTGGTCCGGTGTGGGTGAAGTAGAGTCGTTCGAGAAGGTCGGAGAGGGCGGCGCGGTCGACATGGGCGAGCCAGGTCGCGATCTCTTCGTCATGCGGTGCCCATAGGGATCATCTTCCTCGTGCGAGTGCGATCTCGACATCGGCTGTGACTGAAGCGAGTACTGTGCCAGTCCGGGAAGACGGCCGGAGTTGTTGTGGTGAGTGTACGAGTGGTTGAGTTGCTGATTGTAACTCGAATGACTGCTACCAAATTGCTGGGGCATAAGGTGCGTTTCGCGCTGAGCCCGAGATGCAGCAGTTGCAAGAAGGTCGATCGGATTGCTCGAGTGCGCGCCGCTGTTCCCGTTGAACGATGGGAGGCTTGGGGTAGCCCCGCTGGAGTAGCTGGCATAGGTGTGAGGCGGCGAAACGTTTGGCGAGCCGACGGCGGAGTTGGGTGCTGAGCGCGAGAGTGGTTTGGTTGGCGGCGCCATCATGTGCGTCATCTGTCCGTTCTCGAGTAGGCCAGCGTTGACGACGGTGTTGACGGAGTTGGCGAGTGCCTGAGCGTGTTGTTTGTTCCCTCTTCTCGAGTTCGGGTTGTTGTGTATCCTGGAGTGCCGGGTGAGCTCGTCCGACCGGCTGAAGCGTTTTGTGCATCCCGGGTACAGGCAGGCGTGTGGCTTCTCCCCTGTATGTGTCCTGATGTGTCTTGTCTGGTGCTCCAAGCGGTGAAACGCCTTATCGCACAGCGGGCACTTGTACGGTCGCGGCAGGTCCTGGCGGTTTTGGTCGTCTTGGCCTGGCTGCGTCCCTTGCAGCATCGGAGCCATGAGGCTCACTGTTGCTGCGGCCATCGGGTCCGTGGTGGTGTCAGCGTCGGATTGTGTCGCGTGTGGTGCAGTTTGCGGCGGTGGTTGATGTTGTTCGTGGTGTGGAGGAAAGTGCGAAGGTGCTTCGGGGTTCAGTAGATTGGAAAAGTCCACGGCGGACCGTGACGGCTGCATGTGATCGGCACCAGGCAGCGACTGGCGCGTAGGAGACGCTGCAAGGGCGAGACGGGAATGTGATGGATGTGACGGAAGGCTGTGTTACGTTGGGTAAGACCAGATGCCGGGAAAACGCGGGATGAGGGGGGGGGATTGGCGACAAATTTATCGAACGCGAGTCTGAAGCGAGTCTGGGTGACGCAGCGAAACGTGGGGAACGGCTGCCGGGCAAATCTCTAAAACCGAGACAGGGAGAAGGCGGGCTAAGCTCGATCGGGCGATGCAGCGCTGTCGGGTTCTCCTTCCCTGGGCGCTATTGGTGGGGCGACCGGAGGAGCTGAAACGGGCAAGGTTCCGGGGTTCCGTCAAGCCCTAACTGCGCCCTGGAGGCTTTGGTGGCCGCCGTGCGGTGCGCCTCTGGCGATCTGGCTCAGTACAGAGGCGTCGGGGAAATGGCTAAAACACTCCTGCAGGTTGCAGATGCGGGCGGATGAACGCTCAAGATAACCTGTCCGCAAGATACGAGCCTAGCTGAGGCGCTTCCCCGGACCGAGTCAGAAACCTCGCGACTGTGGGGGAGAGTGTTGAAGCGGTCAGCGTGTCGGCGTGTCGGCGGACCAAAGGGGAAGGTACCGCCAGAGGGTAAGTTGCTGCTGGCTCCAGTAACGTGAGGTACCAAGGGTAAGTCTTCGGACGACGTGGTCGGCGGCTGTGTGCTATTCCCGTGAGCGCTTTTTATCGCCTTCTTCTGGCCGAAAATTTCTGAAGGTGCGGCGGAGCCGACGTGAGGTTCAGCTGACGGCAGCTGCTGCGGTCTGGATGCCAGCGTGGTCCCAGCGTATCTGACACGATGGGCCACTCGAGTACCTGTACTTGACCCCGTGGTGGATTCGTCGCGGTTGCGCTCACGAGATGTCGTGCTTGGAATTCTTAAAAGTGAGGGGTGTTGCAGGCTCAGACTATCTTAACAGTGAGGAAGGAGGTGTGGAGATGTGGGATGGCTTTTGGTTCTCAGGTGGGCGGACGAGGCAGATAAGGGCGTGCTCAGCGCGCAGGCAGAAGGGGAAGGGATAGATACCGTAGATATGCAAGCGGTTAAGCCTGGCGAAGCCGCAGTGATCTTCGTATCTCTGCGCTGCGACAAACCGGGTGCATCGGAATCCGGGGTAGTGGAGAGTCAGGATCAGGAGGAACGAAACCTGGGGCATGTGCAGTGTCATTATTTCAGAGAGCATATGGAGCGCAGCAGGTTTCAAACGGCCGGATGTTCTCACAAGCTGTCACCTTGCTGCACGCGTGCATCCGGGGGGCCAAGCAGCGTGCAACATGGGCCGAGAAGACAGAGCAGGTGAGACGTAAGGTGTCACGATTGGGGATGGGGGTAGGTCGCAGTAACCAGATCGCCAGACCAACCCGGAGGCCAGCGAGGCTATATCGCAGATTACTGGGCGACGTCTGCCTCAAGGGCGTTTCCTCGCAACATCAACCACTGATGGCGGAGCATGGCTGCATGTGTGAAATGCGGCGAGCCGCTCACCTCCTTTGTCTCTCTCCCGTGCCTGTGCGTCCTATCTTGCGGAGAGCAGTCGCACATGTCAGATGCGGGCTTGCAGAGGCGCTCACCGACTGTCCAATTAGCCGACTGTAACCACAGCGCTGGAACTGTCTATCTCCAGTGGCGCTCAGCCAACATGCACCCAGGGCAATGTAAGCGTCGATGGCGTCTGAGACGGGAGTATGTGGGGGTTGATAGGGGCTGGAAAAGGAAAGAGTCTGGAGGTGTTCTGCCGGCGATCCTGGGGTAAGGCAGACGACATGTGGGGACTACTCTTCGTGTGAATCGCAGCTTTATTGATTGAAGACATGATTTTTCGATCCTTTCATTGATTGCTCATGCATGGTACGGACTCACGTTCACCGTTGATTTCAGACCGAGCTGTGATGGAGAGTTGGTAGAGCCAGCGCCTGGCGATGTGGCACCGGAAGACACCGCTGAAGAACGAAATTTTCTCGAGGTGAGAGAACAACTGTCATGAAGTCGGAATGTGGGGCGTGTTCGATTATCCCTGGCTTCCTTGCTGTTAAGATATCGCGTTCCTTTGGAGATTCGACAGCCAGTGGAGTCCCAATACCAGCACAAGCCGGGCAGGCTGTCTCTGAGTGCGACGGCGAGGTGTCTCCTTCAGGCCTTCGGAGACACCGTGCAGGGAAATCTTCTCACTCCAGACGCTCCCCGTCCTTCATTTCCACATGATCCTCTTTCCGCTCCAATAATCGTGGGCGCCGCATCTCAAATGAAAAACAGAGTTTTCTAACGGCGCGGCGGGCTGTGCAGACCAGTGGTTCACATGGCCGATCCGTTTCCACACTGACGAAATCCACCGGAATTTCTTGATCACCAAGCGCACCATGAAACATAATCTGGGGAGCATGGTTGCTCTCAAGGACCTCGGCAGCTTACGTGGTCCCAGAGTCATCATGACAACTGGCCCTCCCAACTGCCAAATACAAATTTCCGTAGTGGGTACTCTGATTCTTGCGCAGTATTGGTGGAGATAGATGTCCTTGTACATGTCGATCGGGTGATGTCGGGTTCAGATCAGCCAAACGTATGATAAGATATAAAACATCAGCGGTGCGTGATGCACGGATTCTTCCTTCTGGAGCGCGGGCACTAGCTGCTTCGGCCATGATCCCCGGGGGCCTCTGCTCAAACACATGTCACCGAGCTTGTCACCGAGCTTGTCACCGAGCTTGTCACCGAGCTGACATATCTGACAGTGAAAACAACAAGGAAAAAGCTGTGGAGACCGACCAAACCTCTATCCTCAACTCAACTTGTCCCCGAGAGATGTCCGAACAACTGCATTGCCAGACGACTCACACTAGGGACGCCAGACGCGGCATATTTACATGCCTGTGCAAACCCCCTCAGGCATCCACCGGAGTCAGGTGTAGATCGCCCAGCACTCGAAACGCAAGATCTTCAGCAGTCCGCGTCATTTTCGAGACGGCAACGTCGCCCAGTCTCGTTCTCACGACTGAACCAAGCCCCGAACACTTAAGCGATCCCCTGACCCGCGACACCAGCACGTCGGATGCTCCCGCGATCCCCCTCTGGTCCGGAGATCGTCGATGCGCAGTAACCGAGTTTCTGGGGTAGACGGCGTTTGCATCACCAACTACCTAATCGGGAACTATCTTCAACTGCTACTGCTTGGTTCTTACCTGAAGGATGCTAGCTGCAGCGAGCAGGCGATTGTTGTCTTCGATCATGGCAGTATGCTCCGGAGTCCGGAGACACGAAATCTGACCGCCTCATTGATCTGCACCTAGAGCTCGTACAGCTCAGATTGCCGAGATGGCATCAGTGTGAACGCAAGCAACCTCTCAGAAACCTGGCCTGCAGCGACTGAGAACCGAACGTACTCGAGGAGCTCAAAGCGGTAATTCACGCCCCAAAAGTAGATAGGTAGAGTACGCCTGACATTTGGCGCTCGGTCGCATGCGAACCGCTTCCTTTTGTCTAGGCAGTCGCTCTACTGAGAGTCAAACATCGTAACACTAGAGCGAACATTACCGCAATAAATGCTGGACCAAGCGCGCTTGGGAAGTAGTCACAATGCTAATCCACACCACAGTCTGCCACGGGGTTCTCAGATCTACAGATGCATATTACTGTCTTGGTCTTTCTCATGCCTGACTACCTGAAGTTCTCACTACACACCAAAGGCAGAAAGGGATGAGTAAACAGTGACTTTTCTAGTACTCCGTGTCCGTACGCAAACCAAATTTTCCACCTGCTTTTGACCCGTTCTCGTATCTCCAATGCGAAGAGAATGGCCGTCATCCTGAGGGTTGGTGAAATGGCAGCATGTTAAGATATGAAACAAACAGGAGTTGTAGACCCTGCTTCTGCGGACAGCCTGTTTGCTGATGTATCAGTCTTCGTGGATAGTACATATATTGATAGAGGTCCCATTGTGATCCCTTGATGCATAACTCGCGCGTCTGGATGCAATGCAAGTATGGAGAAGATTAAGAATATAGTGATTGGTAGCCAAACTGGAGCGCGAGACCTTAAATAGAAAGCACATAATAATGGATAATTAGGCGCAGCTTGCTCCTGGATTGAACGTGGGAGCGTGTATCTTTGAGTACCGGTACAAGCGCTGCTAAGCAGACACATGAGTAATCTCCTCCCCTGTTCCGCCAACGAGTGCTCCATCTTCCGGCGCCAACGACTGTCTCCTCCGCTCCCGCTTCTCCTCACATGGCACTAGCCGACATCATCATGTCGATGTGAGATACTCATCACAATGCCGCTCTCCAAATCTTGCAATCGCACACAGAGATAACGATCCACGACTCCCACGCGTCAGCCGCTATCTTCGAGATGGCATGGGATGTAAGCCACAAGATACGCACGCGCATGAAACGCTTCCCGCACCCGCCTCTTCGGCGACGGAAAGAGTGCGGAGGTGGGTCCGGCGGGATCCCCAGATCTTGGCACCTCAGCGCGCCAAAAAAAAATCTCTCCACAAAACGTCCCGTGTCGGCTTGGTCTGTTGGGCGGCATCGGAGAATTGGTCGGAGAAATGGCACGACGCCATGACGACACGGGATCTGTTTTGCGATAGCGATGCATGCCGCATGCATGAGTTGGCGCAGACTGCCACATGTCGGTGTCAATTTCCGGCGCAGATCCCTCGCTGAAGATCCCAACGAGTGGTTGATGTGGCGCAGGCATGATAAGGCAGTCTTGGCCTGTCAGGGCTTCCTCAGATTCCAGCGGATGCTCCTCCGGCAGCGGACGCTCCTCCGTGTATCCGCGTCATCTCTGCTCCGACGAAGTGCCGGATTAGGGAACGAGAAGTTTTCCTCAAGCGTTCTTGGCATTGTGAGACGCAGCGTTGTGACGTGCTCGCAACGAGAGGCACGGCTGGTGTGGGAAGGTTAAGTAGGGAGACCTGCGAGAGGCCTGGCGCGTCGTCAGACGGTTCGTCCTCGTCTCGTGTGCCGCTCTCTGGTCAAGGCCCTGCTTCTGTGGCCGTTAGGTCAATGGCTAGCGCATCATCGACCAAGCCTTCGGCGGCCAGGACTTCGTCTTCGTCGCCGTTGCCCCAGCCGTACTCGTCTTCTTCGCCGTCCGAGTCAGCTATCTCGGCGTATGTTCGTTTCGGTGGTCGGACGGGTGATGTGTGGTACTGGACAGTCTGGCTGGAAGACGGAATGTCGAAGTCTGCGAGGCCATGCTGGAGGAAGGAGTTAGCGTTTGATTAAGCTAGAGGGAGTTCAACGAAAAAAGTCCAACAGGGGAAACCACTTACGGCTTGAATCGTAAAGGGCACTACGTTCCCGACAGTCCCAATATCTGCGAGCGTTACCCCGTTGACTTTTATCGCGCCTGCATAACGGACCTTGCCTAGAAGCTGTCGGTCGGCGTCAGACATGTCCTTGTGAGCTGGCGGCGGCCAGTCCCTGAAGAGTACTAGACGGGTCGAGATGCCATTGTCCCATTCGGTCCCCGAAAGCGCGGGCAGCAGAACCGCACCCAGGCCTGCCCGCATCCTTGTGGCGGTCTGACACGTAACTAGCACTGCGATGTTGTTCAGGGCCGCAAGTTTGCTGAGCTTCGACATCAGGTCGTTCATCACTGAGAACCTCCGGCTTGCAGCCCACTTGCCGTCGTTGTTCCTGTTTCCGTTTGAGCGATCGTCTGTGTTGCGAGGGTACGCATTGTCGAACAGTGTCGACACTGAGTCGACAACCAGAAGGGCTGTTCCGGCTGGTAGAAACATCGGAGCCGTGCACATGGCTAGCAGATGGGCTAGAGTCGGCGCAATGTAATGGTGGAAGCGGCTGCGGATGTCATCGTCGCGAGGAGTGACGGGAGCGGAAGAGCTAATTTGCTTTCCGTTGGAGGGTTTGAAGGACGTGAGAAGCTCATTGAGGCGTGGTCCGGCTAGCTGAGTGCCCGCGTCTGTGCAGGGCGGTCAGTTGTGGTTCTTGGACAACCCAGCTGTTCTCACTCACCTACCCATACCACTCGATCACCTCCATATAATGCTGACACACTCGTTTGCATGCTGTTGCGGGCCGGTCAGCACAGGAGAAGCCAACAACCCCTAGTCGTACACGCTTGAACGCTTTGAAGTCATGCGTACGTACCCCAGCGTCGTCTTCCCTGTGCCTGGCGATCCATGTACCTCGGTAATCTGACCTCGCCGTAGGCCTTCCCCAGACGTTACGCTCCTGTTCTGGATTCCATTGCTGCACAATAGCAGGTCAAGCTGCTTTGAACCTGTAGATATCGCGCTGGATCCGGAGGCTTTGAGGTTTAGCAGTGCCTGCGACGCGGATACTGTGGGAAGCCTATCTGCTGGTGTGTCAGTGGCACTAGCTCTCTTATAGGTTGATCGTTGATCTCACGAGAAGATGAAGAAGACAGCCTTGCGCTTGCCTGGCCGCTGCTGCTAGCCATTTGCTGTAACGAGAGCGATGATCGGTAGGGCGTCTATCCAAGGGTTCTGATGCGACGCAAGAGGACCACGGAGGTTATGCATGGCTCGTGAGGAGTAGTGGAGTGAGGAAACGAAGCATTGGTGTTTGACTGCTTGAAGCTTGACGCGTCGAATGCGTCGAGCGCGTCAAAAAGCCGATTGTCATCAAAGCGGGAGCACCATGGAAGCCGAGACTTTCCCGACTCCGCTCTGAAGCTTCAACACCGGTCGTAGGGAGCCATGGGAGTTCCTCGTAGTAAAACCACTGAAAGTCCTAATGTTGCTTGTCGTCCAGGCTTGCAAAGTGCGTCTTGATACAAAAGTCTCATCTAAAGACTACCGTGCGTGCTAAAGGCACGGCGCTCTCAATACAGAAGACTTCCCTCTTCCGTTATGGAGTCCCTTTCCCGGAAAGATGCTATCTGGGAAGCCGCTACATTCTTTTTCACTTGTTTGGTCTTCGTAGTCCCACTAGTTGTCGTTTTCTTCTTAACTCCGCAGATCAGCCTAGGAGTGCAAGAAAAGCCCCCAGCAGGCTGCCGCAAGCTGGGCCTTGCTACGAGTAGTAATCTCGATGACCAGTATGAGCAAAGGTACAGGCAGAGCAATACTCCGGATAAGGGTGCCGGCGGCTCTCCGATTGGCAAGGTCAAAGCTCTGTTTGTATATCCGATCAAGAGCTGTTACCCCGTGGAGCTGCTTCAGGGTGAAATTGTCCGCACAGGCATCAAGTACGATCGTCAGTTCTCCTTCGCTCAGCTCATTAGTGGACAGCCAGAGCTCGATACCGGCAAGACGAGCCATACCTGGAAGATCATCACGGCGCGTCAGTTTCCGCGTCTCACGAAAGTCAAAACGGAGGCCTGGGTGCCTGATCCGAAATCATCTTCCTACACCAAGAACAATCTATGGGCGAAGAGCGATGGCTGCATCGTCGTGACCTTCCCGTTCACGCCCGATATCACCATGAGCAGAGAAGGCTTGGCCAACCTCTGGACAGTCATAAAAGCGAAGCTTGCAGCCGGCAGCTTGACCGCTGAGCCGACTGTATCATTTCGCTTACCATTCGATCCAACGGCAGAACGTATCGAGCGCAAAAAGTACACACGCGAGGAATTGGCCGTCTTCAAGGACTCGCCACAGGCCCTTAACGTGGGGACTGAGATCGAACCCAATGTGCTCGCACAGCTGAAGTACTTTCTTGGCGTTAGCAACCCCTTGACTCTCTTCCGTATCGACAAGCAGAGCTATAGAGAAGTCCACCGCTGCGCGCCGGGGAAGGAGGAGGTTGGTTATCAGCCTGTCATCGGGCTTTCTGATGGCGTATGCGGACACCATCCAATACCATCTGGCATCACTTGCTAACCTGAACAGTATCCCCTGCACTTGCTCAATCTAGCCAGCGTCCGAGATGTCGAATCACACCTGCCAATGGAGGGCCCCAAGTCGTTGAACGCAATCCGCTTCCGCGCCAATATCTACAGTAAGCCCTGACTCTCTTGGTCGTTGACGATGGATTACTGACAGAACATCAAGTTACTGGCCCTCCCCCTTTCGCTGAAGATTCGTGGAAGTTCGTTCGCATAGGGTCAACAAAGTTCCAAGTCTCCTGCCGCACCGCACGCTGTGTGCTGCCCAATGTTGACCCTAAGACGGGCGTCAAAGACAACAATGAGCCACTGAGCACTCTGCGATCTTATCGACTTGTTGACGAGGGAGCAGGAGCGAGCCCGTGCCTGGGCATGCAGATGACTCCTGTGTCTGCAGATGGTGGTGAAGTCAGGGTCGGCGATGAAATTGAGGTGCTTGAGACTGGCGAGCATCACTATATCAAACCATGATGCAGGCACCGTTGCTGCTGTGTTTCGTAGTGGAACTACGCAGAGATGCTGAGGGGTCCTAGATAACCTCTGCAGGGTACTGAGATCTTGCCTCCATGTTACTTAGCGTCTCCAAGAACCGCGTTTGCAGGGCTTTGGAAAGGACGAAGCGCATAAGCTGACCGGTGCGAGGAGAACATGCATGAAGCGATGATCCAAAAAGGGTTTTGGAAGTCGTCGCCAGTCACGAAGCGCTGTTCTGCATCACGACTACTTGCGAACCTCTTACAGTGCTGCGGCTCTCTGGATGCACCGTCGGACAGTTTTCCCTTCCCGTTACCTTTCTACGGCAGAACTTCCATTTTTGCACATAATGGAGAATTCCCATCTTCGTCAACTTCCGAAGTGCTTTCCGGTCACGGTTCCCGCGCATGGCAATTGGTGTCGCGTGGTTGCCATGTTTGCGTAACACGTCCAACCCAAAGTTCCGTCGCCACATTGATATCTCCACTCAACACTCTGATCAGTGCTGGATAAACATCCCCATACCATGAAGCTCCTCACAACACTCTTCTCCTCTTCGCTCCGTCTCCAGTCTGCGCTCGGTCTTAGCCTGCCAGATATAGCCGTCAAGCACGTCAAGATCCTCGGCGAGCAAAGCAGCCACCAACTCGAAGATCGCGTCTTCCGCGACGGCGGACACTCCGTCGCCATTGGCGGCAAGATAATATGGCTCTTCGACGACACTAGCAGCGTGACGAAGCGCGACCACAACCTACTCTCCTTCGTCTCTAACAGCGTGGCGTACGCCTCGGACCCCGACGACGACATTGCGGCGATTGAGGACCTTGGAGACAATACAGGCGACCGTATAGATCACACCTGGATTCCGTTCACCGAGGACGAGAAGAAGTACAACGATGCGCACAAGGGCAAGGAAAGGATGGCAATCTGTACGCTGTGCGCCGCCTCACCAGCCAGTCACGGGCAAGGCCAGCGGAGAGCATCACTAGACCGACGGCCGAGCTTGCTATGAACTGAGGCTGTACAGAACTGACAAACGTAGGGCCGGGGACAAACCCTCTCCCCATCAGCACCGAGGAAGCCATCCTGTGGGCTCCCCGCGTCCACGTCGATGCTCAGGCACAGAAAGTAACCCTCCGCGCCGAGGGCATGACGCTGCTCTCCATCAACATAACGCAGGACGGCCCGCAAGTGACACGGCTAGTGGACAAGATAGACGGCGCGATACAATACGGAGGCTTTGCAGCAGTACAAGGCGGCAGCCCCAACGCGCGCTTTGTCTACCTCTTCGGCGCCGACGCGTACGGTCTCCAGCTCGCGCAGGTCCCCCTCGACGTCATCCAAGACGAGCGAAAGCGCCGCTACTACCATCCCCGTCTACACATGTGGGCAGAAACACAACCGCTATCCGGCCTTGCAAGCAAGGAAGACCTCTACCTCGCCGGCACCTTCTCCTCAGGCTCCATCTTCTTCAGCCCGTATTTCCGAACCTTCTTGATGATCTACTTCAACAACGTAGCGGACTCGACGTTCTACCTGCGCTACCTCGACCTCAGCGCCCCAAGAGGCCCGACGCACGGGAAGGCCGGACATGTTCTCGGACCAGACGACATTGAGGCACTGGGGTCGTTCTACTGGTCGCCGGAGATGAACCTCTGGCGCTCGCCGCCGACGAAACACGGATACAACTATGCTGGACAGGTGCACCCGGAGTACTTTAACAGGCTGTACTATGCACCGTCTGTTTACTCTGACGTAAGCCATGCACCCTCAGCCTTGTCATCCTTGCTACTTCACCCCAATGTGCGGCATCCCTCACAGCTGACTTCCGCAGGCCCAGCCGACCGATTTTCCCTTCTACGGCTCCGGCGTAGTGGATCCCGAGACGCCGGACGGAAAGCACATCCTCCTCAGCTACACGCGCCAGATGGGCAACGGTAGATACCAGGTCGAACTTGCGAGGCTCGAGTTTGAGGGAATAGCCGGCCGGCCGGAGACGGATGGTGCGTCTGTAGGCCGGGAGGTCGGCTTGGGGTGTGTGTCCTTGCTGTTGGGGTCGGTTTTCGTGCTGAACCTTCTGGTCTGCACTGGGAGGCTTTGAGGTGTCATTCTCTGCGGCGGGTTGGCTGCGGGACTGTTTGTGGGGGGCGTTTGCGGCAGTTTGCATGGATCCGGGGCATACGGTACTGTTCGGGGATGATGGTCTCTTCGATTTGCTGATATTGATACAGGTATAGGAGCTTCTGGCGATTACGGCATCTGATCCGTTATTGGTCTCTGTTAGGTAGAATCCAAGTCCGACTCAGTAGCTTTTCCGGGTGAAACTTCGCCAGGCTATGTTACATTATGGCTTCTGCAAGTACCTGGTCATGGACGCGCTCAATTCTTCTTTGATATCCCATAGGATTCAGCTCCATCTCCCGCCTTCGATGAGGGCCAGCGGCCGTCTGATCGCCCTGCGGTTGTCAGAACCTGCAAGGGCCACGCGGAAAGACCTGCGAACGAACACCAGAGTGCATATGATAGCTCTGCGGTGATGGGAACTTGCAAGAGCCACGAGATGCGACTAAAAATGAGAGCCAGCAGCCGTCCGGAAGACTCGCGACCAACAAAGGCCAGCAGAGACTGACCTGCCGCGAATCACTGCCTGCGACGGTCACGATCCTCAGGAGGGGTCCGCCGATCAGAGTATGAAGGCGAAGGGTAGGGCGGCGGATAACCCCAGTGCGGCGGCGGCGGCGGGTATGACGGGTACCAGGGCGAGTAGGGGTAAGGGAAGTGCCCGTACCCATACCCATACCCAGGCTCCGGATGGCGCCCAGTCTCATCTCTTCGCCGTGGCCTTTCGTAGCTGTCGTAATCTGGCTGCCGCGGAGAACGGGGGCGGACAGGACGAATACTCCTTTCATAGTCGTACTCGTCCCTTCCGCGGCTGTCGTACTCTCGTCGCGGCGGGGAACGGGGGTTAATGGTGACGTAGACGCCGCCGTACTCCCTTCGCAACGGGGAACGGGGGCGAGTACTCCTTCCGTATCCCTCGTACTCCTGTCGCAGCGGCGGGGAGTAGTGGAAACTGCTCCTATCGTAGCTGTCGTCCCGACGTCGCGGCGCCGGAGAGCGGCGAGAGGCCATTCCGTATACTTGGTTCTCTGCTTCCCGAGCAGGGAGGCGAATGCGCGGTTGGTAGTCTTGATGCTCCGGCTCCCGAGGGGTGTAGGGTCTCCTCCCGTATTCTTGGTACACTGGCTGCTGAGTGTGCGCTATGACTCTTGGTAGAGCTTCCTCCCGCCCGTGCATTCTACCCTCCCGCCAGACGCGAGTTTCCCAGTCGTAACGCGGGTACTCTGGCTCCTGAGGGGAGCGAGGTTCCCTGTAATAGTGCTGGTACTCCGGCTCTTGGGGAGGATGCCCACCGCTCATCTCGTAGTGCGGGTACTCTAACTCTTGAGGAGGACGAGCTCTCCTGTCGTGGCCTGAGTATTCTGGTTCTTGGGTAGGCAGCTCAATGGGGCTGGTGTTTCTAGGCGGCGCGCGTTGAGCTTCTACAAAAAAGTCAGTACGAACTATGAGAGCTTTCTTCTAGGCTTTAAGTCTTACCCGAAGACCGCTGCCTACGCGCTTCGCCCTCTTGCAGAGCGTCCTCCCACCCGGCCATTGAGCCCTCCTGATAGGCGCGCTCGACCTCCTCTTCTCTCACTAACACGATCCTTGGCCTCAACTCTTCTCTCTCTAATGCGGCCCTGGCTATCGCGCTTGTTTCGAATTGCGCGAGCAACGCGTCGGACACTCCGTGCTTTTTATAGAGCCGGCCCTTGAGCGGGCACTCTTGGCCATTATGACGGATCCGCTCATCCATAATGCGCAGGTGGTGCGTGCAAAGGCTCTGGCATGCCCGCCACTTATGCCCTCGCTGCTCGCAGGTAAGGCACTTGCCCATGTACTTGCGCTGTATCGCTGTGTCGGTCCTACGCCTACGCGGACGGTTTCTACTCCAAGGCAGGATCTCTTCGCCAGCCTGGCTGTTAACCTCGTCATCACTCTCCTCCCAATCATCTGCGGTCTCCCCCGCCGTTTCCTCTAGCAATTCGTTTGCTGAATCTTCCTCTTCGCTGTTCTCTATATGGAGACCTGCATAGTAGTTCGTCTGCTCGTGGGATGCCGCCTCTCCAACATTTGCTTGCCTGAAGTTTGACATGGCTGAACGATGTCGAAGTTGAGATGTATGAGGTTGTCAAGTTTATGAAGTGAAAGGAGATTTGACGTGATTGCAGGCAGCGCGCCGTACTGCTTACATAACGCATATCTGAGTGAAGCTGTTCTGGATACGCTCCACGCGATTTCAATTCTCCACATACAGCATAAGATTTGCTGTTCACAAGGAGTCCAACTCGTAGAAGCAATCGGAAATCACGTTTCTCATGCACCATGACCAAGTGACTGTGATGGATGAGTGAGATGATACTTGATCCTGCAAATCCTTTGCCATCTTTATTATCCTCACGCATATTCAGCTGCCTGTCGAATCACAAAGAGACCGGTTCGCCTTCCTAGAGCATCCGCTTGTACAATCACAACCCGATCCCCAACATTCGAGGCCTATGTAGCTTTCTTTGCAAACTCGACACGCAGGATCAAATGCCCGAAGCCGTACCCATCCATCTTCTCACACGCCTTGGCAGCATCTGTCCGGTCGGCAAAGCTGACGAACGCGAAGCCCTTTGCTCTGCCCGTATCCCTGTCCTTTGCGAGGAACACCCTCGTGACGTGACCGAAACGCGAGAACATGTCGCGGAGGTCGTTCTCTTCCGCAAACTCGCTGACCTGCATCCAATATTAGCCGACACTCTACCATACCCTTCCTGTATTGACGTACGTTTGTCACACGCAGCGTAGCCAGATCATCCCTCTCATACTTCCCGCCCATCTTCTCACCTGTCCCCGCGCCCCTGTTCCGCAAATGCGGCGGCACATAGCTGGACCCACCACCCCCCAGCGCACCCGCCACCTCCGGCACATCATCCGCCAGCTCTGCCGCCCCCGCCTCGCCCTCTGGCGCCATTGTATCCTTGAACGGGCACTTGGTGGTCCAGTGGTCTCCGCTGCAGATACGACACTTGATCTTAGCATCCTTGAGATTCGCCTTCTTCTTCTCCACCTCGCTCTTGTCCTCTGTGCTCGCCTTCCAGCCCGGCCGGGGCGAGAAGACGATGTTCTCGCCCACGCTGGTGGTGTCGGACTGCGGGCCTACGGGCTTGCCTTTTTCGGCGCCGAATTTGGACCAGGTTTTTCGCTCCGCGACGCGAGGGTTTACGGTGCGCTTGATCACCGTTCGCTTTATCCGCTGCGTTGTCTTCACCCTCTTGCCATCATCGCGGATCTTATAGGATATGATCGTTTCGGTGCCGTCCTTGTTCTTAATGATTTGCGTTTGGGGGAGGTCGAGGGTTAGGTCATCGTCGTCCTCGGCCCAGTCGGTGCGTCCGTGAGTTCCTGACATTGTGACTGATGTTGTAGTAAGTTTAGAGGCTTCTTTACGTGTTGTTGGTGAGTTGGCGGGTTTGTGGAGGCGTGGGGCAAGGCTGATATGACTTTGTGGGCTGTCATCCACATGAAATACGACCAGGTCGGCTAATCTTCGCCGCAACCTCCGACGCCAAGACCAGAAGGTTCTCCTGATTAGCAACCCACAATCGCATCAAGTCATTTGTAGAACTCTCTATCCAGTCTACTTCTATGCTCATTGTGATAACGCTTTGACTATGCACGCGACTTGATCCTTAGACCTTTAACCATCCACAAGAGCTTTCCGCTTGATCCGCTCGCTAAACCGGTCTTCAAACAGATGGAAATGAGGCCGCATGATAATAGTATACTTCACGAACTCCTCCATGCAATCAACGAGGCGATCTCTGTTGTCGCTGGGCATGAGTCTACTTCCGCCCTCCTCGGCGGTCTCGTTGGTGAACTGCGTGTATGCCTTGGGGATAGAGCTCTGATTAGGAATGGTGAACATGCGCATCCAGCGGCCGAGCATCCGCAGTGAGTTGACGGTATTGAAGGATTGTGAACCGCCGGATACCTGCGCGATTGCTAGAGTACGGCCTTGAGTAGGGCGGACCGAGCCAGTGGAGAGTGGGATCCAATCGATTTGGTTTTTGAACACCGCAGTCTACGAAGAGAGGAGTTATGTCAGTGGTGAAAGCCCAACGGCCGCTTGAGTGGAGGTGTTAACGACGGCGAGCACATAGAAACAGTTGCTTACGAGGTTGCCGTGTTGCTCAGGTGACACCCATACGTGACCGTCACTCCATTTGCTCAGATTCCGCAGCTCCTGCACCTTTGGATGTGCATGGTGAACATCATCCTTGACTGGTAGTCCCGTAGGGTCGAAGACGCGGACATCGCAGCCGAGCCGGAAGAGGATGCGAGCGGCTTCATACGCAACAAGACGTGAATACGATCTGCGCGGCCTGTCAGCTTCGAGCGCACCAAGGCAAGGCCGCGTATGAAGTGTAAGATTGAACCCCTTACCGCGCCCGCATGCTGCCATATAAAACCAAAACCTTCAACCTGTCTCCCTCCGTGCTCTTGAGTTCTTGCTCCACCATCTTCATGGCGGTACTGAGCTCCAACTTCGACACCCAGTCGTTACTACTGATTTCGTCGTCCAAAAGGAAGGGCCGATATGCTTTTCGAACATCTTTCGCGTCTTCCGATGGTGGAATGGCCAAAGTGCGTTTAAGATATTTGAGATCAGGTGCTATCTTGACGAATGCTCGTGCAGCTTGCGTGTTGTTGAGATCGCCAGATGGAACCACGCTACCACTGTTCTCAGCCGCGGTCATCTTGGCAGAGAGGAATGCAGACTGATGGGAAGTGGACTTGTACGAGCGCTCACAAGAGCGCTGGATCAAAGCAGAAAAAATATTTCTACGACGGGAAAGAAACGATCGCATTGACTGGATCCCTAAACGCCACTAAGCAGATCGAAAGTATTAAACGTAGAGAAGAGCTTGCTGAGAGGTCCGAGAAGAAGCCTCTTGCCGTCGTTTTTGGACCTTGATAACTTACCTCGCCCAGCGGCCACGGGACAAGATGTTTTGTTGCCGCATCTGTCACTACAGAGCTCTGATTCGTACGGTCAAAATCCGGAGCGGAAGTCCCGCTCCAGTGATAAAAGACAGTAAAATCTGGGTCGCCTAAATAGGTACCTACTGCCGCTTATGGTACAGTCACGTGATGCCTAAATTTTACTGTTCGAATTATGCCTTGCGCCGACTGGCTGACGTCGGCACTATATTACAAGACGTGTTATACAGCAAGTCTTCTGCTTGACATCAATGGCGTGTTTTGTTATGCTGCTAGCACTTCAGGAGCACCTATCCTATTTACGCCATGCCTCTTCCTTGTATTCGTCCATGAGCTCAACACAATCTCTCCCAGCACTAGCCCAACCTTTGATGCCATCCACAAGAACCACGCTCCTCATATCCGAGTCCCCTCGATCGTCGATATAATCGTCAAACCAGGCGGCGGCGCGGTTTCCACGACCGCGAGATGATCCTGTTGCGGAAAGTGTCACGGTAAGCTAAGCTCAATCGGATGTATACAGATTCAAACGAGGAAGCGTACCACAATACCAGATGACCGTGCCAACCTTTGCCTCCTTGAAGAGCGTGTACAATGTGGGTATGGTAGGATAGAGGCTTTGAGCTGGTAGGTTGATGGAGCCACGTATTGTACCTCCCTCGTAGTCCGTGCGGCGTAGATCAACAAGGACGAAATCTTTGCCGGGTTTCTTGCCCTCTTTTATGCTGGCTAGCAGGTCCACTCGTGAGAGAGTTGATGGGTTCTTGTTTCTTGCCGCAGGATAGGCTGCGTACCAGGGAGCTTCAGAGCTGGTTGGCGGATTGGTAGCCTCGGACGCCTTGCTGCTCATGATGATTGACGATGGGAAAGCGGCTGCAGGTGAGTGGCGTCGACGGCTGGGAGTATGATAAGGTGCAACGGGGAACGGCTCAAGGAGGTACGGAGACGTAGAATCAGAACGGTCCCTGGTTCAACTCCAGCTGGAAAAGATATACAAAGAACCCTTTGAGACCGTACCTGAGGCCAAGCATTGAAACTGAATGTCACTGCTCATGCCTTAATCGCCAAACCTCTCAACCACCGTCCGTACGATGATACGCGGTCGCGAGCGAATGCTTGTTGGCTAGCTATGGGCTCGCTCTTTCTACTTACTAACAAACTGTCACCGGATAGCTCTGATTGGTCAGATTCTGTCTGAGAGAGGTCCTTCTATCAAGATATGTTCAAGAGAGGTCCAGACGCCGTTCGCTCAGGAAGCGAGAACTCACACACGAACGGAGTCTACGCGGTTGACCATCGAATATGGGAAGTGCAATTGCCGTTTGGCTGACGGCATTAGAACAAACGGTTCGACGCGCCGTCGTGAGGGGTTTTGGTTTCGAGATGTAGATGTCGCCTTGTAGCAGGAGGCCAACCCCGGTTGATAGCATTTCCCAATAGCCTTGACAACACTCGTCCAGAAGGAAAGGGATGATGAACTTTCGTACACTTGCTCACATCCGTTATCGTACTGGTAAGTACTGGTTGAAAGAAGAGCACGTCGTGCGCAATAATACCCTCACCGCGGAAATCTCGTTATGAAACTCATATTTATCTAACCGTGCCTCGCTTTACCATCGCCACGCCCCCTTCTAATAAAACAACAAAATTCTTATAAGGATAGAAGATGTATAGAGATTTAATTAGATAGCCCTTCTGTACTTCTTGCAGCCTAATATATGCGGTAGTGTAGATAATGGTTAATGAAGCATGGGTTTCGCGGTGAGGCCATTATTGCGCACGACGTGAAGAGGTATCGAAATCTACTACGGAAGGCGGAGACCAGGGACGCTGAAGAAGGAGCAAGAACGTATACATCTCTTTTCCTTCTCACCAAGATAGGTAATCACCATTTTCTTTTCCGCTCACACAGCCGTCTATGGCCAAGCGATGGAGGTTCTGAACAGACGACGATACGCGTCTCAGGGGACGTGCTCGCATGACATCACTATCGGGACCCCTCCAGCTCCGGCACATAGGCAAAGCATGTGCCCAAGAATCCGATTCCGTTCCTCCAAACAACAACATCTTCTGGGACCAAACCAGAGCAGCAATGTCGAAATCAATCCTAGTCACAGGAGCTACAGGCAAGCAGGGCGGCGCCGTCATCGACGCCCTCCTGGCCGAGAATGCAGACTTCACGATCCTGGCTCTCACGCGCACGAAAGCTTCCGCCTCAGCCGAGAAGCTCGCGCAGAAGTCCCCCAAGATCAAGCTCGTGGAGGGGAACATGGATGACTGTCCCGCAATCTTCGAGAGCGCCAAGGAAGTCACCTCCGAGCCGATATGGGGTGTCTTCAGCGTCCAGGTACCTATACTTCCATCCGGCGATATAAGATCACGCGACTGACATCTATAGGTCCCCATGGGCAAAGGCGCCTCCCCCGAAACCGAAGAGCGCCAAGGCAAAGCCCTAATCGACGCTTCCCTCGCCGCCGGGGTCTCCTTCTTCGTCTACGCGTCCGTCGACCGCGGCGGTGACAAGTCCTCTTCCAACCCAACCTACATCCCGCACTTCATCAGCAAGCACAACATCGAGAAGCATCTCGAGACGCAGACCGCCAACGGCGAGAAGATGGGCTATTGCGTCCTGCGACCCACCGCTTTCTTCGATAACATGACGCCGGACTTTATGGGCAAGGGCTTTAACACCGCGTGGAAGGTTGCGGTCAAGGAGCGCCCGCTACAGCTTATCGCTGTGAGGGATATTGGCGTGTTCGCGGCCAAGGCGTTCATAAATCCAGAAGAGTACAGTGGGAAGTATATCTCGCTTGCCGGCGACGAGCTATCCTTCCCCGAAGCCGCGAAGGTCTTCAGGGAGAAGACGGGCGATGAAATACCAACGACTTACGAATTCTTGGCGCATGGCATGCTGTGGGCCGTGAAGGAGATGGGGCTGATGATGAAGTGGTTCTATGAGGAGGGATATGGTGCGAATATAGGGGAGCTGAAGAAGACGCATCCGGATCTGCTGGACTTTGGAGCGTGGCTCGAGACACAAAGCGGGTTTCACACGAAGTAGATGGGGCGTGGATCGTCCGGTGATCGCTGGATATATTTAGAGCAGCGGAAGAGCTTCGGAATGACGGGCTCGGGGTTGGGGCGTAAGGAGTCTTAATAACGGGTGATTAATCTCTACACTCACGCACGTCTCACACGTCAGTCTTGAAAGACACAAGCGGCAGACCAAGACAAGTTCAAGCAAGTAAACTTTACTAAGGTGGGATACCTCACGTGACCGTGACTCCAATGAGACCTAACCTACAGTGACCTTACTGGAAGCCCCTCTACAACTTGCTCTTGCTCACAATACATGAGTTCCCCTTCTGCAGCCACTGCACCGCATCCCCAACCATCTCATCCACAATCTCCTTGGCGCTCTTCCTCTCATTAACCACCGCAGCCGCCTTGCCCATCAAAAACGGGCGCGCATTATCCATCGTCTCATCATCGATATCATCCCCCATCTTCTCGAGATCATGCTCGACGGGGATGCGGCCCTTGGCCGTCAGGTCCTTGATCTCAGCCTGCCGATTGTCCTCCCAGTTCTCGATGTAGGGATTCTTGCGCACCCGCAGCGGGCGGCCGGTGAAGATGATCGTGCGCACGTTGTCGTCGAACGAGGCGGTGCGCACGGCTTCCTGGTGCGCCTTTGGCGCCCCGGCTTCCTCGGAGAGCACGAAGCGCGTGCCGATCCAGACGGCGGACGCGCCGAGCATCATCGCTGCTGCGAGACTCTGGCCGTTGAAGAGACCGCCCGCCGCGACGACTTGCACGGGCTTCCCGGTCAGCGGCGACGTGGCGTTCTTGCACATTTCGACGACGGTGGGTATGAGGATCGTCGTGGGCACGTCGCCGGTGTGCCCGCCGCCTTCGCCGCCCTGGGCGCAGATCAGGTCCGCGCCACGCTCGAGGCACTTGGGGACGTGCTTCGGGTGCCCGATCATGTTCATGTAGAGGACCCCGGCGTCGTGGAGGCGCTTGACGATGTGTGCTGGGGGCACGCCGACGGCGGAGACGAAGAGCTTGGCGCCCGAGTCGATTATTATTGTTACGAGCTCGTCGAGCTTGCCTTTGGTGTAGTCGTAGCTGTGGGAGAGCGGCACATCAGTGGCTGTGCCGGGATGTATGGATTCACATCTGTGACGATGAGATGGGCGCTTACTTGGTCTTCCGCGCACTGCCGCCAACCTGCGGAATCAGCAGATCAACGCCAAACGGCGCGTTCTTGTCCTTGAGGAAGGACTTGAGCTCGGCGATCTGCTCGCGCAGCATATCCGGCGTGTAGCCGACACCGCCAATGACTCCGAGTCCGCCGCTGTCTGTGTGTAAGCTAAGGAGCGTGTGAAGGGATAGGGTAGACTGTACGCGTTCGTTACCGCCGCCGCGAGCTTGGGGCCTGCGGCGACGTTCATGCCGGCGAGCATGACGGGGTGGTTGATCTTCAGGAGATCGGTGGTGGTGGTGCGGAGCTGCTCTGGTGGGCACGTTGGTCGTTAGCATAGTCATGGAGGTGACCGGAAGCGGCGCATGTGATGGGTGCTTACGGGGAGATGCCATGGTGGAGGATTTGATGATGTGGTGTTGGGATGAAGTGACAGCTGTGGTAAATAGTGTGGGAAATGGGGTCTAAAGCTGGAAGGAAGATGGGGAAAAGACGGAGATGATGGGGTAATGTGGTGATAAAGGGTCCTGTAGGAGCATGTGGACGAGTGAGATCGCGGGGATCACGAACGGCGAACGAGAATACCGAGGCCCAGAGACCATCTAAAATGAAGGTAGCGGGCGTGTGAACGAATTTTTCACGAGCACACCCGCCGCGTTCAATTTCACCCGTCCTTAGCACGATCGAGTTGCCGCGGTTCGGACGTAAAGGCCGGGAGGTGTAAATGAAACGGTACTGGAGATGGAAGTACTTTACTGTGGGAGCAGCAGCATTTGATCTTGTGATCTTGTGGAGTCAAATCCACTACTCACATACGGCCGCTATCATACGTTAGGAGTATAGATTACCAGCTCTGGATCTGATACCGTCCAATAAGTGTGATGCTGAGGTTCCCTGTATGCTGTCACGTGCTCAATCGTTAAACTTCCGACCTAATCTGGTTCCAGGATGGCCTATCTATTATCCAGACCTCACCGCACCCCGTCAGCATAGGGTACGGTCGTATATCATGCTAGCGCTCTTGAATACATCTGAGCATAGAGCCTGGTCTGTTCGCGTGCTGGTTTTCCACTGCCCGTCGAGGCGATTCGCTTCTCGAGCATGGCCCCGTCTGAGAAGATCAATCCTCGAGGACGTTGCACATCCTGCTTTGTCTGGCAACCCAATGGAGTATCAGGTCTCTAATCTCCAAATTCCCCTGTACATCTCAGATTGCCCCCAAGCGTGTGCTCTCGGAAAATCTAACATGTCCCATAGTGATGAACCATTGCGTGTCAAGCTCGGCTGCTCAACATATAATTTTAGGCTTCGCTTTGCTAAAATCGCGGCCCTCACAGAAGGGTTCTACCATGGCAAAGAATGGATTGCCCATAATGCCATCGCCGCTACATTTGCCGCCCATCGTGGCAGTTTGGCGAGGCTACTATCGTCGTCGTTTGAGAAGCTCTTCGCTTTGGACAAACATTTCACTCGTGTTGAGCTTGAATTTGATGACCACGAAAGCCTGTTGCCTTGGAGAACTTTCTTCAGCAAAGACAGAACATGTGAAAACACACCTGCAGAAGTTGTCGACTGTAGCATCTTAGCCTCGTCGGTTGGTATCGATCAAGGAAAACCGGGCTACCCAATTACACGACCTCTCTTTCCGGAGGTATTGTCCAACGTAGAGGGTCGGTCACATCAGCATGAGGACGATTCTTTCAGTGGTATGCGTTCTACCGTCCGCAAAACGAACAGTGAACCAGCCTTCGAACCAGTACAGGGAGTGATGCTTCGCTTGGAAAGCATCATCCGCGGAGCCGCCTTTGCGAAGCAGGGAAGCCCGTCGGCAGCTCTTCTATCAAGCTTCCAAAATACAATATCTAATCTCAAGCCATGTTCGCCTTTAATTCCCCGGCGATCTCAGACAACACTTCGCTACCAAAAACAACCGCATAGGGGGAGAGCCTTCGCCACTCTAGTTCAGCACCGGCAAGAGCCAACGGCTTCACTTAATCAACCTACGGAGTCTGTACTGATGCAAGTCGAGAGCGCACGAGACTCGAGTAATAGGCCCGAGCGGCCGCAGCCGCCTCAGTCTCCACACGAGGAAGACCAGCGCTCCGAAACGCAAACAACTGAAGGTTCGATAGAGAGCTGTCGAATATCATCAGTGAATGTCCTAGCTGGGACCCTCGTCTACATAGCGCTGGGGAGTAACTTGGGAGACAGACTCGCATGGATCGAGATGGCTTGCAGAGAGATGGAAAAGCAAGGCGATATCCGCATACTCCGGACAAGCGGCCTGTGGGAGACCCAAGCTATGTACGTCACTGACCAAGCGAGTTTCCTCAACGGTGTCTGTGAGGTAAGCGGAAGCTATCCTGTGCTCTGTTCAGTTAGGCGACGAAAACTCCTGGGCAAACACTGACAGGATCGCAGGTGCGGACATCTCTAGAGCCTTTCCAATTGCTTGACAGACTACAAGCAATAGAGACCGCCTTAGGCAGGGTGAAGGTCGTTGACAAAGGCCCGCGAAACATCGACCTTGATATCCTTCTCTATGGTGAAAAGACCGTCAGGAGCGAACGCTTGACGGTGCCTCACCCGCTGATGTTGGAACGGGAATTCGTGCTTCGTCCTCTCTGCGAGTGAGACCTCCGCCTACTGAAATAAAGGGCAATGCTAACCCGCTGAAGGCTTATACCAACCACCCATCACCCCAAATCTGACCAGTACATCCATCATCTCAAGCGCCTCCCGCCGGTCCCAGAGAAACTGTCGACTGTGACGCCTCTCTCACCCTCTCTCCCACCCATAACAGCACTAAATCCCGCCCGCAAGACCCACGTCATGTCCATTCTCAACGTAACGCCTGACTCCTTCTCCGACGGCGGCCTCCACAACCCCACCAACCTCACTTCCCTCCGCGAAACCATCCTCGCTCACATCGCCGCCGGCGCCACCATCATCGACGTAGGCGGCCAATCATCCCGCCCCCATGCGCCTTCCATCAGCGCAGGAGAAGAAATCGCCCGTGTCCTACCAGCTATTCAACTTATCAAATCCCTTCCCGAAGCCCGCAGCGTTGCCGTAAGCATCGATACCTACCGCGCCGCCGTCGCCGAAGCAGCCGTGAAAGCCGGCGCCGACATCGTTAACGACGTCTCGGCTGGAACTATGGACCCAGATATGCTGCCCACGGTCGCAAAGCTAGGCGTCACGGTCTGCCTGATGCACATGCGCGGTACGCCAGAGACCATGACGCGTCTGACCGACTACCCCGACGGCGTGGTAGAGACAGTCGGCAGAGAACTACGCGAGCGGGTCGCCGCAGCAGAAGAAGCAGGCATCCGGCGATGGCGCATCATGCTCGACCCCGGCATCGGCTTCGCGAAGAACCAGGCGCAGAACCTGGAGCTGCTGAGACGGCTGGGCGAGTTGAGGGAGTACGAGGGACTGCAGGGCCTGCCGTGGCTGGTAGGGACGAGCAGGAAGGGGTTTATTGGGAAGATTACGGGTGTGAAGGAGGCGAGGGAGAGGAGCTGGGGCACGGCTGCTGCGGTTACGGCGGCTGTGCAGGGTGGGGCTGATGTGGTGAGGGTACATGATGTGGACGAGATGGCGAAGGTGGTCAAGATGGCGGATGCGGTGTGGAGGGTGTGATGGCTTTTCGAAACTAACTCATGACGAAGGAGTCGAGGATTAGGTCGGTCTAGGACCGTGGGAAAATCTCGGTTGTCTTGTGCAATACACGGTAAGCACTCTCTGCATGTTTCACGAAGAGACAGGAGGGTCGGAGGCCAGAGTGCACTTTAAAATATAAGGTACTATTTACAGCGCTGTTCAACATGGCTTGGGGGACTTATACTCAAACCCCAGCCTACGGGAGCCGCAAACCAGCGAGGTTACGCCTGCAACGACAACCGCCGAACTGCGGTTTTTAAACGACTCCTTCGTCCCATATACACACCTCCTTCCGCCTACTGCGATCCCACCCTGAATGGATGACCGCCGCTACTAAACACCCACTCCTCCAGTCTCGCAGCCTTGACATCACTAAAGATCAACCAAAGCCACATCAATATCTCCCTCACCGCCGCACCCTCCGCTTCGTCTACCCATTCAGCCTTCCCAGCGCCTGTATCCGCTCCACTCGAACCAATCGCTACTCCAGCGAACCCGAATTCCGCCCTAGACCTCTCCTCAAGCGCCTCAAAAACCTCCCACGCCCACCGCCGATACCTCTTCTGTCCCGTAACCCGCCACGCATAAAACAAACTCTGCGCATACCCCCTCGCATCGCCTATTCTCAACACCCGAACCCCATCCCCCGACTCCTGCGGGACCCATCCGCCAGCCCTGCTCACCTGTGCCCACTCCTCCGTGCCCTCCGGCACAAACGACGCATTCCGCGACATCCACGTCCCTGGACTCGGGATCCAGCGCCATTGCCCAGGCGCGAGACCGGGCACGGCGGAGAAGGACGAGATGTGGTGGCAGCCTTCTAGGAGGGCGAGGGCGAGGGGGGCGAGGGAGGCGCCTTTCTCGTCGGCGTCGCTGTTGGAGCTCGTGCCAGTGGTGGCGGCGAGGTGCCGCGCTCCGAGAAGCAGCGTCCCAGGCGCGGCGCACGCGGTGCCCGATGCCATTCCGTTGACATACGCCGTGTCGGACTTGCGGCCCAGGAAGAGGTGCGCGCCCGCGTAGCCGTCCTCTGCCGCAGGCGCGTTCCGCGAGACGAGGGCGTGGCGGACCGATTGTGCGGCCTCGTGCCAGCGGGTAAGGTAAATGGGTGCGTAGCGATCTGGGCCATCCCCGGAGGAGAAGATGGAGGCTTTGAGGAGGGCGGAGTGGTACGCATGGTCCCAACCTTTTCCTCGCCCTATGGGCGCGCCGGTGACGATGTCGATGAGTCCGTCGGGCAGCCCGGGGAGTGCGGTTTCGTAGGCCGACCAGACGAGGTGAGACCATGCGCGGGTGGCGTTGGAGAGGTAGGTTGGATCATTGGTAAGGCGGGTTAAGACGCGGTTTTCGAGGAGCGTGGCGGTGTGGCTGGGTGAGATGGCGGGATGCTCGTATTGCGGTGCGCTGGGGTCACGGTGCCCGGTATTGGCGCTGAAGTCGAGAAGGGGCCAGGGCATGCCGGTTGGTGTGTCGTAAGCTGGTTGGAGTTTCTGGGCGAGGACGAGCGCTTGGCGGAGAAGGCTGTCTTTCTGGCCTTGGGAGACGATGTTTTCCGGAACGAGGCCTGCGTTTGAGAGGTCGACGAGGCTTAGCAGGCCGCCAAGATAGCGTGTCGTTGCTTCATGGGGATCGACCAGCTTGTTTGAACGGGCGAAGTCGATTTTGGTGGTGATGAAGTCGACTGATTCCGCCAACTCGTCCCACAACCCCATCAGCGCGAGCGTGGAGGCGGATTCGACAATAAAGCCGGCCCAGCCATAGCCGTTCTGGCTGGCAGCGCCGGAGACGGGAAGGATGTCGTCAGCACCCCAGGCTCGCTCCCTGTAATTCTTGTATGCGAATCGCATGGCATCTCTGACTCGCTCAGCCTTTGGGGCGTCGGCAAGGGAGTGAGTCGCTTGACGCCATGGTTCATGCTGGATTTGCGGCCGCAGCTTAGGGTTCGGCTTGGCTGAGTCTGGACTAGCAGAGTGGAAGAAAGTCCAGAGAAGATAGAAGATCAAGATGAAGGCAGCAGCTACGAGCTTAAACGTGGTATTCGGGTTTCGTGGACGGCGGAAACGGGGCATGACTGAAAGGGAAAGGACTGAAGGAAACCATGTACAACTGGACAGACGGAACAGACGGAGCGGTGGGTGAGCAGCTCTTGCAAGACCATTGGAAGGGTCTCGATTCTATCGATACTGGAGTGGTCTGGATGCAGACGACGCTTCCATACAAGGCGGCCAGATTGCAGGTCCTACTAGTAAGTATGAGACGTCTGCGACAACGGTTAAGCAGTCAAAGTGTCTTCCAGGATCTGTGTTCGATCCAAGGACTTCGGTGCGTATGCAACTCTGATATTCTTGTTGCTCGCGCTACTTTGTTGACCGAGATTGAAATTGAATGTCGATGCTGCAGACTATGCAGGTGGGCGTTGCAGTTCCGCCCACAGACAGCGGGAAACGGCCCGCCGCATTTCCGCCCTCCTTCAGAACTCACCGCAAAGCCAGCTACAACCACACCATTCCCCCCAACTTCACCTGCTCTCTCTCCCGATCCAGCCCAAAACTATGTCTCTGTGGCAGTAAGCACCCATCTCACGCCACAACCTCCCCTCTTACCATCTAGAACCGAGCTAATCCCCACCCTCCCAGATCCTACCGCAACCTCACCCCGCGCACCCGCCTCCTCCTGGGGCTCGGCATAATGGGCTACGCAAGTGTCGCGCTCATGCTCTCGGACAAGGCGGAAGAAGCCCTTGGTATGGCGCCGACGGAGCGGGATAAGGAGGAGTTGGCAAGGGCGATGCCGAAGATACGGACCGTGGATAAAGAGGCTTGAAGAAGAGTCCTAGAAGACGAGGCGTGGATGCGATGGGTTAAGCATGGGAGGGTCGTGGAGGGTGTGGGCGGACGCCCCGGGAGGTAGGGCTGGGAGCGGGGGTTTGGTGGAGGAGCTGATTGAGCTGGCGTCCGGGCGTGGAAAAGCTAGAGGGCCTCATCTGGTGTGCTACGGGAGAACGCTGTAGTGGCTGCAAGTTCTACCACCGCAGATGGGGGCATGTTCTGACAGTGTGCTGCTGGTGGAGCGTGGTCAACCCAAGGAGACTGCATGGCGGGAGCGAATGTGAGGTAAAGGCTAGGCAAGCAGCTGATGGACAGTGTCGTATGTCACTACCTGAGACCTTTCCACCAAGCACGGGACAAAGGCAGTGCACTAGGGACGCGAAACTCGGTATGCTATGCTAGCGCTGGCTGCACGGAAGGCAATGAAAGAGGGAACACAAGAGTTCCATGCAATGTTCAAGAGCATACCGCCACAGAAGCAAGCGGTGTAGAGTTCTTCGGCATACTGAGGCAGTCAAAAGCCAGCCAAGTAAGCAATATCCAACCACGAGGGGAAGCGACCCCGACTAACCCATTCAGAACAAGGGGAAATACTAAAGCCGTGCAAGTGTCGCGCCTCAGTGGAGACTACCGCAGACAGCCCACCTCATCTTTCAAACAACACTTCCAATCTAAATCTTTCAAATCACGGGGAACCTCGATAACCCCGATGGCCCTGTGGAGGTATCGTTGAGCTTTCAGGTTTCCATGCGGACCCGCTCTAGCTGCAGCTCAGGTAGAGAGGTAGGACCTTATGACTCCGCTCTTCTGTTTCTCATAATCGGGATTGAACGCCAAACTCGAGCCCTCGGGAATTGGGACCCAAGCTGGCTCATCGTCAGCGTCTCTGACACGAGCCTTTGGGCGACCTTTGAACACAATCACTTCGCCACTCGAATCAGACTTTGTCGGCGAAGCGATCGGCGAAGTGGTTGGCGAGGTGGTCAGCGACGTCTTGGCGGCTTCGTCTCCCAGCGGGTGAGCGGGGGTGTCTGGCGAGTCCTTCGAGGGCTGGTTCGCGTGGTCCTTGTCTTCCGAGTGCGCATCCTCTTCGACTTCTTCGTGACCCTTTCCGTGAGAATTCTCCTGTTCTGCGGGCTTGCCATCCTTCACTTGGACACTACCAGCCGTGTATCGCCTGCGGAGCGCTTGCTCGCCCAGCTTCTCAAGACTCTCCAACAAGGCGAGCCGTGTTCGTGCCGACCCAGTCGTCTGCTGCGCTCCATGGGCTTCGTCAGTGAGACGGAGCTTCGAGACTCCATCAAGTTCCAGGACTGTGGTGGGTTCGAGAGGTGCAGCTGCTTTCGGTGGGGTACCAGGCGCTGGGACAGCTTCTTTAGCAGCCGCTTGTTGAACTTTCGGACCGGGCTTCTGAGGCACTGCAGCTGAGAAGCTGGGACCGTAGTTGTCGCCCGTCTCAATTACGGTCGAAGCCGTATCGGACGAGGATGAGGATGTGGTCCTGGTGTGGGATGCCTGGGATGCCGTAGAAACCGACGGAGTCGTCTGTCCACGAGACCGGCTGCTGGCGCTCTGAGTTTGCCGCCACGCACGCTCCCACGCTCCGGCCGCCGTCAGGATGTTCTCCATCACGGTATCTGCCGCCGCCGAACGGCTCTCGGAAGTCGGTGAAGGCGCTGCTTGGGCGGACGCAGGCACAAAGTTCGCTGAGAGTGGTGGAACGCGTTTCTTCGGTTCCGGTTGGTTGCTTGGGGCGACAATCGTTGACCTGCCGAACAGATTAGCTTTCCGTCTGTCTGATCTCACGCGAGGTCTGATAAAGCGCGCCTTCGGTGAGCGCGAAGGCTCCAGTGAGGTGGAAGCTCTAGAGCTGGGGCTACGCTTCAGGACAACACTTACGCCCAGGCCTTCTCTCTTGCAAGCCTTTCCTCATCGGTCATCTGAGGAGGCTGCCACACCCTTCGGCCCCCATGCTTGCTCTTTGCGTAAACGCTCATGATTCCTCGCAGTGCTGATGTCAGCAGCCTTCAAGTTTCGGGGCTTGTTGTTTGCTCCTGTCCGACTACGACGTGCGGCGGAAGATTCGCTTCCAGGTTGTTCTGAGTTGGTCTCTGATCCAGTGAAGCGACGGCTTTTGATTTCTTGCTACGCAGTCGACGTCAGATGTAGTTCCTTCTTCCAGACTGTGTGGAGTGAACTTGCGAAGTGAGAGACAAGGTCGGTCAGTGAGGTGGAAATGAGACGGTCGGTTGTCCAGGAGATTGTGATTAATACGTAAAGGCGACATGAGCAGTTTTCTGCACGTGACGGTATGAAGCCTCATATCGACGTCATGCTATTCCTTCAACGCTTCAGGTCCCTCACGATTCCTCGCCATATGAGATATCCGATAGTGGTGACTGTGAAGTTTGCTAAAGAATGGGGTCTCGGTGCCCAGGGTAATGTATTTCAAAGACCTTAGAAGTTGTGTCGGTCCGCTAACTCTGCGGTTTTGGAAAGTGTGGAGGAATGGCCCGGACAACGCGTTCCTTCAAGCGCATGACGCCTTTGTCACCTCAAAAGAGCTGCAACCTGAAGCTTCCCGCTCGCCCTGGCCCCCCCTTTTCCCGCCCCAAACACTCACTCTCCGTCAACTCAACCGGACAAATGGTCAGCTCGAGCAGATGACCGCCTGACTCAGTTCCTCATTTCGGCCTCCTCTTCTCAAGCATCCACCGCCAAAGCTCCACCTGATTATACGCCTCCGTCCAACAATCATGCGCCAACCCCTCCCACCGCGTAAACCTGACCTTCTCCACCCCATCCAGCCCCCTCTGCGCCCTCTCCAACGCACTTACCATCTTAACGCTCTCCCCAATCGGGATGATATCATCCAACTCCCCATGATGCACCCACTGCGGCACGTGCTTGATGTTCTTGGCTAGAACGCTGTCGCCCCCGCCGCAAATCGGCACGAGTGAGGCGAAGCGGTCGGGAGAGTGCAGGCCGAGAGCCCAGGTCCCGTAGCCGCCCATGCTGAAGCCTGTGACGTGGACGCGGGAAGGGTCGGCGCGGAGAAGGGGGAGGAGCTCGTCGAGGAGGGCGGAGAGGGTGTGGGCGTTCCAGCCGTAGCCGTTGTCTGGGTGGGCGTGTCAACAAAGATACCTCTCCAGGTTGCAAGCCCGGTCGTGTCGAGCGGAATGGTGGAACTCGGATGGCGGGACTAGGCTGGATGGGAAGAGAAGGAGGAATCCAAACATACCCATATCCAGCGACGGCGTTACAGTAATAAACTCCTCCGCCACAATCTCACACACCCCCGCCGGCACAGGCACAACGCTCTTATCCCCATCGTTCCTCCCACGCCCCTTATTCGGGTTCTTCCTCCTCAGCCGCGCCGCCAGCGGGATCTCAACACTCGGCTCCTTCCCATCCTTCAGCCTGTCGTAGCACAGTATGATCTTGGGCACACCGTGCCGTAGCGTCGCGTAGGACTCGTTGGGTCCGCGCTGGGACTCGCCGGCGCCGTGGAGGAAGAGGACAAGGGGCCATTGCTTGGTTGTGTCGGCGTCGTAGGAGGACGGGAGCGAGAGGAAGTAGTCGTAGCCGAAGGGCGTGGAGGTGGGAGGCTGGGTGTGGAAAGTGAAGGAGATGTTGGTGGTTTGGGCGTAGGGGTGGCCGGGGTCTTTGGCATGTGGAAGAGACATGGTTGTGGAGGGGGAAAGAGGTATGACGTAGCTCTTGCGGAGAAGCGATTGGGAGAGAGTAGGGTGTAATTCCGGGTTAACTAAGGGGATTCTGATAAGAGTAGATGCAGATGGCATTTATAAGTAGAGACAGTCGGACCAAATGGGAAAGAAATGTGAGGGACGAGAGCCCAGTCCAGAGCTAGGGTCCAGAGCTCCATTCGCCACTTACCGATGAGACACATCACTGCGAAACCTCTGCATAACTCATTCGAACGTCATGATACCGCTGAATATCAACAAGAAGCAGTCCAAGCGACGCTGTTGATATGAAAGGCGCGCTACCGTAAGAATCCTCTAGGATCCGTTTCTCGTAGCCATGAGCAGTCAAGATGTCTTCTCGTCTTACCCTTCAAACAACGTACCAGAAGTCGTGGGACACTTTTGACACGACCTCCACCGGAAAGTGTCCCACGACTTCTGGTACCACGGTGATTGCCTGTTTTGCATGTTTTTATCGCGATCAGAGTCGCTTAAGGAAGGCTTGCACGTGACTACAGAACCTCTTTTGGGCTTGCAAGCTGCACCACATCATCATACAGCCTTGCGTTATCTCGTCAGTTCTACTCGTGTATAGCTTTTCCACTTCTTTAACTATCAATGGGTCATTGCATGTTATCCTCTCACGAGTACTTTCCTGTTCTCTAGAAAGGGCACATAACTACCCCTTCCCCCGTCCTCTCATGGACGAAGACATACATGAACAGCTTCTCAGCGATGAAGCAAACTTCTCACCGAAGGAGGGGCATCGCATTGTGGAGATATATGGCGCTATTGTGAGGGCTACTCGGATCCACCGTCAAGAATTACCTTACATCCTCTGATCGTCGAACAGGATACCAAGAAAAGAGCTTTTTTAGAAAACACTATATCGGAGAAGAAAGTACAGGACTGGTTGCAGCAACCTGTATATATATCGGTCAGTAATCTTGCACAAATCAACTAAAACTGCAACAGGATACCCCAGCCACCTCACAGTCACATGTAACTCGAACGAGCGCGCCGCGGCTGGCTGGGGGTCTACGGCTGCTGTAAGAATGTACAACGTGGTTCGATTAAGCAGAAAAACTCATGAACCTAGTATATGTAGTCCTAGAGTTTTGGACAGCAATATCTGGCCTTTGCCACTCTCTAGCGGCACGCTCAAAGCCATTCTAGAGAAATGGCAGATACCGTCATTGTTTCTCAGGTCCATACGCCGCCAGATCCCCATCGCAACCTCGTTTAGACTTACTGGATCCAAAACAAAGATTGGTAAGCATCCATTCTAGTCGATATGGACCCGTATGCAGGCTCAAATCCCGAAAGGGCTGCTCCTGCGTACGAATCTGAGCGGGCCTTGGCAATACAGCCTCGCAGCGATTCACGACTCTACCACCAATATTACCAATGCTATAGTGCTCGGCCTTCGCAGCGACGAGGTCGAGATGCTCTTGCAGTCTCTGAGAGATTCTCCACATCCCTCAGGCTATCATATGCTCCTCCCCTGTTTAATAATGGACAAAGCCGTCGATACAGTTACGCGTGACGCCGAAGACCGCCGCAACAGTCTGCTGCAGATACGCTATGCAACCGGCTCTCATGGTTTCGGCAACGTTGACAAGCCGAGCTTGACCGATGACCGCGATGATCTCGACTTGGACGATATCACGAGAGATTTGACTGCTCTGTCTGATGCTTGTGCAGGTATTGCTGCTGTGTGCAAGACCCAGTTTCGCTTCATTGATGCCATAAAAAGTATGGAGCTGAGCGTCGAGCCAGGAAAAGCTCCACAGAATGAGGAAGAAACTGAACTCCTGGAGGCCTGTCACCAGCGATTGGGGTTTATTGCGCAACTGTTGCAGGGGATTGAATCAAAAGTCATGTATACGAACGCTTCCGCGCAAGGGCAGATACAAACGGTATAGTCGATCAATTTGGAGAGACAATATGGCCCGTCCTAACAGCTCTTTCGATCAGATGTATTGCCTCATAGGCCAGAAAGACAGCCGTCTACATATTGAATCCGCAGATGCTTCGCGGGAGATTGCGGACCAGAGCCGTAAGATTGCCGTTCTTACACGTCGCGATAGTACGGATATGCGAATTATTGCGGCTGTAACTCTTTTGTTCCTCCCCCCGACTTTTACAGCGGTCAGTAGAGCGCCCCCAATAGTAATTCCAAGTATACACGACACTAATGTAGCAAAGACCTTATTCTCCTCTTCCTTTTTCAACTTCCAGCCATCTGCACCTTCAGTCGTCTCCCGCTGGATTTGGCTTTATTGGACAGTCGCTACCGTTCTGACCCTTCTTGTACTGTCCGCCTGGTTGGTTTTCTCTCGGAACCAGAATCGCAAGACACTCGAAGCGTATCGGCGTGAGAGCCGGCGCGAAGACTCCATGATACGAGTGTCCAGGGTTAGGTTCACGCAAAAAAGTGGAGTTCGGACGATGGCTTTGCGACAGTATCTGTCGGGTAGTGTGACCACACCGGCATGGAGCCAACAGGGTGAGTCGCTCCTACCATCGAGCAATCTGTAGCACGCCCAGTATTCTGAAAACGCAGTAGCCGAGACGGACAATGTTTTCCAAAGGGAAGTGGAGTTGCGAGACATCTCGCCGAAGCGGACGCAGTGGTGAGATGGAGAAGTGGCTTCAAGCCCGATTATTTGTCTTACACAATCGCTGCTTGAGCGAGAACCTGGCGTGTCGAGATGCCTATGAGCTAACGTTGATGCCGGGGCTGTCTCGACAACCAGCTAAACTCCTGCTCGCAAGAGTATGGTAGTAGGAAGTATTTGAGTTGAAAAGCCCTCTTACGTCTCTTCTCGTAGGATTATAGTGCTTACATGTAAAGCTGTTGACATTTCGGTAGTATTGGAAGTATTCTCAGCAACGTGTTTGGTAGGCGAATTGGCCTTGTCTCTATGCACTAGTTCCGTGGAATCGTAATTGCTTATGGAATGAGTAGGTTTGGAGGTTCTGGTTGATGCAGGAGACGCCGTTTGCTCCGTATTCCCATCGGGCCGATCGTGTGCGAGGTGGTGAGAGTCGCTTGACTTACACCGGTGTTAAGGTAGACAATGGCAGAATGGCATCATGTACTCTTCATAGCGAATAAGGTAGTGCTGTGGAACGGATGCACGGTGAGCAGGAAAGTCAGAACGCTTGGGCATCAGCGTGACTTGTTCCATCGCTGCCTGACAGCATCGTAAGGCATCTCTACAACCTCCGAGCATGGGCGGGATATTACATAATGTAGCAACAGTAGGTCAATCTAATTCTCATACTACGAATAAATTCTATGACCGCAGCGGGGCTTGCTTAACGCCCACTACACGGTCCGCATCAAGCAGCACAGACTGAGTGCATTTCATCTCATCAGCGATCATGAGCCATCACATCTTACTTTTCCCCTTACTCCCTTGCACCTGACCGTTCGTCAGCCCGCATGCCCTCTCAGCAGCAGGAACCACCTAGCTCTTCTGTACCTTCTCGACAACTTCAACAACCCGCTTGAACAGCGGATGATCCTCCTCCAGCCCGGTGATCTTGCTCGTCGCGGCCTTGGCATCGTGCTCCTTGAGGGTCTTAGCCAGCTCCTCAGACTCCTCGTCGCCCGGGACGTTCTGGAAGCGGAACGCCATCTCCATAGCATTGACGAGGTTGTCGACCGACTCGCCCATCTCAGCGAGCGCCGCGGCGGGGCCGACGAAGCGCTCCTTGCGCGACAGCTTGCGCAGCGGTGCGCGACCCACGCGTGCAACGTCGTCCTTGAGCGCCGGGTTCGAGATGCGCTTGACGATCTTCTCGACGTAGTCGTTTTGCTCCTCGGTGCTGATGCCGTGCTTCTTGACGATGAGGCTGGCCGTCTCCTTGAGCGTGTTGCGCACAATGTCGTGGATCTCCTTGTCGGCCACGCTCTCGTGCACGTATTGCTTGCCGCGGTTGTAGCCAGTGTAAGCCGCCGTCGCGTGGCCCGTGTTGACGGTGAAGAGCTTGCGCTCGATGTACGGCTGCAGGTCGTCGACGAAGTGCACGCCTTCAATCTGCGGGCGCTGCATCCCCTCGAACGGCTTCAGCTCCACGCACCATTCGAAGAACTTCTCGATCTTGACGTCCATGCCGGCGTCGGGCTCTTGCTGGGGCACGATGCGGTCGATGGCGGAGTTGGCGAAGCGCGCTTTGCTGTCGATGTTCTTCTTCGTCTCGTCCGAGAGCTTGCCCTCGATGAAGCCGCGGAGGCTGTCGGTGGCGCCAATCATGTTCTCGCAGGCGATGACCGCGATCGGGTAGTCGAGCTTGCGGTTCTCAATACCCTTAGCGATGACCGGAGCGATGAACTTCAGGATGTTGGGTCCAACGGCACAGGTCACAGTGTCCGCGGTGGCGATCTCCTCGATGACATCAGCCTCGTTGTATTTGCTGTTGATGGCCCGGTAGTGGTCAATGGTGAAGGTCTTCTCGCCCTCGTCGCTAATCTCGGTGACCGTGTAGCTGGGGGCGTCCTGGAGAGCCTTGATGAGGTTGTCCATCACATCGACGAAGACGACTTCGTAGCCGGATTTGTGAAGAAATTCGGCAACCTGCGGATCGTGTAAGTGTATGACGTTGTACTGCAAGGGGCCTCCACTTACGAAGCCGCGACCGATGTTCCCACCGCCGAAGTGTACTGATTTCTTCTCGAAAGACATGGTGGCCGGGGAAGTTCTCTGAGTTCTGGGCTGGATCTGAGTGACCGGTGCAAAGCGGGACGGTTCAAGGTGGGGCAGTCGAGCTGTCACGAAGCTTGAATGTCAGCATCAACTGCTCACAGCAAGCCAAACGAGACGACAAGCTGTTAGGTAGCTATCGAGAGGACATACTTGCTGATACTGGTTGCTGGATTCAAAAGAGCACAATGGTTGTGGAAGAAGAAAAGAATTGGAAGGTGGAAAAGGCGGGGTGATTTTGTATGAGCTGGCTCTGCGAGACCCTTGAACCGTGCCCCGCGCGAATGGCCGCAGTTAACCCGTATTATTGGACGCCGCACCAGCTGCTGCTCGAGAGAGTCCAGATCCGCCACGCAGACGGCTGAAGACCCTGTAGATCGGACTAGTTTGTCTGAAGTGCGACTAAAGAACTGTGACCCTGCGAATACAGAAAAGTTGCCATCGACGAAATTGATATACACATGTTATCTGAGACGAGTCCTCCAGCAAGCCATATCATATTGACCAGACGCATCTGTACAGCATCAACACTTACAGCCCTTGTGGTTGAGGCTCAGAGAGCCAATGACGAAGGCCATTCAATCACAACCATGGATGACACATAGCTGCGGTGTACAGATAGCTCTCCCGATTTCGGACCATGGGTAGCTCAAGCCACCCCGCGTGATGCTAATCCTCACCGCTCAAACTCCGCCCATGGGGTATATATACCATCTATCAGTCCGTGCCTTGGCCCAGGAATAGCATTACAACGTACACAGCCCAATACCGACAAGCCGAATGAAGCGAAAAAAGAGAACGCCGTGTACAAGTGCAAACCTATTGGATCAAGCGTGGATGGCCTGCTGGACCTTCGGGTAGACAGCAATCATCCGGGCATACAGATCCGGATGATCTCTCATCAGAACCTCCGGATCCCACGCACTTGCCACCATGATGGTCTCCACGCCGCTGCTCAATGGCGTGGTGAAGATGTTGCAGATCTGCAGGCCGATCAGGAAGGCAAAGGCGACGACGACGGGCGTGAAGCTGCCGTCTCGGTTGTATTCTGGCCCGGTGAAGAGGAGGTAGAGGTAGGCGAGCAGGGCACAAGCGTAGGCGATGAAAGTGGCGCCCTGAGATTTTGTCAGCAACATAACTGTAGCAGTTTCCGCACGCGTTTAACGAACCATTGTGAGCACCGGGCCTATCAATAGCTCGTTTACAAGGGCGTCGATACCGCGCTGTGTCAACATCCTGAGCTCAGGTCAGCAAACGCGCGAATCTTGACGTTTCCGGGCTCGAACGAAGCTACTCACTTCCAAGTGTCCTTTGCAGCCTTGATATAAGGCTTTCCGTACAGCGCGATGTGACAGAAAGCATAGCGATTGACAAACTGCACAGCCCATTGCAGCACCGCAATGAGGCACCCTAGTACGCAAAAAGCGATATACCCGACCATATTCCCCTGCATGCCCTCCGACCTCTGCGCAACCGAGCACGCCTGCCTAAGCATATTGATGATAGCCACCAGCAAGCTTCCCAAGCTTATACTGCCAAAGCTGTACGTCGTCGCCCGCCTGAACGCGCCGCGCGTGGCGTTGCTGGGGAAGTTGTGCGAGCAGAAATACCAGGACCCGTAGACGCCTGCGATGGTGGTGTGGATGGTATTCTTGATCCATTCGGAGATCCAGTACATGGCGAAGGTGATGAAGACGATGAGGCCGATGACGGTGGCTCTACTACAGCTACCAACGCCAGTGGAGCAGGCGGGGTTGGAGCCGGGCGAGAAGTTTACGTAGACGGCCACGAGCGTTACGGAGTACCAGGCGCCTGTTGTTGGTAGTGTCAGCAACTGAATCCTGCAGCGACGGAACTGTGTAACCTTGACAGATGTCTGGGAACCTACCGAAAGCTGTTGCAACAATCCCTCCGATCAACGATACGAGGTATACGTGGCCGAACTTCTTGGACACGTCGATGCTCGTTTGCAGCATGAGGACGCTGAAAGGGATGCGCGGGATCCATGAAATGAAGCAGATGATGGTGAAGATGGAGAAAATTAGGAAGACAATCCCGCCTGACCAGTACCTCCTCGACAACATGTACAAGGCCGTAACAAGCCCGAATATGATGTTGAGTATCCCCGTAATCCATATGAACTGCTTGGTGAATGCGCGGGCCAGCCACATGTAGCCATAGCTCAGGACGAAGGCCACAAGCAGGCAGAAAACGAAGAGCACAAGAGTGTTCGTATCCAGGCCGAACGTGTTCCTGCTGTCGTAAATACCGCCGCCATTGAAGCCCTTCGTCAGGGCGTAGCCGCGAATTGATATTGCGGAGACGGCGACGAAGCCAATGAAGACGAGGATGAGTAGAATGCCAGCCCAGATGTCGTGGTATTTCGGGCCTTGCAGCTTGAACGCCTGCTCGAACGACGGCTTCTCGCCATTGGCAACTGTGTAGCCTTCTTCTGTTCCATTGCTGTACTTTTGTCCGTACTGGGGCGGCGCTTGTCCGAATTGTTGACCGTTTGGTGGAGGACCCTGCGGCGCAGAATACTGGGTTTTGCTGGACTGGTCGTAATAATCTGCGGCGGCACCGCGTGGTGCTCCTGACATGGCGGAGTGAATCGAATACTCGCTTTGAGGTAGATTGCAGAGGTGATAGGTGTATGATGATGTTGAGGCTTTCGAGGGAGCAAAGATAAATGAATCGTTGGCGCAGGGCGGGATGAGGAGGTGCCTCCGGACGGCAGATCGAAAAGTCAGATTCCCGCTGGCGACGTCATGCCAATCATGCAATGCAATCACGCCAATCTCCCGGCAGATCGCTTGGCCCAACCTTCCCTTGCGAACCGTGGAAAGTTCCCGTCTTGAAGGCTTGGCTTTCAACGGCATCGCTCAGATCCAGAGCCTCCTCTTACCGCATAGTTGAGTATCTGCTTACTACAAAGCCACTTGAACTGAGCAAGCTGAAGGATGGAGGCCTACGTCTGTTCACAGAGTCGCCGGTGATGCCTCGTACAAGTCAACAGCCAAACAACAACAAAAGCCATATCCTGAACCCCCCTGATACTCAACCCTGAATCACTACTAAAAGCACAGCGCGATCATTGCAAAATCCTAAGGTTAGCACTCGGTCTGACGAGCCGCGAATACTATTGCTAGTTGTCCTGGCCCTAGGAGAGTTTTCCAATCTGAAGTCTACAAGCACCGTGTTCGGAGCTCGGTTTTCTAGCGACTTACGCCAGGTCTTCCTCGTGGACTTAGATTCTGAGTCTCTTCTCATTCTCAGTCACAGTCATTTTCACAACCCTTTTGCTGTTATGTCTGGTAGGTTTGTTTTCAGCATTCAGGTTTGCAGTGATGAGTCCGCCTACCCAGCTACGATACCAGGCCTCGCTTTTCGTTTCAGTCAGTCACCAATATCTCGGTTGCGACTTGCGTGATTCAGCTCATCTCAGCTCGATCTTTCAAGTTCATGCGCAAAACTTTTGAGTCCGACGCGCTACGAGCCTTCGGTTGACGAACCGCGAACGTGTCATGGTACCTCCACGTGACCCAGTCTATGACGCCTCTTCTTGGGCGAGGGCTTGGCACCTCGCGCGGGTATCTCGAGGTTTAAGCAGCCTTAGATGTATACAACATCTTCGTGTGTTATATCTTGTCTGAATTACAAACCAAGATCCTTCAAATCCCGAGAAGCAGCGCTCTGCAATATCTCTCGTACCTTTGGTCAGCACAACGTCCGAAAGATCAAACATGACTTCTACAGTCCACCATTCACTTCTAGGATCGATCAAAGGCATCAATGTCGGCGCATTGACTCAATTCCGGGGCCTGCCTTATGCACATATCTCCCAACGATTTGGAAGATCGACGACTGCGAAGAAGCTACAGCCTCAAAACTCGGCGGAGAAAGTAAGCACGGTCTTCATTCAAGCTTTAGCTGGCTCCACTTCGCATCCAAGGGCCTCCCGAGCTCTCTCTTAAACGCCTGGAGAGGTGCGGCTATGCTTTCAACCCTATCAGAGGACACCATACCTCCTTGGCCGTTGTCGGGAGACCATCCTTGTCTTGGACACATCTTGCCCTGAATGCTTACGGGAGGATCTACTTATGTTTGTTTTGACCCGACATTGACTGAAAAACAGGCATTCGATGCAACCCGGGATGGACCGTCGAGCATACAGCCTCTAGGGAGCGCGAAGATGGATGCCGAGTCCAACCAGTTCCCTACTGACGGCTTGCCCGAGGAGGACCACCAGGATGAAGACTGTCTCAACCTTACCGTCACTGTCCCGAAAGACCACCTCCATCGGGACACCAAACTGCCCGTCCTTCTGTTTCTCCATGGTGGGGCGTTCTTCTTGGGAGCCCATACACGACCGTGCTACTCGCCGCTCACCTTCTGTACGCAAGCACTGGAAGCGTCCAAGCCTCTAGTATTCGTGGCCGCCAACTACCGACTGGGTGCACTAGGTTTCTTTCACAGTTCAGAAGCTTTCAACCTCATTCCACCCAACAACGGCTTGCACGACCAACTGCGGTGCTTCGAGTGGATCCGTAATAACATTGCAGATTTCAACGGTGATCCGGAAAACATTACAGCCATAGGCCAGTCAGCCGGAGGAGAGAGTCTGAGTCTGCACAACATCAGTGGCAATCCAACGCCTCTGTACAAGCGCAGCATCATCTTTGCCGGCAGCCCGGTGACGATGCCCTCTAAGACGCCGCAGCAGCACCAGGACAACATCTTGGAACAGGCTCAGAAACTCGACATCCCCACTTCAGACCGCTCCAGTGAGGACATCGCGAAAGACATGATCAACATCGATGTGGCTAAGATCCGAGACCTGAGCTTCGTCGGAGCTCCATGCAGCAGCAGCGAGATTCTTCCGTATGATAAACCGACCATGCTGCTGACGCGGAAGCAACCGAAGACGCAGGTGCCGTGGCTGGAGGCTCAGATTGTCGGCTCGGCTACTTTCGACGGAGCTATCTCATACAACATGATGTCCAAAGACCCATCGCGCAAGGATCACGCTACGTCTTTCATCGGCATATCTAAGGATGTTCTGAAGGAGCCTCAGGCGCTGCTGGACCTCTATGGGATCACGGCGGACGACGCAGACGATGTAGCACTCAGAAAGATCTGTCAGTTTGAGTCAGACATAGGGTTCTTTGCTGGCGCTCTCAGCGAAGCCCTGGGCGCAGAGTCCAGCCGCACAAATACATACTTCAGTCTCTTCGATCTAGGTAATCCATTCGATGGACCGCTCGAGAAAGGCAAGTTCGCCACCCACACGTGGGATATTGTAGCCCTTCTAGGTGCATACGAGGACCGCTTGAGCCAGGACTACAAGATGCACATCCGAGACTGGAGGTCTAAGATCGTTGATTTCGTGTACGGTCAGCAGCCCTGGGCTAAGTGGGACACCAAGGAGGGGAAGGCTTTTGTCATCAGTAACGACGGGACGCGAATGGAAGGAAACCGGGGCTACCTTGAAGGAATCCGGCGTGGAAGGCTGTTGAAAATTGCGGAGAAGGAGGTGGGAGAGGAAGGCTGGGATCTGCTGTGGGAAGGGGTCTGTCGACGGTTCTTAATGAGTGGGAAGTGAGATACATACGAGCAGTGAAGCGAAGCTTCGAATATACCGTCATGAGATCACCGTGCGATACATTGTTGTAGCGTCAATCTCTTGCACACGTCTCACAGACACGCCACACCCGTGCGGCGCACTTCTAGATTGCGGATGGTCTTGAACGCGCGTTGTAGAACAACCTCTATATTAGTGCCTACATGGAACACATCATCAGACGCAATATCTGGCCGGTAACCTAGAACAGTTTCGTGGAACTCGGTCGACTGCGTTGCGCAACTTTTCCAACATGGAGTGCCTAAGAATGAATCACGTGACCGAACAGACTCTAATCCCCTTCACGCTCCCAGCACAAACCATTGTGAGTACCCACCCTCTGGAACGAAGCCACAGCATTCGCCATGTATATCAGCTAAGAGCTGTCTTATGTATTCGAGCTCTCGTCTCGACAGCTCTTTAACAGCAACATTCGGGCCTATCCTGAAGCACAAAGTACCTCAAATCATCATCAACGCTGCTTCGCAAAATGAATGACGGCCCAGTAATACGATCGCGCTACTAAGCAAGCTCCAAATAGGTATTTAAGAAACAAAGGTGTTTTTGCTCGTATATTAGAATCTAGAGAGAACAATATCATAGCGATTAATACTCATTTAATAATCCTATCTTCTATAGAGATAAAAGGGAAACACCTTCTAAAGTAAGATAATCATTCCTGCTAGCATTCGGAATAATCAAATATGCCCTAATCTTCAGTCGGAGGGTCAAAACGTCCACCCTGATCGATAAGTGGCCCAGCGCACAGAACGCTAAACAAGACCTCCATTGCAGCCCATGTGTAGGAGTCTGCATTCGTCCTCGTCAGATCAGGATTGTTTACGAAAAGATCTCGGACGGACTTCGGGCCATATCCATCTTCCCGATCGAAGATATAGTCGTTGCCGGGGCCTAGTTCAGTTATTGGTGTCGTGGAGAAAGCAGCCGACGAGACTAGGTTGAAGTGCATTATCTCGTGGAAGATTGTCGAGCCAATGAAATCCATTTCGTCGGTGACCTTGTATCTGCCGTCGAACTTGAAGCTTTCGCATGTGAGATCCGTGATCCGTGGTACGGGTCCGCTTTCGTCGGCGTCGAAGACTTCATTGAATGTCCTGTCGCAGAAGTAGGCTTGAGCGTATTCGTAGGGTGGCACAGTATCTGTCACCTCATTGTCTGTGTATCCGTCTGCCCCCTCTGCGCAGAGGTCGTTGTCTGTCCCTGCGTTCCGGTCGACATTGGCGATTAGGAATCTACTAAGGACGGGATCGCCAACCGTCACATCCTGACGTGAGATAGTGAGATCAGTTTGCGCTCGAACGATACAAGGGATGGAAATTGCTCTGCTTGATTACAACGGGAGAAGAAAGAACAAGAATTGAGTGTACTCACCTGATCGGAGATGATGCGCTGGTATACCTTGATGACTTCGGGAATCCAGTCTTCTGGGAAGTACTTCCTATAGATGTCCCGCATAGTATCTGCAAAGATTACAGCAGTCGCGGCGAGCTGGTATACGTCGCTGAATGCTGCTTGAAGAGCGTCCCTCTTTGTGACGGCGTCCTCATCACTTGGATCGAATACAAGAAGTGGGGGATCGGTGCGCTTCGCGAGGTGAACGAGTGCAGGTGTCGGGGCTTTTGGCAAGCACCATGCAGCGCTGACCAGCGCAGCGATACAATAGATAGACTTCATGATTGTTTAGATTGTTAGGAAAAGTCCCTAATGAGAGGACTGAATGAGGGAACAGTACTGCTGAGAAGACCATCCCAGGTGGAGGAGAACCATCTTTTTTATCCCCTCTCAGTGACACCACTCTCCACAGCCTCACGGAGGATGCGCAGCTCTTCATCACCGCAGTGTGTGTTGGTGGGAGACATGGCAGCAACTTGGATGAAACAGTTCGGGAGCGCGATGGATTCGCAAAACAAGATATCCATAGTTATGAAGGACACTAGGCTAGAAGTCTGCCTTATACGCACCGGGTAGAGTGAGTGAATGAAGTGGACAATTACAGCTCAGCGCGCAGGAAAAGGACCGTCTAGACGAGAATACTACATGCCGTAGCTTTGTTGGTGTGGAGACGTCCAACATTAGGACCGTTTGCGGACAACTGCTAATAGGTTAAGAGTTCGCGCGCGACAAGATGAAGTTATAAGAGGAATCCTGAGCCTCGCCGCATCTGCTTTGAATGATGAAAAAATTGCAGCAAGTAGTAGGGTAAGAGGCACGGTTTGTCTCAAGTGCCGCATGATCCAACCAGTATTGGGCGTAACGGTTGGCAGGCGTCTAAGCCCAGCTCCAGGGTTGGAATCGCGGGCATATCTACTGTACTCGTGCTTCCCGCTGTGCCGCTTCCAAGGTCTGCAAGACTTCTTCAGGTGCTCCTTCAGGCAGAGCGGCACAGTACTGGGGCTTGTCCGTGTAGCTTGTTTCAGCCTCATCACGTCATTCAGTAGGATTCAGCAGGATTGGCAAGTCAGGTGTCGTAGAGAGCTGTTTCCTGCATTTCATGCAGTTTCCTTGCCTCCGAATATACCGCTCTTCCGTTTTGCTCAGGCTTTCCCAGTCACTGTATCCAACTCACCTGGGCAATTATGGACCCGGAGTCCCTTCGCTCCGAGCTATCTTCCTCTATACCACCGGCACCAACAGTACCAACCACCCCCTCCATAACCATCTCCCTAACCCTATCCACCACCTCTCCACCTTTCACCTCCTCCACCCCGCCCCAACTCACCACAGCCCTCCATCTCCACAACTCCACCTCCCCCCTCACAATCCGCGTGCGCGGAACCTCTCTCGTCCGCCCCCTGCACTGTACTGTCCTCATCGACGCCGCCACCGGCGAAGTCCGGAATCCCAAATCAGCTAGTGGGCAATTCAGAGGCCATTCCTTGCGCTTCTGCCGGGCGAACAAGGACGGCTTCCTCACTTTGTACCCCGGCAAGCCGCATAGCGTTACGTGCAGTTTCAGGTCCGAGGGCGCCAGACCGGGGGTCACGCCTCAGGACGCTCTGCGTAAAGCGGCTAGAGGTGTCTCGCTAGAGACGCTCAATGCCGCGATGAATAACGACCCCAATGCCATGGAGCTTATGGTAGATGCTAGTCGTACTTCAATGGGGCCATTCGGAATGGACGGGTGTGTGGTAGGGAGGGACTATGTGTTGAGGGTTAAGGAGAAGATGAGCGTGGGGTGGTGGCGGTACGGGGAGCTTGAAGAGTTGTTAAGCTTGTCCGAGGAGATGGTGAGGGAGAGGGAAGCGGGATGGGAGAGGGAGGGGAGCCAGGTCGGGAGAGGAGAGAAGCGTGAGGGGTTGGCTTCTGAGGGGGCCCGTTTGGTGGTGGGTGTGGAGGAAGGGAAAGGGGAGGTGACTTTCAGGGCCGTAGACTAGGAGGAAACTGAAAAAGAAGGTTGAGGGTCGTTGTTATACCGAATGGGCATTGTTAGGGCTGGTTGTGGAGAGCGATCTTGGCAAAGCACGTGACCAACCGCATTGAGGCGTGTAAATCTCGCCATGATAATCCGCACCCAGAACTCTTGAGGAAACTGAAAGCACCACCAGTACAGTAAGCAGAGAGTTCCTATAGAACTTTGACGCCAAAGTCTGAATTGCCAATGCGCGGCGCCGGTGGAGACCAGTACGATGCCAACCCCAAGCCCTCTTTTTCTCTCCTCCTTGCCCGTCCACTCCCTTCCACCTTTCCCCTTACAATCGTCACCAAGCTTATATTCCCCAACTACCGCTTCGACAGCGCTCAAATTGACGAAAACATCAACCTCCCAGATCTTCCTCGGCTGTCTCGTCCGCGTATTCCCATTCCCATCTAGGACCGGCTGCTCCGGGAATACGTCAACGATGCGCCGTACCTCCTCGCGCGGCACGTCGTGGATGACGTAGACGCGTGACTCGGCGTGCGCGCGGCCTCCGAGGTTCATGCAGAGGTCTTTGAGGCGGGGGTCGTGCTGGAAGCGGAAGAAGGCGTCAATCTCAGGGGATAGTTGGGAGGTTGTTGGGGGTCTAGGAGGTTGTGTTGTGCGGGGTTTGGGTGATGACGGTGGTGGTGAGCATGGTGATGGTGGTGTGGAGGAAGATTCGGAGGTAGAGGTCCGTTGCCTTGGACGTGCTGTTGTTTTCGTTGCTGTTGTCGTTGAAGCTACTGCGCCAGCTGCGGTGGGAAGAAGTTGAGCGGCAGGTTCCCCAGCGGCAACTGGGCTTGCTGCCCACCCTGCTGTCCGTTTCCGCCGCCGTTCTGCTGCGCTGTGAGCACGCCAATCTGCGGCAGTACATAGTAGTCCGGTACAGAAGCACCAGGGATCTTAGGTGTGGGAGGTTAGGCTGTAGGCTCCGATGCTTGTCGGCAGAACCCAGGTACGCGGTCCATAGCCGGGTGCCCTTATCCCGGATGCGTAGGAAGATGTCGGTTATCCCTTCGGAGTCCGTGGAGGTTACGACGCGGAACATCATTACGTCGGTAGGATGCGAGAATAGGAAGCGAGGGGTGTAGCCTTAGCGTAGATGTCGCGGCAGGTGCGGAGGAGGGAAGGTGTGATGTTTAGCGCTTAATGAGCGCACTAGATATCATTGGTGGCTGTGATGATATAGGTGTATACATTCTCGCGAAGCTTGCGCGGTAGACGGAAGAGAGGACTTGGGGGTGCTATAAGAGGTTGTTTGGCCATGTTGAACGGTTCTGGCGAGTTCATTATAATTGTATTGCCGTCGGCTTCGGGTTCCGATGGCATTGGTCTCGATTGCGTTTCCTTGCTTGAGCGTTGAAGTGGTGCAGGTGCCATTGCTATGGGTAGTTATATCTGGGTGAAGCGTATATAAAGGATGTCAAGGAGAGATGGGATGCAAGGCTCTAATTAGTAAGCCGTCCCTTGACGACTTCACCTTCCGTAAGGTAACGGTGTCGTTCGTTCTCAGCAAGTTGTTCGGTTTCTAGAGATGCCAATCCTATAGCTTCAGCTAATTTTTTATTAATGGCGGACATAGTGGGAAGCCACAAGGGCGTGAAGCGAGGGGATGAAGGGGGTTCCGATAGGCAAGAGAATGTACTATTAGAGGTGGACGAGTCCTAAGCTTCCGATCCACGGGATACAATCTTTGCGCTGCTTAACCTGTTGAAGAGACATGTCAGATAGATAGGCTGCCGCTAAATATGCGCCCAGATTACGTGGAACCTGCGACTAAAGTCTACACCGAGTTTACCCGCGGACTGATTAAATAATACGGCTCATTAGATATTCTTTCGCTTGTTAATATTGATACCCAGCCCAGGTTTTGCCCTAGCTCCCCTCTTGCAGGTCTTCCAACGTGGGTTCCCAACTGTCATGAGCCGCTTTCCACCCTTAGCATCAGCGGGTGAGTAGAAGTCTTCCGCGCTTCTGCACAGACTCACGTAGTCGCGCATCCCTCTACGCTGCAAGCATTTTGACATATCCGAGGTATCCGGTTTAACAAGGTGGCGAGTATGTTGCCTAGCGTCCAATATAGCTGGAACGAGCTTGTCCAAATGGCCTTCAACGGATCGTTGCATGATGTGCTGCTTCCACTGTGGTTATTTGCAGTTTAACATGTATCCACGCTCTCTCCCACCGAAGAGGACGTTTTAGAAATATTCATCCAGACTCTGATTTGCGATCTCGAAGTATTTGACGAATATGAGACATAATGTTGGAGCAGATGGTCCGGCGTTGCAGCCTGCGAATAGTTAAGCTTTGCTGCATCTCGAACCTCGACATGCACGTCTTCTCGAGCAGAGTGTTCGTGCTATCTTAACTTTGCAAGGACTGAGGAGGTACTCGGCCAAGTGATCGATGGCGTACCAACTTTCGACAATACTGTTCGTGTCGCCATGTATACCCGGGGATACGGCATTGAGAGGACCCGTAAAAAAACTAGTGAAGCCTTAGTTGGAATGTTTCGGGCATTCCGGAACAAGTTACAGCTAGACACGCTTTTATTGGACGCAAAGGTTAGACACTCCGCTATATTCTCTCGCCGACCATGCTGATCAAGGCTATATATAAACCGTCAAGGCTGCACGAGGCTACCAGAACTCAGCTCTGAGCTCTCATGAGTTCAAACCGTGTCTTGTGGAGCTCATCGCAATGATTGTTTATAACCTCGCGGTCGAAATCTTCAGCAACTTTCACATTTTGGATCTTGAACCTCCAATGGCACCTACGAAGTTATACCACCCACAGTATTAGAACTGGATGCAATAGCGACAAAGAGCGCATGAGATCGTGGGTTATAAGGTCAAAGCCCAGATATTCAGAGGCGTTATGACCTTTGACCGAGGCAGTTCATGGGACGAAGTATGTACAAGTCCCTCATACCTCACCTATGCGGCTTCGAGAGTACCGGGTCCTTCATGGCCAAACTGAGACTATCGTGCCCCTGTATCTAGGAATACATCCATGCATCCCTGACAGGAAGGCTCTTTAAGCTTTCCGAGCACCAGCTTGAGCAATTTTTGACGCTCGGAAAGGCTAAAAGTCGACAGCCATGTAATGGGCTGCTCCCCTTCACTCCAGAATTAGATGCGCAGACTGTAGGGAGCTGAGATCCGCTACAACAAAACATCATTCGAAACAAGTATGACCGTAGCCTGGCAGTTGGGGTGACGGACCGTCATGCTGGTATCTCACGCAAGATGGAAGACTGTCTTGACATCATCGAATACATGAACCGTCATCGAGCTTCAGAGACATGGCCGCGTCAAGGACCTGGTAGCTGACCTGTGAGCAGTTGTTGTTGCTAGGGTCAACTGCATTTGCATTCATCGCGCTCTTTTCTGCGTATGTTCCGAATGCAGAAACTGGAGGAGTGAAAGCAGAAGCAGACGCATTGTTCTTGTTCCGGTCAACCTTTCCCGCGCTTTTCTACCTTCCGCAATGCGCGATTACACAGGTTTCTAGGGTAAAGTCCGCTCTAGCATTGCCGTCACTGACAGTGCATAAGATTGGATGTGCTTGAGGAATTGACGCGTCTGCGGACTGGGTCGTCGCCTGGACCAAGGCAATCGGGCCGGGAATTCAATAACATTAATACCACGCCTTACAGCAATAGCTGTGGCTGTTACTATCCGGATACCAGTACTAAGGGTGCTGGCTGTTGCTTTAGCCGCGATGACTTTGGAGACCCTCCGACTATATCGCTAGAGTGTCTTCTAGGCTGTTGTTCTCGGGAAATGTAGAGGTGCTTGATCATTGCTACAATAACTGATGGCAGCTTGTTTCTGAACCCTTGGAATCCCGACAACCACCTACCCAAGCTAAATAAACAGTATCATACAACAGGGACTAAGTTCTGATTGCAGGTGGGAAGGGTTTGGAAACGCCAAGAGCCCAAGAGGTCAATGGCTTGACAGCTGAACATCGTGGGCCCTGAATTCTGCTCAGCTTACTCTTTATCACGAGCTTTTGAATTTACAGCGCGACCACTCTGCAACCACATATACCCTGTCGGGCTCGAGAAACCTCCACACCGTCCCGCGAACTAGCTCAGACTGGACAAGAGCGTTCAGCTTCCACGTGGTAGCCATGCTCGAAGACGTAACAGATTACCTCTTATCCAACGGTGTAGCTGACACAAGTGGTGCAGGCAAGTCCCAGAGGGTAAGCTATCCTTCAAACGTTGATGACTGCAGCTGTGGCTTTTGGATTGTCTGGTTAACGATTCGTGAAACCGTAGCCTATATAGTAAAGCTGAACCTCTCAACCAAAAACCTCAAAAACTGTCTCAAGCCCTCGACACTGCCGAACTGCCACGTCTCAGTCAATAAGTCATATACGACTATCGTCAATCGAAATGTCGTTCCCCACGAAGCCTTGCTATATCAGATACCTCGACAACGGCTGGGAGAAGTCGCGCGAGCACCCAGTCATGGCCTGGCACGAGAAATACTGCAACCTCGTTGACTCGCGCGCCTTCGACACGCCCTACTCAGACTGGCACACCGACGACTTCACGCTGCACAAAGCCGACGGCACGGTCGTCAAGGGCGGCAAAGAGGCCTAGGAAGCCTTTGCCGATATCTATCGCCCATTTGCCGCAAACCTTCATGACCCGGTCTTCCCGATCTGCTGGGAGACGGAGGATGGTTGGGAGATGATGGGCTGGGCGTATGTGTGCATTGATCTTCCTGTGGCGGGAGACCAGCCGAAAGTGAAGGATAGGTATGGGAAGGAGTGGGACGTGATCATACCGGGCGCGTTCAAGTTTGAGTATGTGAAGGATCCGAGCGCGAAGCATGATGGGATCAAGTTCAAGAAGATGGAAATATTCTATGATACCGGACCTGCTCTCAAGAAAATGCTCCAGAGGGGGATGATCAAGCCTGAAGAGCTGATGCAGTAGCTGATTGAAGGTGGATCGTCGGTTTGATGAGTTTTGTGGCGGTTTTTCTGCGTTTATTATTGTGACATGTGATTTGTCCGTCTTTGCAACTGTCTGCATGCTATCCTTCTATCTCAAACATAGTCTATGCATTCACGTCTCTGCAAAGGTTATTTTCACAACCTACAACTATCGTACATCCTAAGAACAGTAGTAGCTACTCTCTTCACCTTCAACTCCCAAATTATTACAAAACAACTAATTAGTCTGGTGCATGCATTCAACCTCGCACCGATTACTATTGTGGACAAAGTGGCTGGTATGTGTCTTGAGGAGAATAGCTTCGAATCCTTGCCATCGCAAAGGGGGAGATGAACATATGTCCGGTTACGTCCTATGCGAGGTTGTTTACCTATCGCCGAAGCCCCTTTTCGCGTTTCCCGTTAGGACCGTCTCAATCTATTATTCCGATACCATTCAAGCTTTAGGACCACGGTTGTTTAGTGACTCGACTCTCAAGCCCGTGATATCAATAAGATGATGACTGTTTCGGTGCAAGGCAGAGCGTTGAACTTAGCGGCTTCGACGATCGTAAATGTAAATGACACGATGCTGAAGATGCTGCTCTTTCTCCCGCATTTTCTAGCAGCTACAAGTAGAGTTTTGGTCACCTCGTTCTCTTTGAAAGCTATGAGTGTATGGTATATAGGAGGTGAATATAGTGAATGTGCCTTTTGTCTTCACATTATTCTGATCTTAGTTTTTCCGAGCTCCGCGTATAAAACGCCCCGGTGCGCATTACTCCCTGCTTCTACGAGACGTTGGGCCAGTCCGATTCGCTCGTAGATCTGCTTCGACTCGTCTAAATATCGCAGCACTAGTGATACCTCCGACCTATGAGCTTCGATCCTGACAATGCCAACGCCAAACCGGTAGACCCGGATTCCCTGCTGAGTCCCTATACCAACTATCTTGGTGTCGTGGTACCGGAAACCAAGTACTCGGCCTCGTACTAATCGAGCTTCGGCCTGTAAGCCACCTCTTAATGTACTCAGGAACTGGATATCTTCACACAATCGTGATTTTACTTTCTCTAAGTTCTGCGTAAAGAACAGCCCGATCTAGATCGTGCCCTGCGTGTGGTCTGCGTTCGGCTGGTCCAAGCCGCTCGTAGACTTGCTTCCTCTCATCCAAACATCGAAGCACTAGTGACTCCTCGAGTTGAAGGTCTATGAAATCGACAACATCCATGCAAAACCAGTAGACGTGCATGATTTCCCCATCTTCTATAGCGAGCCCTTGCTTGCTGGTCTAGCAAACAATCCCAATCGGTGGACCATTCCTCTAGACTCTGGACATGCTTAGGGTTACGTAATCTTAGCTGATCAAAATGGCCACGCTTCAGATCAAGGGTCCCAGGCGCGATGTAGCTCTTGACTTGGAGACGACCCGACTTAGGCTCGCCATACCGATCCGCTCCAAGCGGGACGCATCCGACTTCGAGAATCTGGGCACACTTCGCCGCTAGGCCACGACGAGACGGTCTGCAATCAATTTCCCGCCCCACTGGAGCCCAGGACCAGCTTGGCGCACGCCAACGGTCTGCTGGTGAGGACTTGCTGCCGTAAGAGCTTACGTGCCATAGAAGGCCCTCCACGAGAGTATATTCCCAAAGACCCACGAGGTATCTGCTGTTAAGTTAAGACTGCATTTGCTTCGCAATACCAGACAGTGCAGGGAGGGCGTCCTTTCCGCAGATCAGACTTTTGAACGAGTATTCTTCGCATATCTTCTGCCACCTCGTCAGCGTTCTCTTTCGGCCGCTATCCGCAACAGCTTTGTAATGGTCGCATTTGGGGCTCACTGTCGTTGTTCCTTCTTTGCTAGAACATTCGCAGATACAAGTCGCCATGCATTCAAACACGAGTTCGTCTCTCCCAAAATGTAGCACCCTCTGAGATAGCAGGCGCTCCTGATAGAACCAGCCGCGGTCTAGCAAAGCGAAGTCCTTGTGATTACCACTCTTCTCGTGCCAGTGAACAGTATTGTAATGGATTTGGCTGTAGACTGTGTACACCGTGGATCCGACTCGCAATTGACCCAGTGCGATTGGCGCGTTAGACGGAGTACTGAAGAGACCACCATTACCATCCCTCGACATCGTAGCAGCTAAAGTGCGGAATGCATTTGAATATGTCTCTTGCATCTTCGCCGACTCTTTTGTCCAATCCTCTTCGCTATCCTGTAGGATGCAGAGGGAGTCGATCCATAACCAGCGTATATCAAGTTTGCGGGTAAACGAGATTGCATTCTGGAATGTTCTCGAGAGCAGTTCCCATTCAATACCTTTCTTCCTTCCCTCGAAGGTGTTCCGAGTTGTGCTTAGGTTTGCCCCAACAGTGACTTAGACACACATAGGGGCCGGCTTCACTATCTGTCTCTCGCAGGACAAGTCTTTCAACGCCAGGAGGATCCAGATCGAGAACGCGTGGTAATTTTGAGTTCAAGTTCTTTCGACAAGCGTCGTGCGTGTCTATACACTGCTGCAACCAAGCGACGAAACGAGCGAAGCTCTCTTCGGATGCCGTGTCACCCAGTCCATCGATGTGAAGCGGTGCCTGATGCGTCTGCCATGCTTTAGCGTTTCACTGTATACGGCAGGATTACAAATCGGAATTGAGTACTTACTATCGCAGGAGGTAAATCGTAGCTACTGTCGCTTGCAAAAAGTGCGGCCGTTTGGAAATGAACTTTATCCACCCTCTCCCTCTAAGGCTCATCATTCTATAGAGCACGCATGATACTTTTACCTTAGTTAAATACTTTTACATACCTTTCTTATAGCTATATCTATCTATATTAGCGTTTATCTAGATACAAATTAAGGAGTATATAGTAGAAAATCTTTAAGTATTATAAAAACCGCTTACTAGTATACTATATATAGGTATCTAAAGAAAATTAAGTGCACTATAAAATTATATATTTTAGTAGATTATTATCTATATAATGCTACTACTCTTCTTAATCTTTAGCTATCAGATAGCTATAGCTGCGCTAGGTCTTTTGATAGCATTTAGTTATATCCTAAGCGTCAGGTTATTATGTAGAACGTAGTTATGGTCTTTAATGATTAAGGGGGGGAGGGTGGATGAAGTTTGTTTCCAAACGGCCGCACTTTTTGCAAGCGACAGTAAGCCAAGGGACGTTTGTGTCTTGATCCTCTTCGCGATAAGGGCCTATTAGGATTAGAATCAAAACCAGAAGTAGAAATAATTAAGGAACACCTCTAGCGGTTGTACGGATCCCAATGAGACAGCCGTCTACGTTAGAACTGTAATGCTGGCCTCACACAACTAAGTCCAGACACTTCGATTCGAGATTCTTACCTGACACAGTAAAAATGCGCGTAGGAGGGATAAGGAGTGCCATGTTCTCGCGACTTCGTAGCCTCTAAGTATCGGAACATTGCCTCGGTCGCCTCACTAACAGTTGCTGGAGACCAGTGTATTGATCCCTGCTTCAAGTATGGATTGCGCTGCGAAAGCGCATTCACGAGTAGTTCTCTATTCTCTGCATCACTGCGCTTAATATAAAGCGACTGGCCCCTAATTCGCTCATAGACTGAGAAGGAAGCCATCCGAAGAGCTGCTAGTGCAGATCCAGAACAATGCTCGGACATGACCTGAGAGCACTCTGCCGGCCGCTGTAGTTCAGACGCGATGGTTGGTTGTTGATTAGATGCCTGGAAAGACTGGGAAATAGGCAGCCTCAGCGAAGCCGAAGTCGAGAGCAGTATCTCAGAAGGTTGAATCGTACGTGCCCGAAGATCTGCCAACTTGGATCGCAGTTGACCAGCTTTCCATCCCTGCAGCCGTGCACGTTGCTAACATGATAGCGCAGACTCAGAGCATTTAGCATTATTAGGATCAGATTAGTATCAACCACGACATGTGTTGTAGTGCTTGAATAGGATCAGCGTGTGTGAAGAGAACCTAAGTACATCATAAAATGTTCTAGCTTTGGTTCGCTTGAGAAGAGGGACGACATTTAGTAATTATCGAGGGCTTTATGTTGCCATATTTTTCCCTGAGTCTACGCTATTCTGTCAGCAACGTGCCGTGCAGCATCACGCATTGTTTCGATTTCGCGTTCCATGCACGATATCTCTAAGAGAACGTCAAGCTACATTGTCAGAAAGATGTCAACAATGTCGAGTCGAAGAATATAAGAGCCTAGGAACAGTGCGTTACATACGACGATAGTATATTGATCAGTGCGCTTGCTATTCTCAATGCTAACTCAAGTGACACCTGACATCCGAACAACCCTATAAACTCACGCGCAGATAACTACATACACGCACTTCGATCAATCCTCCTCTACCGACCTCACAGCGCTCAATGGGCCACACTCGGCCTCCTGAAGACCGAGCTATTCCTCCTCTCTGCTACCGCAACACTCAACCTCCTAGTCTCCTCGCTATTGAAAGAATCCACGTTGGTATGTTTGAACTTCCTTGCAGACACCTCCTTCGCAAACAGCACATCCAGCTCATCATATGTCCTGCCCTTTGTCTCCGGCAGCCGGAAGTACGCCCAGACAAAGGTGAGGAAAGCAGTCCCGCCCCAGAAGAAGCCCGTATAGCCGCGCGCATTCCATTGGGTTGGATTCATGAAGTAGGGCTGCAGAACGTTGGAGATGACGCCGCAGATGTAGTATGCGTTTCGGGCGAGGCAGACCGTCTTCTGGCGCAGGCGCGTCGAGCCCATCTCGGCGGGCAGCGCCCAGCCGAGCTGTCCGATGGAGAGCTGGAAGGTGAAGGTCCAGGCAAGCGTAAGCACGGCTTGCGCCATGCCGTATGATGACTCGTAGGTCCGAACGTTGAGAAAGCCAATGATACAGAGGATCAAAGACATCGTACCCATGCCCCAAAGGTAGATTGTGCGCCTGCCGAAGTAGGGCATCAAGCAGAACCAGGAGATGAGTGTTCCAACAAGAGCGAGACCGGTGCCGCCGACGTTCAGATTGTAGGTTTGGGAGGTGGTTAGGCCAACCTGCTGGAAGAAGTAGGTGCTGTTGTAGGCAAAGGAGGAACCGGAAAGGACCTGGCCGGCGAATGCGACACAAGCGATCTCAGTTCGCCGGCGTTCGAAGCCCTTGAAGCAATCCCAGTAGGACGTTCCGACGGAGAGCTGCTCCTCGAGATCGTTGGTGTGCACGATGGTCGCTAGAGTCTCTTTGGTGTCGATGTTGGCGGACTTGGATTGCAGGCGGCTAAGAGACTTTTCGGCCTCCTCAAGGCGGTGGTGACGGACCAGGTGCCATGGTGACTCGGGAGCAAAGCAGAGGAGCGGGATGAGAAAGACAGGCCAGACCCACTGGTAAGAGGTTAGCATTGTCTCTCCTTGCTACACATTGATGGACTGTAGAAAGCGTACCTGGATCGCGAACGGAATGCGGTAAGACCACTGGTTTTCAATCTGAACCAGGCCCGCGAGTACACCTGCGGCGATCAACTGGCCGATAATGAAGCACATATTGGTCCAGCTGGTCAAATAGACGCGGAGAGAAAGCGGCACGACTTCGGAGGCATAGGCTGGAGCGGTAGTCGCGAAAACACCCCAAGGAAGGCCGCAGAGAAGCTGGCCAACGAGCAGCATCTCGATATTCACCGCGAAGAAGACGATGAAGATGAAGGCGCTGAGTGTGATAAGTGACGCTACTAGCACACGCACTTGTCCGAATTTTGCGACGAGATAACCATTGAGCAGGGTGCCGAAGAAAGCTCCAATACCGGACGCGTTGCCGAGACCGGCTTGCCATGGTGCCGTCAGTTGGTACTCTAATCCGTCGTCTGTCTGAACCTGTTGGCCGTACTTGCGCGCAAATTCGGGATAGGCGTAGAAGTTGCCGATGAGGATTGTATCGTAGCCTTCCATGATTACACACATGGAGACAGCCAGACACCAGAAAATGGCCTTCGGATAAGCTTTGAGGGCCTTGCGAATACCCATGCTGTGCTCAGCCTCGACCGCGGATTTCGCGTTCGCAACCAGATGCTCCCCTTTAAGGACGTGGCTATAACCCGCCTCCTCACGACTGGAGGTGCGGGTGTCGATAGCTTCCATATTGGCTTTCTCGTCCATTCTTGCGGTTCAGATGAGTAGAGTCCGCTTGAGCTCTGGTGCCGGACGGAGTGCACTTCGATGAAAAGCGAGAAAGAAACTGTGAGGAGCCGGTACGATGTGTATGTGGGAGGAGTCGTGCAAGGGCTGAAACGATGTAGCTCGATGAGATACTGCCTGTAGTGTGCGAGAAGACTGTGGGATGAAGACTGGGGAAGAACAAGGAAAACGGTTGTATTTATGTTTCGCGGGGGATATCCGAAAAGCTCGATGCTGCGCAGTCTAAGCAAGAAAGAGGACTGGGTTACTTGCGATGCTTCAGATGCTCAGCTGCAGCTCATTGGCCAAGACCTGGGAGACATGGTCGAGAACAAAATCACATGGGGTGAAAGCGGGAAAATAGTTCCACGCCGAATGGCCGTTGCACCCTTAGCGGCTGAACAGCGTGCAGCTACTCAGATTCAGTTCCCCGTGGGGAGGACTGACCGAAAATCTTTCCGCTGTGGTCTCAGTGCATCTCTCGTGGACCCCTCCTTTGCCGATCAGCAACGTCGGGGGCGCCTAAACCTTAACTCAACATCGAATAACTCAAGACTCTCGGAGAGCATTCATGGATATATTGGTCGTGACGTCGTCTCCTCGCCTGTCCCTTACAGCATTGAAGTGATCTGATTCGCAACTCTTCTCATCCAAGAAGACCCCGCACCTGCGAGGAGTGCCTAGAAAGAGGAACCCGAGCTGGGAGCCAAGATGCCGCCTGCATGTTCTGGGGGGAGCTCCGCGGCGGATCCCCTCCCGCCACTTTCGAAATCTTTCCGAAACGTGCACTGAGCTCGCGTGACAGTGGAGAGATTCTCGGTGAGTTGGGCGGCCAGATTCGCGGCCAGATTTGGGGGCTTTTTGCGGCTGGAAGAATTCCCGGCAGAACAGTAGATCCCGCACCGACGGCCAAGACGGGGAACTTCTCATGCGCTTCCTCACGGCTTTCCTCCGCTTCACTGGCCAGCTCCTCCGTAGATCCAGGTCCATTTACGCTTCCTATGCGGGCAGACTCTCGCTTGGGAACCTCGCGGTATGACGTGTTCGCGTCAAGGTCCCCGCTGTGGAGCATGGAGCTCCGGCCTGATGGTCTTTTTTAAGCTACCAGTAGGTATTTGTTCGGCACCCCGCCGCTGTGTCGTAAAACCTTCTTGTTATTCCAACTACTTCTCAGTTCTTCCTCCAGTCTCTCCGCAGCTTCAGAGGTTACGCAGTGTTCGATTGCTCTCACCTGTCCTGTCTCGCTACTTTGAAGGAAGATCACGCAGACCACATCTCAAATCCTTCTACCCCTCAATCCTCCATAACTGGAGCTTCGTTGCAGAAATCCCCAGGAACCTGATCTCCCAGCGTGTTACAACCCCTTGCTGTACTTGCGGTCCGCGTGACCGCTCTTCATCCAGATTCACCACGCCATCATGCTTCCTGTCCTGCTCCTGAGCGGCCTCGCGGCCGGCGTTCGAGCTGTCAACAACGGCTTGGCGCGCACTCCGCAGATGGGCTGGAACAATTGGAACTCGCTGGGCTGCGACGTCTCAGAGTCTCTGTTACTCGATACGGCCAAGAAGCTTATCGACGCCGGCCTTCGTGACGTCGGGTATAACTACGTTGTCCTCGATGACTGCTGGTCCGATGGCCGAGGCTCCGATGGTTACATACGTGTAGACAAGGTGAAGTTCCCCAACGGCATGAAGTCGATCGCGAAACACCTGCATGACAACGGCCTGCTCTACGGCATGTACTCCTCCGCCGGCGAGATGACCTGCGCCCGCTACGAGGGCAGCCTGGACTGGGAGAAGCAAGACGCGGAGAGCTGGGCGAGCTGGGATGTCGACTATCTCAAATACGACAACTGCTACCACCGCGGCCGCTTCGGTACCCCGGAAATCTCCTTCAACAGATACAACACCATGTGGCAGGCCCTCAACGCCACCGGCCGTCCGATACTCTACAGCCTCTGCTCGTGGGGTGAGGACTACGTTCATACCTGGGGCATGAGCATCGCCAACTCGTGGCGCATGAGCGGCGACATTTACGACTCATTCACTCGGCCAAACGATCTGTGCATCTGTACTAATGCCGCGGACCCACATTGCGTCGCGCCAGGCTCGCACTGCTCTGTCCTCAACATCCTCAATAAGGTCGCGCCGTACGCTGACCGCGGTCAGCCAGGCGGTTGGAACGATTTGGACATGCTCGAGGTCGGGCACGGTGGCATGACGGACGACGAATACGTTGCGCACTTCTCGCTCTGGGCCGCCGTCAAGTCGCCTCTGCTTATCGGCGCAGACCTTCGCCACCTAGATGCGAAGACGTTGACCATCCTCAACAATCCGGCTGTCATCGCTGTAAACCAGGACCCGCTCGGTCGCTCCGTTACTCGTGTGAGGAGAGACACGGATGTGCCCAAGGACAAGTACGGTGTCGGTGAGACGCAAGTCTGGAGCGGGCCGTTGTACGGTGGTGACGAGGTCGTCATCCTTCTCAACGCAGTAGGCGAGGATCTCGAGATGAGTACAGACCTCAATGAAATCTTTTTCTCTGACGGACCGGAGGGCTCGGCGCCGCAGACAAAGGAGAAGTGGGCTGTCTACGACCTGTGGGCGAACCGGATGGACGATGGTACTGCGCAAAGGATTCTAGATGCGCCGGTCACGGAGCTGGAAAGCGTCTTTAGCAAGGCGAACGTGTACAACAGCACGCTGACGCCGTATGTGGAGGGACTGAAGGCTGGCGATGAGCGGCTGATGGGCAAGAAGGTTGGAGAGCTGGCGCCGGGTGGTGAGCTCAAAGCGACTGTGCCGAAGCACTCTGTCAAGATGTACAGGCTGAAGAGCTTGGAAAACGGCGGGAAGAGGTACAGCATTCATCGCGATGAGTTGTAGACGATTCAGTTAGCAGTATAGATCTTGTCGCACTGAAGATTCAGCATTACACTTCGAGAGTCAAATTGAGAAACCTATATTTCATGAACATGATATAATAAGATAGGCCTGAGGTGGGCGGGGCCGTTCAGCGATCGGAGCCCGCTCAAGTAAGCCCATCAACCGGGCCCCGCCGCCCCGGTATAATGTTGTACTATGCAGTAGAAACGGGATAGGCATTATCTTCTAGGATAGGCAAAGTCGGGGTGTCAGCTAGAATAGGATAGGATAGGATAGGACAGGATTTTGAGAACTTTTGCATCGGGGATATCTCCTGACGAAAGGTATATTAGTTGGCGGATGCGTGATGAATCTAGTACTCGAGGCAGTTAGCTCTAGCCCTTGCATTTCCTCACGATGCTAGCATAAATCCAGAGCTAGGTAATAGCTTCGAGCGGGTTAAGGCCTCTAAGCTACGAGATCAGTAGGTACTCCAGCACTAGCACCTTGAGCGGCCGGCAAACCGAAACTACTGCATACCCCTAACAGACTCGTACTAAGAAATAAATATTTGCAGCCCATACAAAGCTATAAATTCAAAGCGAGCTTGGGAACTTAACTACCAAAAACTGAAAATATCTCCTTTTCAGCATAGGTGCAGCCTATTCGCCATAAAATACCCCATCTCAAGCTCAGCCATCGTACTTCCATCCATTCTGCCATGCACATAACACTCTCCAATAAACTCACATCTCGGTTCCAAGCTCTTGACACTAGATCTAACGTCCTCTGCATTCATCTTGCGAATAACGTGCGGCACATTCGCTCCTTCAAACATCACGATGAAGTCCCCACGCTTCGTCCTCCGCGGAACAAGAGCCAACAGACCTCGATTTGTGACAAGAAAAGAGCGCTCATTGCACGTGTAAAACAACCGCTGGCCAAAACTTCCCGCATTGCCCGTCATCGCGTGCCGCCTCAGCTGCTCATGAGACTCATACAGCGTAGTTCGTGGAGGCAAGTCCGGACGATCTTTGGGTCGTCCAGGGAGGCATTGAACACGTGGATGACGACATCTTTAGGCGAGTCAAGCGGTTCGGGTTCCAAGTAGAAGATCCGGATTTCTTTTCGCGTTCTGTCCAGTGGTCTATACCAGCTGTAGTCGTTTGGAATTACTGAGACATATTGTGGACCTGTGGAGAGTGTCTCTCGCTGCTTAAGAGGTCGAGGCGAGTTATGTAGGATTGGATGCCATGGACCATGCATCGCCATGCTCGAAGCGGGAAAGAGCCCTGAAGATCCTTGAAAAAGTCCAAAATAGGAGGAAACGAAAATTTATGTGATCATGTAATATTCGGTGTGTAAAGGAGCACAGCACCATGCGTATCTTAGGCTGTAGAAGAGCGAGCCATTCAACGAATATGCCCCGATATCAGAACACTAGAATCTGCCCCCGAGCAACAGATTGTTGCAGCAGACAAGACTGAGACACGCTTAGAAGAGAGCCGAGCAGAGACTTGGAGTTTGTAAGAGGTCAGCCGGATCGTCTATATAGAGCGGGCTGCGATCGCACGGACCATCATGGCGGGGCTTTTCTACTGGGCAACAAAGGAGAAAGCGAAGCGGGTCAACAGCAGAGATGCTTGTTCGGAGCTGCGCCGGTTGACGTCTGTCGTATCATCACAACGAACGATCGCCAGGCCTGTCTCGTTCGATCCCTCTGTGTGGTGTTGGACCATGCTGACTAGTTGGCAGTTTGAGCTCAACAGACCGGCCCGCCGCCCGAATCATCAGGAGGAAACCCCCGACAGCCATGGACGTGCACGAGGTCATAGAACAGTTAACGACACCTCCGGCAGGGTAGATACAGATCAATTCGCCGGCGGATAAGGATGGGACGAAGAAGCGGCTGGTGGCAGCGATCAGGCGGCACAACACGATCGGAGCCAGACGGCACCACGCGAAGGCTCTGGAGGTGGGAGCGTCGGTTTTCGACATCCAGAGGGACCTCAGAACCAGGTCTGTGAGACGGGCGAATTGGGTACGAAGGTGAGTGACAACCGGCTCCGAAGCAGAACTCTTGGGGTACATTGACCGCTGACTTGATTTCATCACTACGCACAGAATGACTCATCTCAAACAGCACCTCAGATGCCAACATCGCAGCGCTCGCTACAACCCTCATCAATATTTCGACGTTTTCGGAGCAACAGCGCTTCTTGGAGAAGGAAGTCAGGCGAAAGCGTGGGAAGTATGATTTGTACGAACATGTCCCACACAATGCGTACGTTTCAAATGCCGTATGGCACTGGGGACCGATGAACACAGCCCAGGATGTTCTGGATGCCTTCAGCGACCTCAAGGAGTACATCGAGATGCTGAGAGAATCTGGCAGATGATTCTGTTTCAAGATAACGCTAATCTGGGTAAACAAGCCATGCGTCCTGGAGACACATTATCTCACAATCTAGACTAATTGTACCGGCAGACGCACTTGCAGGTCCCTCCAGAGCACTAAAGACCAATCAGCCAATCCAGACGGAGCAGCACACGCCCCGGATAGCACCTACATAAGAGTTGCCGCAGTGGAGGTAACCATTGCAACCAGCCCTAGCACAGCACGAGCTGATGCAAGCTGTTCAAGCTCCGGTTAGCGCGCGTAGTGCGTTGAGCGATCTACGAAGAACACATACAGGATCTTACGCATGCCCGCTTGTCGAGAGCTCCCTGAGATTTGTTAACTACAGTGGACGTATCGGCTGGGTGATCTGGGTGTACTTACTGCTTCTGCTTCTTCGACCGGCATGCTCATGGCGAGTGCCACAAAGAAGAAGAGACATGAGGAGAGACGCATGCTGGAAGAGTGTTTCGTCTTTCACGGACTGACAGTGGTTCTAATGTGTAAAGTCTGTGAGGAAGCTATTGCTGCTACGAGGAATGCACAGAAGGTGATTTGATAGACAGATGCAGCGACTGAGTGTCTCCTTTTGTAGATGAGTGCATGCTACTACCCCTCATGGTTACCCCGCACTCTTGCACAACCATTCGAGGAGCGTAGGTGTTCAGACTTTAGTAAGTGATTAGGCCAGCCATTTCATTAGTCATGTCACACTCTAGCCGCAGCTCATGAAGCGAGAAGTGCGCCACAACAAAGACAAGCTTGGTCACGAGAGCCGGGCGTACATCTTGTACAAGCATCTGCCCCGGTAGATCTAGTACGAGTTAAGATGCTATCCGCAATGCCACGTACCGGTAAATCCAACGGTTCTCCTAGACTGCGAGTTCGAGGTAACGAATGAGAGTCACCTGGTATCGAGAGCTAACCTACCAAAGCGGCGATTCGTATCGTAGTCCGTTTCTCCACCTTCAACGTGTGCCTGCAGCTCTAGCGCCTGTCTTAGCGACAGTTGAACGTGGAGAAGACGGGCGCTAGAGCTGCAGGCCGGGGTATATAAACGGCAACAGTCCTTTTGTAACAGACACCGCAGTATACAACGATGAGGAAGACGTAAATACTACAATGTTAGTGTAGAAGCCGCGCATAAGTGCGTTCGAGACCATTCTGCGGACTTCGTAGATTTCAAAACAGACAAGCTGTACAACGCTAGGGTTTTCTAAGATCTTGGAAGTTGGGAAATCATATGACAGAGCTCACGCCGAATATTGGTCTTCCGCTCTCATTTCAATCTCTAATTCAAAGGTGTGCGCAAGAAGGGGACCGTAGATAGGCACATACCTGCAAAAGCATGGAATACATTCACCTAAAGCGAAAATCTAGGCATCCCAGTCCTAAAACGAAAACCTATATACAAAAAAATCCGTCCGTGACCATGCATTCTGATTATGCCACCATGCTGCCCCTTCTCATCGGGTTCGCCTTCCGCTCTTTCTGCAGCTGCGCCGCATACTTGACGCCGAAGCCGTGGCTGTATATCTGGCGGGCTGTCTCAAGAGGCAAACCCTTGACCTCCGGGTAATAGAAGATGACAAAGACCCAACCAAAGAAGCAGATTCCGGCATAGAAGCTAAAGGCACCGGAAGGAGTCATGGCTTTCATCTTCGAGAGGAAGGTCGGGGCAATAATGATATTGCGGCCCCAGCAAGTGACAGTGTTCTGGGGATATAGTGGAAGGCTGCCGCTGCGATCACTAGCGAGACGCCAATTGCAAGAACCGTGATGAGCAGGACGATGCGGCGGCCGAACTTGTCGATCACGAGCATGTTGAAGACGGTGAAGAGGAAATTGGTTGCGCCGACAACGATGGAGACGGCGACTGGCTTATTGAATCCGACCATAGCAAACAGAGCGGATGAATCATACATGAGTGTGTTAAAGCCGCAAAGTTGGGAGATGGCCATGACCGCACATGCTGAAATGAGAGCCCTTAGATCTGCCCGGACGACAAACAGTTGATTGAGCTGCCACAACAGGGATTTGTCGCCCAGAGCAACTGCGACCTCCTCGACGAGTTCTGGATCAGCTTGATCTTACATCGCAGCTGGTCCTCAGTTGCCTTTGGGAAGATACGCTTCAGGACGCGAGCAGCTTCCTCGTGTTTTTTGTGCGCGATAAGCTGGCGAGGCGACTCCGGGCACTTTAGCATTATCAGTGCAAGGATGATGGCGGGAAGTGCACCCAGCCCGACCATGTAGCGCCATCCGCGATAGATCTCGGTGAACCCGGCACCAAGAGCATACAAGATCAGCTGGCCAAATGCGACGCTCATTTTGTCGAAGCAATCATGCGGCCACGGTACTTGGCAGGCGCCAGTTCGCCAATGTAGAGCGGGATGATCATGGCGGCGCTGCCGACGCCGAGACCAACGACGAAGCGACCAACGGACATTTGGGCGAGCGAGAATGCGATGGCTTGCAGGATGGCGCCGATGATGAACATTATACAGCCGAGATAGATGCCGAGATTCGGCCATACTTGTCGGTGGCGAAGCCGGCGATCACGGTGCCTACGAGCGCGCCTCCGGACGTGTGCGAGGTGATCGACTCCTGCTCGCTTGAGGTCAAGACTCTGCCATCGAGGTCAGTGCCGAGATTAATTAGGACGGCGGAGATGACGCCGGTGTCGTAGCCTGGACAAGTTGTCAGCGCGATGCGACTGGGTTGTATAGAATACACCTGGGTTGCTCACCGAAAAGGAAACCACCCATCGAGACGGTGGCTGAGACGAGCCAGCGGTCTTGCTGGTGGCCGTTGCCTCTATCGAATCATCAATCTCCTCTCCAGTCGAGTCATGCTCGAGGTGGTAAGCCTCCTGTTTCTCACCGGAGCACTTTTCGTCTAATATGCCGAAGACATCTGCGATTCAAGGCTGTGGAAGAAGACAGGGCAAGGTATAGACAATTCAGTATTCTCTGGAGCCGCTGTCCGGAGTGGTGCTCGAGGAGGACTCTGGGTTGTTCCACGTTGCGGATCGTCGCCTTTTTGCATCCTTGGACTCTCTATCAAACGAGTTTCCAGAACTGCAGAGCGGAGCTTAGAGTCAGGTATGGAAAAAAGCCATATAGATGCAAAAAACCCCACCTTACTCTTCCAAAAACCCCCACAAATTATTCAAGCTCTCCGCCAAAGTCGGATGCGCAAACACCGCCTCCCTCAGCCCTTCCCACCGCAGTCCCCCCATCATAGCCACCTGCACCACACTCATGATCTCCCCGCCCTCGACCCCCAGACACGTAAATCCCAGAATCTCCCCGGTGTCCGCATCCACCACCGCCTTCATCATCCCCCTCGTCTCCCCCATCTCCAGCGCCCGCGCCACATACTCCATCGGCATCTTCGCGACCTTGATCTTGCGCCCGGGGTGTTGGCTGCGTAGTTGGCGCTCGTGCATCCCCACGTGCCCGAGCTGCGGGTCCGTGTACACGACGTAGGGCGTGTGGGCCACACGGGCGGCCGTGGTGCGCTGGTCCGGCGCTGAGGGGAACGGGACGGAGAGCAGGTTGTCGCGCACGATGCGGAAGTCGTCATAGCTGACGTGCGTGAATGCCGGCGGGCCCTTCACGTCGCCGAGCGCGTAGATGCCCGGGATGTTGGTCTCGAGGCGCGGGTTCACGACAATGTGGCCGCGGGGGGTGGTCTCGATGCCTGCGACGGGGAGGGAGAGGTGGTCGGTGTTGGGGACGCGGCCCGCCGCGAGGAGGAGATGCGAGCCGAATATGAGGGAGGTGGTGCCGTCTGGCGACTTTGTGTGCAGCGTGATGGTGGAGTCTTCTGAGGACAGCCGCACGGCTTCTGTGGAGAGGCGCACGGTGATCCCGTCTCCTCGCAGGATATCCAACATGCACTCGGCGATATCCGGGTCTTCTCGCGGAATGACCTGCCCCGAGCGCTGCACGATGGTGACCTGGGCGCCTAGCCGTCGGAACAGCTGCCCAAACTCTAGCCCGATATACCCGCCGCCCAAGACGATCAGATGGCCCGGCACCTCATCCAGCTCCTGTATGGACGTCGAGTCAAGCACTCGGGCCGGCTCGATCCCGTCTAAGCCTTCTATCTTCGGCTTCGCAGGCCGTTCGCCACTGTTGATGAACACCAGCTCCGAACTCACCACCACTTCCTCCTCCTCTGCTGGGTCCTCCATCCTTATCCTCACCGTCTTCGGCCCCATAAACGCCGCCTCACCCCTCAACACATCGACCCCCGCCGCCCCAAGTCTCCTCTCGCTCCCCGCACGAAAGCTCTCCACCATCTCCCTCTTCCGCTGGCGCACCTTTTTCATATCAGTCCACACCCCACCACTTTCCCCTCCTCCTTCTACCCCACCCCCTTCCTCGCCCTCCATCCCCGCCGCCGACGACCGGAAATGAACGCCATACTCCTCCCGCCTCCTAGCCAAATACGCGACCTTCCCACTCGCAATCATCGTCTTGGTGGGGGTGCACCCTTCATTGATGCAACAGCCGCCGACGTGCGCCCGCTCTACCAAGCACGTCTTCCGGCCTGCATTTGCGAATGCAGTGGCTAGGGGGGTGCCGCCTTGGCCGGAGCCGAGGATTAGGGCGTCGTAGTGTTTTTGGGCGGACATTGTTCTTGGTGTGGACGAAAATTGGGGGCAATGGCGGGGCGGGTTGAGGAAGTGATGGGTTGAGTTGAGGAAATAACGTCGTAGGAGGGAAACGCAAGAAAGCATACGGAGAGTAGAGGAGAACGGGAGTGTACTAAGATCAATGTGGGAGATTGATGGGAAATGGGGATTATAAACAAACCCCTTCGATACTTACATTGTGCCTCTCCTGTGTTTGTCTTGTGATCCTTGGCGCAAACCCCACCATGAAGATATGGATCGACGCTGCAGGAACGTGAGTCAGCAAATGTGTAAGCTGAAGCAACTCGTATCCGGCCGAGCAGCCCACGGCGTAATAGTACAGTACACGGTCCCGCCAAGAACCAGAACTAGCCCAAATCAACCAATCATTCAAGTCACACACACACAGTGCAGAACCGTTGCTGGTCATGGAGATAGACGACCTCGGAGAGAGTGCGGGGTCGGCGGGCACGGCCTTACCCGCGCGTTCCGCGCAAGCGCAGCAGAGGAAGGTGGTAAAGGAGACGAACAGCAAGATCTCAAGCGGAAGAGGTCATGATATCGATCAAAAGCTGGGTTTTATACTAAAGATGATTCTGAATATGAATCATGCGGTCAAACAGCTTCAGGAGGGTCAGGATGAAATGAGAAAGCAAAACGATGAGATGCGCAAACAGAACGATTCTGCAAGAGGAGTCGGCAGAAGGATCGGATTTACTTCAACCGGCACGATTCGCTCGAAACAAAGTACAGCCGCAAGTACGATCATTCCTGAGCAAAATGCGAGGACCCGAAGGTTATCCGCGGGTGGTTTGATCGCGTACGAACAACGAAGGCGCAATACGGTATTCTCGATAAAGACACGTACAACTTTAACAAGACGACGAGACTGGCTTTCAAATAGGCGTTACTTCAACTACTAAAGTTATTATAAGTGCATTAATAGACGGTGGTCCAGTTCTTACACAGCTAGGAAATATATAGTATATTACAATCTTAGAAGCGATCAATGCAACTAGCTAGATACTACTATTAATAATTATTTTTAAGAGTAAGATATATTAGTTGTTTTAGTATAAAGAGAATCTTTTAGAACTAAGTTAGGTTATTATAATTAGCGAGAATAGCTAGATAAATAATAGAATCAAGTTAACCTAAATAAAAGAAGTATTTAATAAGTATACTTAAAGCTATATAGTTTAATAATATTAGCTCTTAATTTTTAATAGCTATAGTAGTTACGTTACCTCTAAATTTAATTAATTTAGCTCTAAAAATCTAATTATTATTCTTTACCTACTATCTTATTTATTGCATATCTTATAGCTACTTAATATTAACTGTTTTATAACATTAAAGCGCTTATATAAATAACTTATAGAGAAGCGCATACAGGTTAGCTTTAATTATACTAATAAATAGGATTTTCTTTCCGAATAGTTATACGCTTATATAGAAGCTTCTAGCACGAGTAATATAGAGAATAGTTTTATAGTAATAGAATTAATTCTCTTTAATTTAGAATAAGTTTTATTTAAGCTTTAAGTTATTATATAGACTTTAATACCTTCTACTACTATTATAGACGATTTGTGTTCTTTATAGATACTAAGATTACCTTAAAATATCGCTTAACTATAGCTATAGGTAGATATACTCAAGTAGTTACTAAAAAAGTATAGCTATAATTCTCTAAGCCTATAAGCCTAACTCCTAGAATTTCACTCGGAAAATAGAAAACCGAATTTCTAAGCCTAAATTCCAAGATTCTCATCCCTTAGAAAATAGATAGTACTTGGAAAATAGCTTATTCTATTAGAAAATAGCCTATTTAAGGGGTATTTTAGGTGGATTACTAATTCTAGATAGTAATTTAGCTATATTAGTAATCTTAATAGAAGAGTTACTAATTTTAGAAGGTATTTTAACTAGAAAAGAGCCTTTTTAACTCTTATAACTACTAAAATAAAATTATTTTTAACTAAAAATCTTTATCTAGATATATTAGTAACCTTTTATATTACTGATTACTATTAATAGAATATTCTAGAACTATAGTATATATAACCCTAGGGTTAGGGTTAGGGTTAGGGTTAGGGTTAGGGTTAGGGTTAGGGTTAGGGTTAGGGTTAGGGTTAGGGTTAGGGTTAGGGTTAGGGTTAGGG